GCCTTCTCTCACGACTCAACACGGCTGGCGTCGGCGTCGGACGACAGAACAGTCAAGATCTGGGATGCGAACAGCGGCGCGTGCCTGCAGACGCTCGACGTTGGCAAGACGCCTAGCAATATATTATTTGACACTACTGGTTTATATCTTCACACTGAAATTGGTACTATTAGTATTAGTGCAATACCATTAGTTTCAAGTAGTACACCAACTGTCATAGAGCCTCAGAAGCCTAGATATCAAGGCCTAGCTTTAAGTCTAGACGGAGATTGGATAACACACAATTCTAAGAAGCTAGTATGGCTGCCATCAGAGTATCGGCCATCGTGTTCGGCGACGTTAGACAAGACAATCAGCATTGGTGTTGGAACTGGAAGAGTCTGGATATGTAAAAGTTTGCTTAACATATCCTAGAGCAATTGTGAAGAGTTAACTTATTATTCTTAATTTTTCTTTTATCTCTATTTCATAGAGGGTCCGGGGATCTAGGTGAATATATAGCTTCTTAATTTGCCACAGCGAAGTTTCGAGCATCTTCTAATCAGCTAACTTGTAGAACCACGTGTTGAAGTTTTGCCACTTGAACCTTAGCAGAGGTAGACAAACGCATCGGCTATGCTAGCAGGGAGTACGGCCGACCCGCTCCGGCCATGACCTTGTGGGGCTCCAAACTCTAATAGAACTGTTTTTATGGATTGAAATGCTAAACTGCTAAGATCTCGCCAGCGTTGAGGAACCACGTACTGACGAGAATAACAAACTCCATGACAACTGCAACCAAGACACCTGATATAGACAAGAGCGAGAGAGACTACTAACCGATCAGCAGAAAGGCTCCTAGTGATATCGCAGACTAAACTCACCTACCACCTCCCGCCTTCGCCTTCGCCTTCGCCCTCGCCCACTCCTCCATCATATACTCCCTCTCCCACCGCCTCCTAACATCCCGCATCACCACCAAATCCCTCACATACGCCAGCCGCGCCGCATCCTCCCTCTCGCGCTCCGCCCGCTCCTCCGCCAACTCCTCCTCCGTCAACGGCGCGCTGCCCTCAAAATCGAAGCTCATGGGCCGCCGCTGAACCGCCTCTCCAGGCTCACCAGCATCCTCAATCACTATCGCCGTCGCAGCAGTAGCGCCCTGCTCGTTCGTCTTCCCAGCCGCGGTCCTCCGCTTCGGTCTCACAGGCATCTCCCACGCCTTGTCTTCCAAGCTACTCGCCACCCTCCGCAGTGACGCATTATCTCCCACACTCCGCACCGCCTGGTGCTCCTCTCTCCAGACGGCGAGGAGCGCCGGATGGATCGCGAACTTGGGCGTCCAGATCTCGGGATACGGCTGCCCCGTGACCGGGTGCGGGGCGTAGTGGACGAGGAAGTCGTGGCCGGTTTCGGCCTTGATGTGGTCGGAGTCCGGGGGCTTGGTGGCGTTAGTAGTGGGCGGCGACGAGGGAGAGGAAGATGGGGAAGGGGTTGGGAGGGTGCTGGAGTGGTTGGGTTTAGTCTGGTGGCGCATGGTGGCGGTGTTAGTGTTTTGATGAATGGGTTGGTGGATGTGCAGGGCTCTCCCGTTGCGTTGAAGGGGGTGTATGGGTCGGATGTGAAGAGGAGCTGTAGATACATGGATGGAGAGTAGAAGAGTGGAATTTATACTGCTGTGCCTGAACAATGATCATAGTGAAGGTCGACGACCATTTGCAGAGGGGTTGAGCGGTCGCAGCATTGTGAGTATACAATGTAATCCATGTCGTTGAGCATCGGTAAACTTCGCAAAATCGCCACCCAAGGGTTCGAGTGAGCGATTGCTTCTTCGACAATTTCATGGAATGTAGAAATCGGCTCTTGATATTAGACAATATATTACAAACGCGAGTCACCCAATACCACCATTCCTTTGCCTGGCAGCCCAAATCGTGCTTGAGCCAGGACCACCTCTTTTTATATTGCCATTCGGCCACTTCTTGTTCGAGAACCCGTTCATGCCCGGAGCTGCTGGCTTCGACGCGTTGACATTGTCTGTGAGTTTCGTCCACAATTCGACGATACCAGCACGTCTCGCTGGCAGCATGCTGTACTGAAGACTGTAGAGGTTTTTCCGGTGGATCGGCGGCACAAATCGGCCGGTGACGAGGCAGAGGAAGACGCCAAGGCAGAGATAGTGCTTCTGAAGGCGGTTGCTGAGTTCGAAGTACTCGTTGAACATGGCGGTTAAGGGTAGCGGAATTGACTGGCGATTCATTAAGTGAGGTTACAAGACCGTGACAGATGGGCGCAAACCTTTAGGACAATGTAAGAGGTGGGCGCGGAGAGGTTTTGTTCCGGTAAACTTGCGGAACGGGTATCTTGGAGGTCGAAACGGATGCCGCCTTACGCCATATCAGTAATCGGCCGTGAGTGTGTTGGCGCAGTAGAAGTTACCTGGTAAACGCCGGGAGTCCTTGATGCGAAGCATCAATGCAAATAGTGGGAAGTGGTTCAAACATGCAAGCATAGTATCCAGCGTGGCTTTCAAGGATATTATAGCCATTCTAGCAGACGTAAATGTCAAGTAGAAGACACAGACGGTAGGTAGTAGAAAGAACAAGAGTGTGAAAAGGATGGTACCGAGCAGAAGCTGGTCCAGATCATAGTCACACGAGTCGATTCGATTGCGCAGAACGTTGCGTTTTTTGCCTCGAAAGAGGTGGAAGAGTGAGAAAATGATGGTGAGTTGCCAATTGAATATTCGGGCAGAGGCGATGTAGAACGAGTAGATGTGCAGGGTCAACAGGGAGACAAGATCCGAGAACAAGGATATCGGCATCGTGGCCCCGGCAAAGCTGGAGAAACCGATGAAGTGGATGACTGCAGGGAGAAACGGTCTTAGCAAGGTCATGGAGGCAGACCAATGGTCAATAACCCATAAGAAGAGGTCTCCGAGGAATTCTGCCAGTTGGTTGTTCAGTTTCAGTCCACCTGGCCACTCCATGAGCCAAGAAATAGTTCGACGTAGTCCTTCGATCGACCACGTTGTGAAGATCTTGTCCACCTGCGACGCCACATAGACGTGATTCTCAATGATGTAGGAGCCCAATGCGATCCCGATGATCACGTCGTTTGCAACAAGCCATAAGCTGTTGTAAAAGCGAATGTACTCGGGGTGACTGTTGGTAATGCTTTCCCAGTTGCCTTTCCTTTTTCGTAGCGTCAGATATTGAATTGGCCAGTAACAGAATTGTTGTAGACGGATGTCGACTTGCTGCGCCGTTGCCGACAAGTCCTTCAAAGCAGCAGAATCTGGAGACAGCCGCCATTCGAGAACGCGCATTATCACCTCACCAGCCACACGATGTGCAATAAGCCCCAATATGAAGAGCTTGGCAATCAAGGGGTATAGCCAGACCGCGGCGACGTACCAGAACCCCATGAGAACATAGTCCCACAGATCATTGGCTGATTTCACAACTGTTTCGCTGACGCTCAAGGCTCGTCGGGCCCGGGTACCGATGAGGCCTACGTTTTTCTGGAGAAGAGCGTTTAGCTCGAAAGAGCAATTGACCTGATCGATGATCGTCGGCAGTGACAATTCCTTCTGTGACGGTGGGTGGATAACGACGCTATGCAGCCGCAGCTTTTCGACTAGTTTTTTTTTTCGCTGTCGTTCCTCCTCTTCCCGCGCCTCTACTCCTTCGAAAGCAGGATCCCATTTTCCCACCTGTTCTGGTTTATCTCCCAAAGCTAGCGATATTTGCTTCAATGACAGGTATTGCATGCGAGTCGGGTGGGGGCGGCAGTATAGAATGAATTGAAGAGTGATGTCGCAGTCGTTGGGGCAGAATAGTCGAGGGAAGCGGGACGAGGAATCGTTGAATGCGACTAATAAAGCTGCGTTGAAGCTGGCGGGAGGTGACTGGGGGTTGATTGTTCCAAGGACTTGCAAGGTCGATTGTCCACACCTGTCGAAGATATGGCTGATTGGATGCGGGCTGTTTCGATAGAGGATTCCCATACGCAAGGCATGCTCCACACTCCTGAGCTATAGAAGGTGAGCATAGACACATGATATTGAAGAGCGCTTCCATACTTCGACATCTTGCAGAATTGCTACCACAAAGACATCCAACTCGGAGTTTCTCCAACCCACGAGAACGCCGGAGGCTGGTGTGGTAGGCGCATCTGACGGCCAGAATATCCGCATCAGCCCATTATTTGTAACCATATCAACATAGCGCTCCCCTAGAACGAGCCCCGGCGTTTGAGCTGTTCACGGGCGGAGATGCCGCTTCCTGCGGTGCGCGGATGCTAGGGACAAAAGTCAGTATTCGTTCAGATGCTGTACGTTGGTGATAGCACTGACTAGGTCGATTTCCCGCGAGGCGAGACGTTCTATGGGCAGGATGAAGAGGAAGAAGAAGACGGAGAGAATGGCGAAACCTTTGGCGGCGCGTGTCTGCAAAGTGTATTAGACGTCGAGGCGCGACATGGGCGCTAGGAGGGGGGATCTGGCATACTACAACTCCGTGGTCCCAAGCGAATATTGCTAGTTCATATAGCCGGGTGACAAGATCCCACCTGGCCGTGGAGTAGCCGGCTACGAATATTCCCGCTGTGAGGATCGAGAAGGGGTGCATGAAGCTCGAATTTGTGGTACACAGGTATGGTGGCAGCGAGCGGATGGCTCGAGGCCGGAGGAGGACTGGAGTTTCGAGGCCGCGCGGGCTCTAGAGGGCGGCCGAGGAGCGGGTCTGGGGACGCGGCGACGGGTCAAGCGTGGTGAAGGCGGTGCTTGCACAGATCATGGTGCATTGAGGGCGCAGGGCGAGAGGGCATCACGGTGCCGTGTCCTGATGGATGCGGTTGCCAGTACACGAGCCTTATTCGCTGTCCCAAGAGAAGGGGTGCGCAGATCGAAGCACGCCGGCGCAGCTGTGGGCACGGTCACGTGCGGCAACTGCACTGCATCTCTCTGCGGCCATTCCACCAACCCTGCCAAAATTCCCAACTCCGAAGAAAATCAGCACGACAGTCACCATGTCGTACTATTCCAGCTATTCCAGGTACGTCGCCGCCTACTTTTGACATCCACCACGTTCCTGGCAGTTCGGTTCTTTTTAATATGTGGCTGGGCCGCTCGTTGGGGTATAGCGTGAGGCGCGTCGCTAAGTCGTGGGCATCACGCGGGGCATGGAAAAAGTGGCACTCTAATTCCAGAACAAGCTGTCTCGTGTGCACACCAGTTTGCCACTGCTTAGGGTGCTTCAAAGAATTTTCAAGAATTGGAACAAGATAAAGCTCTTCACTTTGGTCTAAGTGGAAACTTGTTGAAGCACTTCATGCGGTGGCAGATAGGTGTATGTACGGGCTGCGTACTTGAGGAGTGTGCCACTTTTTTCATGCCCAGCGTGAGCGCCTCTCCCTTATTCTCACTTTGAACCGCCGCGCAACGTATTTTCACCAGCAGACCCCGCCATTGTATTATTGCTATTATGCTAACGTATTGTTCCTCGCCTGTCCAATAGAATCACGTACCAGCGCGGCCCCACCATGCCCGTTTGCCAGTTCTTCAAGCAAGGCAACTGCAAATTCGGAGGTACACTTCTCTCTCCATCCTCTCTTCATTCTCGTCAAACTCGTATCACATCACGCAAATTGCCATCACTTCCATCGTCAATTCACCATGTACACGCTGACGATCCCGGTGTATCCTCCGACAGACCGGTGCAGGAACGAGCATCCAGTCGGACTCCAGCCGCCGAGCAATGCAAACCGCTTCGGTCCCTTGGGCCAGGCTCAGGCTCAGCAGAGTCGAGGATTTGGTGCCGGTAAGCTTCCAATCATCTTCTAGCATCTGCTTCATCCCCGTTGTCCTTGAGTCTCCGCAAGCTCCTTTCATGCGGCTCGCAACGTCGTGCTTCTCTTTCGCATCCAGACCTGGACTGACCCGCCATGCAGGAACCCAAGCGAACAAACGCACTTGGCCGTAAGTTTAGCATCGCACTGTGTTGTTCTCCACGTCACTAACGACTCTCAGGTATCATCTTAGTCCAGATATCATCAAGGAGGATCTCGTCAAGGAACGCCCAGAATGGCCGCTCTCCGCCTACGGCCCGGGACGCGACGCTCCACTCCAACTTCTCGAGGGAGGTATCGACATCAGCCCCGAGGAGATGCGCATGAGGTTCTACGATGCCCGCGCTGCAGGACTTGAGAACCAATATGTGAGTATCCTGCCCTGCGCGACAATCAACATCAACTAATACTTGGCCTAGATTGAACAAGAGAATATCCTCGCCAAAGAGGCGCAGAACCAGATCGACAAGATTCTCAATGATCTCGAAGGGGCCTGCAAGTACGTCGTCGATGGAGCAAACACTCCTCGCGACCGAGCGAAGATTGCCAAGGAGTCTGCCAACCCGGCCCATGCAGGTTACTTCAGCATCGAGAACCAAGCCCGAATCGCCAGGAACAAGCCCACTGTCTCCTCTGCCCCTTCCAATGCCTTTGGCGCTTCTGCCTTCGGTCAACCCTCTGGACTTAGCGCATCGCAATCGGCGTTCGGACAGCCCACTGGCCGGGCTTCAGCCTTCGGTCAACCATCCGGCTTGGGACAGGCCGCTGCTCCCGCTCAATCATCTGCCTTCGGACAGCCGTCCATTCCAGGCCAAGCCTTGGGGTTCGGCCAGCCATCGGCTCTGGGACAGGGCTCTGGTTTTGGTCAGTCATCCGCTATGGGACAGAGCTCGGCCTTTGGACAGCCATCTGGGCTCGGTCAGGGCACGGCGTTTGGTCAACCCGCTTCTCTAGGTCAGAGTGGCGGCTTCGGACAACCTTCTATGCCCGGCCAGAAGTCCGTCTGGAGCCCAGCGGCTGCTCCAGCTCAAACATCTGCCTTTGGACAGCCCTCCAATCCAGGCCAAACCTTAGGATTCGGCCAGCCGTCCAACCCAGGCCAAGCTGCCCCCGCTTTCGGCCTGCCAGGATTCGGTCAATCCGGCAATGTGGGTGCTCCTCCCTTCGCGCAGACTCAGCAGGCGCCAGCCTCGAATGCCTTTGGCACGGGGACCCAGCCAACGTCGACATTCGGACAACCATTGCAGCAATCTGGATTTGGTCAGCCAACCGGCTTTGGTCAACCCACCACTAGTGGAGCTACTTCTAGCCCATTCTCTCTCCCCACCGCTGCTCCCACCGCTCCCACCACGAACCCCTTCGGACAGCCCTCAACCTTTGGTCAGCCCACCGTTAACGCAGCTGTTTCGAGCCCATTCTCTCAACCTACTGCTGATCCTGCCTCAACTTCACTCGGACAGTCGGCCACTGTTGCCCCATCCACTGGACTCTTCGGTCGCCCTGACGCCACTAGAGGTGGTGCTTCAAGCGCTACTGGACCTCTCAATCTCCCGAAAAACCCTCCTACCACACCTGTCACAGCTTACAGTACCAGAAGCGCAGACGGGAAGAAGCTGCTTACTTGGAAAGGTCTCCCCGTGATATACAGGAACAAGCTACAAGGCGGCAACGTCGTCGGCGAGTATCCAGCCTACAAGCTCAACGGCAAGGACTATCAGCGGATCTGGTTCCCAGATGGACCCCCACCGCCTAATCCATGGGCCGAGGGCAGACCGGAGGAGTACGAGGGAGAGAAGGGGGCAAAGATTGCTGAAGCTTACCAGTTTTCCAGGGAGCACGGGTACTACAAGGACGGTATCCTGCCGAGTGTTCCACCGAAGAGGGAGTGGATCAGCTGGGATCTCTAGATCATGACTGGCGCTGAGCGTGGTATTGGCGTCGGTGGTTTAGCTGGATTATACGGCCTTTTGGGGCGTATGGGCGGCCTTGATGGCGTTTCGAAGGACAGACATTATATACCTTAGCGTTGATCATGGTTCTATCAATTGATTTAGTCATTTCTGATGCAGTGCTGTCATGCTGGTATATTGAAAGCTGCTTGTCGCCGTCTAAAGTCTATCACTGCTACCTATTCAGTCTAGGCATGAGGCACGCGGGGCATGGAAAAGGTGGCACTCTGATTCTAGGACAAGCTGTCTCGTGTACACCTATCTGCCACTGCTTGAGTTGCTTCAATGCCTTTTCAGGAATCTGAACGAGATAGAAGCTCTTCACCTTGGGCTATGTGGAAACTTGTTGAAGCACTTCATGCGGTGGCAGACAGGTGCACATACGAGCAGAGCACTTGATGACTGTGCCACTTTTTTCATGCCCAGCATGTGAGGTTAGCCATGCTACGAAGTACCTACGCTTCGGTAGTCGCTGAATACTTACGGGACTTGATATGTCCTTGACCCCTGAATTCTGCTCCGGCTGCCCCAAAACAACATATTCGGGCCGAGCATTGGCACCCATTGAGACCTACAACACACGCGTTCGTCGACTTGATTACTATACAAAGGTTACGTCAACACCAACGTAAACTTCTTGTCTTTTGTTTATCGAACTTGTGTGGATTTGAGATCACGCAACGGGCTCTATTTCTAGTGCTCCATTGAGCAGTAAGTGGAAGGGTTTCGACGACTTTGTATTCTACATCATTTTCACAATTTCTCATTAACTAGGTGGTATACATGTATATTTGAGCTATCTACTGCATTCGTTAGGCTCTCTTTATTCATCCATCCCTCGTTCTAATTAGCCTCTACCGATCCTTACCTATTCATCAAGCAGAGCATGCCATCTTTCATTTCCACAGCGATCCTCTGCCTCACGCTCGTCTCATCCACTCTCGCTCAAACATCCAGCTCGTGCAATCCACCCACTTACCTCTCCTACCACTCTCTAAGCCAGACCCCACAGCAACCTGCCCCGCCGACCCCGGCCTCTCCACCAGCACCTACAGCATCGACTTCACCAGCAGCAGCAGCAGCAGCAGCAGCAACTTCAAGCCCCCCTGAACCACCACCGCCGGCGACATCTCCCACACCCCCTCTAGCGCCGCCCTCACCATCGCCCCCGCGGCGGGCCCCCAGCTCCAAACCTCCCGGTCCTTCTTCTTCAGCGTCGTCTCCGTGCACCTGCGCGCCGCGCCCGGTACCAGCATCGTGCTCGAATCCACCGACCTCGACGAGCTGGACTGGGAGTCTCCTCGGCGGCAACCGCAGCGCCGCGCCGCGCCGTCGAAACGAGCGTTTGAACAAACCCCGCAAAGGCACCCCAGACAGCGTCACCCCGGTGTACGTACGCAGAAACCTCTGGAGAACTTGAACCAAAGCAGCTCCGCTAAGTTCAAGAAGCAGGTCACGTCAGACCTCAGGAGGGAAGGTAGAGTACCAGGCCCATTTATTCTGAGCACACGGATTCATCATTGCCCCCCCCCCCCCCCCCCAATCTTGCCCACTGGACTACCCACTGTGAGGGGTGGTACCCCGGCTAGCAGGTATTTGGGGGCAGTCAAATGGCAGCCTAATATCCAACTGCGCGGACTTTGACAATCGAATTTCGAGTTCTAAAACCCCTCGAGGCACCCCCCCGGAGCTATTTCGGCAAGGGCCATACGACGCGCTACGACCGCGCGCCGTGTACTATAATGTTGATAGAACGCAGAGTACGGCGCATAGTAACTACACGGTGGAGTGGACAAAGGCGGATACGACGTGGTATGTCGACGGCGGACGCTGGAGTATGCGGATGTGCTCGGCGGGGCGAATTACGCGCAGACGCCGATGCGGGTGAAGCTGGGGGGTTGGTATGGTATCCATGTGAAATCTGCCTTCGTAAAAAAGAAGTTGTGTCCTGTTTCATTCGTGCTCTGTTCCCAGCAACTCAATGGATGATGTGTACCGTCTAATGGTGAAGAAGGTAGTGCGAGAACGAGTAGACAAAGTGATCAAAACTCAATTTTACCTTTCCCAACCTGGGAAATGAAAATGCGCTCCATATCTATAAACTACAACATACAAGTAGCAGTATGCACACTAGAAATACAATGAACCCTATTCAACGAGTAAACTCTGCAACCTGGCCTCCGTGCTGATGACATCGAGAGCCTGGCGCACTTCCAACACCCTCCTGACCTCCCCAAGCCAGTCGCGGCTCAGCACCTTAGCCCACCCCTCCAACCCATTCATCTCTCGTGCGGCGCCGTCTAAGTCGCCTTCCTCAAGTAAGACCTCCGTGCGGGCGAGGACAGCCTCGACGTCCGCACCCACAGCAAGCCCAGATTTCTTGAAGAGGAACTTGGACATGGCCAGGCTGGCGAGATGCGAGGCGATGCCCGCGTCTTCGGGGAGCAGAGCAGCCTTGCGGACCTCGGCTGAAACGCGGCGGAAGCGATCGATGAGGTGTGCAGGTGTGGCAACTCCACGCTGGTATGCTGCAGGATTGATGCTGGCAATGGCGGCAGAAACGACTGGATCGTCTGAGGCGATCTCCTTCAGGGCTGCCAGTTCGTTAACAAACGGCGTGGAAGTCTCGGCATTTGCGAGCTTGGCTTTGACGGCTTCAACAGCAACCACGAGGTGTTGGGTCTTCAGGTTCGCGTCGATGACCGAGTTCCATTCCCATGTTAGCTTTTCTAGTTCCTGTACCGAGGAGGAGAGCTCATTGAGCTTGGAAAGCCGGCCGTCACGCTCTGACTCAACGCGGTCGCGGACAGATGAGCTGAAGGCCTTCTGTAGGGCAATGGACTGTTCGAGAAGCTCGTTCTTCACACGTTGTTCGTAGAGCTTCTTTGCTGCTTCCAGCTCCGAATCCAATTTGTGCTTATACGTCTGGGCGAGCTGCTCGCGTTCCGCCTCGAACTCGTCTTTCCAGTGGCTTTCCTGTTCGTGCATCTGAGCCTCAAGTCGCCGAACCAGCTCCTTGGCAGCTGTATCAAATTCCAGGTGAGCAGAGCGGATCTTGTCCTCGGCGGCCTTTTGTTCTTGTTCCTTGAGAGCTGTAATATCCGAGATGACTTTGCCGAGCTCCGATTTCGCTTTGTCTATCGCAGAGCTGTATTTGGAGGCAGCTGAATCGGCGTTGATGACGGTAATGAGGTCGTTGAGTATCTTGACTACGTCTTGAACCACAGGCTCCTTGGCAGATGGAATGTCCAGGTTGTCGATCATCTTCGCAGGAGTACTAGAAGCAGGCACAGGCGCAGGCGCGGGCGCAGGGGTAGTCTCCTTGGTATCCTTCACGGCAGCCTTTGGTAGCAGATCGTGGGTAAGAGACTCGGTTGGCTTCTCCGCGTCTAGCGGAGCTGTTGAACCAACTTTGGGGGTCTCCCCCGACGGATCGGGCTTCCTCGACTTGTCGTCTTCCAACGCGCTCACATGTGGTCCGCTCGACGACAAGTTGCTGCCACTCCCTTCCCCTTCGCCCGCAATTCGGGACGTCAGACCATGCTTGCTAGGAATTGTGACCTTCTGCTCGCCACTGAGCTGTGGGTGTAGTCGCTGCTGGACGTTTTGCCCAGGAAAGCGCTTGCGGTATTCGCGCTCCTCGAAGAATCCTACAGCATCCTCGCCAAAGGGTATGTACTCGGTGAAGAAGTCGTGGAAGTTGTCGGAAACGAGCGAATACCACACACCTCCAGCGTATCCCAGAGCCGACAGAATCAGCAATTGGAGCAGGAAGCGTCTGAACCGTCGCTTCTTCGGTTTCGGGGCGGATGGGGGTGGTGCTACGCTCGCGGAGCCTGTGCCGGTAGGGGGGGTGGTCGCGGGCTGGGCGACCGGAGCTGAGCGGACTTCTTGCGGTGTCGGGGGAGTCTTGGGAACCTCTGAAGCCGCAATTGTGCTTGCTGACACGCCAGATGGATTCGCAGGGCTCGTAGAGAGTGTCGGGGAGGGTATCTCGATGTTTGTTTTCGCGCTCTGGGAGCCGGGCAGGACCGTCTCGTCCGGCTTCTTGCTATCGGCGAAGAAGCGGTTGGCCACGCGCCATTGGAGAAGGCCAGCAGCGGGTGCAATTGGCCTTGTCCTTAGCAAAGAAGCGCGCAGCATGGTGAGCTGCTCCAGGGCGGATGAGGGGGGAGGACGTGGTGATGATGCTAGAAGAAACAAAGTTGAAGCTGCCGGGCTAGCGCCGCAGCATGGAAAAAGTGGCACACTCATCAAGCACTCTGTCTCGCGTGTACGCCTGCTTGCCACTGTCTGCGGTGCTTCAATGAGTTTCCACATAGTCCAAGGCGAAGGGGTTCTATCTCGTTCAGATGCCTGAAAATGCATTGAAGCACCCCAAGCAGTGGCAGACAGGTGTACACAGCAGACAGCTTGCTGTAGAATTGGAGTGCCACTTTATCTATGCCCCGCGTGAGCGCATGGCCGAGCTTCACCCATATACTAAATATCACGAGAATTGAGAATAAATAGACTTAATCGTGTTAGATTGTTGAAATCTCCTGGGTATCTAAGTTCTGCAGCTATTCTAGCAACATGGCAGCCATTTCCACTCAGCTTTCTAGCACATCAAGGGCACCGCCAACGAGGTGCAAGCTGCCTGCGATCAACACCATAACCTCACTTCTCTCCCACGATGCAGCAATCTTTCTCGACTTTGCAACAGCCTCTTCAATCGTCTTCACGACGCTGACCTCGGCACTGGGATCAATCTCGCTCCAGGTTGTTGCTAACGCGCGCTGCACAGCCAAGGTATCTACGTCGGCTTTATTGGTATTGATCGACACGAGATCAGGCTTGAACCCTTCGTTGAAGGTCTGATTGGTAGTGAAGATGGCATGCGTAAATGGAGAGGTTGATGTAGATAAAGAGCTCTGCAGAGTAGTATAAAGAGCACGCGCTAGAGCACTCGCATCGCGCGTTTGCTGGTTGAATATCAGAATTCGGGGTTTCCGTGAGCCTCCTTCGTTGGTAGATGGGATTGGAGAAGCTGAGATCTGCTCCGCGAACCAACGGCCAGACATCTCAATGCTGTCAAGCGTGTGGCCTCCGTCGATGTGCCATGCTATATTACCAGGAGCATCGTGGCGGACCTCGCAGCGTCCGGGCCAATTGACTTGCTCGAGACCGCGAATGAATTCCGCTGGCAGTGTAATGTGTGGTGTGGTTACTGGATCAGGAACATCGCTGTGTCCTAGAGCTCTTAAATGCGCTGCTGCTACGGCAATAGCCAGACTAGCATTTGTTTTCTGGAAGTCAGCAGCAAGCCCGAGCTTGATTTTGTTCAGCTCAAGGTCAGGATGTCGCTCCACAACCATCAACGAAGCCTGTCGCTCAGCTGCACGGTCCTTGAGTACTTTCAATGCTTCCTCGTTTTGTGGCACCGTGAAGGCGATGCTACCGGGCTTGAATATTCCAGCCTTGTGCCATGCGATCTCCGGCAACGTTGAGCCTAGCATAGCGACGTGATCTATACCTAAACTCGTTAGGGCCGTGACAGTGGGACTCGAAATGATGTTTGTGCTGTCGTATTCGCCGCCTATACCGCACTCTATGACTGCTGAGTCCACTGACTCCTCCAGGTACGCATGCAGTGCCATGAGCGTCAAATAGCGGAAGTACACCGGTTTCTCGGCGCCTGTGTGAGAGGGGTCCTCAGAAGTCTTGTCCAGTCTATCCCAGACCTCGAAAAAGTACTTCGTGAATAACTCCTCCGAAATGGGCTCGTTGTTTATCCGTATTCGCTCTCGCACAAAGCGGAGGTGTGGTGACGTGTAGAGGCCGACTTTGTGTAGCTTTGGGTTCTGCTGCTGCGGCGAAGGGAGGTATTGGGAGAGAATGGAAGAAATGAAGGCACTGGTAGATCCCTTCCCCTTCGTTCCGGCAATATGGATGATGTTCAATTTGTCCAGATCGGATACCTTGTATCCAATCCTCCGACACCACTCAATCATTTCGGGGATGGCTTGCTCATTCATTTTCTTGCCCGACTTCCGGATCGCGTCTACGACGGAGAAATTCGACTGCAGTGTATTCAGTGCTGCAACAGCAGCCTGCGACATCGTCAGCAAGTCCTCAGCCCGTATGTACGCCTTTCTGCCACTGCATGAAGTGCTTCAACAAGTTTCCACTTAGACCAAAGTGAAGGGCTTTTATCTTGTTCCAATTCCTGAAAATTCTCTGAAGCATACCAAGCAGTGGCAGGCAGGTGTACTCATGAGACAGCTTGTTGAAGGGGTACGTACACTGTAGTTTCGTTCCTCCATGATTGATACGGTGCTGAATCGGCGATGGGCTCTCTGGGTGCTTCGGAAGCACAAGATTCTGCGGGTTATGAACATGGACGCATGTTGTTGGATGTAGCACTGCGGACTTGGGATGTCCGAAAATCTCGGGCGTTGATGACGCATTGCCTCAGGCCAACATGATCACTAGCCACTAACAACCGCAAAAGACTGGCCCAGAACCTCTCTTCCGTCTTCGAAATAGACTGAGAGCACTGTGTAAGTTCCTACATTATGTGGACAAAAGTTCCGGATTTGGAGAAGCGGCACAATCGTCGAAACCCGACAATGGAGGATCTCAGCCTTGTCTCATTGCAAGCCTCATCTCCTTCTCATTCTCAACATTCTCCTTAATTGGTTCCGGATGTCTCAGTCATCAGCAACACATTACTACTCCGGAAATTCACCAGCACCATAATGCGTGTACATACAAAGCTTCGAGATTCAGGAAAGTATTGCAAGATTTGTTTTGTACTGAGAAAGTCTACGCAATATCTCCAGTATAAGTTCGGCACAGGCCAGGACATCTTCAAGGACCCTCTAACAAATGAAGCGCTCTCCTTAGTCCAGCAGTCGTGGCGGTGCATCCCGTCCAAAGTCCTCACGTGACCCTGACGGACAGCTCCGCCATCATACTCGAGATAGTTCGCACTCCACAACTCTGCCTCGCCAGCCTTGTGGCCTCACAATTGCAGCCTTCATCCCCCGAAGCCTGAAACGTGGCCCCCTCCGATTGAAGCCGCGCCTTCCTAGAAATAATGACGTGGTAAGCAAACCGTCGAACAGAGAACAGGGCACAGCCACACGCCTCGCGCCACGTGAGTCATTGCTACAGGCAGCACCTTTAAGACATGTCTCCCGCGTCTTCTCTTCGCAAATCTTCAATCTAGTTCTTTCTGTTGTTATCAGAGCTCTTTCGAATTCGTTGGTGGAAAGCACTGGTGGCGTCGTGATCTATCTATCCCCAACACATATCCACAACCGCACGTCCCCACAACTACGATTACATACTCCACAATACTCCCATCACAAGACCACCCACCCGTCTCAACCTCTCAGTCTCAAACCATGGACTTCCCATCCTCATCAGCCGACCTCCGCGCCCCCTCCATCCCCACCCAACGCCAGCACGCGCGCACCGCCAAGCTCGGCTCCGCAGCCCAAGTCGCATTCGCCATGTCCGACCTCCCGTCCCCAGAGGTCTCCCAGAGCAAACGCGGCACCTACACCCACCTCGCCGCCTTCATCCGCCCAGACGCCGGCAAGCCAAAGGATCGACGGGGCAGCACTGGCCTCTTCATGCGCCGCCACGCGCAGGGGAAGCACGGCCTGGACGACATGCTGGGCGACGAGGGCGTGCGGGAAGCGCGGTGGGCGCAGCGCGAGGCGGACATGGATGTCGAGGACGCCGTGTGGGCGCGGGCGTGCGAGGCGGAGTCCGAGAGCGAGGCGGGCGGGCAGGGGATGAGTATGGAGGATTTGGCGGGTGAGAGGCGGGAGGGCGGGTACGGGGGGTTGGTGGAGCGGGCGGTGAGCGCGAACCAGGAGCGGCTGAGGAAGCGGCTTGAGGGGGATGGGTGGGAGTTTGTGGGCGGGCGGTATGGGGAGGGCGAGGAGCTGGGGGTGGAGAGCGAGGGGAGCGAGGTGGATGAGGAGTTTGATGTTGTTGTTGTTTGTGTGGTGTAGTACTACGTGTAGTAATGGTGCGGTAGGGAGTCGAGCTTTGATTGTTTTGATACCCCGGTTTTTTGGGCTGCTGAAGAGATGGGTTGGAATTGGGTTCCTGTTTTTGAACGTTGTGTAGTGAAGGTTATCAAGAATCTTGGTGTTCTGAAATCACTTGAGAAGTTGTCGCAGTCCGCTTGAGGGCTCCGTTGAAATGCGTAGTAACTTAGTCGCTCTGCACTTCGGGCACTCGAAATCGAGGCAGTGAGAAGAAAACATTAGGAAGAAGACCGAACAAAGCTAAGCCAACGCAACTCTATATGACAGGCCGCCCCAGCAGCTGCAAACGGCGCCGGTTTTGGAGAAGACGTTGTTGCGGCCGGTAAAACTCCCGCTGGGTGCAAACCAAGGGTAGGAAGGAAGACTCCTCCTAAACCCCTCTGTATCTCACACTTTAGATGTGTTGACATGACCTTCACCGCAGAGTTGATCGCGCCCGTTGCATCACACTTCCCCTCGTTTCTGGCAATGATGAGTTGAAAAGTATTGACTGGGTTAAAGAAGACGTCACTAATGCCCCTAGCCGGCAGGCGGGTATTGTACAGCACCCACGTCTTGTACAACTCCCTCATCACCCCCGATATTCCCCCCCAACGCCCCACCCTCCGCCCACAACCATGTCCGAAACTCCGCCTCCCCGTCACTCGCTGGGCACAGCTCTCCCGCCTCAACAAGTCCTACAAGCTCTTCTTCGTCACCCTCTGCCTGCCACTGTTGCTCCTCGATCTCCCTTAAGCTCCCTAAGCGTCCCGCCAAGCGACAGCATTCCGCCCTATATCTCCGCAAAAGCTGCACCACAAGCTCCGGGCGCTGGGCGGCCCCCACGGTGTCCAAGCAAGACATATATTCCGCCACAAGCTCCGGATCCGTAGCTTCAAGAAGGCGAAGCTGCGCACGCAGCGTGCCCACAACGTGCTCCTGCGCGTGGATATTTTCGTCTAATTCTTCACAAAGCCTAGACACGCGGTGCTCAAGCTCGTCCACGCTGGGCACAACTACTGCTTCTTCTGCAGGGATCGGCTCATAGTCTGCGGACAAGGCCTGGGTAGCGTCGATATTGGCCTGTATGATGTCGCTCGCGGAAGGTTCGGTAGGCGTACTGGGATCCCCCACGCCCATCTCACTAAAATACTCGCGCTCCAGGGACTCACCCCGCAGAAAGGCATCCCGAGTGCTGGGAATTTGCACGCCATCGAGGCGGTAGCGAAATAGGCGATTCCAGGCATGAGTGGTGTCGCCACCCCTCAGTCCAAGCTCAGAACAGGGCTGATTTGGTAGGTACGAAAACGAGCCGGCGTGCTCCACGACTGTCGGTCTTTCAGACATATCCCAACGGAATTGGCGCTGACTCTCGTCGCTGATGATTTGGCTTAGTGTTCGATAGAGCCGGCCCTCCTCGGTGCCACTCCAGACGCCGCTCTCATGCAGGCACATCGCATACCAGTGGCGCTCGAATTGGGGCTCGAAGACCGCCCATCCGTGTGGGAGCCGTTCCGCGTGTAGGTACATGTTGTTATCGATATCCTGGAGGCAACAGGGCCGTTGGCACTCCCGTTCTTCCAAGCTGGTGTGTACGTCTTGATAAAACGCCCAGCTCTCTTGTCGTGATGGGAGGAGGAACTGTTGGTAGCAGTTGTAGGCGACGCGAAGGGCGTGGTTGACGGAGTGGCCACGGGCGTGTAAATCGGATGCGAGGACGGCAAATCGAAGAGGTATACTGAAGACGGCTTCCGCAAGGTCGTTGAGGCTGACAGGAGAGGGCATGGTTGGGTTCCGTTTGTAGCGTTGATTCCAATCCTCGTCGCTAGGGGCTGAGTTCCACGCTTCGTTGCAGGAAGATGGCGGGCAAGTGCAGTGAGCTACGACGCTAGATATCGTATGTCAACTTCGCCGTCTGAGGAGCTCAAATTGAACGGTGGAAGCAACGGATCGAAACTGAGTTGAAAACTGGACGCGGGGGAGCTTACGCCTGGTAAATGGGCCTGAGCCATTCAAGATCAGGCCGCTCAAATCTAGACAACTCCATGGCTTGGCGTCGCTGCGTATTCGTAACGATTGAACAGTATTGAGCGACTGCGAGATTATTGATTATGATAGCGATGGAATAGCTGTCTGTGCAGATGACAATGCGTGATAGGGCGTTGGTGCAACGAGGAAGGGAGAACGCGAGTTCAAGGCAAAACAATTGCAAGCAAAGAGCACCTTCCATGAGATGCGAGCCGTTCTTTATTTCGTCAATCGCAACCTTCGAAGAAGCAGTCGCAGAAACCACCGCCTGAGGTGGCCCAGCGAGTTTACCGGTTGTTCAAAATTACGAACATCCCCTTCGTTCGGATTTCTGAAAGTTGTTGAATCACCACAAGCAGTGGCAAGAAGGTGTACACACCAGACCTAGAACCCGAATTTCCCTTTTACGGCTGAACGCTGTTAGCACGCTGTTCTCTACGCACATCAATTGGTCAAAGACTTACCACCAAGAACCATGTTCCGCTTCTGCTTCTGCACGAATTTGCCCACGTCGTCTGCCCATCCCGCACTATTGCTCTCCAGTTTGTCCATCGAATCTCCGGCAAGGCCCAACTTTTCCGTCCTCTCATTGAGTTGACGCTGCAGATACGCCCCCCAAGCTTCATCTGATCCACCAGCTGCAGAGCTGGATGCAGTATGCGGTCCTCGAGCGTCAGCACGTCGTTGTTGCTCGTCGGCTCGTGCCTGCATTAGCATTCGTTTCGAAGGTGGGCGGTCTGGTCCACCAACTATGTATGTTGTTAAGATCAAGTTTCCTCATATAATGTGAGACAAGTGAAACCTACTAAGCAAATCCATGTCCGATGGAGTGATGTACTGAGTTCCAGAAATCCATTGCAGATTCGAAATTGTAGGCCTCGGGGGGATGGTAAGTTGTGGATTGAATAAAATGTCTTTTGATTGATTACTGAGATCTATTAGCGTGGTGATAATGTTGTGGGTCGGGTGTACAAACAGTTTAAGCCCAGTGCCAAACACATTGACCAAGGCCATCTCCGCAGGCCCTTTCCATGCTAAGATATCTCCCGTACTCGTGATATTTGCCTCGGAAAATCGGCGAATGTCGAGAGTGTCGCTCAATTTGACGGATCCAATTTCTTTCAGAGCCGGGATGGAGTAGGCTCTGGCGTATCCGTCGCCAAAAAGTCCAAGTAAAGCATAACCCATCTCTTCGTACCGAACGACGGCGGCGGAGTCACATAGAACTGAGTCAAACGTTTTATGAGCGCCTCTCTGCGCCGCGGGCTTGAACAATCGGACGCCGGATTGCGTGACGGCGAGCAGCACACCGTTCACTTTGATTCCGCTTCGGAGATTCGACACTGCTCCTTGCGATGCATGCGCAGGCCGGCCTGTCTCAGCAGTGAGGGGCGCGATTCGGATTACCCTGTCATCGAGGGAGGATGAACCGGCAAATTGGACGGAATATCGGCCGCTGGAATCCGGAAGAAGCTTGAATGTAGCTATTTGGCCTAGATTTGTACCAACATGGAGGAGAATGCTCGAATAATCTACAAAGCGTTAGTCTAAACCAAAGAAATACTCCGCTATTCTTACCATCACCATCAAGAGTCATGACCTGTGAACGTTAGCTGAGTTCCAGCAAGGCGACTAGGTAAGGTGGCATACGCTGAACTCTAGTGTTGTTGGCCACTGAACTTTTGCGGCGCCCTGACTACCGCTTCTTCGGAAGCTTCCTCGCTTGTCGCTTTTGACGAAATCTTGTACATTGGCACTGTAGATGATTGCCGGACCGCGAAGGTCGATGACCGACAAACTGCCACCTTCAAATCCAGCAGCCACGAACCCCACATCGGACATCTTCAAAGCCGAAACCGGGCCATTCTGTTCGTTCAGTAAGGTGAACGGAAGAAGACCTTCTGTCAAAGCTGGGTCCTGCCGCTCAGTGATATTGGTTAACTTCTTTGGAGTATTTTGAGTTGGCGGTGGAGGTTCTCTTCCAGCATTTTTGTTGTGTCCCCATCTGAACATAACAACCTCGCCAGTCTTCAGCCCAACAGCCAATTCTCCAGTGGCACCAGAAAGAGAGACGAGGGCGACATCAACAGCGTCGTAACGGCCGACTGCAAGATTGACGTTGGCTTGGAGAAGAGCTTCGTTCTCAATCTCATCTCCGTGTCCAGCATCCCATAATCGGATTGTGCCATCTGCATGAGCGGTCTGGACTATGTTTCGGCTCTCGAAACGCTTCAAAGGATGCCTAGCTTCGGCGCCTCCCCTGAGTATAGGTGGTCCATGTGCCCTTCTTTCAGTCATTCCCAGCCACCTTGTTCGCTCGATTGGAGCTAGATTTGCGTGTGTGATGAACGGGTGGACGAATGTCATTGAAGGGTGAAGCTGGTTAGTGGGCGATATGGGCAGGCCACTTGGAAAGCTTAAAGTGATAACTTCGCCGGAAGAAAGCAGGGCCAGCACAGCAATGGGATCATGTGCTCCTGCGAAATGTGGGGACGATCGAGGAATGAGGCAGAAGTCTACCACTTCAGCGTTGGCAGGGGTAGGTAGAATTCTTTGGCGCTTCGGCGACTCGAAATGGTCTGATAGCACTTGCCATGATGATGTCGCGTACACAGGTGTGCGACCGAGCTCGAGTAAAGTGAGTCCTTTAGTAGGCAATGTAGTTGGAGCACCACCAGAAAAGAGGATAGCTGTGTCGTCGGGATCCTGGTTCGCGCACCAAGCGATCCGGAAAAGAGGTGCCTTGAAAGCGAAAGTCCCTGGGGATACTCCATGAGTGGTGCTTCCTCCACCTGGTTTGTCCACGTTTGTGTCGGACAAAGTCCTAGCCATGACGACCCGTCCGTCTTTTGGATCCCAGAACACAAGACTGCTATCCTCATGCCCGGTCAATATGAAGGTGCCAGTGGGATGCCAAATCGCTTGTGTTAATGCCGGCTTTCGGGCCATGTTGATCGACGAGGGATCCGAGTCCCCGCCTGGCGCACCTCGAGGTAGCTCATACTGAAAGGACTTCAACACCTTATTCTGCTTGAAAGAGTATATGACGGCGCCGTCGCTATAGCCGATTAACAATGTGCCGATGTCTCGTGGGTGGAAGGAAATAGTCACGACGGGTGTAAGCCGCGCTCGAGGGTTCTGTTCTCGCCAGAAGTTTGGGATCTTGAAAGGCGCAAGGTTCTCGCGGTCGAGATCGTAGGCCAGTATGTCGCCTGGAGCTAGCTGTGAGCGCTTGTCAAAGCCACGAAGGAGAAAGAAATGTACATACCCGTTTGTGTCCCCAACAGCACGTAGTCGAGTGTAGGGTCGCTGTGCACGGCGGAAATCTTGGCGGGAGGGGAGTAGGAGGCAATGAGCTGCTTTGTCTCTAGAGAGAATATGGAGAGATCGTTCTTCGCATCCAGGCAAATGATCTTGTCGCCGCAGAACTGCAGGATCCTCACCGAGGCCCGGCGGGGCAGTGGTAGTACTACGTCGATGCGCTGCTGTCCGAAGACGTAGATCTGGCCGGCTCCAAACTGGGTTTCATTCGTCCCTACAGCTAGGAGGGCTTGCACGGGGTCGTAGGCTATCTGGGATATCTGCGAGTTGATACCGAAGCGCTTGATCTGGTTCCAAGTCAGTGCTGACGGCGGGCATGCGGGGACTCGGAAAGCATACATCGTCCAGGACAAAAAGATGAGGTCCTAGGCCGGCGGACAGGTCATTCTGGATACCGGCTTGCTTTCCGCGTAGGAGATGCGCCATGACGTGAGTGATTGAGCATTCTTTGAGGTGTCGATGACAGCTGAAGAAGATGCGCAAGCTGCGGAGGGGTCCCCGCAACGTCACAAGCCCAGTCGCGTTTCAGCCTCAGGAACGCGTCCCTCCCACCAACCTCACCTCCCACGCCTCCTTGCCTTGCTCTGCGGAGTCACCATCACCTGTCTGCAATCTTGGTATATTGAAGGTCCAATTCACGCCGCACGTAGAAATTCATCTTTGATGAGACCTTTGCTTGGGCTGGCTCGGCCGAGCTGCCTACGCCCTCTACGGAATGCCCTCTACGGACTCGCCCTCTACGGACTCGCCCTCTACGGACTTTCCGTCTACAGCCTCATCACGCCCGAAGGGAACCGCGAAAGCATGTACTAACGGCCTTCATCTCAGACCGCAATACCAAAGCGATGCGCCTCCTGCTCTAAATTCGTTACTGTCGTTCAGAAATGGTGACAATATTGAGTGAACAACGACTGCTGTTCGGGAGCAGGGGAGGTACCGAGGGTTGAGTGAAGAGAGAGTAGGGGGTCCGGAATCCCTTCCAAGCTTTAAAGTACGGTGACAAAGCTCACTTACACCTTTACGCCACCTCGGACTTTATACGGCAATGAAAGGTTCAACAAAGCCTGCCTAGGGCGGCCATAATGCTAGTAGCTTGCTTGTTCTCCTGTTAATTATTTTACACGAATCACCTCAGTGAGAGGAACGTTGCATGAAAGACACAACCATAACCCCAAATTTTCATTATTACTAGGTAAGTTACTCTACCAAAGAAAACAAGCATTTCTCTTTCCTTTTCAAATTAACGGTCCCACCTTTCGCCCTTCGCCTAGTCGGGATATGAAGTGCCATCCCAACTGTTACGACTTGACTTTTGAAACCTGCGTTTCGAAGAGGACGCGATTGACAAAAAAGAGAAAGGAAGAAAGCAAAGACTAATACGAAAACCCTCCTCTTGCCTGCAGGCCGAAAACCTCTTCCTGCCTGCAGGCCACTCCATCCGATCCAGACTCATATACCCGTTGGAGCGAGGAAAACTTCAATGATCTGGACCAAGTTCGTCTTGTGTCGGGAACTTTTTTTCCCAGTCTCTATATTCGTCGATCAGCGTGCCAGTGAAGAAGGCTCCAACCCCAAAGACAGCACCGATGATCATTCCTAGATGTTTCATAACGCCACTAGGCTCAGGTTTTTTTGCATCGCAGTATTGGAACTCGCCAGCACCCTCAAATGATTTCGCATCGGGCTGCCTGACGAATTCCCCAGGCCTCTTGAAAGGGGCTTCTCTGTAATTTAGTTTCTTTTTACAGTCTTTCCAGAAATCCTTATGCTCGAAAATACCCGTCGCTTGGATGAAAGGATTGCTTTCCTCAGGATTTATCTCGTTGACTGGTGGCCCCTTGAATTTTTGCCGGATGTCAAGCATGCCAGTTCTGCAAGGGAAATTGTTTCTTTTGCCGTTGTCCTCGACAAAGATCTGTCCGAAATATGAAAATGCGACAGGGATGTTGAACATGTAACCGGCCGAAATCCCGACTATTGATTCGTCCAAAGCGTGGGCTGCCTGGTCGGCCCAATTCGTCATCGCATTTTTTGTCCTATTTCCGTGGGCGGGATTGTAGAAAGCCATGTGCTCATAATGCCAGTAGGACTCGCGCACGACATCCTGCAGCGCCCACGATTAGTTTAGCAAAACATTATGAAAACTAGATAGCCTCACCTCTTTCGTAACATTGCCGTGCAGCAGATGATCAAATCCAGGAGGAGGCATTACGATGCGGCTTTTCCCCTTTTGCATGCGGATCCTGTCAAATTGGATTAGCAGGGACCCGTAGAGTTTTGGGAAGCCGAAAATACCAGTAGATACGGAAAAATAATTCCTTGTACTCCTCTAAGCACACGGACGTGGGGTGTTCCTTGGTTTCCCTTTCTCCTAATGAGCCTCTCATATCCTCATATCAGACTCGCAGTCCTGTGTCGGTGCAGCGACAATGTAGACCTGTTCTCTCCGCCAAGCCCAATTCAGAGCTAATCCCTCTAGAAACTTATCAATGGTATTGCTAATTTCAGAAGCTGTGTCTGGTGTGGGTTCGAAATAGAGCCTGTTCGTCGCTCGTCAGTAGCTACTAGAGCAATACTAATTTAGACAGAACCATTACCCCGTTTCTATCTCATCCACAAGGTCCTCTCCAGTCTTCAAGAAACGTTTTCCAATCTCCATTAATTTTTTTTCAAACTTGTCAATCATATCGTTGATTTGTTTTTCAAAATCCCCTTCAGTGTCATGGACCAGATTGCTTAAACGTTTTAGTGACAAGTCTGGTCAGAGTCGGTGAATACGTACGAGACCCCGTTCATCAAGGCTGATCTGATGCCTGTGCCTGCCGCGACAATTGAACCCATCCCACCCATAATTTTATTAGCCCTGTTGATGTTCGTAGTTACCTGCCTCACTTTCAGAAGTTTAGCACCACCCTCAGTAATTAGTGCAACCAGGCCCGCAGTATAACTGGTACCAACCGCTGGGAGAGCAACGCCTGCGAAGATAGCATTCATCAGAAGCTGCAAATCCCCGTTCGCTTTAAGAATCCCCTCAACCTTGTCGTTGGACGTTGTCTACTTGGCAATAAGCGTCTTGCTTTGGGTTGACCATTTCATAAGGCCGTGCCTAACTTCGCTTCGGATACATTGCACCCGAGTTATCAAGACGTCCAATACTGTGAAGAAGTAGAACGCGTTGCGGAGGTCGTCGTCGTTGTAAGGTCCACTTTGCCTTACCACGTTACAATCAGGTGCCTGCTTCGAGTTAGCTTAGCTCAGGGTCGCGACTTGAGGCAAAGGTATGACAAACATCGCACTCCGACATCATATCGCAATTCACCTTAGAAAAGGCTGCGTCGGGCATGTATTTTCGTCTGACAGAAGGTATGAAATCCAGTTTGCTCGAAGATTGTGATTGTTCCCAATCATTAATCTCGTTTCTCACCCATTCGGATCCGTTGCTAGCAATCCATGCGGCTTCGGAATAGGGCTGCCAGCCGCAAGGCCCGGTACTATTAGTATAACTGGGGTCTGCTGCCGCGGAATTGGTCGTGTCGATTAATAAGTCGGACAGTCCGTCCCAGAACCCTTGCTCGAACGTGTAAGAAACTTTCTTGATAATAGGATGGTCATGGCCATATGCTTCTGTGTCAGACGGATATGCATCGACGTTCTCCTTCTGAAAAAGGTTCATAGCTTCCTTGACGCCATCTGTGTAGTCAGGACTGGTATTCCTACTCGCGTTGATATTCAGGCTGGTATAATCATCCTTAGCCAGATACCAGCCTTCTTCATAAGCTTCACTGTGACCTTGGCTTGGGTTTCCTCCTCTTTGGCGCCTATTGACAATTAACCACATTTCTCATATCGACCTCAGGAGCAATAGATTCCAAGTTTATCACACTTGTATCTAGATCTCTCTAAACTTGCAGTGCCACTCGAGGTGGGCTCTGGACCTGAGGTAGAAGTGACAGAAGCAGAGGTAGGCGATGTCGGCTCGGCAGTAGACAATGCGGAGGTAGACGATGCGACCTTGGAAGAAGACCATGCTGTGGACGACGAGGCGGGGCTTAAAGATGACTTAATTTCCGTCTGTAAATGTCGAATAGGGAAGATAGCTAGCTAACCTTGCACCGGCCGAGAAAATCCAGCCCCTTGTTGTCGGGGCAAGATGTTCGCTGTAGCAATTTGTACAGTAAGGCCCACCACAAGAAATTTCATGAAATCCCAGGAGAACCGACGAGGCAAGGCCTTCATCTTGACTAGGTCTCTCAATAAGCTACCTCGTGATCGGAGATTGAGTGGGAGGATAGATGAAGTGAAGGGCTGAAAGGTAATAGGCTGGGGATGGATGGATGGACGAACTGGAAGAGAGGTCAATAAACAGAGGAAGTACTTTTATATACATGCTGGTGGATTCATGTCGTATAACATAGGATTAAAAAACACGGATAGATGATGGAGGATGATAAGACGCAAATTGAGTTCCCTAAGATGCTAGAGCTTAGTTGCAAAGAGCACCGTGGATGAAGGGGGGATATTGCTGGTTAGCTAGAGAGAGGCCCAATGGGCGAAAGAGAGATATGAAAACGCTCAGACTGGATGACGACTTCTCCGCCGTTACGTTCGTGGGGAAGTTTGCAATATCATCCAACTTAGGTCGCACAAGGCCCTCGAGAACTTTGCAGGATAACGCCGTCTGGGGTAGCCCGACAAGCTTTCCAAATCGTTCATATCATTTCTTACGGAACATAGATTCATAGCGGCAATTACGCTGCCAGCGCGAGAATATCGGTGTCTGATCTAGAAGGGTTTGCGACGTCAAAACGTATATTTTTGTAATCCCTATCAAATCCTGGACGGGGTGTCCTTTTCCCTCCAAAATTATCTGTGTATGGCAGGTCTGGCCACTATAGTCTCCCCACTCACCGCTCGTATCGTCTTAGAGAATCAGGGGTCTGCAATCCTCAACAAGGCTTGCTCAAGTTGCTTTGGCTTCATGTTCTTTGCTGTTGGTAGAACGGTCCTGATATATATGCTTCCCCTTCGTGAAAGATGCTCTCTCGAGTTCCCTGAGGCTGGAGGATCTTGGATCGCGAGGTATCGGTTAGGACTAAGTCAGGAGCTCAGACGTTGGGACAGGGCTTCTGTGTACCTCGGTAAGTAGCTGACAATATGACTTTCCGAATGGTTGACGATGTGGAACACTGATACCGAGGAAGGGGGTTAGACTCAAGCCTCTCCAGGTTGACGGACTCGTAGCATGCTCCCGGCTAGCCTATTCTAAAGTTACGACAAAGCTTCGCCCAGGAATCGCGGCTCGCGGCATGAGTGCTATTGATGGCCTTCGATGTTGTATTTCAGTACTGGCCATCTAAGGCCAGGTTCTTTAGCCTTAGGCATTAGAGCGTCGGGTCGGAGAAAACGATACTCTAGCGTATGATACTGAGCTATTATTCGACGGAGCACTCTAGGCCAACCTTGGAAGCGGGATAGCGACTCAACAAACATGGCCGTGCAAGTATAGAATGTTCAAATGCTTCCATCGATCATGCTGCCCGGAGATGTTCGCCACAACTGCGGCACGTTGGTTGAAAGCTTAGCGGCTTGACCCAGAAAATCTAGAGCTATTCTACTAGATAACCTTGTTTATAAGTCTATCTTGTGGTATATTTACACATTTGCAAAGCTACATTTTCTAAGTATAAATCAGAGATAAGAACAAAGTGGATAGCGAGAAGGAAGCTTCCAGATGGGCCGGATTGTCATAACGTTATGTCCAAGACCGAATGAACAAAAGATGGCCGTCTCGAGTGTTCGAGTCGTAGGCGCATAGGCTGGCTAGACAGGGTCGATGATCATGATTCATGATCTCTTACCTCGACGATGGCGATGTATTTACGATGAAGATGACAGCTAAGACCCCTCTGAGCTCGATGACTTCATTCAAATACATCACACTACATCAAAATCACTGCACGCAATCATGAAAACCCAAAAAAGACCACCAGTTAGCAATACCAAGGATCTCAGCTCTCATTAACAGCAACAAACTCTAGAGACAGATAGGTAGGTTGTGTCAGGGTACGAAAGGTGAAGGTAAAGCAAGCCACCACTACCCACCCCTCCCCCTCCCCTTCACGCCTCAAACACAATAGTCACCAATCACCAATCACCAAATCTGTCCCTCACTTCCTCCCGATCCCGAGTCCAAAGCTCCACCAACTTCCCTTCCTTCCAACACCCTCTTTGACTTCCTTGGTCTTATCACTCTCCTCCCCTCCGTCCCCATCTCCCCCATCTCCCCAGACCTGCTCCGTCGCCTTCCGTCCTGGAGAGGTTGCACGCCCCACGTCTTTCCGCTGTAGATACGATCCAGTGGCCGGGTCCGGCGTATCTCTACGTCCGAGAGACTTCGACGGATGTCCTGCTGCAACTTTGAAGGAGCGCTGGGCGGCGGGTGGCGGCGTGAAGGCAGAGTCTCTTCGCTGGAGATGTGGCGAGGGCGCACTGGAGGTGTTCGGTCTGGGGGATCGAAGAGCCGGCTGCGCATGGTTGAAATCTTGACCCGAGAGGCGTCTGTTCCATGCGACATTGGATGGCTTAGGGGCTGTGGTCTGTTCCTGATTGCTATAACCCTGGCCGCTGGCGTCTTGAGACCCGTTTGGGGACGCGCGGGAGGGAAGGGTCGCGCGGAGTGCGGGTTGGGGCTGGAGGCGTGAATGAGTTGCTGGAGTTGGCGTTGACGACGGCGGGTCCGAGTTCGAATCTGAGAGGGACGCAGTGGTTGTCGCCCAGCTCGACTCTGTGCGATTTGCTCCTCTTGATTCTGACGCCATCTTTTCCGCCGCTGCATGCCGACTCGTCCCCTGTCTAGACTGTCCAAACGCTCCCGTTCCATGCGTGCTCTGTGCATTCGCGCTTGCTCGCGCTGACGGGCCTTGCTTGTTGTCGATTCCTGATCCTTCATCTGCAGATAGCTTTCCCGCTGTGCCTGAAGGACATCGTTCGTACGCGGGGGGACGAGGCTTTCCGTGTCCTCTGACTGCTGGTACATCCAAGGAACTTTCACTTCTGAGTAAGATCCCTTGCGAGGAACGGTCGGACGGAATACTGGTGTTTGGGGCCTTTCTTCTGAGCCAGGCTGCGAGTGATGTACGCTGGCGGTGTGATGCTGAAGCAGAGGGACCGTGAGGTGCGTTTGATTCCGAGCCTGTCTCTGTCGGTTCTGATCGGGGTCCCAGTTCTGTCGAGGTTGGGGACCCTGGGGCGCCTGAAGTTTGGTCTGGCGCACCTTCCTTCGCCGCTCTTGCTCGCTCTCCCGTAGACGACGAATACGATCCTTCGGCAGATGCCCCACCGTTTGGGACTCCGATTCTCTTGAATGTCTCTGCAGCGGTGTAGTATGCTGATCGGAGTTTTGGGGCGTCCTCTGCCGATGATCCCGACGACTCCGAGCGACTTGATCTTTGGGCAGATGCTCTCTTGAGGGATAGTCTCTGGGCATACGACCGTTGGATTTTAGGTCTGCAGTATGAGAAACTCGAGGAACTCTCTGCCGGTGCACGTACTTCCCCCTGTGATAGTAGTGAGCGACCCGGTCCTGGGCCCCAGGTTGATAATCTGCGTCTCCATGGATCTTGTGTTTGCGACTCCGATGCTTCAACTGCCCGTAATGGATTGGCCGATGGAGCTGAGGCTTGGATAGATGATCTGTGCCTTGTTGCTGCCACTGATAGTGGTCCTCGTTGGATTCCCCTGAAGCCTTGTGCCCTCGGGACCATGGTTGACGATCTTGCTGGCCGTTCTTCCTCGAAAGCATCATCGGATCCGTCGACTGCTTTCCGGTAACCTGCTGAACTCGCAGCCTTCGTCGCGTTCTCCAGCTCATGCCAGGAACCGGCATCCCCAGCACTCTTTGCTGGCGTCTGAGCTGCTTCGTTCTCCTCTCCTGTCCCGCTATCCCTTGCTGACGTGCGCTGGATTGACCACGTTTCTTGAAGCGGCGGAACCAGCAGAATCTTCGGCGTCTTGCAGGTTGCGCTACCCTCTTCTGATGTACTCGTTCTCCCCGTTGAAGAGCGCCAGTATGACGCTGTGCCTTGACGCGCCTGAGCCCGAGCCATCTGACACGACCTGATTTGGAACTTGGTTCCAGCTTTGAGACATTCATCTTTACCAGGCCCGCGCCAACTTGTTTCCTGTGGCGAGAAAATATCCACAGCCTGCACTTGCGAGCGCCTCCTCCTTTGCCTTCTTGTGTCACTGTCACTCTGCGGATACGCTTCCTGCTCCCCTTCAGGTCCACGGGCTTGACGATATCCACGCTCTTCCTCCGACAAGAAAAGAGCCACAGCCTGTACTTCCGAGTCTCTCCCGCTTGGCTTTCTAGCATCATCTTGTACTTCTGGGTTTGTCTCGGGTCGACTTGTATGACGGTTCCAAGATGACCAGTCCTCTGCGCTTTCTGGACTCTCCTCCTGAAGCCCCGCAATGCGAGGGGGTTTCGGGTGACCCGTCGCCGCACGAAGAGGTGGCGATGCCCCCAACCCATCAAATGACGCCGGTTGGTAACTAGTGGCTTGACGCGACGGAGGTTTAGAGCGAATAGGCTGCGACGTTTGGCCCTGAAGGGACTTGCGACGAGAGCGGTCACCAGTGGCAGTCCGGGTTGTTGGAGTTCTTGACGGCACAGGCACCATCTGCGCTTTTTCAAGGGCAGCTGTGCTTTGGTGACTGGTCGTGAGGCTTCGGATCGTCGCACTTCTTGACGGCGCCTTTTGTGTTTCTCTGGGGGCTGCTGAACCTTTTCGACTTGCAGTTCGGATCGTTGCACTTCGTGATGGTGGTGCCGATGGTACTTTTTCTGGAGCTGCTGTGTTTTTTCTTGACCTTTGTTGCGTTCCCCCAGGAGCACTTCCTGGTGCTTGGCCTGGTGCCGCGTCTTGAAAGGGCTCCTTGTCCTGTGGCCGGTCACGGAAAGAAGGCTTCCGCGGGTGTTCGCTAGGTGGCTGCTGGATTGGCTGTACTTCGGGTTTGGCCCATGTGGGAGTATCGCGGATAGGATAGTCCGGTTGGTTAGTCTTAGTTTTTCGTCTCCTGGGAGCCATTTCCAGCGGTATGGGAGGTCCAAGGGACGACGGCTCGCGACCGAGATCTTCCGTTGGAGCTCTAGACTGCCTCCTAGGTTCAGTGGTAGGTTCAGTCTCCGCCGGCATCGTAGCCTGTCGTTCGACTTGGGTTGCCTCCTGAGCCGGTGGAGTCCTCAAGGATTCCTCGGTGGGTGGCGATTCAGGATCATGGAACTCATCACTCTCATCGGCGGCTTTCTCAGGAGGGGATGGATCACCTTGGTATACATCGTAGGGCGCAAGCGAATCGTCGAGTATGGATTGTCGAGACTGTGCAGTTTCAAAAGACTCCGTTTCTGGCTCTGCCACAGTAGCAGTAGGGACTCTTTTAGGCTTTCGCGATAACACATTCGTTGCACGCCTTGATGGAGCCTCAGCGCGAGCGGTAGGTTTTCTGGATACGATCATACTCGACTGTCGGCTTCGAGACGCCGGAAGATGTTCTTCCACATTGACATCGGCGGTACCGGATTCCGGAGGAGGCTCTGCTGGTTGCTCCTCGGGCGGAGAAAAAGTCGTCGCTCGTCGAGAAGCTGCCGTCGGCTGCCTAGAAACTATGGCTGAGGCCTCTCTGGTAATTGGAGCGGGTTCAGATTGCTCAGACTCCTCTTCTTCAAGCTCGGGCTCAGCTGTGACGTCTTCTTCGAAAGTTGAAGCGCGGCTAGGTCCTTGAGAAGTTGTTTCTGAGGGGAGCTCTGGTGGCGCGGCGATTGGCGTTTCTTCTTCGTCGTCAAACCAGTACTCGTCGATTGGCTCTGACTCGACAGTCTCTTCACTCAAAGTCGACTCAAAGGTGGATTGGCTGGAGAGCGGGGCAGGCTCATCTTCAATGACTTCCTCACGAGTAGTTGGGACACGAGTAGGCTGCCGTGAGACCTTAGTGGCGGCTCTCGGAGGTAGAGGAGGAGGTCGATCTTCGATTGCGGGTTCTTCGTAGACTTCCTCATCCGAAGAGTCAGGCACTGCAGTCTGGTCCTCCTCAACTGCCCATGTCTCATCTTCTGGAAGCGTATTCTCTTCCACCTCGGACTTATTTTCCGGCTCCGGCTCCGGCTCACGTACGGCCTTCTTGATCCTCGAATATGGTGTAATGACCTTCGGGGAAGGAGTCTCGCTCTCGTTTTTGACCGTTGGCTTCCTCAACACAGCTGTTGGCTGTCGTGGCACAATAGTGGGTGTCTTGGATACCGCTGTTGGCACCCGAGATACAAGAGTGGGTTGGCGAGACGCGACTGTAGGCTTCCTGGAAACTTGACGCGTCTCATCTACCTCTGAAATTGGGTCATCTATCACGGTAGGCTTTCGAGAAACGGCTGTTGGCTGATGAGACACGACCGTGGGCTTCCGGGACACTGGAGGCGTCGCCTCCAGTTGCGGACCTAGTTCCTCATACGGAAAGGTAGGCTGACGAGATAGCTCTGTTGGCTGGCGAGATGCGACGGTTGGTACTAGTGTTACCACCGTAGGCTTTCGAGACACTGAAGGCGTCTCTACTACCACCTGCGGAGAAGCCTCTTCGAATGCGGTTGGCTGTCTCGAAACCGTCGTTGGCTTACGAGATACGACAGTGGGCGCTCTAGAGACTACTGTAGATTTCTGAGAAACTACAGGCGTTTCTTCTTTCGCGGTGGGCTGACGTGAAACCGCTGTTGGCTGCCGGGATATCTTCGTGGCTTTCCTGGACACGACAACAGGCTTTTGAGAGGCAAATCCGTCCTCGACAACCTCTGCGAAAATGGGAGTATCCGTAGAGGTTCGAGTTGGCTTCCTTGAAACAGCAGTGGGCTGTTTGGACACCGCTGATGGCTGTCGAGGTGGCAACCACGGAAGACGAGAGCGTCCCGTGGAGGCACGCCGTGGAGGTTCGGGGCGTTCGGCATCGAGGACTTCGCTGATTTCCCTTTCAACGGGAGGACTTGTATCGCGCCGTATCATGGCAGGGAAGGATGGTTCTCGCTCCAGCGCCTTCACTCCCTGCTCGGATGGGAGGTCTTCCAGAGATTTGAGCTCATCAAACTGACTGCGTTCTGAGGGAGGCGAGTTTACGAACTCAGAACTCGACGTATCGGAGGCGAACTCGTCCTCAAGCTGTTCTTTGGCCATCTCGATCAGAGTCGGAGTCTTGCTAAGTGCTTCAGGCTCTGCATTACCCTCGGTATACTGTTCGACGAGCGACTCTTCGCTGATATCGCCTGGGCCAGGTGTTGCTGTCGCAGGGGTCGTCGTAGCTCGTCTTACTACCGGCGGAATCGATTCGTCAGAAGAGGCTCCTGAGTCGGAAACATCCAAGTCCAACGCCACTTGAGTAGGAATTGTAGGCTCTCTGTCCAAGACGCTAGGCACTTTCTCTAACCTAGTTGGTTCTCGTTCCAACTTGGTAGTAGCACGTCTGAGAAGCTCGAATTCAGGAGCTTGGACCAGAGTAGGTTCTCTCTCGACTTGCGTTGACGTTCTTGTAGGTACAGTAGGGCTCCTTTCAAGCTTCGTTGTAGCACGGCGAACAGGGACATGTAGCTCCGGCTCGGAATCGTATGTCATCGGCGACTCTGATAACGGTGCTGATGCGACTCCTTCGGACCTGGAACGTCGGGAATCCCTTCTCTTAACTATAGAGAGTCTTCGAGTTAGTTGCCTCGAGGCTTCTCTCTGGGTGACCGTGTCTGTATCAGTCCGCCGTCTCGTTGGCTGCTTCGACAAGGGAACTGTGTAGCTATCCAGATCAAGCGATTCATCGGTGGTTGGCTGTCGTGAGACTTTCGTTGGCTGTTGTGAAACGGCTGTTGGCTGTCTGGAGACGATGGTTGGCTGCCTTGAGAACACAGTTGGCTGTCTAGAGACAGTAGTTGGCTGCCGAGAAACAACTGTAGCTTGTCTCGAAACTACTGTTGGATGCTCCTCTTCAGGCACGACCTCCGACTCGGCCTCTGGCGGAGTCGGTGTACTTGATTCGGGTTGCTCCACTTCTGAAGAAGAGGAAGAGGATGCAAAATCTTCCTCGACGTCTGTTGAATCCGTAGAACTGCTCGACTCCGTAGAAGTATTTGACGAGGACTCTTCCTTTCGGACCAGCATCTCGGTGAAATTGTCTGACGGCGATGGCGTTTTGTCGGGGACAATCAGCCTGATCTCGACAACCTCTTCCCTTCCCGAAGTAATCTCATCCTTCATGTCTTCAGAAAGAGACATGAAGACGTCACGTCGCATTCGGTACATGGAAGGAGTACTGGTAGAGGTCTCGGAGCGGGATAACTGCCTTGCTGGCGAAGGTGCCACCTCTGTCAATGGGCGCGTGATTGATCGTGTAACCTGTCGAGATACCGGTTCTGACGCGGGAACTTCAACAAGAGGCGTCTGTGCAGGCTGCTGTTCGGTGGCTTTCCGCGTAAATGTTCCCGTGACCTGCCGGGATACGGACTTTGATTCAAGGACCTCCGTTGAAGGTTCAGATGACGAAGATGAAGTGGCCACGATAACGGATTGTTTGCGGCTAGACGGTGCAATTTCCCGGAAAGTGGAAGCTCGACGAGACTGTACAATAGGTTGGACCGCAACGTCGTCGCTCGAGCCCCCGGATGGCGAAGAAGTCAACCGTAAAGTTTCGTAATAAGTTTGGTCTTCCCCAGGTACTCTGATTTCGACAACAGTCTCCGGCTCTGATTGATTAGTTTCTTTTTCGGTGCTTAGTTCGCCTTCTTGATCCTCAGCCGTCCCTTCGTCAAGAACTTCGTCCTCGGCCGATTCCTCTCCAGCCGATTCTTCACGGCTGGATGCCCAGTCTTCCTCGGACTCTTCCTCTAACTCCTCCTCTTCCTCATATTCCTCTCCGGAGGATTCGCTGCTGGATGATTCCAAATCTGGCTCGGATTCCTCCTCTTGGCCATAGTCTTCTTCGATGTTGCTTTCTTCAGAAGAAGACGACGAAACCAACGAAGCTGAACTCGGAGTAGAGGCAAGTTCAGTGTCGACCCTCGATATAGGTTCTTCGGACACAATGGAAGTTCTGCGCCTGGCCGGAACTCTACTAACAGTCTCGAGCTCTGGTTCAGCCTCCGTTATGGCAGCTTCAGGCGACGGGGCTCGCATGGTGGCGGCGCGAGATTTGACGGAGCTCTTCCGGCGAGTCGGCTGTCTCGATAATGCTTCTGGCTCAGGCAGGGGTGCCTCGACTTCGGGCTGTTCTTCGACCTGAATAGCGGCAGCTTCAGCGTCCTCTGGCGGTACGAAGTCTCGTATGGTTGCAGCGCGAGACTTGATGGAGCTCTTCCGGCGAGTCGGTTGTCTCGATATTGCTTCTGGCTCAGGCAGGGGTGCCTCGACTTCGGGCTGTTCTTCGACCTGAATAGCGGCAGCTTCAGCGTCCTCTGGCGGCACGAAGTCTCGTATGGTAGCTGCTCGAGATTTCGTCGAGCTCTTGCGACGAGTCCGCTGTCTAGAAACGGTCCCCGGCTCTGGAACGGATTCCTCAAATGTAGGCGGTTCCTCAACAAGGGCTGCGGCAGCTGCGGTATCTTCCGGCGGTGGAGAAACTCGCGCAGTCTCAGAGCGAGACTTGACAGAATATTTGCGTGGAGTTGGCCGTCTTGATATTACCTCTGGCTCGGGCAAGGGTTCCAATTCGACTTCCACAGGCTGGACGGATTCCGTAGTCGTAACTGTGCGAAGGATGAATCCCTCCTCCGGGGGCTGTTCTTCCTCGTCTTCTTGGCCAGGCTCGGACTCATCTGACGATGAGCTTTCATCTCCAGCTTCTTTGGCTAGCTCATGCGGGAATGTTGGCACACGAGATGGCAGGATTGTTGGGCGCCTGGTCTGGACTCGGTCGATTTGCTCAAATTCTCGCTCAAGCTCTGGCTCAAATTCTGGCTCAAATTCTGGCTCAAAATCCGGCCCAAACCCTAGCTCAACATCTATCTCATCACCTATCAAGGACGACAAAGATGAAGTCTGTGAGATTGGCTCTTGAATTGTGGCTTGTCGAGTGGGCTGTCTTGTCGGTTGGCGAGACGGGAGCCGTGTCTTCTGTCGGGTTGGGATACGCTCCGCGGGTTGTGGCTCTTTCTCAACCGGTTTTAGCTCTTCCTCGGCGAGCTTCAGCTCCTCTTCAGCTAGTTCAATAGCCTCATCCAAGTCGAAAGACTCTGGTATTTTAGCTCTCCAAGTTGATTTCTTGGTCGGTTGGCGAGAGGGAAGCTGAGTTTTGTGCCAGGACGGTATCTGCGAGACGGTCGGGAAGTCTTCCTCACTTTCTTCTACCTCACGATCATCCGAAAGTGGAGGCAGAGCTTGCTGAGTAAGCTGTCTTGTCGGTTGACGAGATGGTAGCTGTGTCTTTTCCTGGGTCGGGATACGTGCCACAGGCTGCTGCTCTTCCTCGACTTCTAGATCGACTGGAAATGTAGCTTGTCGAGTGGGCAAGCTAGTCGGCTGGCGGGATGGGAGGTTCGTAGGAACACGGCTCACAGGTCGCGGCTCGTCTTCAACTTGTTCAACAGCTGCAGCCTCGGCTGACGTTGGCAGTGTAGCTTGCCGAATGGACTTTCGGGATGGAAGTCGAGTCGGAACACGCTCGACAGGTAGTGGTTCTTCGTCGACTTCCGCTTCGACTGGTAGTGTAGCCTGACGACTGGGCTGTCTAGTCGGCTGGCGGGATGGAAGCTGAGTAGAAACACGCCTCACAGGTTGCGGCTCATCCTCGACTTGTTCGACAGCTGCAGCCTCAGCCGGCGCCGGCAAGGTAGCTTGTCGAGTTGGCTTACGGGATGGGAACTGAGTCGGGATACGCTCTACATGTAAAGGCTCTTCCTCACCTTGTGCGATAGCTGCAGCCTCGGCCGACGCTGGCAGAGTAGCTCTTTGAGTGGGTCGCCTTGTCGGCTGACGGGATGGGGGCTGGGCCGTAGGTCGGTCGGCGACACGAGTAACCGGAGCTTGGAAGGCTACCGACTCTTCCTTCTTGTCGTCCACAGGGACCATTTCCTCCTTGACGTCCTCGTCGGACCCCTCAGAGCTTTCGGAGAGCAGCGGAGAGAGTGTCCTTTGTCGTGCAGAAGGGGGTCCTGCAACGTCCGGCGCAGGCTCTGAGTATACTCTGGTGTGGCGTCGCGACGACTCAGTCTGCTTCTCAGGCTGTTCATCCGAAGCAGGAGTGGGGAGCTGTTCGAGGACGCTGGCGATAGCTTCCAGAGCCGCAGGCAACTCTTGTTGCGCAGTCTCGAGCCATTGCTGTATCTCCTCAATCGGCGCCTCGGCCGAAGGCTTTCGGGAGATGCTTTGAACACGAGTCAAAGCACGGGAGAGGGGCTTCGTGGAAACGACGCGCTCCAGCGCCTTCGGAACTTCATCAATAGCGGAATCGATGGACTTACCTCGAAGATGCTGAGTAGACGCTCTACTCATAACCTGAGTGGGCGCTTTGGTTAAAATCTTTTCCAGGTCCTTGGTGATATGGTCAAGCTCGTCCATCAACTGAGTTCGGGTTTCGGACAAATCTGTCATTTCTCTTCGAGTCTTTTTGAGGAATTCTTCGCCGTTGGATGAAACCTCTTCCAATGATTCTTGCGTATCGTCTTGAATGAGTGCCTTGGCATGGGCATCTGTTGCCGGTAAAGACGAGCATGAAGAAGGTGCATCTTCAACAGCAGCGTTCTGGAATTGCTCTTCGTCTTTTTCATCGGGTTTAGCCTCAAGATCAACACCAAGATCGTCCGCAGTAGACTCGACAAGGTCGATGAGATCAGGAGCCGAGGTGACAGCTTCCTTCAAAACAGCTGGTGGGTCGTTGATTGTGGGTCCTAATTTTCCGGTCTTGCGCACGTTCAGCCTTTGTGCAGCAGTCGGCGGACTCGGCATGCAGGAAGCGCTATCTTGAACATTTTGGACCAGTAGTTGCGACAGTCGTCTGAGCTCTGCGAGTCCTGGATGAACTGCCTGCAAGTCGTTGATGACCGAATGAATTGTGCTGTCTTGCTGTGTGATGAGCTGATTGATAATTTTTCCCATGTCATAAGCAAACGAGTCGTCGCAGACATTGACCGAGATGGTTCTGGCGCTACTGCGTTGGCCGCAACAATCAGAAGCTGATTGTATTCTGCATCGAGATGGGCGACTCTTTGGGGCTAGAGTACAGGGAGCACACCTAGCAATTCCACACGATGGGACATCTGCGGGTTTGGACATAACCGTGCGACGGGGCTGAATTCGAGCTCCAGGATAGCCGAAATCTTTGGTGTGACGGCGACCAAAACCACCGCGGTCATCGACATCGTCAGGAACGAGCTCATCATCGTTGTCTACAAGCTCGCTATCCCTAGTGGAAGACTCTGCGGGTTCAGACGCACTTCTGCGGTGGGTCGAGCGTCTCCTAAAGTACTCGCTTCGCGGGTCATCAGGCCCATCTCCGCTTGATCCGAAGTCACCCGGGACCATCTGTTTAGGCTGTGTTGACTTTCGCTTGGATTGGACAATAACACCGTCATCAGGGAAGGAGACTGACGAAGTGCGCGCTCTCCCCGACTGCTTCGAATTTGGGTCATCGGACGGCTGAGTTGCACGTCGTTTCGAAGGTGCCCTAGGTTCGATCTGACTGGACGATTTTCGCAAGCTAGATTTTCTGCGTTGCTGAGGTTCCGCCTGGGAAGGCTCAGGAGGTGTGTTATCATTTGTCTTTTGACGCGATTGCTTCCGAAGGCGTCCATCAGATTCGGCGGTTGAAGGTCGGTGTGAAGTCTTGCGCACTGGTGACACTAGCTCTGCAGAATCGAGAGATCCTTCTTGATGAGTCTCAACTTGTCTCGAATGTTGTTGGGGCGTGGGTTTCTCTGAAAGACGACGGGCACTTTTCCTCCTCGGCTGCGAGGATGATACATCGTCGTCATCACCTGGTACCGATTTGTTTGACAGCGTCCGATCGAGGGGCGGTTTCCCGAGGGGTCCGACTTCGCGCGGTGGTACTTTGAATACATTCGTCGATCTCCGGCGCGAAGTTGAGTCAGTCTCGCCATCCTTATCTAGTGCGTTTGTGTCGACATCGATTGGCGCCTTCGTTGACTTTCGGCGAGATGCGGGAGTCCTTTCGATATTCGAAGTTCCGGTTGGAGGTTCACTTACTACAACCTTGGGGACATGTTTGGCAGTTGTCTCTGACTCAGAACGCGGTAGTGTTGGTAGAAATGTGTCAGAGGGAGCGTCAGCGTTCTCGGAACATTGACGTGACTTCAGTTTCGGGATGACTGCTTCTACAGCCACTGTTGCGTTCACTTGACCCGCCTTAGTAGTAGTGTTTTTTGGTGGTGGAAGAGGCTGCGTCCTGATCTCCCAGTAAGACTTCGCCACGGAGACAGGCGTCGAAGGTCTGTGGACAGTCTCTGGTGCTTCAGAGTCCGGTCTTTGTCGGTTTGCGGCCTTCCAAGCATCTGGCTGCTGATAGGGTCGGCCTTCAATACTGCTTCGTGCCACTGAAGCTCCTCCTTCTGTCGCCGGAGCATGACTTGCGTTCCGAGTGCTTGAGGGCGACGGCGAAGATCCTCGTTCCAGAAGTCGTCCGTAGGGGTTCTTTCCCTGGAGGTATGCTGGGGACTTAGCTCGAGCAGGAGCCATTTGGGGCTCGCGAAGCTCTTGGGTAGGGGTGAGGGCTGAACGGTGAAGGGACGAGCGTCTGACTTGGGCTGGTTCGGCAATCTCAATGGGTGCTGGGCGTGACTTCCTCCGAATAGAGTGCTCTCGGGCCTCGATTGATTGATCGAAGTCGTGCGAAGACGGCTGGGATCGACGGCCATTCGTGCTTGTGCCGGGTACAGTCGGGTGCATTCCCGTGGTCGACGGGTTGTTTCGAGGAGCTGTAGGCTGGCCCTGCCTCGGTGGATCGGAAGAATTGATGGCTTTTATGCGCGAGGCTATCGTACTTTGAGTTGGGTCGCGTCTAGGAATGGCTGGGGTGTTACCTCGATCTGATCGAGGTGTTTTTGAGGAATCAGGCTGGGAGACTCGTCTCATAGATGTCGAGGACTGGTGCTGCTATGGACTGAGAGTGTAGTGGATGAGGCGAAAGGGCTGTTGAATAGGTGTTTGGTGGCGTACTGGTTGGCTTGAAGGTCCTGAATAGAACGATGAAGAAGGCAATGAATCGTAGGATGTAAATAGGAATGGGTCAAAAGGGCAAACGTTAGAACTGTTGTGTGTTTGGGAGCGGAGTCATGAGAAGGAAAGGAACAGAACGCAGGACACGAAGGAACAGATGTTTGCAGGAGGCGCCAAGAAGTGCGCAGAAAGTGCAGGTACTTCCTCAATTGCGGACGTGTGGGAAGTACCACCCGGTCCAAGCGGAAACTATACTGTACATCGCCACCCTCCAGCTATGAAAATGCTATATACAATCTATTTCAGAGCAGCTTGCAGACTCTCCAGGACCTAGTCGCAGGCATTAGCTTGGTTCCAAACTCGGCACTTTACCAGGTAAATTTTGACGAACCTCGAGCTCGATCTTCGCCTCAGCGATATCCTGTTCGCTGCCGCCGCCGGTAGCGACCTTCTGCGCTTCTGCGATCTGGTTCCTCACAGCCTACGCAGTTAATTAGATCCCAGTCATTGTATCAGCTTAGCACGTTTTAGAGAACCTACGTCGGCGCTGAAGTCCTCGAGAGGGTATCCCTCCACGGCGTTGATGCTCAATTGCGAGTCCGGTTGAACGACGGCAAAACCTCCAGACACTAGAATGTCCTCGTTAGCCCTCACGAGACAGGTACACTGTTGTTGCTGCAGATATGCTCTATCCCCGCTATTATCACCATACGGACTCGCTCTAAGCCGAATACACCAAGACGGAGATCTTCGGACAACGTACAGAAGAATTGCTTGCTGCCTCCGCTCTCCTCGATGATCTCCACCAGGCCGGGCTTCAATTGTTCGATGGACGGAACGTGGTTCGCGAGGACACCCATCTCTCCGGACTCGGCGGCGAAGTTCACTTGTACACTAGATTGACCGATGTTCAGTATGGAAGGTTAAGGGCGCTTGAGGAGCTAGCCGGGCGACCGGTTGACGTACACATCCTGGGACTTGTAGATAGACTAGGGAGAAAGCTCAGTCAGCGCTCGGCTCTCAAAAGTAGCTCCACAGAAGCAGGAAATGCCCATGGAGCAGCATCGGTATGGTCGGCGCGCCATTGGAGATGCATACCTGGTGAGGTAGCGCGAGAGACAACTTGATCTTGTCGGCTACGGCGTCGGCGTATCCTCGTCGCTGAATCGGGGCGCGGAAAGTGGCGGGGCTCGCGCGGATGGCTGCCCGGGCAATGCGGAGAGAGCTCATGGTGTTGTAGAGGATGGGGCGGATGCAATTGCGTGGTGGAGAGGAGAGCTTGTTGTCGAGATTGAAGCTGGAGAAGCCGGAGTTCTTCTGCCAAGACATCACGTGAGCCGAGATAATCCCGCATCAACCTTGGAAAACATCAGCTGCAGCTCCATTATCACCGAACATCTTCCTTTTTTGAATCAAGAATACGATCTCATCTCAACGATGGCGTAGTGCCCTCCCTCATCCGGTTTGCATTCGTGGAGCTGGCCATGTGCCTGCATGAACACCCTCAAACGATCTCAACACCGAACGCTGTTGAGAATTTTGCAAGCTTACCGTTCAAGCTTCTAGAAGTCGGCTTGGACGCTGGGAAATTATGAGATTCGCGATGTCTCTCGATTTTTTGATTTTCTTTTTAAATATCTTGGAGCTTCATTACCACAATGAGTCTACGTTATCATCAATTTCTCTAGAAGTCCGTAAATTGATCACGCTAGGCGTGCACCCGGTCATTAACAGCTTTGCACCTTCATCTTAAGAGACAACGTCGGATTCCTTCGAGGAAGTCACAATCAGGGGCCTGAATGGCAGTACACCAAGCTTTGCATCAGAATCCTGTTTCGGGTACCGTCTCGGAGGACTTCAGACCGTAACAGTCAACTGTGACTCTGCATCGTTCACACCTTGATAAACCTCACCTTCATCCCATTCTCTTCACGATACATTAGAGCGCTTAGTACAGCATTACTAGCAATTGTAAGCTATCCTCTGTCTCCTAATTCCTTTTCTCGACGAATCGCTCCAGTACCCAATTCTTCAATCGTGATAGACGCACATATATCCCCTCGACACTCTAGTCGCGTTTGTATCCAACACGACATGCTCATATAAACCGGAGACTATTTTCTTTACCCTTGACGACTGACCGGTGTCCCCGCACCCATCTCAAAGTAGGCGCAACACCACCAATCCCAGACCTGCCTGCCCGGACACCCGAACCAGAGTAGGCACGTCGCCCCCTACTCACGCAAGGGTTTGATTCATTAAGGCAGAGAATGGACTACGTGGCACAATGGCTCGCGTATTGGTGTAAATCTCACTAATACAAATTCATCTGGCGTTACGAAACTTGCGGATCAGCGGGCATTACAGCGGGAACGACAGCGTCAGAAGGAGATGGACGAGAAATCTGTACAAGGATTGACGTTCAACTTTCAGGGCAGAATCATTCCGGGGAAGAAGCTGGAGGTTGTGGAGACGGCGTAGGCAATCGTTTGCGCGATCGGGAGAGGTCATGTTAGCATAATGCACAAATCCTGAAGGGCGATAGGGAGATGGATTGGTAATGAAGAATGTGTATGGAAATATGATCTCCAAATGCTCATACTATCCTAAGCACGCTTTTGGAAGGTAAAAGCAGACCCAACAATACCAGAAAATCCACCAACTCCAAGTCCTCCTTTCCTTATTTCACTCTCAACCCCTCAAAGTCTCCTATGCTTCCATCCGCCTCCACCTCACCATGGCCTCTCCATCCCCATAATCGAAGACCGCAGGGGAGGTCGACGCTCTCTCGCCACTTTGTCCCGCCACTCCCGTTCATATGCCTTTTCCGACAAGTCGTTCCACGGCTCCGCCTTCTTCCTCGGTTCCTTATCGACTCTGTATCCTCGAAATCCGACGTTGCTGCCAATGACGCCCAGCTCAGCCTTGCCCTCGAAGATGTTGCACTTGTTGTCTTCGAAGTCCAGATACCCGACGTGCGCATTATCCCAGTCTGGCTGGATAAGAGGGGTGGCGTCGCGCATATCGCGGCCGCGCCACTGGAAGTAGATGCGCCTGGGGTATCTTTCCGGATTATGATCGAATTGGTCGATGTAGGCCTTTCGCCGCTCCTCCTCTTCGACACGGTATCTTTCCTTTATCATCTCATACCGTTCAGGATCCTCGTCTTCCTCCCATCCGTCATCGTCGCCATCCTCGTCGCCTTCTTCCTCGGGTTCGCCGCCATCTGCCGCCCGATGTGCCTTCATGACATTATCCAACATTTCCGGAGTCGTTTCCATCAGCATTGTCCCCTCCAGCACCCCGAATCTGAAGTCAACATCGAAGAACCAACATCCGGACTTAACAGTCTCGGAGATATCCATCGTGAGCTTTTCCTCGTTGTAGTAGTCGCTCATTGGACCGGTGACGGCTTCGCACTCGATGACGTAGGAGCCTGTGGCTCTCCAGAAGCCCCATTCCTTTGGGGTGGGCTTGTGGTGTTGTTTGCGCATGTACTTGATGTGCTCTGCAAAGACGGGTCGGTCTTCCGGCGGTCGATCTCCCTGTGGTTGGGTTCGATTCACGTCTCGGGTCGTGCGGTCGCTCATTGTGTTGGGTAAGGTGATGCTTTGGCGTCGACCGTTCCAAGTTTGAGGATCGTGGCCTGTCGTGGTCCATTCAACTCGACGTGAGACGCCTGATCGTGGATTCGAGATCGCTATCAGAGTCTCGAAGCGTGCACGTGAGTTCAGACGTAGTTCTTTGACGGTCGATAAATTGCAGCTACCTTTGACGTGTGACTAAGGAAGCCTAGAGACGGTCAAATCCACTAGTACGAAGAAGGTGAGAGCGTTTAGAGATCACAAGGTCAGATTTATGAAGTGAAGTGCGAGAAAAGGTTACCACGTGCGAAATGTCCACGTGACTATGAGAGGTCCACGTACTTTTCATACCAACAAACTGAAACCTGTCAAACAATCAAGGTTCACATTAGCAGCATTATGATAGAGGCAATAATCTGAAGATGCTCAAACGGCCTGAAGCTTAGTCGCCAAGGGAACATAGATACTATAAGAGTGGGTATAAATTTCATAATATTCCACCACACCATCCCACTAAAACGGATTCATATCCCACACAAATGTGTGTCGCATACTGATGGCTTTATCTTTCAGAAACAGCGCTCTAGCCCCTTTGTATTAATGGTATTTGAACTCGTTTTGCATTGCACTTCTGGTCGGGGCGTAAACAGCACCCAGGGGAAATTACTACTTTTTCTTCTTACTTTCTAGTTCAACGATACCTCCTCTGACAATTAGATATCCTCTCCTATGACCTACGTTGGAAAGTCTTCAAACGTTTATCAAAAGCAGCGACGTGAAGATGTTGTAACTTTCGGCATTCGCTAATCTATTGAAGCACTTGGCATGTATCGACCACCAAGCCCTATCGAGTTCCTTCACTGCCCTCCCGCCGACTTCGCGAACCCTTCTTGGAACTCAGCAGCCGTAGTAACATATCCCCTATTTGCCAACACCTTTCCAATCATGATATCATGAACCTCCTGCATCGGGTCCGCACACCCATCCGAAATAACCGTCACGACATACTCCGCATCCCCAGCCATCACCGCGGTCCTCATGACACACCCTGACGTGCTCAGTCCCATGAGAATCAGCGACTTCAATCCCTTCTTCTCCAAGTAATCACTCAGGCCAGGCGACTTGAGCGCAGAAACGTGCCCGGGGACCCTCAAGAACGTAGCTTCGTCACCACCCCCTCCGAGCAGCTCGGCGGGCTCTTCTGCGCCGCCCGACTTCATGGCAGCGGCGAATGCTGCCAGCCTCTCCGGGTCTTTGCATGTCGGGAAGGGTTTGGCGTTGACATCAACCAGGCAATGGATCACCTGGATGCCTTGGGACTTTGCCCAAGTTCTCATGTGGGCGGCGGTTTCGAGAGCTGCGGCACCGGCTGGACCGGCAGCTTTTTGCACGAATAGCGAATGGAAATCGAGCAGGAGGAGGGCGGTTTGGGAGGCGCCGTAGTGGCCTGGTGTGGACTTGTCGGCCGGATTGAAGGTGGCTGTGAGGGTCGTCATGATTGATGATGTCGAGTCGGGGGCTCGGCAGAGAAGGAGTTGAAATAGTATTGTTTTTTGGAACGGCTTCGCAGTTAGGTTCTAGGAGTGGAGTTTATTTGCGGAACTGGCGGCGATGAGAAGGATTTTGTGTGGCAAAGTTTCGTGGCAGATCAACAGACTTCTGCTCAGCTGGAACAAAAATCTTTACTAGAACAATCCTTTGTAGAAAATTAGGATAATGGTGAAGAAAAGTGAGGCAGGGATCGCTGTTGGCGGACATCGGTCGCTCTCTCGGGGATAATCTAACGGCGTTAGAGTTGAGAGAGCGAACCAATCAGCTTGCTTTGATCCAGACGCTTGCGCTCTAGTCACGTGCTCTTTTCTCAGCACGAGAATGTCTCCGTACTTCATAAGCCCGGTCTTTCACCTTTGTTTACAGCATTGCTGCGAACACTTCGAATTTGAAAAGGACGGACGATATGACGAACGAACGCAGTACGGAAGAGTTGGAATTAGAGCCAAGCACCAACAACCACATCAAGACTGAGCAGAAAGATGCTATTGAACCACAAGAACCAGGCAGCCAGGACGAGCCCGCCGAGGAGAACAACTTAGAAGATATCGAGAATGTCAAGCCAGAAGACCTCATTGACGACAAGCCCTACTCAATCTTCTCCCATAATGAAAAGAGAATCATCATCCTCTGCGCCGGTTTTTCCCAATTCTTCTCTCCAATCTCTGGTCAAATATACTTCCCATCACTCGACGCCATCGCAAAAGACCTGCATGTGTCCACATCCCTGGTCAACTTGACCATCACGGTATACCTAGTATGTGCCCTCAAATCGAGGCTGAAGTCCGCCTACTAACCTTTGCGAGATCATGCAAGGTTTCGCACCCGCATTCGTCGGCGGGTTTTCCGACAGTACCGGACGAAGACCAGCCTACTTCATATGTGCCATCATCTATGCCGCCGCAAACATCGGCCTGGGTCTCCAAAACAATTACGCCGCACTGATGGTCCTGCGCGGTCTTCAAAGCGCCGGGGGAAGTGGTAGCGTGGCACTCGCGAATGCAGTCGTCTCCGACCTCGTTACATCCCAGGAGCGTGGTGTCTACGTCTCCTACATGTCCGTCGCTCCACAAGCTGGACCTTCCCTTGGTCCTATCATCGGTGGCCTGCTTGGACAGTACCTCGGGTGGCATTCCGTGTTCTGGTTCTTGCTCATCTGCACCGGTGTGGTGTTCGTCCCTTGCGCTATTTTCTTCGCCGAGACGTGCAGGATTGTTGTCGATGATGGATCGGTCCCGCCACCTAAGTGGAGACGTTGCTATCTCAACACGAAGCTCGAGAGGAGACTCATGGCGGAAGGGCAACCCATTCTGTACGAGAAGCGAGATGAGCTTGAGAAGAAGAGGAAACTCAGGTTCCCGACCCCCTTGGAGACAGTCAGAATCGTGCTTACAAAAGAGGCTGGCTTCGTGTTGGCATACATCGGTCTTCTATGTTGCGCCTACTACGCCACAGTAGCTCTTATTCCCTCCCAATTTGGAACCGTCTATGATTTCAACCAGATCCAGATCGCGCTATGCTATCTGCCTCTAGGCTGCGGAAGCTTGCTTGCGGGTTTCGTCCGTGGCCGGATTATCGACGCAAGATATAAGGTCCACGCCAAACGTTTGGGGTTTCCACTGACATACAACCGTCAAGTCGACCTCAGCGACTTTCCCATCGAAAGGGCTCGCTTGGAAGCCATCCTCCCAAATTTGGCTCTCGGCTCGGCATGTTTCATTGGTTTCGGGTGGATGATACAATACAAGGTCAAATTGGCTGGTCCTTTGATCTTTCTTTTCGTCATTGGCTTCTGCGTCTCTGCATCCATTAACACCGTCTCCGTCTTGCTCGTCGATATCTATCCCGGGAAAGCTGCTACCGCGTCAGCGGCCAATAACCTTGTCCGTTGCTGGCTAGGGGCTGGAGCGACGAGTGGCGTGGCGCCTTTGATTGGGAAGATTGGAATTGGGTGGACTGCTACCTTCTTTGGTCTTCTGGTTGTTGTCTTCAGTCCAATCCTCTGGTTTGTTATGCATAATGGTCCGAAATGGCGTCGTGCTGCCAAGGGGAGGAAGGAGCAGAAGGAGGCCGAACGAGCGGCGAAGGCGGATGCGCGTATTGAGTATGATCAGTAAATGAGATGACTAGAGGCGTCTTCTTGAATGTAATTAGATATCATGCCGTTTCCACGATCCCTGGGGGTATATGAACCAGTCCCGGAGAGATACTTCCATGCTTTTTCAAGCGGTAGAACAAATCGGTCGTAGTAGCGGACAGGAGTAGCTTTGCCTTTCAGATTTAGCTCGCTTTGGGTCACCCATTTAGTATCTAGACATTCTTGTATCGCTTTTCGATGATTTGTAGAGCAATCATCCATATTCTTCACAACTCGGTCCGCCACAAACATATCTGTATTGGCAGTAGGCGCGGAGATCTCGTCTTGGTTCCGGTAATTTGAGATAGGTTCCAAGGCGTCAACTTCATTAAGAAGAATCCCGAGAGCGAGAAGGTTGGAGCTCCGATAGAAAACATTCACATCTAACAAATCTGAGGTTGGTAGAAGCTCTCAGAATTGCGTTGAGAGATAAGAGTGGTGTAATTTGGCGCGTTCGTGGTGGAGGTGAAGAAGGAGATTTGCTCTTCGCTCCATTTCCGAAGCCACGAGCCACTATGAAGTTGGAGTAGTGTATAAGCAGATACTAAGGCTAGTTTGTGTTTGTTTTGGAGACGATTTTGAAGGTTATAGGAAGCAATTCCTAGAGCGTCCTGGTTGGAGTTGTATCGGAGATGTGGAGTCGTGCAGATTGCTGTTTTAGTAGTGTTCTTTAATAAGTGATAAATTCTAGACAAGTGTTTTGTAAATGCCAATTAGAAGAACTAGGAGAAATGTTAGTAAGGGGAATTTTTTGGCAATACTAGAGAGATAAGCTGCAATAATTAGAGAAATGATCGCAAGCACTGCAAGCAATAACAGTGCTATGGGAAGAAATATGAAAAGAATACGGCCCACGACATAACTGAGAATGGAAAGAAATGATGCAGGTGTGTCAAGCTCAGGTTCGATCTCCGGGTCGTAGGGAGGACGCGGGAAAGTATGGTGAACCTCTATTTCGAACCTTCGACGGTCATGAGCGATTGCACTGACTCTCCGCAGATTTTTGCACGAGCACTGCCTATCATTGTCCCGTCCGAGTCTCAAAAAGCGAGCAATGTCTGGGTCCATAGCTTCCTTTCCATATCGGCGGAAAGGTTTGCAGCTGTAGCATGCACGAATGTCTAGGTGAGCGAAAACTGCGCTCACTGTTCTTGCTCGCTCCAAATCATCGTACCGACCGCCGTGGTTTGTTAGATCAACAAATTGCCAGGCGCGCCATGAAATGGTGTTGCCCACAATAGATGGTTCAAATTTGAATTGATACCGCACACCAGCTAGTGGGCTTCCATCGTCGGGGAAAAGCATCTCGCCAAAGCACGTGAGGGAGCCTAGACACTGCTGTATCGGACGTTCGATGAGACGAGCGTGCTGGTTCGTTAGAAGATAAAGCGGTCTACGGCCGTTGATTGCTGCGCTCGATCGGGCCTTGGCAGTGAGCGGCTCCAGAACGTAGACGAGCGCGCGGTAACGATACCATTCTGGCCACGCTGGAAGGTTCCATATACCGATAGGAATCTTGATCTTGTGTTGCGAAAAGGCTTTGTGGAGAGATCTACACGAATGGCAGCCTTTGTAATCAGGAAAGTCCCTTCGTAGCAGCCGAAAAAACTCGAGCCGTTCATCAAAAGGATCCTTTGGGAGGGACGCTGAGAATCGGCTACCAATTGAGGCGTAGGTAAAACGACACGTTAGAGCAAGAGCCATGCCCGCATGAGGTGGTAGGTAGTCGACGATCTGGAGGAAGAGCTCCGCCGGTAATCGGACGAGCTGCGGAGTGCCTCTGGCACCTGATGAGTGGGCCAATCCAGCTGAAACTGAAGTTGAAGACGGGGCTTGAATGCTTTCTCTCTTCTCGGGCTCTGGGTAGTGGTGGGAGCAGTGCCCAGAGGAAGCGCGGCATGGCAATGCTGAGATGGATTTTTCCCAACCGTCAACGAAAAGGTAGTTCTCGGTAGACCAGTCGTAGGGGCTCATGTTTGAGTGAAGTTTCCTAGCCAGCTAGGAAAGCATTAACTTGACTGGGAGGAGTTATCGGGGCAAAGTCTCCAAGCTAGACTGGTACTGCGGTGCTAGCTGACCAAGGCAGATGCTTCGCGTCGGATCGGAAAGTTCTTTAACGACACTCCATGATGGTAATCTTTCTTTCTAGAGACGCCTTCTAGTTCTTTTCGATGGTGGTGGTTGTATCTTGATGGAGTTTAAAATATTCTACACGGACCCTGTCCCCGCACCAGGGTCAGGGGGTACTGAGGCGCAGCATCATATGGAGACCCTCTAGGCAACCCTCCATCTACATCAACGGCATGCTCGCCTTTCCTTGTTTTAGAACTCCTCGTTATCATCTCACGTCCTTTTCATCTATCGCATTGCGTTATCCTACTTCATTCGTTACGCTACGTCATGTCGTCTTCTGATGAATCTGACTTTGTCATTCTCGCAAACAACGATCTCACGGACTACAACGACGCGGGATATCTACCACAGAAGCCGGAAACTCTCGCTGCCATCGAGGCATGGCTAGCTCCGACAAAATACCTGTCCGAGAATAGCGAGTATCGCAAGCATCTCAACAGCCACTTAGACGGCACCGGCCACTGGTTTCAGAGCTCTAACCCGTATCAGAAATGGCACGATAGCTCAACCGTTGGCGCTCTCTGGGTCAAAGCCGTCGCAGGCGCCGGCAAATCTGTTCTTGCTGCGTCTACTGCTGCGAAGCTTGCTCGAGACGAGAAGGTGCCGGTCCTCTTTTTCTTCTTCCGCCAGATCGTCGCGTTGAATCATGAGCCCAAGTATCTGGTGCGAGACTGGCTTGCTCAACTACTTCCCCATAGTCCATGGCTGCAGAGCAAGTTGAAGACCTATGTCAAGGACAGCGCCGAAATCGAGACTATATCGCTAGATGAGATGTGGCGACATATATGCGACGCGCTCTCTTGCATGCCGAGGGCATACTGCATTGCCGACGCCCTCGATGAGATGGACCATAACAACGAAACCTTTCTCGATAAACTCATTTGCCTTGGTCAACAGAAGCCTGGAAACATCAAAGTCCTTCTGACAAGCCGCCCTGTTCCTCGCATTGAAATTCTGCTGCGGTCGCATGTCTCATAGGTTCGACTAGATTCGAAAGAAGTTGAAGGCGACGTCGATATGTATGTTGAATACCGGCTGAAGCCCATCGGGGGTCCTCCGACGTTCTACGAGACCTTGAAACCCATCATCTGTCACCGGGCGCAAGGGCTCTTCCTTTACGCTAGACTCGTGACGGATGAGTTGATCGAAGCCGTGAAAGACATCGACATCACCCCAGCCGATATTCCGAGAATTGTCGACAGCGTACCAGACAGTCTGGAAGATGTCTACACCAAGATGCTAACGGAGCATTCGAAACGATCCGGAGTTTCTCAGGAACACCAACTGACCATCCTGCAATGGGTCACCCACTCGACCAGACCTCTCCGTCTGATCGAGGCAGCAGCAGTAATGAAAGTTATTGGCGGTGCTGGAGAGACTTTAAAAGAGACAAAAGCGCTGGTTCGAGCCGCATGTGGGCCACTCCTCGAAGTTCTCGAGGACGAGACTTTGTCCGTTATCCATCATTCCTTTACCGAGTACCTTACACAAGCCGACCGAAAAGCCAGCCACTTTCCTATCATTACGCACGACGACGCTCATCGTTTGATGGCCATTACTTGCGTGAAGTATATCTGTAACGGGTGTCTGGAAGACTGGGATATCAGTGAGACAGTGGGCAAGAAGAGCCGCATGAAGAACGATCAGTCAGATAAAGAACTCAAGTTGAAACACCCATTGCTCGACTATTCAATCTCCAATTGGTATAAGCACACCACCAAGTCTATATTGGATGATGCCCTCATATCTACGCTGGATGAATTCTTCCAACGAGAGTCCCCCGCATTCAAAGCGTGGGTCGACCTGGGCATCAAAGAAGATGCCGCACCATCATTCACTCCCGTTCATGTCGCTGCTTGGACCGGAATTGCCAACTACATTCGATACCTCACCGTCAAAGGGGAACCTGCAAATGAAGTGGACAGTAAGTCGAGAACACCATTATCATACGCCGCTAGCCGGGGCAATTCCGATGCAGTTGCTGCATTACTAGAAGCTCGGATTGACGCGAATCTGGACGACAGTGTTGGCTGGAGTCCTATTCATTATGCTTCCATGGCAAATCGACACATGGTCGTTCGACTGCTTTTATTGGCAGGCGTTGATCCACGAACGGGCAAATCGCGAGAACACCCTGGTCGGCTCTGTGGCAATGCGCCCCGTACGACCGGAACTACACCGTTGGAGTATGCTGCCAAAGCCGGCCACCTGGAGACCGTTCTCGAGTTGGTACCGTACCTTGAAAAGACCGATTTTGAAAGGGCACTACATTGGGCTGCTGAAAATGGACGGGTGAGCGTCATCGCGGCACTACTCGAGTTGCCTGAAGTTGACGTTGATCACAAGTGCGAAGACTATGGCCGTGATGATACCTCAAATGAGTCTACAGCGCTTTTCCGGGCAGCTCGCTGTCGTGATCCGGCCACTATGCGAGTGCTCATCAACAAAGGTGCTAGTACAACCATCCGGCGCGTCAGTCGTGGGTGGGGTTATCGACGGCGGAAGGGTTTAGTGGGAGAAACTCTAATGCATGCGTTCACAGAATGTTCCCGACATCATACGGGTCCGGGGAGCGAAGATTCCCTGAAAGAGGCATTTGATCTGTTGGTAAACGCTGGCTGTGAGATCGACCTTGCCGACGACTCTGGAATGACACCCTTACTCTGCGCTTGTAAGAAAACTTACAACGATAGCTCCGCTTCTACGATTCTGATGCTTCTAAATGCTGGAGCAAAGGCGTCCAGCGTTGAAATCGACGGAAGCTCGGTGTTTCACGCGTACGGAAAGGGAGATTCAATCGAAGTGGTGGATGCGCTGGTAAAGCATGGGGCTGATGTTAATGCCATCATCCACACGGGCTGGCACGCTGGCACCGCAGCCATCCACTCCATGATTGGAAGTTACAACGACGAGGTGATCCTTCAGTTCCTCGAACACAAGCCGGATGTAAATGTCAAGGACAAGAATGGCGATACGGCCTTGCACTTCAACTCGAAAAGAAGTAGCAGCAAGACTGCTGTTGTAGAGAAGTTGCTCGAGCTTGGAGCAGACGTTAACGCGCGCAATAACCTAGGGCAAACGCCAATCCACCGCTTTGCGAGCAGTAACTCCTTCTCTGTTGGTAAAAGAGACGTGCCAAAACTCATTGCCGCTGGCGCAGATCTCAACGCGGCGGATAATCAGGGCAAGACACTCCTCTCACTTGCGCTTCGCCAATATCAGCCCACTAAAGCCGTTGGGGCTATCCTAGACATGGGAGCGGATATCAACGTTCGGGATCTCGAGGGTAGGAGTATTCTTCACCTTGCCCTTGCTACGTTTGACGTCGAACTTGTGGACTTTCTAGTCAAACGCGGAGCTGATCCCCTCGCCACGGATAACTCTGGAAACACTCTGTTCCACGAGATTGGTCGTCAGAGACGTCATTATGAAGAAACAAAGCAGTCAGATCTGTTTACAAAAATACTACAGCTTGGCGTTTCTCCGAAGACAAGAAATCACGACGGATACAATGCGCTACACATGGCTGCCGGCATCATTGAGGATGACGGCTCTCACGCCTTCTCGCCTCTGAAGTTCTTTCTCGGTCAGACGAATCCTATCAACGTCAACAACGGGGACAATCGCGGAGTCCGACCTCTTCACCTGGCAGCGTCACTATCCGAACATCATGTGATGCAACTACTCAATGCAAGCGCGGATCCATACGTACTCACCATCGAAGGCCAAAGCGCATTACATGTTGCTTCCCGGAACCGACAGAGCAACATTGTTGGATCTCTTGTGCAACGCTATCAAGAAGATGGGCGATTAGGCTTTATCGAAACCACCGACGGCCGAGGGAGAACTGCATTGCATGACGCTTGCCGCGCTGGTCTCCCGGAGTCGGTTCGGATTCTGCTCGAAGCGGGTGCACGTGCTGACAAGCTTGATCACCTGAGCCGATCACCGCTTCATGTATGTGCTGAAATTCTAGAGGAACGCATGTTCTGGCGTACAGATACAATTTCTCCTGGAGCGCGAAGACTTAACGCCGCAAACGTTCTGATCGGTGATCCACTGCGGCCAAATAAACTTGACACCAACACACCTGAATCTCAACGGTATGACAACGTATATGCAGTAGAATACGAGCATGAGCTACTGCGCGTTCGTGAGATCGTCCGGCTTCTCTCAGACCGCGCTTTGAAGCAAGAGGTGAGCATTAAGAGCTTGACTCCATCCCCACGCCAAACTCTCTGTCCACTCCAGCTTGCCATCTCAAAGTCATGTGGCCCCATGTTCGAAGAGCTGTTAGAGTTGGAGAAAGACCAAATTAAGAATTCAAAAGTCGGAGAGGAGGAGAGTAGCTGGTTCAAGCCGAATTTTCAATACTCCCGGATACGTCGAGATGCTTTTGCTCAGGCCACGAATCAGGTCTTGGCAACTGTGAAAGAGATCTCGGAACAGCCAAAGAATTCGACAGGTCTCTGCGAGTTGGTAAATGAATTGCTTGTACTTGGCCATGAGAATATCGTACCGGAGCTCAAGACACTAGGGTGGGACTTTGTCGAATTTACCCGTCACGGCCCTGCTGGAGCTAGTGCAGCATGCTCAGCGACGCACATGCTGGCTGACAAAGGTTATTCCCACATTCTCGAACGAGTTGGTGCTGGAGTGACGCAGTACGACGACATTGCGTGGGCGAAGTCGATGGAGACGGAGAGAAATTACAACGTGGGAGAAGTCAAACCCATCCTTCCTGGTGCATGTGCCAGAGCTCTCCCTAATCTTCCCGTCGTCAAGGTGCTCGTCGAAAAGCTAGGTGTGGACATCAATGCTCAGCTGAGAAGTCACTCGTACCGCCCCCGAGGTGGTTACCAAGACCAAGTGAATGCATCGTCCCTGCATATCCTTGCCGCAGCAAGTCATTGGTGGCAGTTCGAGGCCCTAGAGTTTCTCCTTGAACGCGGCGCGAACACTGAAGTACGAAACGAGATTGGAGAGACACCGCTCCATGTCGCCTTGACATGTATGAACGAAACGCGAAAAGACAACGACCGTTTTGTCGAGGCACTTTTGAAACACGGCGCGGACCCAAACGCTGCGGATCAAGATGGAAAAACCTGCCTCTACTACGCCACGACAACTCCACGCCTGATATCGCTCCTCGTTGAACGCGGCGCAAATGTCAATGGCGGATCCAAACCTCCCCTCATCGAAGCCATAGAGAATCAGAATTTAGACGTTGTCCAATGTCTCCTTGCTGCCGGTGCTGATGTCAACCTTCCCTATGCGCAAGAACCGCCCGACAACCCAACCTGGGCCTCCAGAAACGCCAGCAAGTTTTCAAAAATGTACCCTCTTTACCAGGCTGCATTCCTGGGGACATCAGTGAGTAACAACGGAATACAGAAGAATAAGTCCGTCGCTCTAGTCAAACTTCTCTTGGAGCAAGGCGCCGATGCTTATCGCATTCTAGACGATAAGACAACGATCATCCATCAGATTATGGAGAATCCCGGGGCAACTGTAACTCCCTTGCTCTCACAGGCAGCGTTACAGTTAGAGTATCGAGATCCGTGCGGTCGTACACTCCTTCTATCAGCGTGTAGGCGACCTGGTATATATTCTGGAGAGTATTCCCTCGAAAATGGCGCTATCGACAAGCAGAATCTTATCACTCAGCTCGTGGACCGCGGAGCCGACATCACAGCCACCGAGAACGATGGCAAAGGGGTCCTTCATCTCCTCCTCGCAGACTGGGACAATTGCAAAACAGGTAACCTCAGCGCTCTGAAGCTTTTCATTGAACGAAACAAAGATTTAATCCACGTCCGCGACAATAGCGGGTGGAAACCTCTACACATCGCCCGCCGTGATCAAAGCTGGGACGCGATCCGTGTGCTGGTCGATGCTGGCGCTGACTTGCGGGAACCGGACCCGTTGTGCAATACCGCGCTGCATTACTTCTCCAGATCAGTAACCGCAGCTACGCACGAACTGTGGTTGGAATCTTTCCACAAAGGTGTCGCCATCGACGCGCGCAATAACGCCGGCGAAACGCCCTCGTTCGCCTTCTTCGCGAACGTGAGCCTGAGGCCGAACAGTTACGACTTCCTCCTGAACGGTGATATCACCCTGGCGGAGTTCTTTGCAAAAACAGTCAATGTGTTCGAAACTGTTTTCTTAGCAAATGGCGCGGATGTCATGGCCAAGGATAACGAGGGGAGGAGCTTGCTGCATGTGGTTGCGAAGCGAGTGGAGGTGGAAGACATGCCAGGGGAGGACACGGAGAATGTTATTAAAGAGCTATTTCAGATGTTGGTCGATATGGGTTTGGATCCGTGGGAAGAAGATCATAGGCAGATGACGCCGCTGGATGTGGCGGCCGTATGTGGGAATGAGGAGGTGTTGGCTCTATTTAGGAGGGATAAGTAGATGTGTCCGAATGGTCGACTTGAGTTGGTCTATCTCGATTCTGAAGCCATATAGTCTCATATCCTACCCAAAAATCTCTTTAAACTAACCTCCGTAGAGTCTGACTAATAGCTCCTCTACCAATACAAATGCGCCCTAAGCATCATGACTCATCCTCCATCTATATAACCCAAACCACCACCACTCCACTCTATCATCCTTCAAAGACCACCTCGCACTGCGAAAATGCCTCTCCCAACCTCCCACACTCGGGATCTCGAATTCTCAATTCTAGACGTCTTCACCTCCACCCGCTTCGCCGGCAACCCCCTCGCCATCGTCTTCCTCCCCCCAACCTCGGAATACAACCCCACCCAATCGCAACTCCAAGCAATCGCATCCGAATTCAATCTCAGCGAGACCATCTTCCTCCACCAGCCAGATGATTCAGACATCACCCACGCGATCCAACGCGCCCGCATCTTCACCTCCACCCGCGAGATCCTCTTCGCGGGCCACCCCACCATTGGCGCAGCCGCCTACCTACTCATCCAAAACCCGCGACAGCATGTGCTCAAGTCCCTAGTCCCAGGCGCGGGCCCCATCCCCATCGCCCTCGCAGACGGGAAGGAGGGCTTCGTCGAAGCAATCGTGCCGCATACGTACCACGAGCACGCGCAGCGCTGTCCCGCAGCAAGGCTGTTAGCGCTGCACTCTACCCTAGCGCCATTCGTGGGCGCGGAGCAGACGTTTCCGGTGGTGAGTATCGTCAAGGGGATGACGTGGGTGCTGGTTGAGCTCGCCTCGCTCGAAGCGCTCGCGGCCGCGAAATTGGGGAATGCGGCGGCGATGATTATGGGGGACGGGGGGCTGCTGGATGAGGGGTGGGAGTATGTGGCGCCGATGGGTGCTTATTTCTACGTTCGTAGCCCGGAGGGGGAGGGGGTGGAGCAGGGTGTTGAGACGGTGCGGACGAGGTATATGGTGAGGCAGATTGAGGATCCGGCGACTGGGAGCGCGGCGAGCGCGTTGACGGGGTATTTGAGTTTGAAGGAGGAAGGGGAGAGGGGTGGGAAGCGAGGGTGGAAGATTGTGCAGGGGGTGGAGATGGGGAGGCGGAGTGAGATTGGGGTCGAGGTCAAGGTTGAGGGCGGGAAGATTGAAGAGATCGAGATTAGTGGGACGGCGGTTGTGGTTAGTGAGGGGAGGATTAGGGTGTAGGTAGGGGTACTAGGTCCTTTGATAGATTCAACATCTCCAACTTGTCTACTTTAACGGAGGCAATCCACCGTAGGTTAAAAAAGCCGCTCGAGAAAAGAAACCCCCAGAGTACTCCCTAGAGTATTTCATCATCGATGGTGTGTATACTCTGCAAACTTTGCTTCTAGCACTTCGAGGTATCGAAATAAATCCAGAGTAAAAGATTCACACGTCTAGCATGTCTATATCTAGCGGCCCTCGTTCAACGTGGCCGGCCATGCCTACTGGTTGCTTCGAAATTCCGAGAGTGCATCGAGGGACTCCAAGAACTGGGTCGACAAGTGTGCAAGGGTCTTTGAAAGGTATTCTAGCAACGTGAGTCTCAAGAAGCCAAATGAAAATCGAGAAAGGTGACGAGTGGGCCTACTCACAGAGCCCCAGGCACGTGCACCAGGCTCTGAAGTGAAGGAAGCGTCGTGAATGTGGGTTCGACGCATTCACTGCGCTGTATTTGCCCCCGCCAACGCGCCTCTTCCTCTATCTTTTGTAATATATAATAACAAAATAAGAATCTCAAGACCCTCTTTCTTTACCATACCGAACCTCAACACCATCTACCACACTGGAGCACTTTTTAGCTTACACGCGCGAGAGAAACATTGCTTATCTACCATTGCCACCAAAATGTGCTCCGTCGAATGGACAGCCTACTCCGAATGCGGCCACAGGTTCGCAAATATTCAAATTGTATGCGCCAATGGTTCGAGAAGCCGATGCCGCCGTGTAGGGGAAACTGTAGAGCGGACGAGGGGCCTCTGCCCCGGCTGCCGTGGGGAGATCACACCTGATGAGTATTATTGGCAGCGGCCTAAGGATAGGAGTTGGGTCATAGGTAGATAGGAGCTAGATGCGGAAACGACTGAAGCGAAAACCTGGAATTTTCAAGGATATGGACCGGACATAGGAGCAGTAGCAAGTTTTCGGAGAGCTTTAAAAGCGAATTTGATTTTTGAAAGCCGAAGACTAGCAGTATAAAGCAGATGATCTCGAAAATTGCCGTTGTATTGGATGTGGACTACCCAATTACGCACCGTTGACACCATTTACCTTTGATCTCGACTTCATTAGAGGCTGGATATACTTGCCGAACTGATCTAGCCCCACCAAGAAGTCGTCGAAAGTCAACATGACCCCTTTGACGTATTCAACTTCTGCAATCTCGTCGAGCATCCTGGCGATGCTTTCGTAGCTGCCGACAAGGGTGCCACCATTCATGTTGACGAGATCGCCGTTGGGGTCGGATGCGGTCAGGCGAGACGCAGTGGCGCGGGCGTCTTTTTGCTTGTCTGAGGTAGCCAGTTAGCGTCTAGATAGATAGAGTAGGCGTGAGGGAGACACTGCTTGAGCAAAAAGCGGTGGTTATTACCTTGGCTCGTCTGGCCCTTAACCCAAGCTAGAGCATCGTAGTCAGTTCCTTCGCGATACAGGTTCCACTTCGCCCATGCCTTCTCGTCCGTCTCATCAGGAATGCACATCATTAATACCTATAAGCGGGATCAACAAATGTATTAATAGATTACGGATTGCACGACTCGGCAAAGCAAGCTCACCAAACCGCCCACATCCCTCCCCGTGCTCTTCGCCGCCTCAATCAACCTCAGGTGCGTTTCTTTGAAAGCAGTGGGCGTATTGATTCCTTTTCCGCTCGTGAAGTTATAATCGGCGAACTCGCTCGCGAATTTGGTTCCTCGATCGCTCTGGCCAGCAGCGATAATTGGAATCTTGCCCGTTGGCTTCGGGCTAAGCTTGCAGTCTTCCATCTGGAAGTGGGTGCCCTTGAAGTTGCTGACGCCATTTCCCCAGAGGTCTTTCATGACCTGCACGTACTCCTGAGCGTAGTCGTAGCGGTAGCCGAAGTACTTGTTGCCCGGCCAGACGCCCATTTGTTCATACTCAGCTGCTTGCCACCCGGTCACGATGTTGACCTATCGAGATGCCGTCAGTATCAACTGTTCCAAGTGCAAGGCTCAATTGAGGTGATATATCTCAAGAAGAACGCAACTCACACCGAACCGCTCCGGCGCAATGCTATCAATGGTCACCGCCATCCTTGCGCAAATCGCCGGTGGTAGTGTTAGGATCGCTGTACTCGCAAACAGCTTGATCTTCTTCGTCACCGCCGCAATGCCAGCCATTAGTGTAAAGCTCTCAAGGTTGTGATCCCAGTGTTCGGTAACGCCACCGAAGCCCCGAAGCTTGATCATAGATAGAGCGAAATCGAAGCCGTAGCTCTCCGCCTTCTGCACAACTTGCTTATTTAGCTCGAAAGAGGGCATGTAGCGCGGCGCGGTGGTGGAGATCAGCCATCCATCGTTGCCGATGGGGATGAAGATTCCAATGTCCAGGTTGGGTGCCATTGCTGATTTGGTCACGTGTTGGTGCGATAAGTGGGGGTATGTAGTCGTGAGGAGGAGCTTGCAATATGCTGTGAAGACGTTATGGTTGAAAGGGGAGTACAACTAATCTTGACAAGTATAGGAGGGCTAAATGGAGCTTTATATGTGTCTTGAGTAGTGCTATCGGGTGGTCTTGCTCGTCCCCGATCTGTGATAAGCATCATCGGCTGTCTTCCGCCCGATGATCTGTAGCGTAGTATTGCTAAAGGCTTGCCAGTGGGGCTGACTCTACAATTATTACGAGGTTTAAGAAGCGGAGATTGGGCAATCTGATGAGCACGTTCGACACACTTGTTTGTCGGTGTCGGATTTCACCATGTTGTTGTATTCTACGCATGTATCGGTGTCCTTTTATCAGTAGCGGGGTGAGCTTAACTATAAAATCCTCGGTTCAGAAGTATACACATGTTAAGTGATGTCAAGGCTGCCTCAACGCCTGGTTTAGGAGCGGTCTTCCTGAAGTTTACGAACGCACCCCCCGATTGTATATAAGCACGTGACCTGGAGCTGTTTCTTCTACTATTCTTTAATTTAAACGATTACACGGCCAGGAAACTGCATCTTAGATCTTTATTGCAGGTCATGCTGTTCGTTTAGCAGATCATAATGTTGCCATGCAAGTAGTGTGCCCTATTTTACTAGGACGGAGATGAAAGGAGAGCCGCAACGCACGAATATCCGGTGATAGGTTTCGTACCAAGTGTAGGTGGTCAAGCCAGGCAGGTCACTTGAGGTGCTCTATCAGAGAAGCAGCGTGCAGTGGTGATAGATGTGGAAGCAGGGGTATAAGGATGAGGCTGCGGGTGATGTCTCGATGGTGGTCAAAATCGCGGGCTGCTGACAAAGCAAATTCCCACTTCTGTTCCCGACTTCATCGAACTCATCTCCACTCCCGCTCTTTTCCACCATCAAATATACTAGAGTTACAGTGCTATAAGGGTTATAGTTTACAGAAGCCAGGCCACGGTCGAAGAACCCGACCATTCGCCTCATCAATTGGTATACTGTTTCGCGAGCTTGGCTAAATGCAAGATGGTGTATCTATTAAGTAACACCTGTGCAGCTGTATCAGTCTTTTCCATACCCTCCAGTCCTACTCACTTCTCCTTCCTTCATTGCATTCTGAGGTTTCTCGAAGAAGGATATTTTGGAAATTCGCATATATCTCACGTGATTGAACTTAACCCCTCAGCAGTCCAGACCGTAGATCTCCTTTTAGCTTGCAGCTTCATAAAATTTGGCCTCGCTTCAAATTAGGTCTCATGTCTCTTCTCTTTGTACTCTAAAACTAGACATTTCCCGGACCGGCCCGAGGCGGCGGAATGCGGAACACGGAACGCGAAATCGTTTACTGAGCATCCAACCTCCTCTACAGGCCACGACCTCACCTACGCAAAGCGAGCGAATTCACGAGGTTCTAAGCTTCCGTTAACTCCGTCTCTCACATTATTAGGGTAGTTGTTGGAAGAGTTTGCCCGCTAGATCCGGGCACTCGACCCTCGTTATTAAATACTGCCCGTATTCTGATACCCAGCCCTACCGGTACGGATAAGAAGAAACCCGCGCCTAGCTTGAAACGGTTAACGGAGTCACCTTTATCCTGAACAGGACTCGAGGTGTCTCGGTGCTATTCAAATATCCCCTCTCCTACTTCAAATGTTGCGGTATTCCGAATTCTTCTTGCTTCAGTCATGGCGCCTGAAGTATCGTTCACGTCTTTCAAAAACATCGTCAATGGCGGTTTCCGTGACGCTAAAGAACATACGTATGGACATAACCCAGCCACTGGCGAACAGCTCTGGGATGTGCCGGTAGCTACGAAGCAGGATGTCGATGATGCCGTTCAAGCGGCCCGAACGGCTTTCAAATCGTGGCGAAAAACTACCCTCGCAGAGCGAAAGAAGACTGTTGGAGCTGTGCTTGACGTGTACAAGCGACACTTCCGGGAATTCGGGGACCTTCTCTTGAAGGAGAACGGAAAACCGGTGCGTTTCGGGGAGGAAGAGTATTCTTGAGTAGAGCTAATGTCATTGGTAGACCGTATTTGCCGATGGGGAAGCCAAGATCATCATTGACCAATTCGAGTTTTACCGTTCAGTCTCCCCTCGAGTTTTTTTCCTGAACCACCTGTACTGACACTTTGTCTGATAGTTGATTTGAAACTCGATGACGAAGTGATAGAGCTCAAAGACAGAACCTGCATCAAACGATGGGTACCGGTAGGAGTCGTTGCAGCGATTCTGCCATGGAACTGTGAGTGTAGTCTTAATCCCCGCCGTGATGGGGGGTTAGCTTTGGAGTCATGAAATGGAATGCTGACCGCGTGAATACAGTCCCACTTGCGAATGTTGGTGGAAAGATGATTCCGGCACTATTAGCTGGAAACGCTATCATCATCAAGCCTTCCCCCTTCACGCCTTACTCTGCACTCAAGTTTGTTGAGATAGCGCAGCAGGTTCTTCCACCCGGGCTTGTCCAAGTCTTGGCTGGGGACGACAGGTTGGGGCCATGGCTCACACATCATCCGGATGTGGGCAAGATTGCGTTCACCGGATCCGTCGCGTCAGGGAAAAAGGTCATGGAAGCCGCCTCTAAGACCCTGAAACGAGTGATTCTAGAGCTGTAAGCTCCCTCAGAAACGTTAAAGTGAGGGAAGGAGAACTAAGACGTATGTAGTGGAGGAAATGATGCTTCGATCGTCTGCCCCGACATAGACGTTGATGAAGTAGCTCCCAAGTTAGTGAGAGGAGCATTCTTTAATTCCGGACAGGTATTTTTCTTTCCCCAGGAAGAGGTTAGGAATCTACTGAACCATTCTAGGTCTGCGCCACCGTCAAGCGGGTCTACGTCCATCAAGACATCTACGATAAGTTTCTTGCCGCAGCTGTTAAAGCCGTCAACGCAGTCAAGTGGGGAGACCCCTTGGGTGCAGACGTCTTCCTTGGACCCACTCAGAACTCGATGCAATTCACAAAAGTGAAAGATATCTACGATGATGTCAAAGACAAGGGATACAAAGTAGCAGTCGGAGGAAACATTGCACCAGGGAACGGCCTATACGCCGAGCCGTCGCTGATTGATAATCCACCGAACGACGCTAGGATCGTTACGGAAGAGCAATTTGTACGTCACTTTTTCCTACTCATTCCAAGACAGTCCTGACAATTTTTCGTAGGCACCCATGCTCCCTATTCAAGTTTGGAGTGACGAGGAGGAGGTGATTGAACGTGCCAATGACTCAAAGATGGGTCTAGGTGGGAACGTCTGGTCGAAGGATGAGACGCGTGCCCGGCGTATTGCAGAAAGCCTTGAGGCTGGGAGTGTCTTCATCAATGGCGTGGAAATGCTGACTAACCACGCACCGTATGGCGGCATCAAAGAGAGCGGAATCGGCTTAGAGGGTGGACCGGATGCTATCAAAGGATACTGCGATGTGCAAGTACTTCACACAAACATCAGGTAAGTTGGCGAAGGTAGCCAGTGTGCATGATTTTCAATTGTACAGACAATAAAAGCACTCTCAAATCCTGCATTCTAATTCGGCATCTGTTGAACACGCAAAAGATGTATGTAAGATCTTGTGCAGCCTGCAAATTTCTTCGGAAATCTGTGCTAGCCACAAGTACCTTTAGTGAATTCACGTGATCTGCTACTATCCTGCTTTCATCTTTACCTCTCTGTCTAGCTTAACCCAGAGCCTCAGCTTCATGTCACCACCACGTGGCGGCCTTCGAGACATTTTCAAGCCACCGAATGAGGTAAGTAATTCTCGTCACCCCCATGCTAGGCAGGAAAAAAGTCTGTTTGAGTTGGCCCGGAGAGCTATCAGACCTGCCAAAGCTAGTATTTCATCAATAACAATAGCATACTGGAGGACCTCAAACGGTGCCAGACATGCGCACACAAGCACAGAAAAAGTGTGTGTATACTTCACGGATTCGTAGACTGCCACTTTCTGTTAACACTGATCAACCACGCCGTCTTATAGGTGCACCTGTCTACCACTGCTTGAGGTGCTTCAACGAGTTTCCACATAGTTCAGAGTGGAGAGCTTCTATTCCGTCTAGATTCCTGAAAATGTATTGAAGCACCCCAAGCAGTGGTAGACATGTGCACGTTGTAGAGTGCCACCTTTTTCATGCCCCACATGACGCTCTCTGACCCTACTGATTCACCACAAATGCTGTTGGGTGAACGTCAAAACGCCAATCTCCTACCGCAGCACCCCTTCCAATCATCATGTTGCACCCACCGCAAGCACCCCAGCGACACCCCGATATCCCTACACCACACCACGCCTTCGAGCTCCAGCCCATCTCCAGCATCAGCGCTTCCACAGCCCCCCGCACCTACGCCCTCATCTCCAAACCGGTGCGCGCGCTCAGCACGCCCCACCTCAACCTCTCCGCGCTCCGCTACATATGGACGACCGACCTCTGCCTCCTCGCGACCGGCGAGCAGGCGAGCTGGCAGTACGTCCTCGACACGCCCGCCCAAGACGCCGACCGGCAGGTCTTCACCATCGCGATCAACAGCTTCACCGCGGACGGCCGGAGCCTCCTCGCGTTCCTGTGGCACCGCAAGAGCGACCATCGCACCGGCACGCCGTACGCGCTGGCGCCGCACCCGGCGACGGACGCCGGGTGGGAGTCGCTGCTCGTGCTCGGGCCACTGCCCGCGGAGTTGGACGGGTGGGTTGCGGCGAATGTGGAGGAGTCGGGGGTTGGAGAGAGCTGGTATGGGAATATGGTGAATGGGTTCAGGATTTCTTTGATGCTCGGGAGGGTGACGACGATTCAGCCGGAAACGCTAGTAGCGGAGCGGAGCTTTCCTGGCGAGCACCAGCAACTGTTGAGGCCGGAGGATATCCGAGGGCTTGGATGCGTTTCCGATGAGAAGAAGGCGAAGTATGAGAGGGCGGTTGCTCGGCTGTGGAAGGCGATGCAGGAGAGCGCGGTCGACTCGCCTGAGTATGCGAAAGCTCGTAAGAGGCTTGGGGAGTGGAGCTGGAAGCTGATGGAGGTAGAGCGCATTGAGGGGCTGCAGAGAGCTGCCGCGGAAGCGAAGGCTGCGGAAGATTGAAAGATGGCACGCAACGGCGAGAGATTTTGGACGAGCTTCGACGGCAATCGCGCTAGGCCCGAGCGAATAGGAAGTTGCGAAGGTGAGGCTTCTCTTCTGTGTGGTGAGAATCATAGCTACAATAGCTTCCTAGGAGGTGTCTTCATCACAACTCCTTTCCATGCAGAGAAATGCTTCGCGGAATTGCCGCTCTGGGGAGCCGAGCTTGGATTGTGACATACGTACTCCTTCAACCTTCCCCTTCGTGCCTCTTCCATCACCCCTCATGCATCTTCCTCCACCCTTGGAACCGTGTGCTTAGCAACGTCACCAAACTGCACCATCATTGACAACGCAGAGCCCAAACTTGACCATAAATTCTCCCCCCTCGTCCTCATTCTCAGTGCCAAAGTCACCGTTCAAGAACGCCATACCGGTATCCACGCAGACATCATCTACATCGTCCCAAGAACCACCACGATGTGCGAGAAAATAGTCAACGACCATGTGTGCGGCCATAACACAGAGGCTGGAACCGAGAGATGCTGGAAAGCGGTAACCGTAGGGAAGGGTTGCCAACAACCAATCGACAAAAATGTACCTTCAGAGAACAAATGCCCAGATTGCGACATAGAGGGCATGCGGGACTTGAAGCGGCAATGGTGGAAATTTTGGTAGATTGTTGCAAAAATGGAACAAGTCATGAGCGAGGCTGGGCCTAGTAATTAGCTTTGAGCGGCTTTCTTGTGATGATGCTTAGCGGTAGAGGTATGACCTATCTTATTCCTGTTGTCTTCATCGTGACCCTGTGACCGTCCTTGTTGTTGTCTTCGTGATCTAGGTCGACTAGCCGCGGCTTCAGGTCGGGAATCTGTTGAGGGTAAGTATGAGAAAACGTCCTCGCCTCCGGTAGCCTCTTTGCGGCGGAGATATGGACAGCGCAATGCAGTACGAGAGGAGCTCTCGATGAGCTCCCCGCCGTCGAGTAGCCGGCAAGCCAAATATTCCTACATTGACAGGTTAGCGGCCTCCAAAGAGGGCTGTAGGGAGACGAACCAACGGCGGGTATATCCCACGCAAGTCGCTTTGTGGAAGTCGAACACTTTACGAACTCGCACAAAAGTGGCTTGACTCACGCATACAAGACAACAACATGCAGGCACCCCCGAACGTTGATCGATGGTTGCCAATAGTGGTAGGGTTTGCATAGCTACTATAGCATACCTTGTATTGCACGTCGTTACCTTGTATTGCACGTCGTTGTCTTGTATGCGTGAGTCAAGCCACTCTTGTGCGGGTTCGTCGTCTTCCTCACGTTAAACAAGCTCTGGGCATAGATTCCCAACAGGAATGCGGTTACTTTACGTTTCCTCTTCTTCCAGAGACGAGAATAGGCCAACGGGGAAGACCACCCATATTGGCTCAAGCGTCATGGACTCGCAGAGGGTCGACGCTGGCCAGGTAAAGCAGATTTCTAGCACATCCTATGGGATACAGCCCACTTTGAGCACGTCGTCCTTTCGCTCGTACTCTTTCACGAACTTGCAATCCTGGACCCTCCCCGCTGCTATCTTCAAGACGATCTGCTCGAAGACCTGGGTCAGAGCCAGGGAAGGATCCAGATTTTTTGCCGTGAACTTGTCACGATTGGGCGATTTAATGAAGAGGGACTTGATGGGAACAAATATGTAATCCGAAGGGTTGTAGTCGGCCTCAGGGAGCAAGACTTGGGCAGTGTACATAGTTGCAGTTCCCTCGGTCTTCGCGCCAATTGCACAAGTCGAATGGAGCCTTTCGTCGGAGGCAGGACTTAGGAGTTCCCAGCGAGTGGCTAGGGTCATACGGCAGCAATAAGGTCTGCAGTAGGTCCTCATCAGCCGCCCTACTACACCTTGGGGATGGCCTCGATAGTGTCCCCCTCTCTCAAGCCGAGCTACCACATACGGTTAGTACTGTTGAAGAATAAAGTTTACGAGTAAGTGGCGAGAAAGCAGGGCCGGGAACTGGACCGGGGTCTAAGCCAGTCGGATCAATTATCTACTACAGCTTGTACCTAGAGAGACAGGTCGGGGCGGTGAGGCTCTGCTAAAGCTATTAGCAAGCGGCCAACAATAGAGAAGGGAATGGCGGTTGGACGAGGCACACACTATCTGATGTCAAATCTATCAGCTCGTGTAGACATCCGCATCCGCGACAGTTGGCGGCGTATAGCCTTCTTAAGAAAGGCCCAAGCCTCTGTCGAGAGCGAGCTGTCTTGGATGATTGGCATTGCCGACACTTGCCAGGCGTTTACACCTACAAGCGACGGGATGGCGAGTTGTGTATGATTAGCTGTAGGCAACATGATCCGCCAATCTACCTTGGCTGATGTTCTGTCCATGGTCGATACGCAATGTGATAAGTAACGCCGGGAATACAACAACTGTCGTGGGAGGAAGACTCTTATAACACTCTTGCGTGCTTTTGCTGGACGATTTGCAATGTTATCATCTCAGTCAAGACGTCGATATCAGCGTCCTCCCAGCAAAAATGGTACTTTAGCACGATGGAAGCCGTGTTGCGAAGATTAAGTGTGTTTGTAATTGTGTCGCGGAAGGGATGATCTTTGGTGGGAGGAATGATATCTTCAATGACACAGTGTGGCTTTCGTTGCTCGGTCGGGCCAGGAAGGTGTTGCGTCCGCTTTGCAGTCGGCGGTCTATAACGCTGCAGCCGTCTCGACAGGCTCCGTTCGGGCATTTCTCGAACTCTGGCTGCCGGATGGTAAAGCGATACCGTCGATTGACAAGTGCGAGTCAAGGGCTTCGCAGATAAAGGTGTAGGCGACGGTCCTGGCGCAACCCAGTTGTAAGCGATGGGCTTGTCGGTAGGGACAGACCCGAGAAGTCGGCGAAGACCCACTGATTCTTCTTACCAGCCTCCCCACTTAACGAGGTACTCAATAATGCTCTTGCGGCTCGAACACGGACGTCAATGAAGACTTTCAAGAGCGGCCATAGCTCATTTGTCTCAAGGTCAAGTTGGTCGTATCTGGGATCCCTGGAAACAGGAATTTGTGCTCGGCCAGAGTATGGCTGGCAGGCAACTTCCCTTAGACGACGCGAAATCCTTCGTTGTCCGTGGCGCCTTGCGTAGACTCGTAATGTCGCTTTCGGATGCAACGAGTTCGATACGCTCGAGTTGATGGGTGGTGCTGGAGAAACGGGTATGTCTTCCTCATTGTCCATTTCAACCGCATTCTCAGCCCCGCCGGCGATCTCATCCTCACTGTTGCCGTTGCAGGCATTACCATTCCCATTTTCATCTCCGTCGACGTCGACTTTGGCGTCCGCACAGCCCGGTACGATGAGCCCTATCAACCATTTTTGCGGATCGTGGCGGGTAGCGACAAGTTTTGGAGACTTGGCCTCGCCATCATGTTCCGCAAATCCGGATATTGGCGAAAGAACATTGCAATCGAAAGACTGGAGGCGAATGACATGCAAAAGGAAGGTAACTAACCCGGCAGAAAACGAGACGAACGGACAAACGACGTCTTAGCAGAAAAACCCTCTTCTGGGTATCCCTGCCGCTACCGGGCTTAAAAAAGGCAGCCCCCGCGGTGTGTCGACAATACCAGAGAGGTTGACAGGCGGATATAAATATCACGCTAGAGGAAGATTAGCAGTTGTGTCTGGACTGACAAGGTCGATAAAGGGAGACTGCCCGGGATGAACAGCAAATGGAAAGCTCAGGGTGGTGCGAAACAAACGCGCTGTGATTGCATGGGGAACTGAGATGGAGGGCAGTACAAAACTTTTCGGATCGGGCAACGCGGGGGAAGTCATCGGCACCGTGTGCGTAGAAATGCGACAAGCAAAGAGAGATCAACGAGAACAGTGGGAATGCAGAGTACTTTAAGAAGGCGACACACCACAGCAGATAATAGAGCGGTATAAGAGAAGAATAAGGACACAACAACAGCAATGCGGAAGCCAAGGAGAGAAATATGCTGGACGAAGACCACGGGATCATCGATGGAGATAGAAAGCGATCAAGGGAGATAAGAAAGAAAAAGAAGAGAAGAAAGCAAGAAACGTACCCATAAACTGACACAAGTCCGACAGCCCTCGAGGGGTCGAAAAGTAGCCCCCGAAGGCCAAAGAGAAGAACATGTGCACCCTTCTTCAGTACACGAAGGGACGGCCCACCCCAGAGCACTGACGACAGGTCCAACTTTGTGCTGCGCGTCTGAGCCTATCTGCCGATGCTGAAGTGCGGAGACAGTACCCAAGGCCCACTCACGACAGGCACCTGCCAGTAGTGCAAGGCCGCACCAACGCGGCATTTTCAGAGCTTCGTGGAGCAGGTCGGTTCGCTGTCCTCAGGACCTACTGCAGTCCGATAGAAGCTCAAGAGGCTGACTTATCGGGGGATAGACCATCGAGATCTCGGAATCTCGACTGGCGGTTCGGGCTGCAACTGATGATCTCGAAGAGGACATTGGCTAGACATCATCTCTACAACCGCTGGCGACTGCATAGAGGCTTCCTGCCGATGTTGTACCACCGACAACAGATAGGGTAAGGTCCAGGGATCCAACATGTATCCCGCCGTGTTATGTGACCATTGCTAATTATATCTGGATTTCTTCGCCAGTGCCAGGAGGGGAGCTTGTTGCCCTTGAACGGAAGATTGTAATGCAGGCGGTTCTGATTATGGCAGTTGGTAGAGAGCTGGAGTGTTTGAGGATTCTCGTGATAAGGCAGGCTCCCGTCAGCTCCACTTCCCCGCTTGCGCGATGTTGCTTTTGACGCGCTGAGATTCTAACAAGGCGTCTTGTGTCACTCTACGCCTCACTCTTCCTCTGCGCTCATAACGCCAACCCAATTGAGTCATGAAAGATTAGCCAATGGGTAGCCAAGGCGGAAAAAAGGCCAACTCACCAGCTTGAGCGTATACGAAAATCCACGCCAGCCATGCCATCAACTGTCTCGAAACCCAGCCAAGCCAAGCCCCACTGCGCCGAATGTGACAGCTCAATCAAGACTCAGCCGGCGAGCCGCAGCAACCACCAGACCTGTAAACCTAAATTAGCGTACATAGTACCACAACATAGTACCACAAGAATCAGAACCCTCATCCCAGCAAAATCTCCCACCCGCAGTCCAGCCCGCTTCCTCTCGCCTATCCAGCACAGCTTTCCCCAACATCACCAGTCACCGCCGAACGCCACGGCTGCAGATGCACGATATGCTTAGCTACCTACTATCCCTAGATCCATGTATACACACCAACCCACCCGACTTCCTGTGCCCTCCCGCTTCCCCTCCCGAAACCCATGAAACCCCGCCAGACGCAGAAACGCCAACGCTTGCCAGGCAGCCAATCCAAGGTAGTACAACGCGCAGACGCCGAAGAAAGTCACCGATGAATCAAGTTACCGAAGACATGATCAGGCCGTAAAACCAAAAGACATCATCGCGAAGAAGACAGCGCAGATCGAAGATCAAACACCAAGAATAGAAGACAATAGTTCGGGTATCAACACTCCACTCCACTCTACACCACACCGCAGCTCCATACGTATGCGGCGTACCGTCGGTACAAGAGCTTGCATGATGCAGTCTCTTGGCCCGTCATTCCGTCTCAATACTCGCGGCCTCCATCTCTTATCGGTCATGTCCTTGGTTAACCTAAGCGAGAGGCTAAATAATACCAATCTGCTTTCAGGGTCTGGGGGCCATCGACGGCTGAATCTTCGCGAACAATTCCGTATCTAGGAAGTTGTAATGCGGATCCGAGAAGCAGAAGGGCGCCCTGAGAAGCGTCTCTGCAGTCGGACGATCGATGGGATCACTGTTTGCATATTAGCACTCGTCCCCTTTGCGCCAGCCGTTGTGACTGTGTTCAGGAGGTACTTACATCGTAAAGCAGTCATACATGAAACTGAGCGCCTGCGGTGTAATTTGCCCAGACACGTCATCTGGAATCGGGGGCGCCTGGTTCAAGCTCCCCAGCTTATAGATCGCACCGATAGCCTCCTCTTTGCTCCACGGCCTACGTCCCGCAAACATCTCCAGTACCACGCAACCCAGTGACCAGATGTCGACTTTGGCTGAGTAACCTTGGCCTTGGGAGCGGATGACCTCGGGCGCCATCCAGAAGACGGAGCCTTGCATGCTGTTCGTGATGTCGTTGCCGTAGATATTATCCGTCTTCTTAGAGATACCGAAATCAGAGATCTTGCACGTGCCGTCGAGATCCAGGAGGATGTTATCAGCTTTGAGATCACGATGCAAGATACCTTCGCGATGGAGGTAGCTAAGCCCGCAGAGTGTCTGGCGGGTCAGGCTGCTAACAACGCTCTCCTCGAACTTGCCGTGTTTGCGCAAGCAACTCCCGACACTACCACCGGGGATGTACTCGAGGAAGATGGAGATGGAGTACTCCTTGCGCTCACAACCGAGGTACTGCACAATGTTGGGGTGGTCGAGATGCTGCATGGTGTCGATTTCCAGGTCGAGGGATTTGACGAGCTCTTTCATTTTCACTTTGTCTTGCCCGGCGATTTTGGGGTTGACTTCGACTTGCTTGACGGCGATGAGCTCACCAGTTGTGATGTTCATACCAAGGTAGACGCGGCCGAAAGTGCCTTTGCCAATGAGTTGACCCTTCATCCATTTGAACGTGGGCTGGCGCTGGGGAACGGGGAGGTGGTCTTGTGGGATCGGATCGAGCTGAATGAGACGCGAGCCACGAGGCGGTTTGACTTGCTCGATTTTGGCGTGGAACATCTTCGTGCTCTTACGGCGAATGATGTCGCCGCCGCCTCGGAGGGTGCTGACACGGGCTGGACCGGGGATGGATCGTTTTTCCAGAGGCTGGTATTGGGATTTGACGACTTCACGGATAGACTTGTGGCGGTCGAGGCCGCCTGATTTGCGCAGATTGCGTTGAGCGATGGACTGGAGGCCAACTTCGCCACGCTTCAGGCCGATCGGATTGCTTGGGCCCATTGTGTCGCCTTCGTCAAATGAAGACATTGGCGTGACGGAACGGCTTGGTCTGTTAGAGAAGTCGCTGCTAGAAGGACCAGTGCCCGGAGAGCTCGGAGGTGAGCCACCTTCCTCTAGCATCGGCTGGTCGAGGTTGATGTTGGGGAAGAACTCGTCGAGATGCTCTGCAAGTGCTTCAGGAGGTGGACGATTGGCCCAGACATCGCTAGCAAAAGACTCGCGACGACCGAACTTGTTATTCTCGTCTGGTGATTCCGCTGACCAGGTAGCAGATGCCGCTGATTCAGGGATGCTGTTGCTGTTGCTGCGTTGCGAGGCTTTGGCGTCGCTCTCGTTCGCTTCTGTTGCAGCGCTTTGTTCAACGGCAGATTTTTCTGGCGATTCGAAAGCAACCTTTGATCGCGACGTCTTCAAGGTCAACGACGGCCTCTGACCCCTAGGGCTGCCCTCAATCATAGGAGCCTTGCCCTTGGGTGGTGGGCTATCTTCCACCTTAGCTAGCGGTTTGGCAAATAGACCCTCGTCAGAATCATCATCTTCGGAGTCGGCTGGCGCAAGCATTGGTGACTTGTTAAAAGCAACATGGGACTCCGTGAAGTCCACCGTTGGGCCCCATACTGAAGCCCTTGAAGGCTCGCGAGAAAGCTGTGACGGTGGCGCATTTCGGGTGGATGGGCTGATGTCTGGCGTCTTCTGTCGCGGAATGTTCTCCTCGCGCAGCTTGCTGATGGCCGGATTTGCAGGCGTTTGGATAGTAAGGTTCGGCCTTGGAAGAACAAGGTCTCCAGGCACATCTTCCTCATAGTCAGGTATTTTGAATGGAACGTTGCCTTTGCTCATGGTAAATGAACCTGGACTGCGAGGAGACCCACCTGGACTGTATCTTCCTGTTTCTGCTGAGCCAAATCCGTTCTGTTGCAGCACTCTGGTAGAAGGTCGAGTGTTTTCCGCCGCGAAATCTCGGGCGAGAGGCGCTGGAGGTTGTTTCGGCGGAGAGGCGGCATTTGCTGCACCAATATATCCACCCATCTTCCCGGCCCCGACGATAGCTTGCGCGATACTGGACAATCCGGAAGGTCCTTGAGGTATGGCCTTTCGTCGCGCGTGCTCTCCTTCCGTCGAAGTTCGCTCTCTTTCTCCAGATGGCCGCTCTCCCGACCTTCGCTTTGCCGACGCCTCGTCTGAGTCAGGCCAGGATTGTCGGTCGCGTTTATTCTTTGTCAAGGAATTTGCCTTTATCAAGGTGCTGCTATCCACTGGTGGTTTTGGAGGCGGTTCGCGTAGCGGCACAAGAGGCTTGCTTTTTCGGTGTTCTTCGAATGGCTTCTGCTTGTCTTCGTACGGCGAATCGCGACGATCGTCAAAGTCAATAACACCGTCTCTCTTGATTCCGTAATTGCCGTTGGCATCGGGAGAGTGTTTATTGAGCTGTTGTCTTTGATGCACTTGCTTTTGGTATGCCTCCTGTTTGCGCCTTGTCTCACGGCGATGTTCCTCAGCAGCAGCTTCCAGCATTTCCCTTCGCTCAGACTCAGACAGATCGTCAGATGTCTCCCAATTCCGGTCACTCTTGTTCGGCCGCTGAGTGACGGCCTCTGGAGTAATTTCTTCTTTGTCTTTCTTGCCTAGACTGCGAAGTGTAGAGCCCTTGTCTGGTACCAGCGTTGATTCCCCTGATCGAGTCACCGGAGACTCTACTTGTGAGTCTGCATTTAATCTAGCATACGTAGCCTCGTCGATTGGCTTGCGAGATGCTGGGAAAGTGCCTGTACCGAAGGAAACTCCCAGTCCGGCTGAAGGAGGCATCGATGGTGGTGGAGTAACAAATATTCGAAGCTCAGCATAAGGGTTTCCCCACTGGCTCGTGGCTTTCAGTAGCTGCTTATCATTCAAAGCTGGTTCATTATCGTGCTCTTGTTTGGACTTTCCAGGGATGGTCAAGTGCAGACTAACGCCGGGTACATTGGCCAGACCAAGACCGTCGCAAATCAGCTCTCGTAAAGAAGAAGCTGATTCCGCACTGGTAATCTCAACAAGTCGGTAGTTCCAGCCATCGGGTGTTACAAAAGCAAACTTTCTTTGGTCACTACGTTTGCGTCCGTGGCCTTCATCAGCGGCCGATCGCCTAGACGGAGGTCTTTCGTTGAGAGAAGCGTCGCTTGCGTTCAGTGACGATTTCGCATACGGTGTACTTAGTGGCAGATGACGATAGCCAACGGGGCTGGTTGGGGAATCTACACTTGACTCATCGGGAGAGGCATGGATGTCGTCTTTCTTCTTATCCCTCCGCATAAACTTTGGTAAGAAGGTCTTGTGCTCCTTAGCGCTCGAAGGTACTTCTCCGCTGTGGTGCCTTCCTGAATCCGGCCGAGGTGCATCGACTCCGTTTCTACGAGCCTCGTTTCTGCTCTCGGTTCGACTCTCCATTCTTGTCTCCATACGGGTGTCGATTGATCTTCCAGAAGGTGGACCTGAACCGATGGTTGAGCCGGCTGTTGCAATGTTTGAGAGATTTGACTCAGAGCTATTGGCTCTATGGTGACTGTAATACCGAGGAGCATTTGTGCTCAGTGACGTAGCCAAGCCATTTGGATTACTGGCCAGACGAGCGGAAGGAAGTCCAGGACTTTGTTGTGGGCTAGGGCCCCTCATAGCTTCTCGGTAATTTCCAAATTCTCCAGAAGTATTGGGGCTATGCTTTCGGGAATTATTTCCATCCAAATTGCGTAGCACGTCCTTGGAATACGCACTTCGATTATGTACTTCGCTATAGTCGGGAGGTTGTCCGAGAGTAGGAACCGGAACGGTGAAATTTCGTTGAGTGGATATCCGCCTTGGAGCAACTGCAGGAGAGTTCATACCATAAGACAGTGGCATTTGTTTACCAGGGCTGTCTTCGCCTCCGCCAGCAGTCGTAGGGGTGGATCCAAAATCCATACGACCGCCAAGATATGGCGAATTCTCCAGAGTTCCTTCAGTTCCCGCACTTGCGAGGGTCATAGAACCACGTCGGGTAGGTAATCGAGCATTAGCTGAGCTCCCAGTTTCCACAATAGCCCGAACCAATCGCCGAAGCCTTCTTCCTTCGTCTCGTTCCCGACTTTGATCCCATCCAGTACCACTAGCAGTGCATTGTTTTGCCAACTCCGGAAATATGACCTTATGCATCACAGCAACATTTCCCTTGCTACCATGACCTCTCCCAATCTCGAGGAAGTTTGCGCCATACATGTTGAGAGTCTTGAAGGTATCCTGCCAATCCTTGGAAAATCCGTTACTCGAAAGCCATATTTGGACGCGGTCCGGAGGCCATTGTATGCTTGCATCACGGGGAGATATTGGTGTGGGCCCGGCTGACTGCGCGTGTTCGTAAATACTGCCATGGGGTTGCGGGTTCTGCAGAGTAGCAGTGGGAGGTCCAGGAACTTGGTACTCCTGAGCTTCTCGAGTAGGGATATTCAGATGTGTGCGCGTACTCGGTGTCGGTGGAGGGCCATATCCTTGATTCTGTCCATATTGAGTAGTCTCGGCGGGTGTAGGAAACCCCGTACTTGAGTGTTCTGTAGTTGCAGAATATGTGGCCGGATCGTTGGGGTTGTAGTACGCAGGGTCCTGATACCTGGATGGAGTGTGTAAAGGGGGAATTCCTACTCCGGGCCCAAACGACTCGCCAAAGGGAATATACGTCGCGGACGTCAGCGGCTGGTCCGGCGGAGGAGGTAATTGCTGGTAGGACTGATACGCATTTGGATTATATGCTACATGACCAGTGTTTGTCGGAGTTGGATACTGTTGTCGAGGAGCGCCCCAGCCGTAGTTCTGTGTTTGGGGAGGTGGAGGAGGTATGGGCATGCCATGCTGTACTTGGGGCCTCGGAGGAGGTGGAGGTAAGGGCATTCCATACGCGGTTGGCGTGGAGATTTGCTGAGGGGGAGGAGGGGGAATATTATGTGGATGCATCATTGATAAAGACTCTGGGCGATAATTTTGTTGGCGCTGGAGATAGTTCGAGTCTGCGTAGGTATATGCGCGCGGTCGAGGGCTCGTGGAGCCTTTTGGGGGGGCGTTCGAGTATGAAGGATAAGGCGACCCAGCGCTGGGCGGTATGAGTAGGGAGGATGACGAGTTGGTCAGGCCCGGAACGTCGTTGAGGACCAGGTCTGTTGGTACTGCAAGCTGAGTACGGATCGCAGAAAGAGGAGTCGGAGGACCACGTCGGTCCGCTCTGTCAGAAGTGTTTGATCGATTGGACGAAGAGCGCTGTCGCGACCCAATTGTCATGATTCAAAGCACGGATAGAGTTCTGGTGGTTGCGCCTCAGAGTGATGCGAGGGCGGAGATGGTCCTCATAACCTCATGATGGAGCCTCCAGTATATCCAAGAGGCTGATGTCTGTCCCATGCCTCGCTGAAGGAATATCCACGCCAGATGCCACGAGGCTATGTCCTGAAGTGTCCTGAAGGAAGGCGGAGCGAGGCGTGGGGGAGGGCGTTCCGGTGAGGATTTCGAGGCGTACAGGCTCTGCGGCGTTCGGGGAGCCAAACGAGAAGCAAAGGATGCTCGCGACGAGGGCGAAAGTCCAGCTGGTCTACTTATGAATGCGCGATGAGTTTTCTCGAGGTCTAGAAGCTAAGTCAGGGTGGGAGACTCATTGAACAGGCAGGTGGGTGGTGGAGGCGGCGGCTGAGAGGCGGAGGTGAGCGTACTCGGGACGGGCAAGCTGGCCCAGCACCTGAGGCACCAGCAGGCCGTGGACAGGAGAGTTTGTTTGGGGTGTTTGGCGGGGATCGAGATGGGCGCAGTGCTGGAAAGCCTCTCAAAGCTCCCGCTGGGGTCGTTGTGAGTTGTTCAACACCACGATAGCAGCCCTGGCAGCTCTCTACGCGGCGTGGGCCGTGCTGCCAAGTCGGGCGCCTATTTGTCGCAAGAGCGCTTGCAATTGGCCAAACTCCACGCCGACCAACACGTCTATCCAACTCCACGCTTCCAACTGCTCCATTCACGCAACCCATCTTCTGCCGTCCTTTCCGTAACTTCGAGCCTCCCTGGCCTGTTCATTGCGCCTCAATCAAAGAGCATCGTGGCGCAAAAGACGGAGTAGTACAGGCATTCTAGGCGCTTATCCAGGTACGACCTCTCCACTTTGCTTGCACGCGACTCGGCCAACGGGTCAACGAGAGGGTATTTTGTGGTACGTATTTCTCATGTGCGCCTCCTATATTACAACCTCTCTTTCTATGTACTTTTTCGGCAATTGAGACCGCCTCGCTAGGCATACGAACACGAGGTCGCGTCCAGACCTCAGACATGAGCCACCGCCATACCACATGGCGGTCAACCTTGCGCAAAGCCTTGCCGAGTTCCGCCTACCCGCTTTGATCGTACTCGACCCTCCAGCGTAGACTTCTCGTCAAATATCACTGGACAGATTGAAGATTCTCATGTGCGTAATGTTGTCCTAGCTCAAAACGACCCACCAAAGTCCATTTCCGCTTTGGAGCCTGGGCATACAACAATTACAAAAGAATCAATCGATGGAGGGAAGGAACACATCTCATCGCTATTGATACTGCGCCGTCTCCTTGTCAAGCAGCTTCTAAAGGCGGTTTCCACTTCCATTTTCTAGCCCCTTTTCACGTGTGCGTGAACTATACCTCTCCATTAACCACCAGTTTGCCCTTTCTCATCTGTTTAAGCAAAGAAAGAAAGAGACCATAGTATTTTGCCTACTAGAGAGAGCTTGTTTCTCATCTCAAGATATAACCCTCTCATCTATCGGTCGCTATTTCTCGCGGCATTCGCAAGTGAGTTTTGCTCCTACTTCTACAAGTGCCAAGATCAGATAGCCTGACAAGGGATTCCATACTACACTCAAATTTCAACAGATAAGTCCTGAATTAACAACATCGATTCTCCACAAACCTACCGCTAACAACCTCCCCCAATCCCCCAACGCTCCCATCAAACACATCCGCAATCCACACCACTCCCTTCGCAACATCCAGCACCCCCTCCCACCCTCGCAATCCCCTCTCCCTCATGACCTCCACTAACAACCCCACAATCTCCCCCATCTTCACAGCCCCCTCCTCAACTCCCATCCCCGCCATAACCAAAACCCACACCTCCAACTCCCACAACGCGCCCCAATCACCACCCAAATCCGACATCCCCCTCAACTGCGCGACTAGCTTCTCAACCAGCGCCGCCGTCAGCACAGGCCCGGTCCCGAACTTCCGCCATACCGGCGCGATGTACAGTAGACACGCCAGCCGGCAGCACTCCTCGATATGCTTGCGGTTGGCGCTGTGCGTCGTAAGGTCATCGAACGGGCACCACGAGAGGAGGCGGTGGGCGAGCACGCCGGGCCAGCCGCCACCGTCGGTGGCTTTCATCCAGAACTCTGGGCCCTGTGCAGCGGAGGTGGAGGATGTGGAGACTGAGAAGTCGATGAGGTCAGAGAAAATGGAGAGGAAGGGGGATGAGGGGGTGAAGAGCTGGGTGCAGGCTGCTAGGATGGGGTGGTTGGAGCTGGGTGCCTGAGGTTGGAAAGGTGAGAGATGGGGGCAGAGGGAGGTCCAGGCGGGTGGGAGGGGGAATTGGGGGCGGAGGTTCCAGGTGTAGGCGCCGCGGAGCTCGACCCTGAGAAGCCCTTTGGCAGATTGCTCTTATGCAAGGGGGGTTGGAGGTAGGTGGGTTTCTATACCAAGATATCGTCGTCCGCAGACTCTTGTTGCTGCTTATAGCATCTATACCACCCCGGAAATCAAGCACGTTTTTCAGGCCCTCGCGGTGCTTGAGCCAGCTGTCTCGCTGGCCGACCGCTGCCTATTCTAAAACATTAGTATCACATCAAACCAGCTCGAAAGGTCGCAAAAGATCGAATTGGCATTAGGGAAGCGCGCTCGTAACATACATCATGGCACAAAAACCCCGCCACAGCGCCCACCGCCTCGTCGCTCCCCCTAAACTTCTCGTCCGCCAACTCACTACTCAATCCCCGGATCGCGTTTCCGAGATGCTTCAAGCTCCTCTCGCTATCGCCCACCGCCATCCCCTTCTCACCGCCTCCGCTCTTAACCCGTAGATAAGCTAGGCTCATCGCCGAGTTCGACAGCACGAGATGGAAGGACACCGTGCTCGCCAGACCGACTGGAAACCAGTCGTCCCGCAGCGCGCGCAAGCAGCCGGCGGCGTCGTTGCGGAAGATGTGGGCGACCAGCTCGCGGATGGAGGGCGTGAGGGGGATGGGGTAGGGGAGGAAGGGGTCGATTTCGCCTTGGCCGAGGCTGAGGGGCTGGTATGGAGAGATAGAGACGGGTAGAGATGTACGACTTGGGAGATATGTATTGTGGTTTGAGATGGCAGAATAGAAATGTGTGAGATCGAGGGGGATGTCAGTAACACCGCGTTTCTTTCGCGGCTTGCGGCGCGATAGGCCGATATCACGCATGGCATGTTGGTGGGCTTTGCGGCGGGCTGAAGGGTCTTGGGTGTCTTCTGGAGTGGAGATGTTGATGAATTGGAGGGCGCGCTTGGTGTTGTTCTTGCTCTCTGGCTTCCGATGAGTAGTAGACATGGTTGATAGTTGGGTGGAGAAGAGTTCTACGTTTATTCATGGTTTCTGATACTTTGCATTATGAGAAAAGACCGTTGGCGTAGGAGGAAATAATTCCGTGGTCATGTTGGCGGTCTTGATGATAAATCGTGAGCCCTACCTATCGCCAAAGGAGACCGAAGACTAATCATGGCCTAACGTCTTTCAGTTAGACTTTGCTGGGCTCCATCACGTGATACCACCACTCACCTCTGTGGCGCCATTATGAATTGAATGACGAATCCGAACACCTAGCAAGAGGGTGATATGGAAGTATTCCTCTTGTCTAGCCTTTTGTTCCAGGGAATTCAGGCTACTTTATCGATTAGAATATGTCGCGTCCAGGTGACAGCTCACGTGAAAGGAAAGCTAATGCACGACCACCCTTGACCAGATGCCATATTGGGCCTAGCTACCCGCCGCCGTCTCGACATCAACCTGATATTACCGCACTGATAGACGCTCATCACGGAATGACCAATAGATGGCAGAAGTCTGCTTATTGAAGCACTATCGGAGAACATAAAAGAAGAACATTTTGTCCGTATCATTCTAAATTTGGAGTCAACTACACAACTAATTTGACCCCTTTGCAGCAATTAGTCAAGGAAGAAAGAAAACCACGACTACCACGCAGCAATCTAAAATTTCGTATACCCCTTCCCCGCCACAAATGTCGCATCCCACGGCACACTGACCTCCTCCGTCGCGAGCTGGAAGTAGAAATCCGCATGCGCCGGCCCGTCAATCCCCGCACCCTTGGATCCACCATCTGGCTTACGCTCGTCTGCATAGTAAAACCTGCCCTCATTAGCAAACATCCCCCCTGCCTCAAACCAACAGAATCAGAGCGAAGGAAAAAAACTCACTTAAACCCCTTCTCCTTATACAACTCACTCGCCGCCCCGACCCAATACGCGGCCCCCGCCTTCCCCACTCCCAGCGTAAGCACGTACGGCGTCGACATGATGAACGTATTGAGTATATTCCCCGTGTAAATAAACGCCTTCGTCCCCTGCTCCTTTCCCAGACTCTCAAAGCCCGCCACCGCCTCCCTCGCCGCGGCGTACGCGCTGATCGTCATGAGCTTCACGTCTTTCTCTAGCGTCGCGGTCTCGATCGAGAACATGTTCTTGGGATCTGGCGGCGGCGACGTGTTCGCGGCGTTGTAGATCACGATGTTGGGAGTGCCGAACTCCTTTTTGACCTTTGAGAAGGCGGCCGGGATGGCGGCCGGGTCGGCGAGGTCGATTTTGATGTTGAGGTGGCCGGCAGAGGTCAGGCCGTCGCTGAGACTGCGCGCGGCGAGGGCGATGCGGTAGCCGGCGGCGCTGAATTTGGCGGAGAGGGCTGCGCCGATGTTGGCGCCGGCGCCGAGGACGAGGAGGATAGGTTTAGTCATTTTGGAAGATTGAGTGGGGAATTTAGAGGTGATAGAGCTGAGATAGTGATATAGTAAGAAGGGATGGTATCTGAGAGTCCACTGAGACTGAGAGTTAAGGGTTGAGAATGGATGGAATGTCTAGGTAAGAGTTGCAGGCTCGGGCGGCCACTCTTATATAGAATTCGCGTATGCTACCACGCTAGGCACGAAAAAAGTGGCACACTCATCAAGTACTCTGCCCGTATGTACACCTGTTTACCACTGCAGGAAGTGCTTCAACAAGTTTCCACATAACCCAAAGCGAAGAGCATCTATCTTTTTTAAATTCCTGAAAATACATTGAGGCAACCCAAGCAGTGGCAAACAGGTGTATATACGGGCAGAGTACTTGATGAGTGTGCCACCTTTTCCATGCCCCGCGCGGATACCACCGTACGCCCATTCCAGTCCGAAAGACCGACAGAGCGAAGGAATAGTAAGCTCCTGGGTGATTACCAAGCCCTAACTCTATGACGGCGCTTTGAAATATGCTCCATATGCACATGCATCTATGGCCCTTGGGGGCTGTGGCCGGAACCTTGAGGGCGGGAGCATCTGCGCTCCGCATTTTGATTGGTGATTGAGATAAGAGTAAACGCTAGCTCTCTTCCTGATGTAAGTAGAGCGCCGCTTTGACATGCTGAATGTGCTGACACAGCAGTTTGCTTCCCATGAAATTAGAAGTAGACGCGGAAGTGCACGTAAAGGTGGTCCGAAGTGCACTAAGTGCTATTACAATGCCTCGTGATAGAAATCCGTATACTCGTTTGGCGCTGCATGAAGAGCTTCATAATATTCTCCACATTCCGAACAAGAGAGAACTTCGGCATTTTGGACAACTGGTAAACTCATGAGACTACCCCAGACAGCGACAACAGGGTCTACGCAGATTGAAAGTGTATCCACTTCTTTTCGTACGTTGAAGCCCCATAGACAGTGGCAAGCAGGTGTACGGATTTCTGCGACGAGGCATTGTAGCATAGCAGAATTCGCTTCCAGTTCCGATCCAGACGTTAGACGTTGATAAGCATCCTGCAAATTGTAGAGCATTGGCAAACTTTCCGCATTGAAGAGAATTGAGACAGGGAGAACATGAGGTTTTTATTATCCGTAGGAGACTGGAAAAGAAAGAACCAACGCAGTCATCGACCTGCGACTAAGCTGATGTTCAACGGATTCCCCGAGGTGTCTAAGCGCGATTACTAAGTGACAGATTTATAGCATACTATTCTTGACTTCGCTCAGATTCTTTGCCTCCTTCATCTGTCGTTTCTTCTCCTTAGCCTCAGCCTCTATGGCGGCAAGCTCTTTCTCTTCCCTGGGAAAGAGGCCACCTGGGAAGAAGGTCCCCACCAAAGCACGGCCAACTGTAGGAAAAGCTCGTTCGGCTTCGATGATTGCCGTAATTACCTTCGGACTCCCAATCACTGTGGTAAACTTGAGCGGGAGACCGAGGGCTTCGGGTTTCCTGCTCCAGCCAGCGACAAACATGTTCTGCAGCATCCCTATGCCGCCAACCGCGATGAGAAACCAAGACTGGTCTGTAAGGGCTGAGCTTGTAATGAGTAAGATCACCCACAGCACGCCCAAGATAATCATGCCGAATCGAGTAGTTTTTGAGATGGCCGGAGAATCGAGGTTGTCGAAGCCAGTGCACAGGTCTTCTAGGTTCAGGCCACATCCATCACATTCGACGACGATGGCATGCTGTGCGCCATTTCCTCTCGTCATGAGATACGTTCTCTTCTTTCCCGGTTCGATCTGCCGACACGCCCATTTCTCCCGGCGCCACTGCCGCTGGCAGCCAGTCAGAAGGCATAGGAGTATGGCGGAGGCTGTCACAAGGAACACGCCCCAATTGCCATAAACACCCAAAGGGATCAGGGAAACACCCAATTGGATAATAGCAACGACGATGCCGGACCAGAACAACAGATCCCGTCCTGGCTTTTGGAACTGGTCCTTCTTGTCCGCATCGAACTTCCAGACCGAGACGACCAGGCCAGCATGTGCCGGGAATTCGACCTTGCTAGGATCCAGCCCTTTCGATACGGCTTGGTCTTTGTCATACTGCCATTTGCTGTTCTTGAGTTCCTTGACTTTCTCTCTTACTGGGTCGCCCATCCAGTATTCGAAATCGCGCATTGTTCGACCAAGGACCCAAGAGCCGTTACCACGTGATTGTCCGTTCTCTGCGTTGATGACGGTACAGGGCGTGTCGGCACCGGGCATCAACTTGTTCTCTCCAATTGCGGAGTTGATGGCGGAGGTGGCATAAGATACCCAACCTGTAACGCATATTAGTAAAGGGGAGCCGGTGCTATGGGATGATGGAAATCAGACAAGGCATCGCTCTTCATAAGTACGATTCGTTGCGAAGAACATCGAGGCTGCAAACATGTGGAGCATCTCTCGTGCGAGTTGCGCAAATGCAAAAGGACATACCGAATGAGAAGGCCACCGGCGTAATGCGTCCTCCAGCTAGCTGTGCGAGAGCTCTGGAAACAACATCGCCACCCAGAAGGAGGAGGATCGTGAAAGCATAGTTGGTTGGGCTCGCCCACTCGGCCTTGAATGCGGCAGACGGTGCATTCAGGTCGAATTCTCGGTGCTTGTGGAACGGCGGCATGGTGTGCTCAGAGTCCGTATGAGAGAAGTTGGGTGGTGAGAGTGCAACAATTTTGCAGCCACTCTTTGCTTCTGCGCATAGTGTTTTCCGTGCTTGAACAATCAAAAACCACGACCAGGGATTTACACCCTCGCAAAGGACTCCTCCGTCACGTACCGGGGTTCAGCTATTCCACGCAAGCCACGTTCCGACGGATTGGTAACAGCTAAAAGCTACCCTTGCACCACGCACAAGCACTGAACGCCCAGAAACCATATCGTCTCCAACTTCCAGCTAATCTTCCACCTCTTCTTTGGAGGTTAGGAGAGAAACGATGTATAAAACACTACTAGGCCGCGGGCTGGGCCTAACGATTCAACGTCTGGGGCATCCACTAAATCTTCTAGTTCAACGGTCGATGGCCTTTGAAGCTGCAAGACCTCGCACACTGCACTCAACGTGATTGGTCCATTTTAGACGAGGTGGAGCAAAGTCGCCTATCCCCGTCTTTCAACAGCACCTTGACAGCGACGATCAGAGGTTCAGCTGGCATCTCTTCTGCGCCATGAATCGACAACCAATACTCTCCTGCCACATCGTGGTTTTGCAGCCGTATTCGTGGTGTTCGTGCCCACACGCCTCCCTTTTGGGGCAGGTTGCATTTCGGACATCTGCTGACTGCCGTGAAGGCTGGCTACAGCCGGCAGGTCCGGGCGAGAGTATCGTACTCTCAGCATGGATTTTGATCTTTCGGCGGGCAGCTACAGCTGTACTGCAACCCACTCGCTCGAGGAGGTGCTGCACAAAGATTATTTTGGAAAAATCTTCTGAGCCAAAACTGTAGACATCCTGCCACCGGTTGCGTTCGGCGCCCTTTAAATCAGCATAAATATAAGCACTTCCCTTCTTACAAAGTTACTACCTCTTCCAGATCTTTTTCGAAAGCTGGCTTTTCTGCCGCCATAATCAATCTTGTACAGAAGCTCCGACGAGGCTGACTACAACCCATGGATCATCTCGTCCTTCCGGAAGGCGCGAAGCCCTGGATGAAGTTGGCGTACGATTGCCCAGAGACTGAACATTACGAAAACATACCCGATAAGGGTTTCGCATACCCCGAGTTCTACAAGAGAGTTGGTTGGGCCTACGATGAGGTATGGGCGCAGCCTCAGCAAAGCGAGGACCTCCTCGGAGGAGTCGTAGAAGGCGAAGAGGATAAGATCCGCGAGCCCTGGGAACTCGACAAATTCTTTCAGACGTGGCTTTTCTTCGGCCTCATCATCGAGGTGTTCGCCCTCAGCGGGATTGAAGTAAAGACTAGTGATTTCCTGGCTCCAATTACGAGGAAGGCCGTCCATAAGCCGCAGACGGCGCGCCTGATCACGACCGCCAAGCTGCCGGATTTGATCAAGCGGTGGAGGGAAAAGCATACAGCATCAAGAGACGAAACAGTTTTTGACGGGGCGATAAGACTTCTTGACCATGTGGGCAAGATCGTGGATTACCATTGTGCGGGCGGAAAAGATCACCGGTCTATCCACCAGTATGGAAAGGTCCTGTGGTCGGTCGCAGATGAAACGACAACGGCCATTATCGCAGTTGCTTTCACGCTCCGCAAGGCTGCATTCGCCATATACAACAAGCCAGGCAATGGGGACCGATGGCCAGTCACCAATTCCATGCTCTTATACCAACGCATCCAGAGGAAGTGGTGCAAGTCCGATGCAGCGATGATAATGGAAGACTTTGACATCGATGGCCAGAATTATATCGCCGCGGCAACAGGCCGCGCGCTCGAAGAACTTGACCGCCATTATGCTTGCACTGATCGTGCGTGCGAAGCAAGAGTGGCTGACGGGACTTACGAGACTCAGCATGACCCCAACTGCCACGAGGATGACTACGAGCCCGAGCCCAAATTTCTGGGGCATGTGTATCCTGAATACGGCAAAAGCCCCGCATCCCTTAGGGAAGCGATCAAAGATACCATGGATGCGGGCCATTTGCCCGTCCTGAGATGGGATTCCGAGCAAAAGGGTCTCACAACGTACGGACACCGAAAAGACTCGTACGAGGAGGATAGTGCCAAGATCCCCCCATTTGTAGCCATCTCACACGTGTAAGTCCCTATGTTTCTATCAGTATAAATTACTGGCTTACTCTCGATAGATGGGCGGATGGAAAGGGAAATCCTTTCGACAACTCCCTTCCATACTGTCAACTAGAAATGATTCAGAATCTGGTTGACAAACTTTGCGCGGACTGCCTGCCACCAACAAGGCAGCACTCAAGCCCAGGTTTCTGGATGGATACCCTTTGCTGCATTGTTGGCACTGACGACGAAAGCAAATCTTACAAGAAGAAGAGCATCCAGTCAATGCGCGAGATCTACGGCGAAAGCGTAGCAGTGTTGATCATCGATCCATGGCTGATGTCAATCCCATCGACAGCTTCAGTGAGCGAAATATGCTACCGTATATACGCATCAGGGTGGTCTCGCCGCCTCTGGACCCACCAAGAAGGATTCCTTGCCCGCGAAGTTTACTACCAGCTCCAAGACAAGCCACTGAAGCTACCTGACGTGGATGACCTGGCCAAAGAGTTTCAAAAGAAGATGGCATATCAAGGTTATCCGATCGGATTCCCACTTCAGGCCTCGGGGAAGACTAGCTTCTACTACACCACCGTTAAAACGATTGTGAACGGCATTCAAGAAGGGCGCATTCCTCAAGATAACAAGTGGATCTTGTACGGACATCTGGCTGATTCGCTGGGATATCGATCGACCACGAACATCGACGATGAACTTCTTTGTGTGGCCTCTGTCATTGGATTGACTGTCAAAACCTATGCCAAACTGGAAGTCGAGAAGAGCCGAAAGCAAACAGCAGAGCTGCGAATGAGGGCGTTCCTAGAAGAGATCGGCCGTTTCCGCCAAGGCATCATTTTTAACAACTACAAGCGGCTTACCATTCCCGGGTTCCGCTGGGCTCCAGTATCCCTGCTGGGCCACCGATCTTCAGGCCTAGGAGACATCGACGATTCGAAAGACTCCAAAATCGAAGACTACAGCAATTTAGCTCTGAACGATATACATGTTGAGGTTAGCGCTTTGAACATGAAAGTCAACATCAACAAGTACATACCTCGCAAGCTTGGCATCGATCGCCGCCTCATGTCGATGGTCTTGAACGATAAGACGATTCTTCTTCCGACGGTCGGCTTACCCGTCGATTATCCAGGCTACATCATCAGATTCTCCTCAAAGACGCATGGACTGACGATCAATATGGCGGAACGAAGATTCGGCCTCGCCTACTCTCCCCTCCCGACGGCCTACTTCAAAGCACCGGCAATGCCGACAATGCCCAAAGTTCCTTCCTTTGGCAAGGTCCCGACTCTTGGCAAAGGCAAGTTGGGTGGGTTTGGAAAGGCTGTCGCTGCACCAATTGTCGAGGAGGTTCAGAAGGCTCCCAGCGTCGAAATAACCGCCGAGGTTATGTCGTACAAGTATGTGGTCTTCGTTGCGGAGAACGACGTTGAGTGGGCGTATGATAGAGAGTACGTCCTGATCGTGCAGAGGCCATTGGGAGAGACCAGCTCTCAGGAGTTCCTGGCAATGGTTGGGCGCAAATCCGTGGGACCTGGGAAACGGTACTGGGTACAGTCGTTGTGCTCTGCGATCGTACGGGCTAAGAGGCCAACTGATGACCGCAAGGTTGATGCTGGGATTGATTTCATAGATGTGTCACAGGCGAGTACGAATTGGGTGGTCACCTGAGGTTGCTGTTTTGAGGCGATAGGAAAGTTTCAAGGGGACAGATTACCTCAAGCGCTGTCTCAATATGTCATGGAAATTGAAACTACTGTTCTGTAGGCTGTGTTATTCTATGGTTAATCGCAAGCCTTTTTTGTTACTCGATGTATCCAGAGTCCTTAGGTTGGCCTTCGTCGACAGATCCCATGGCTGGACGATGAGAAGTAATCGTTCGCAGGACGCAAGGACAGCGGATAGAACCTGGAATATCACCCAAACATCATTCTTAGCGCCGGACCGACCAATGAATCTCCGGCCGTGTGATAAGGATGAAGAAAGTGAATTCTGCATTGAGCCTTTGTGGCTGGCATGGCGATGGTAAATGCTGTATTGTGCGGAGACGCAGCCTTGTTGTTGATTCGGGATGTCTGCCTCCAGCTTGCAACTCATGCCAAGAAAAGCACATGTCGGAGATACAAAATTGCTCAGTCCATCTTCGAAAGCGTTTCGTGAGAATGCATTAAGTCAAAACAAGTCCATTATTACTATTTTCGTCGTGTTTATGGATCTCTAGGTTGCAGGGGATTCCAAATTCACGTGACCAGATGAGCTAAATTGCTGGATCCAGTACGGCTTTCCTATTTCTTCGTCGTATAGCTATGGTATAGAGTAGAACTACGAACTGTAGGCATGAGAGCACGAAGAGTAGATGAGTTGTTCAAAACTCGATACAACCTTCACATGGTAAACAACTTGATGAATACTAACAAAACTCGGGGGTATGTGATCTACGAAGCTCCTTACATCAAGACAGCACAGCGGTATCCGAAACCAAATTCAACGCATCTAAGTTCTTTCCCTAGATCTTTCCTCTGCAAACCCACCCTATCTCTCCCGCGACCCATCCTCCGACACCTTTTCCCACTCACTATCCGTGCTCAACTCCCCCGTGCTCTCCCCAACACTCCTCCTCTTCACCGCCTGATCTACAAGCGGACTCAAACTCGCCTTACCCCCCGTCGTCCCCGCCCCGGGCGCACCTCCACTGACCTCCGTATACTGCGGCGGGGGGCTGCTCTCCTTCCTCTGCCCTCCCGGCGCCGCAAGCCCGGCACTCTGCTTCTCCCCCTTCACCTTCCCGCTCTTCTTCCCCTTCTTCCTCTCCTCCTCTGCATCCACCTCCGTATCGTCCCCACTATCCATCGCCTCGCCACCATCACTTCCGGGACCCTCTTTCCCCTTTCCCCGCTCGCGCCGCGCATCCCGTATCCGCTTCGCAGCTTCTTCCTTCTCTTGCGCAGCGCGCAACTCGCCCGCGAACCAATTAATCGCCCACCATAGCCCCGCAGTCAGGCCGGACAGAATAACGAAGTGGATGCTGTAGGTCGCGAGGAGGAGGGCGAGGAGGAGGACCTGCAGCGCGGCGAAGGATGCGTTGGTGGCGAGGAGGAGGGTCGGGGTGGGGCCGGGGGTGAAGACCGAGGCCCAGAGGTTCTCGAAGAAGGCGGCCATGTTGTTTGGTTGTTGTGGTGGGGCTTGTTTATACTCGGCGTGAAGGACGTGTAGCAGATACAAGTTTGTCGCGCCTTATTCGCGTTTCGATACGTGTATGTATGCGGTATATGGCGGTAGGAATGCTATGAAACTCGAGTCGTGTCGTATCGTATCGTACGTGTGGTGCTGCGGATGCGGTAGCTCTAGCTAAATAGGTACCGCGACTGCGCCGCTGTTGCCTGGGTGGTTGAGAACACGTTTCTTGCAACGTCGCCGGTTGCGTTCGTGTCGCTTATGGGATATGATTCGTGGGTATGGGGCAGCGGAAGGTAGAACAGGAAGCGTGGGTGAAGTGGTGACGATGCGCGCGAGAACCCTGACGTGGTGTTGCATGTTCGCGGGGCATGTGGTTCTCGGGAGAGCTGGTGCCTCAGCTCCGGCCAGTCCCGATTCGACTGGCCAGCGTCACGTCATTAACATATGCTCGATAGAATTGATCAATGTAATGGTATTGAGAGATCATTTAAGGTCAGAATTGGAATGGAGACAGTTTCGAGTATGTTAGAGTAGAGCCAGGGCTCTGGTGAAAAATGATGTGGAATAGTTGGTAAATATCCCTATGCTCGTGCCTTAGCTAGCTTCCTCCATAAGCTTGACAAGCCGAGACAGAGAACTGTGATAGTCTTACACACCCAAACTCCAGCACAAATATGGCATCGTAAAAGAAACACATAGCCCCCAAAATAAAGCCCGCAATATCACATCAAGACACAGCAGCCACCTCCATAGGACGGCTCCCTATATCCATATCGTCGGTCCCGGTAGTCGTACCCATAGTCATCCCCATATCCGTACCCGTACCCGCGCCGCGACCTCGGTGGGGGCCGTGGTGGACTCCTGCCAAGCTTGCAACCATGACTTTCCCGAACAATCATCTTTGTAACTCTGCCATCGTATCCTCCGAGGTTGCACCGCGGACAACAGTGAGGAGGGGCCCATTTCTTCCGAAAAGGTGGTAATCGACTGACAATTGTCAAGGCGCCGTCTTGGAAACGCGGGCAGGTGTCGAGGTTTCGGCCTGGGTAGCAAGGGTCAATGAGCTCGAGCCAGGCATGTGGGCAAGATGGTGATAAGTTTTGAACGCAGTGGCACATCTCTGAATTCGGGTGGTTTGGAAAGGCAGTGGGCTCCGATAGATGATGCTACGAGTCCGGTCAGCTATGTCCGACTCTTTCTTGGTTCTGTGTACACACTTCTGCCGCGGTCTATGGTGTCCTAGGGTATATCAGAAACCCGGGTATGAGAGAGCGAACGCCTTGGAGAGAGGCTCGAACGAGGCTGGGTTTCGCAAGATGCTCAATGCATATGGTTTGTTCCATTCAAATGTCTGGAGAAGATATATCGGGACGAGTCCAAGGCTTCTATATAGGAAGATAGCATCCGCGGAGGAGTGAAGCTATAGATGCGCTGGCGTACAGCTACAATGGCAACCGCATGGATTGCGTTGGTCGTGGTTTTTTATGACGCTGCGTGGTTTTTTCGTGACGCTTGCGTAGTGAAGACTGAAGGCATCTATCGTGGCCGTCAGCCTCCAATATGGGATGAAGTTGACCCGCCACGTACCGTATTCACTTATCCGGATCGTACTCTGGATCGTTGTCGATGAGGTCTTGCTTTCGAATAGCCTGCATCAATTCGTAGAGCTGTCCAATTTGTTGGTCTGCGGTTGAAATCAGCCTCGGCACTGGGAATAACTTCTCGTGGTGAAGACAACGGTGACGCATGAAGCACCTCTGGGAAGAGCCGAAGGAAGATCTACTAACCGCTCATCTTCTCGATCTTCTGCTTGTCGATTTTTTCTCCTCTCCACGTCCCTCCTTCAATCAATTGCGCATAGTGCTGCCATTCCGTGAGAAAGCCAATCTGTAGATTATCAGCACCGCCCAAGCGCCAATGCCCCCCAAGAAATCTACTCACAATATGCACCGGATTATCAATCTTCTGATGCGCCCTAAACTCAGCCTTTATATACTCATCCCCTAGCAAACGCTGCTCCCGCGGCAGATGATACCTATGCACCCTAAACAACCGCCGGTAGAGCAGTATCGGCGGCAACAGCGCCATCTGCGTCGGCCTAAGAGACTTCGTCGCCTCCCCAGCCACAGTCGCAAACAATCTCGTCGTGGGCCTCATAATTACGAGCCCCTCTCACATTCAATGCGTCGAAGTCAGATGCAGGAACAGTGGTGTCGTCAGCGGGAAAAAAAATAAAGCTCAGGAAAACCACCTCGGCTCGACTTGCACCTCCCGGCATCACCAAAAACCACATCCCACCATCCCCTCCATTTGTTTCACGCATGCAATACACACATGTAGCATGCTCCCCACGCCCTCCACCTCCCACGTCTCCTTCGACAACGTCTACGAACCCGCCGAGGACTCCTTCCTACTCCTAGACACCCTCTCCTCCCCCGCCGAAACCGCCTTCCTCCACTCCCGCTTCCACCCCCCCGAACCACCCTCCCCGCTCGTCCTCGAAGTCGGCACAGGCTCCGGCGTCGTCCTCGCCTTCGTCGCCGCCAATGCCTCCACCATCTTCGGCCGCAGCGACGTCGTAGCGCTTGGGACAGACATCAACGGCTTCGCCTGCCGGGCATCCACCACCACTCTACAAACCGCTGTCACAGATCCCGGGACCTCGAAACCAGGCCACTTCCTCGATGTAGTCAATGCAGATCTGGCATCTCCAATCCGCTCTGGCTCCGTGGATGTTCTCATATTTAACCCACCGTACGTGCCTACCCCCGATCTTCCGGATTTGGTAGCGCACGAGAACTATAATACGCTATCCCCAGGCGCGAAATCCACTTCGTTCGAGCAAGACTCGCATCTACTCGCTCTGTCCTACGCTGGAGGTGCAGATGGTATGGAGATCACGAACAAACTGCTAGCCCAGCTTCCGGACATCCTCCACCCGGAAAGAGGAGTGGCGTTCATCCTCCTCTGTGCACAAAACAAGCCCAATGAGGTCAAAGAGCACATCATGAGCTGGGGAAAAAGCTGGGCGGTCGAGACGGTCGGGTCTAGCGGGAAGAAAGCTGGGTGGGAGAAGCTGCAGATCCTGAGGATTTGGAGGATAGGGCCTTGAGGATGATTAGGCACAGCATGTAAGTTCGAGGTTTATTGGTATTGTTTTTCATTTGTGTGGATGCTGATATGCATCGCAGAATTAGTTGCACCCAATACTTCGATCGCCATCGGTTGCCGGATTCTGACTTTTCAGAGGAAGGGTATCCAACGCCAGTCCACGCCCATCCGTCTATCGGCGATTCGATAGAGCCAAACGCCAAAGCTAAGTGAGCCTCGAGTCGAAAGACCTCAGGCAACTGCCGCGGAGCGACCACGGAGCTTTATGGATCTTGTCGTGACCGTAACCTTCCTAGAGTTTTGTTAAGATGAGCACAAAAAATGCTTCGACGGGTGCGCCCTTTCCTCACCTAGGCTTCCTCCCGCGATAGTTCGTGGAAGGATCCATGTCTGGCTCGTCGAAATTCAGTTCATCCTCGTCCAACATCATCGCCACGAACCCCCCGTCATTTGAGTCCGAATCTGGATCATCCATCGGCACTGGCTCGCACTTCATCTCGAGATCCACCAATCCGCTCGCCTTCGACATCTTCTTGATCAACCTCCTCCCGTCTCTCTCTACTCCCTTCAGGAGATCCACCGCCCAAGGCCGCTGAGTCGCCTTCATATTCAACGCCTTCATCATCCACTTGTCGAGCTCATCGCTATACTGCTGTCTCAGCTTACCTTTTTCAACGCCGGCCTCCAGCTGCGCCTCTTTCGACACATTGATATGCGTCGGCCGCCGCGGACACTGCTTGTCCCAATAGTGCCTATCCTTCGCGTCCACGCCCGTCGGATACTTGTGCCCCCAACTGGCCCACTTCCGGTGGATGAACTCCTGCTGCTCCTCCACGGGCGCCTTACCCGTCGCTAGGTAATGCACGCATGCCCCGACACTCCAGACATCCGCCTCGCGCGTCGAAACCCGCGGCAGCTCCGGCGGCTGCCAGAGATACGTGCCCGCCTCTGTCTCCGTCTTGCTCGGGTCATGAAACTTTGAGATGCCGAAGTCCGCGAGCTTGAACGAGGGGTAGATGGAGCCCTTGTTGGCCTTGACGAGGATGTTGCAGGGCTTGATGTCGCGGTGAATCAGCGACGTCCAGCCCACGTATGCGTTCCCATCCGTGTCCACCATGCCGACGCCCTGGTGCAGGAAGGCGAGCGCCTGGCTCATCTGGATGAAGAAGCGCCAGATCATCGTCTCGGGCACGGGCTTGCGGTTCTTGTTCTCGTACTCGGTGATCCGCCAGTGCCGCACGTCGCCCATCGGGCAGTACTCGAGGAACAGGCTGCACAGACCCGGGCTTGGCGTGTGCAGCTCGCTGCCGAGCAGTTCGACGATGCGGTTGCACGTCGACGGCAGGCAGGCCAGCCGGATCAGCTCGATTGGGCGGTTGTCGCTGCCGGTCGTGTCGGGCATCTTGACCACTTTGATCACGAGCTTCGTCTCCTTGTTCCAACGCGACGTGTGCAGGTCGGCCGTGCCTTCGCCGCCCTTGCCGAGGGTTTTGGTCTGCTTCCAGGTGCGCGCGTTGTAGCGATGGATGGTTTTGTGCGAGTTGATGGAGCGCATAGAGATGGCTCCGGGGGATGGTGGCGAGGAGGCCATGGTTGTCTGCTGTATCCCGAGGGGATGGTCGGTTGGTCTGTAGGCTGCCCTTCGATGTGAGACTGAATACAAGGGCCTAATCCGGCCTGGAGGGGGGACTTGGGGTCGAGGAAGATGAAGAGGCGGTGGTGATGAGTGCAGGGGATGGTGCAGTAGAGTGCGGGCAAGTTAAAGGGGGTTTGAATAGAAAGATTTCGCCTACCTGAAATTCACTCTTTTGGCCTGTGAATCGCGCTTGGAGGTCAGATCTGACGTCGTTGGGTGCTGGTGTTGGTGTTGGTGTTGATGGTCGCTGTAGGACAGACACACACCCTTCCGCGGTTGGAGCAGGGCAGAGTCTAAGGACGCCGGTTCACTCCCACGCCTCTACTCTGCTAGAGCAGACGGTGGTAGGAAGGTTTGGTGATGAAGACCGGTCTGTTGCGGTGCGGTGATGGAGGTGGGTGGAAGGTGGACGGAAATTCCGTCATGAGGTCACAGGTCTACACGTGGGGGCTGTGAGAGAGCGTGAGAGTGTCGAAAGCTGGTTGCACTCTCGCTTGCTGCTGCTGCTGCTGCTGCTGCTGCTGCCTACTGACGTAAAGGTTGCGGAGCCACGTTTGGCCGACGTTTGGGTGGTGAATGCAAGACGTCCCTGATCTCCCTGTTCCCGCAGTCTGAGCAGTGCGGTGAAAGAGCAGGAATGAAACGTGGAGAGCTGTGTGGTTGCTTAGAGGACATTGCTTTTGATAGCAGGGGAATAGACTGTGAAGTTTGATAATAGAAGATCTTTGTTGGGGGTGTTTGGTGAGGTTGGAATAAAGTTGGAGTGCGCGTGGTTTGCCTGAGGCAGCAGAAAGGGTCGTTGCTTCCATGTCTGAGCACCACGCTCAATCCGTGATTTGAGCGCTGAACAAAAAAGAGAGAAGTCGGATAAGAAGCTTTTCAAGTCTATAGTATTAAGAGAAGATGTGGGAGTGCTGATAACCCTTCCAGCCGCTCCCGACGATGTCAGAATCGTGTCTCATTACCTCGTTGCCAGTTTTCGCAGAAAAGCATCGCAACGATCCTCGTCATTCTGAAAGGTGGCCCGCTCTATAATCCACCTCACCTGAAGAACACCTGCTTTCACCCGCTTACTCCGCATTCCGCTTCGCCGCCGCCTCGGCCGTCAGCTTCAACGCCTTCGGCGCATCGTCCCACGACATCACCAACTCTACGAATCTCAGCGCCTTGCTCTCCACAAAGTTCTTGTCCAGGAACAGCATCTCAACTTCCTGCTTCGTCTCCACCCGGTACGTCTGCGCCTGTCCTGGCTTCGCGCCGAACGCCTTGGGCAGCGACTTGTAGTCCCACTCCTGCACATCGTTGTAGGCGTCCGTCCAGCCGTGAATGTATCGCTCGATAGTGTATCCACCATTGCAAATGACGAAAATGATTGGGTTGAGGTTATTCCGGAGCATCGTCGACACTTCCTGCGCCGTGAGCTGGAAACTACCGTCACCCGTGAAGAGAATGGTCCGCTCGATACCGAGTTCCTTCGCAGCGAGCGCGGCGCCCTGGCACGAGCCCGTCGCGTAGCCGATCGAGCCCCAGAGAACTTGTGAGATGGCGTTGACACCCTCTGGGAAACGCGTCTCCCAGATGCCGAAGTTGGCCGTGCCGGTCTCTGTGATAACGATATCCTTCGGTTTCAACCACTGTCCCAGTCTGGGCCAGAACCACGCCTGCGTGATTGTTGGCTCGCCAGACAAGATCTCCTCCTCGGGAATCTCATTCGTCGGTGTTGGGCCTTTCTCGATGGAGAGCTTGCCTAGTTTTGCCGTAACCTTTGCTAGGACGCCGTTCATCCGCACGCCGGGGTATTCGGAGTAGCGCACGCGGGTGTAGCTAGAGTGGAAGTCGATGGTATTGAGCTGGCTGATGTGGTAAGTGAAGCCGGCGGTGTTGAAGTCGGATTTGATGGCGCCGATGCTGAGGACGAGGTCGGAGGATTCTACACGCTCGCGGACACCGGTGTTGGAGCCGTCTCCTGCGTACACGCCGCCATAGTTGGGGAGGCTTTCATCGACGGCGCCTTTGCCCATGGGGGCGACGAAGGTGGGGAGGCCGGAGGTGACTATCAAGTCGTGGGTTTCTTTCAGAGCCTACAATTGTCAGTCTGAGTTCTATCAAAAGGGGAAGAAGGATGAGTACCCTGTGGCGGATTGCGCATGCATCGACGAGTATTATGGGGTTCTTTGCTGCTTGAAGATACTTCAGAACTACGTCGACCACGTAGTCTTCCTTTTCTGTCTCATTTGCAGCAAATTCCAGATGCAGGGGTGTGTCCAGTCTCGCTCCTTCAACCTTCTTTTGTACCATATCTGACGGCAGCGAGATGTAGACTGGCCGCGATTTGACCCAGCATTCCTGGATGGCATGATCGATGAGGGTAGCGGCTTCGAATGGGTCGTTAAGCAGGGATGTTGCGCAGGAAATGCCCTTGGAGATGTTCGAAAACACGTTGTAGTCGCCGTTTCCGAGCGTGTGGTGCAGCAGGATGCCATCTTTCTGAGCGGCGGTCGAGGGATATCCGACAATGTGGACGATTGGGACGTATTCGGAGTAGGCGCCGGCCATAGCATTGACGCATGAGAGCTCGCCGACGCCGAAGGTGGTTACAATGGCGGAAATTCCCTTGACGCGAGCATATCCATCTGCGGCGTAGCCTGCGATAGACGGGTCAGTCAATATTCGTCGTGTTCCGGAGCATCCGCCGGGGGTTGAGGAGGGGCAGTGAGGATGGCGGGGCAGCACTCACCAGCATTGAGCTCGTTGCAATTGCCTACCCAGCGCAGGCCGGCCTTGGGGATGTAGTCGAGTGCGGCGAGGTTGTAGTCGCCAGGCAAGCCGTGGATTGATTCAATGCCAACTTGGCGGAGACGCGTGAAGAGGTACTGGAACTGTTAGCATGGAGATAGTGAAGGAGGGCGGGGACTTGCCTCTGCCACGTCAACGGGCTTCTTCAGGGCCTGGGTTCTAATGTCAAGAGCCATGGTCAGTAGTGAGAGGTGTAGTAGTGATCACAGTTGATGCGAGGGTGAGTTTGAATGGAATGTCGAATGGGGCTGCCGTGGGGGTTTTATTCACGGAGCTGGAAAATAGCTATCGTCGATGACGACGGTGGTCTTATTATTCAATCACCCTACATGGCCTGACTGATGTAGAAATGCTGGGCCTAGTAGATAAAGGACGGGCCCATACCGCCTCTCGGTCAGCCATTTGGGACGGGCCTTTGCACAATCTGCAACCGTCGCATCCGTCCAGACACCAAAGCTCGTGATGTCGTTAACTGTCGGGCTTTCCCGCCCGCGGACGCGTCGAGGATCATCAGCCTGCGGGAAAAACGCAACGGGCGGTGCCACGATGGCGAGCCAAGGCGCTTTAGTACGCCGTAGCAATGCTTATTTCAGGACCGCAACGGCGGGCGTGATGCCTAATCTGATCGCCGCAGACCCTCGGACTCCTCCTCGACACCACTCCTCCCGGCACAACAGCGGGAGGGCTCAAAGAAGCTCGAGGATGCCGTGCGAGCGCCCGCTTTTCTCTCATCGTTCGACCAACACCAGATCGTGGCACCCACGCGGGGTTTTCGGAGGAAACGCTTGTTTGTACCTCCTTCTCAGTCCGCCTCTGAGAGTATAGGGTTGGAGCATAGGTTTGCACTCTTTTAGATTTCTGATGATGCATCGAAACACCTCAGGCAACGCAGTCTATGAGACTTTCCTTAGTCTGGAGCTCCAATGGGTACAGAACTAGCGCAGATTTCCGAAAATACGGTGAGCTCCTTCGTGCCAGATTCACAAGCAGTAGGAGACGCGCGCACACGGTCACTGTACCCGAGGGGTCTAATTGGAGCGCACTCGTTTGATGCGGCGATATGAGCATATTATAAACAGCTGAAGCTCTATCTGTTTCGAGATAAGTACACACTCTTCTGCGGCAGCGTAGGATCTAACAAGCCGGCCAGGATGTAGGGCATACGTCTTGGACAGATTCCCGAACATGCATCAAAGCATACCCGAAAGTGCCAAAAAGATGGTGCACAGCTTATAGCACGTCTTTTAGTATATCAAATCATACTCCAGAGGATCAGCACTCCAAATAGAAGTTCTACCTATCCACCACTCTCCACCATCATCAAGACATCTACACCCCCCTAAATCTTTCCACCCCCTCCTCACTTCGCCAACGGCTTCCTCCCATACATCACCAACATGGGCATATAAACATGCTCCCTCGTATCCCCAATCACCTCCCTGACCTCCCCCAAAAACCCCATTGTCTTCTCCAAGCTCCACCCCAGCGCCTTCGTAAACAAGCCCACACTAAACCCCTCGAGCCCGTTGCGGAAATTATGCTGCTGGCTCTCCCCAATCGCGCGCAGCACGGGGTCGCTGCTGTACGGGTTGTTAGGCCACTGGTACGGCTTCAGCGTCACCTCCTCGAAGCCCGTCGACACCAGGATGTCCGGGAAGTAGCGCGAGCCCGTCATGTCGACGCCGAAGGCCGCCCCGCCCGCCATCATGTTCGCCGACCACTGCAGCATCGGCCCGTCCGGGGGCGCGCTGCCGTCGTCGCAGCGCAGCGGGAACGACAGCTCTTGGATCTCGACCCAGCCACCCGGCGCGAGCGCGTCGTAGCATTGGCGCGCGAGGGCCGTCCAGCTGCGCACGCCGACGGCAATCATGCGGCCGTGTATGTAGGAGAGGCTGGCGGGCGGGTAGGCGGCCCAGGTCGAGGGGGCGGTGAAGTCGGCGAGTTGGAAGGAGCAGTTGCTGGGGTTGGTGGGTTAGCGGAGCAAGTCATGTTATATGACACAGACAGATGAAGTAAACGTTGAGAAGAGACGAGGATTGAAGAGGTGGGAGATGAACGAAACATCCATAACTCACGCAGGCGTCTTCTCCGTAACTTCTACTGGGCTGATATCGATCCCAACCACCTTCGCGTCGGGATACTTCTTCGCAAAGTCGGTGGCCCAGATCCCGGTTCCGGTCCCTATGTCCACGACTGTCTTGACTTCCTCTTTGATCAGCGGCGCTCTGCCTAGTTCGCCGCCAAACATGAAACAGAACTGCTCATGCTGCCGGTCTAGCCGCGCGAACTCGGGCTCGTCGTTTGGTAGCGTGTAGGAGCTCTTGAACTTGGGGTTCGCGAAGCGGCGCCCGTTTTCGTACAGGAACTCCTGCGACGAGTCGTCTGCGACTTCGGGAACGCTGGCCGGCTCAGGAGCCTTGGCGGGTTCGGGGGCATCTGCGGGCTCAGAAGCTACAGCTGCGGGTTCAGAGGCCTCCACAACGGATTCGGGAGTAGCTTTAGACTCGAGGGCGATTACGGATCCAAGGGCGATTGCGGAATCAGGACGCGCCTTACTTCTTTGTTGAGCAATTGCTGTTTCGGGAGCAGCTGTAGGCTCAGGAGCGGCTATAGGCTCAGGAGCGGCTGTAGGCTCAGGAGAAGCTATGCTCTCAGAAGCAGCTGTAGGTTCAGGAGCAACCGCGGGTTCAGGAACATCTGCGGCTTTAGGTGATATCTCGGGTTCAACAGCTTTTACAGCTTCGAGAGGAGCTAAGGACTCGTTATTAGTTGTGGGTTCGGGAGTGACTGTGGGTTCAGGAGCAACTGGAATTTCGAGAGGTACTGATGCGGGAGCCGCTGCGTCGTCAGGATGAGCTGTAGCCTTGAGAGGAGCTACGGGTTCGGGAACAGTCGTTGATTCAAGAGGAGCTGTTGGTTCCGTGGGTTCGAGAAGAGCTGCGGGTTCCAGTGAGGCCGCGGGCCCAGTCGATTCGAGAGGACCTGCAGGCTCAAGAGGAGCTGCCGGTTCAGGAGCAACCGTGGAATCGAAATGAGTCGCGGGTTCTAGAGGAGCTGTAGATTCAGGAGCAGATGTAGGTTCGGGCGGAGCTGCGGTGTTCAGAGAGACTGCAGGTTCAGAGGCAGCTGTTGATTGGAGAGAAGCTGCGGGTTCGGGGGTAACTTTGGGTTCATGAACAATTGCGGGCTCATGAACAATTGCCGCTTCGGGAGCAATTGTGGCTGCAGGAGCGGCTGTCTCAGCAGAAGCCATGATGAATGAATGCTATTGGAGTAGATCAATGCGTCTTTCGTTGGAAACCTGTTATCCGGGACCTTGGAGCTGATATTCGACCCAGGAGTGTGGGAATTGGTAGACAGAGCTGCGCGTGGCGGGGTAAGTACTACCTACCCCTCTGGTACTTATACTCATAACCTCTTCACTTGGTCCTATTGCCGTCTGAACCGTTCTGGAAGCACTGGAGACGGTTTAGCTGCGGAAACTAGACACGTATCACCCTGTCGTGTAGGGCGGTACATGCAGCTCGAGCGGCACAGTCGACAGCGGATTACCGAAATGATAGCACGATGCATCCGTGTTGGCCAATGAAAGTGCAGGATGAACCCCCACCGAGGGGTTGGAGAGAGATAGACAGAGAAATGGCAAGAAGACAACTTTTGAACGTGCACTCATGTTCTTCCGTTGCTTCCTTCTTACTGAACACTTTTCATTTGATGCAATGACTGTTCGCTGAAGCTTTCAGTAGTGTCATATTGATTTAGATTAGACTTGCAATATGAATAAAGACAGCGCAAGAAAAATAGCTTGGAAAGAGGCGTCAGGAAGTGCATCAAGGCATCGGACTTTATGCTGTTGCCCTTGAAAGTCGCTGAAGACAGCGAGAAGCACATAACATGCTCTCCGTCGCTCTTCAAGTGCGTGAGAGAAGTCTGCACGGGAAAGATTGGGGTTTTTCTTGAGGATGTAAGTTGCAGCAAACAATGTGCAATCGTTGATGGTACGCTAGAGATTGGATTCATCGTATCAGAGCGTGGTTGATGTAGTCAGGGAGTCTCCAGGGGAGAACCTTTGGAGAAGGGTTAAGCTAGGCTTGTTTCGCATTAGGGCCAGACATTGTCGGCCTAGCAGCTTAGTTACGTCTTTCCTCCTTCCGCTCAATAGCTAGCTTCCTCACCATCATCAATAAACAACAGCTTTTAGCTACACACTTTGTCTTGTTTCATCTGACTGCCGCTCAATATCCTGACGATCAGCTACTTCAAAAATCCATTCCTTGATGTATAGGAAAGTTATCTGTGTAATACGAATTGCCTAGCTATTCCAGGTCGCCACCGGCGGAAGCACGTCATGGAAACGGCCATTGGATCTGTAGTCGGTCCCATGGAATACCTCATATCCCGAAATTCGCAGCTCGTTGACTATCACAAAGACTGCGGACTATATTCATGAAAGCTCATGGCAGTCAGAAGCGAGGAATGGTGGTCTACGTAGGTTATTGTACCTTTTACGGGCTATGCTTTCCTAATACACGGTATGATTTGCTTGAAGACAGAATGTTCGGTCTGCTCCCCTGTACAAAAGCGTGGATCCGCGGCGCGGGTGGCGACTGAGGGGGTCACTGAGAACTCCGATCCGCTTCAACTGATGTCGCCATATTATACTAAACAATACCCGGCTGAGGCCACGCGGAGGCCCAGAGTGTCGGAGACTGCGACGGACTAGGACATACCGAACAGCAGGTACAACATGGAGCAGCCCGCCGCAGGGCCTAAAATGGCGAATGGCCTGCTAACGTCGAGAAAGTGGAACGCTATGTGGTAATCAAGTTTCGTCATATGGAGTGAGTATATCATCGACTGCTCGCATGCAAACACTCCGAATCCAAAGTGGGGAACTGAAGTGACTGTGTGCGAACGCGAGTCGCGCCTAGTACGGCGAAAGATATGGTACTGTTGAGGAATTGCGAAGCCAAACAACCCTTGTCGTCTGAAGTGGATATATCATTGCCTACTTGCCTTTGAACTCTCGATCCAAAGTGGGGAATCGGAGCAACTATACTCGAATGTGACTCGTGAGCAGGGCCCGAAATGGCGAAAAACAAGGTACCGATGAGAAATTATAGAGCTAACGACTCATGGGAACTTCAGCATGGAGAACGACCGTCATGATAAATGCATACCTATTCCTCGTCCCATCTACTACAAGCGGCAGAACATCTGCAAGTGTTTCGTTTCATTTTAGACCATGTCTGCTGAGATCTCCTCTGAAAGCGCGTCCGCGATATCTTACGATGCACAACCAAACAAGAAAGAAGCCTTTGAGGCCAATGAGGTGCAAACCTCGGAAATAAATCACGAGATGGACCGCGATATCTCGGGAGACATATCGACGACGGATTACGCCGAGGTTTGAAAGGAAGGCATTTCGTCCTTATTTCGCTCGGAAGTATCATCGGGCCTGGTTGCTTCTGGGGCCTAGGATACGCAATCTACCTTTCCGGGCCGCTTGGCTCACTTCTGGGCTTTGGAATCGTCGGTACGTAACTTTCTGTAGGCGCGTTTCGTCGAGACATAATATTGATTCTACCGTCGCTACAGGTTTTGCTGTCTGGGCTTTGATGCAGAGCCTTGGCGAAGTGAAGACCCTTTTCCCTATCCACGGCGGATTTATTGAGGTATTCCCTGACGAATAGCTCAGAGAGGAACCCAGGACTAAATGCCTACAATCACAGCATTGCGGCAGATTCGTTGATCCCGCTCTCAGTTTTGCGGTTGCGTGACAGTACTATCTCATGTGGAGCGTATTTTTGGCCTCTGGTCTGTAAATCTCTCAGTTCCTTCATAAGGATACCTTACAATCCTAGCTTGGTCACTCATAATTTCTTAGATTGGAACTCGGCCGCGCTTGTAATCCGCTATTGGGTATCCGACGAGATGGTTCCATCCTGGGCGTGGTACCTCGTTTTCTGCGTATTCTTCTCCGTCATGACCACGCTTGGTGTGGTCGTCCACGGCGAGCTGGAATACATCTTTGGAATGTTTAAACTCCTGTCTTTAGCGGTGCTATTCTTCATTTCTATCCTGGCTAATGTAGGGGCCTTTGGAAACGGCTATGTTGGATTTCGGTATTGGAAAACACCTACCGGTGAGTTTGGCTCTATTGAAACATGCGTAGACATATATCTAACAGGAATAGGGCCCATCATTCATGGGAATAAACGGATTCGGGCAAGTCTTTGTGCTTGCTGCTGCATATTACGTCGGCACAGAAATCGTTTCACTAGCAGCCGCAGAGTCTAAGAATCCGCAAAGGGATGTTCTGAGGGTGGATAGTCTCATTTTCTGTATCTTGACGTTTAAGGGAAACTACTCATTGATGACCTCCAGGGGACCAATTCCATCGCTTACCGAATACTGTTTGTGTTCATCGCGATGACATTCTTCCAGGGCTTGATCTGCCCATCAGACACGCCGCAACTGCTCACAGCAAACCTCCGTAGTAGCCTCGTCCCCATTCACCATCGGGTTCGAACTAGCCGGCTGGAAACCCGCCGGGCATTTCGTCAACGCCATCACCGTCGTCGCGTTCATCTCTGCCGGAAACGGGGTGGTCTACGTCCAATCCCGAACCCTCTTTTCCCTCGCAAAAACCGGCAGAGCTCCCAAAATCTTCAGCACCACGACAAAACGCGGCGGTATACACAGCTGCTCACCCATAGGAACCGATATCTGCTCACATCAACCAGTTCCCTGGGCTGCCATCCTACCCTCCACCCTCTGGGGCTTCCTCTCCCTCATGAACCGCAAGCGCAGCGCCGGCGCCGTCTTCTCGTACATCCCCTCCGTCGTCGGCGGCACCGCCGCCTACACCACCTAGATCGCCATCATCTTCGCCCACCTAGCGCGTCCGCGCCGCCGCCGCCGCCTACCGGCAGAGGCTCGACCCGCACGCGTTCCCGTTCACAGCCCGCGGCAGCATCTGGATCTCTACCGCTCCAATGCAACCGGCTCTTCAACGTCTCCCCCCTGCTGCCGAACCAGGGCTTTCACAGTGTTCGAGACGCCGTTCCCATCGGCCGTCGTCCATTTGCGTCGTATATATATATATTTTTTTCTTCTTCTTCCGGCGAGAAGAGAAGTGGTAGGCGCGCGTGGCGAGTGCTTTGCATAACGTGGTGATTTTTTGGAATTTTTTTTCTTCTGCGTCTCTAGGGTCGTCGGCGGCGGCCTTGATGAGAATTGGTTTTTTTCGGATCGGAGGGAGGAGTTGGGTCGCTGGTTTGGCGGTGGAGAAGCGGCCCGTCGCGGAAGAAAAAGAGGATCTCTGGGCGCTGACTCGAGACTGAATGGCGGCAATTCCATGTGGATGATTGAACGAGTTAGATGAGTGTTTTTGGCTCTAGAACTGGCTGAACTATTTTATCCCACACTTTCCATTTAGCATTTCCGACTGTCACAAATGCTTGTTTATCACACAAGAGCAACGCGTAGATCAGATGCAAAACATATATTGACAAAGAATCATACACAGAAAAAAGTCCGCGTGATATCCAACCCATCGGGGCCCCGCGGTATGAGCTATGCCAAAGAGTACGAGAACGGTATATGCCACACATTGATTATCATCCCCTGCTCCCCCTTACTTGCCCACCTCCCTTACACCTTTTAATTCCTCTACGACTTCTCACTGTACAGGAAGTTGCCATCCTGGTCCACATACTCGATCGTCTGGTGGGAGACACAGTAGCCCGGCTCGTCCTCCGGCACGCTGGGGTTCCACGGGACGTTCGAGCTGGTCGGGTACGGCGCGCTGGGCGCACCGCTGGGGGAGCTAGGCGTGCCGTACGGGTTGGCAGGCGGCGTCCACGGGTTGCCAGCGGGCTTGCCGGCGGTGACGTTGGCCATGATCTGCATGGTGCCGACCCAGGTGGGGAACTCGTCAGCAGCCTTCGCGGGTTCAACCGGGCAGGTGGAGACAGCGAGGTGCAGGCCAGGGACCTCGTCCGCGGGAACGACGACGTTGCCGTACCGCAGCACACGCCAAGTGAGGTGTTGCTTGAGGTAGTGCGAGACCTTGTAGGGGGTCAGGTCCTCGAGCTCGCCGGTGGCGACCTTGCCCTGGAGGGTGGTGGTGAGGGGAATGCAGCCCTCAATGGGGACGGTGGAGTTGCCCATGCCCTTCATGGCCAGGACACCGTTGATGCCAATGAGGTTGGGGGCCGTGTACCAGGCCTGGGGGTTGGCGTCGGAGACGTTCCCGAGGAAAGCCAAGATGGTGTATGAGCCGTCAAAGGCAAACTTGTGGCAGTTGATGGTCAGGAGGTACTCGTGGTCGCCTTGGCGGACGGGGCGGCCTTCGTAGGGGAGGCTACGGCCGGCGACGTCACGCTTGAAGGTGGACTTGGAGTTGGGGCCGTAGAGGGTGTTGACGGCAGACTTGACAGATGAGGCGGTAGCGCCAGAATTGGTCTCTGGGTAGTAGTAGTTCAGGGCAGTGGTCTTGCGGATGTCCATGGAGGTGAAGTAGGTGCCCTTGGTGTCCTTGGTGAAGGGCTTCAGGGGAGTGTACGAGTTCTTCATCTCGCCCGAGTTCCATTGCCAGTTGTTCTGGGTGATGATGCCGTTGCCAACGTAAGTGTTGGGGTTGATAACTTGCCACATGGCGAACTGACGGTCGACGTTGGCGTGATGCAACCAGAAAACGGGGTCAAAGGCGGACAAATCCAAGTAGTACATATCTCCTCCTCCAGCTGGGCCAGTGTCGCCACCAGAGATGACGTGAATGCTGTCGTGGGTGCTCTCGAAGCTATCGTGAGAGTTGGGGTTGCCGGTGTTGGTGCCAGTGGCTTCAGTGCTGACCTGGGCGAAGTTGGCGTTGTTGATGAAAAGGTTGTAGACGCGGTCACGGAGGGAGACACGGTTGCTGTTCATCACGGAGTCGAATTCACCATTGTTGCTGCGCCACGCCTGCTGGTCGTTGTCACGGTACGGACGGCGGATGGTGGTTGTCCAGGTGTTGAACTGACATATTAGTCGAATTCTTCTTTCGTGCTCGACATCAAACTTACAGGAGAACCTCCGAGGTCGTTGCTAGGCGGGTGGAAAGTGTATTGGTAGAGCGGATTCTTAAGCGTCTGGGTGCCAGTAGGGCCAGTGACAGTGACAGTCTGGTCCCGGATGGCAGTTGGGACATCACCCTCGCCGGAAGGAGGAACCGCAGCCCAATCCCAGTAGGGAATGCGAAGGGTGTTGGCAGCGTTTTGCCACCTGCTCTTGGTAGAAGCGGGGGCGGTGTTGACGACGGCCTGAACCTGGGTGAACAAGGCCTGCTCGAACATGGCTAGGTAGGGCCTGTGCCAAGGCCAGAACAGAGTGGAAACGTGAGGGCACATTCCGGCGGCGTTGACTTCAGGAAGCTGGTTCCAGGTGACGAAGGGACGGCCGTGGATACCTGGAGGTGTCGATTAGCTACTTTCATATCAAAATGGCATGGAGGTACAAACCGGCAATCTGATAGTAAGACAGCGGGTCGCTCTGGGACATGGCCTGGAACTTGGCCATGCCGAGAATGTACAGGGCCCATTGGTCGGCATTCTTCTTGAGGTTGCGTATCTCCAGACGCGGTGAGAGGGTGCCCTTGATGCCGGTGGTGGCAATGTAGTTGGCACGCTTCAGCAGGTCGGCCTTCTCCTCAATGGCGGACAGCCTCGCGGCGACGACATGGTCGCGCTTGTGGTGCAGGTGGTCGTGGGAGGCAACGGCGGCGTTGAGGAAGAAGAAGAAAGCAACGAGCATCGGCAGAATGGAGCCGGAGCGCCTGGAGGGAGCCATTATGGAGAGTGAGGGAACGGCCTCAAAAGCGCTCGTCGAAGATTGGTTGCGGACGCCTAGCGGAGGGAGCAGGCCTTATATCGGACGGCCAATGATCAGCGGGATGGATGTGCTCGTAGCGCAAACGACAGGACGCGTCCAAAGCAAAGACTTTGCACTGCAAACTTGGGCCAAATCACGAGTACGAGGCACGAAGAAAGATCAAAAGAGCGTGGTTGACAGAGGAAAGGGTCCTCGGTCGGCAGAGCAGTGAGACGAGACGAAAGCCACGGGGTCCGCGCTGGTTTTCTCTCTTGGGGCGAGCCGCGCGGGCGGCAGCATTGTTTTAATAATAGTCGATCTGGGGCGCTCCGACAGCTGCAGCCGAAGGGGGCCGCAGGGAGCAGCCAGCCGCCCGTGAGCGGGCCCGGCGGGAGGCTTGATGCTGCACTCGGCATAGCAGCGCTGACAGGGACGTCGTATCCGGCGGGCTGGTCGGGCGCGATTGGCTGAGGCGAGGGCCGGCACGAGCTTGCGCACTCTCGAAACCGCGAGTGGGCGTTCGGGGATGATGATGGCCGGTGGCTGCAGGCTGATCTGCAGGCGGTGAGGTGGAGAGAGGCGCTGCCCCTGAGTTAAGCCGCAACCAGAGGCGCTGACACGGCGGGCCAGGCACACCAACCAGCGGCCGCGGCGCCGTCACGGGTCCAGGGCCGCTGCTGGGGAGCCAGGGTGCCAGCGTCGCCTTTTGCGGGAAGCACCACCGTCATGCGATGCAACGGCGAGAGGCGTGGCTCGTTGCCTCGTGCCACGCACGTGCGCCGTCTCCAAAGCGGAGGTACTGTATATACTACCTGGGCAGGACGAAGACGTCGAGGCGTGCACCAGGAGGACGGGTTGATACGAAGAGAGCGACTCTGCCGACGATACTCCTTGCTTCGCGCAGTCGTTCCATCCCCTCTCCTCCCTCGCGGCGCCCACAGCGCACCCGGAACTCAATGCGAGGGCGACGTGTTAAAGCCGCTGCTAAAACACGGCGAATTTGCCGCCCGCTGCGAATCGCACCCGTTGCAGCGTCCAGCGACTCGTACCAAATTTTCTACGTGAGAGCGATGAGCCGCCCGCACCTCTTAGTCAGCGATGCGACATCGTGAATACGGGCTGCCTGCGAGGGTGCGGGCAGATTGGTTTCTCCCCGGCGTGCTGCGCCTCGCTGTCTCTCCTGATCTCTTGTCGTAAAGTATAAATGCGGCGCTGAGGCGGGAGAGTGAAACTGGGCCCGCCGTCTGGATGCAGCCACTCACGATGGAGTTGGGACAAGGGCGTCGAGGCCTCACAAGGCTGAGAACTCCGGCACTCGGCGAGCATCAAGCTCCCACAGTCCAGACATCGCGTCACTCTCTCCTTGAAAGAGAACCCGCGTCAATGTACGGAGTAGCGCGAACTACTTCCGTCCAAAGCTCGAGTTCATCCTGCGGTTCTTATGGCTCCCTCGTGGCCTTGCACCGCTTCTTCCTGCACAGTAGCCACCAGTCTTCACAATCCTGGAGGAATACCGTGCCTGGCAAGCCCCTCGTGCCACTCCATCCTTCACGTCCCGGGACCATCTGGCTAGTTGACATCTCGTAGATGCAGACCTCGCGGGCTCGACTTCAGAACTCAGCCTCCAGTAAGCCCTCATGAGCACCACCATCCCTCAATCATCAATCATCGGTCATCGATCGTCTTAATCCCGACAGCATCTCCCCCGCCTTCTGTAATGACAGCTGTTCCAGAATGTCTCATCCCTATCCTATCCCGGATGGCATCTCTCGGGTGGGACGGCACTGCCGGCACCCACACTTATCGGCAGCAGAGTTCCGAGCCCTCGCACTTCGTGCGCGCCACCCCAAGGTGCCATCAAAATTTCTGTGCGATGTGGCACAAGGTAATGTTTCTACGACTGTCCCACTCGCTGGGTCGGTTCCACGTGTGCGTTGGCGGCTATCTTTCTAAAGGTTTCATCGTCCCAACGACGAAGAGCATGAGGCCAAAGCAAGCCTTGTCGAAGATTGCAAACACCTGAGAGGATACGAGCGCTGAGTTGGGAGCAAGTAAGTGGCCAGACCTGGCAAGCACAGTAATTTTAGAGGGGGAAAAGGTACCCACCGAAGATTTGAAAGGGATTACAATAATAGACGTTGACATTGCAACAAATCTACATTAGACACTGATTGTCGCTCTAATTCTAAGTAGTATGTGCATTCCAATCCTCTCTTACAGCGTCTGGATGCGTCCGGTGAACTAGCGCGGATATCAAGCCGCAAAAGTCAGCCGCAAAAGCGGGATAATGATGAAAGTAACGCCTAGCGGTACCGTGCTTTTAGCAGATCCAGCTCAGCCCCGGTAAGAATTAGTCCAGAAAAGGGCTTCCTCCATTCTGATCCCACCTATTCCATCTGTGGCTTGAGTTCCGCGCTAGCTAGTTATCTCATCCACCAACACACCAATACACCAATACACACAATAATCAACTCCCATCAAAGCTCTCTACATAGGGCAACCCCAGACGGCATTATCCTTCTGAATTTGAAGGGCCTCGTGCGAGCTAAGCTGGGTAAACTTAGATCTCCCCAAACAAGTCGTAACTAGGGATATTTATGTATTCTATCTGGTCCTCCAAGTCTAGGCCTTTTCATAGGTATCTCTCTTCGCTCATGAACTTCTCCAGCCAGCCAGAAATTACTTCCCTTTCGTCCACGGGACTCTTCGCAACTAAGCTCGGGCACCTAAAATAACTCCATTTGCGTGTCATAGTCCTCCATTATCTGTACCTGTTTTATAGTCCAGACTTTATAAAATAAATCCGCCAGCATGTATAAAGCCCTGCGGTATTTCCTCTGTTTTTGGAACTCTCTTTACCACGAGGTAGCTTATGAAGAGGCCTAGTCAAGATGACGATATCGTCGGTTCTCCTAGAACGTCATGAAAACCCTTGTGGTGGGCCTTGCTGTACAAACTGCTACGGCGACCGTCTTGCCCCGACAAGGGGCAGAATTCTCTCGGCCAGTACAAGGTTAGATATCTTCCCTACTCGGCCTGTATAGAGAAATTGACACACCTCGTGGCCCTTCTTCGTCATTCACGTCTTCCTCTAAGCCCTCTACTTCTGACGAGGCCGAGTCCGCTTCTTCTACCCTCTACCGCTGATGCCACATCGCCTACCTCTGCTGCCGTGTCCGCCACTTCAGCCTCTACCTCAGCCTCTGCCTCCGGGGTAGTGCAACTAGAAGACAGCGTCTATATATGTGACAATTTTGGACTGGACTGCTCTCGAGGAAGATACTAGAATATGTGGAATCAGTGCAACAAGTCCACAAGCAATGCCCAGCCAAGCTCGAAAGAGACCGCATCCTATAAGGCAGGCTTTATTCTAGCTGTTAGCGACTACGCCATCCGGCACTATAACTATACCGAAGATACGAGTGTTGAATATCTGGACGGTCGTCTCCAAGCCAAAACCGAATTTCCTCCAGGGTCTGAGTCTACCTACCCAGATCCAAACCGCTTTTCCAGAGCCAAGACTTGCATTGGTGTCTTCTGCACTCAGGTTGAAATTGATGTGAACTCTGATTTCTATAGACGTCTAGCTAGTTGTATATATACTAGGGGAAGGAAGGGGGGCCACCCCCTGGGTGGCGCGCTAGTAAGTTCGGCTGAACACTGCACAGCTGAGCTTTCGGCTGGGTTCTCTACAACTGATATTCGGAGAGTAGCTTTCTAGCATATGAGTTGTTGATCCTAGGTTGTAGTGCTGCAACCTGAGTTCTGCGCGCCAACGAGGGTACTGGGACCAACTTGCAGATGCACTAATCTTAAATAAACAGAGCTCCACTGCACGACCTGGTTGCAACTGGCCGACATACAGTGAAGAAGAGTGGGAGAAGATTAATGGGAGCGAGTGGACTACCAAACAGATCGAAGACTTCAAAAGGAATCCGCCAACAACGAATTTGTCACGCCAAGGTTGGATATATCATCTTAGGGAAAAATACATCCCCGATAAAGTCCCCCTGTTCCAGTCCGAACTACTTCAGTAGCCACTAACAATAATTATATAGGCTCTATTTCGACTCCATGCCAAATCAAGCTAGCGACCTTGATTCTACCATGAGAAAATTCTATAATGGCTTGCGCATAAACTGGGCTTAGGGGAAGGATGGAGTATACATCGTTGCAGCTGACAGCGCCGGTTGTAGTACAGATGTCAGAGGCGATGTGGTTGAAAACGAGCCCGTAAGTACGAAAGTGTGTTTGGACGAGTATCCGAATACAATGTTCAGGCTTTACTGGTAAGCTTCACTTCCTCTAACGCTACGAGCCCTTGCTAATCTAATCTACCAGGATCGTTTGGGAAAAAGACCGACCCCCTACCGTCAAAGCCCCGAAGGGACTTGGCAAGCTTCCGGAGCACATCACGGAAGAGGTAAGGTTGTGCGTTCTTCCGTTCTTTCCATTGATGCTAACGGGGAATTCTACAGGACATCGTGCGCGAGTCTTACTGGCATTATAAACGGATGAAATTTAACCAAGCCTCCCTCGAGGGGAATAACAGTTGGTCTCAAGAAACGTATGACGCTCTCACCGATGAAGAGTCCCCTGGGATCACAGCCGGCTTTATGTTCAACATTCCGATTGCGATGTCTCGAAAAGGCCAACTTCTCGTCGACTCTGGGAAGGGCAAGAAACAGAACTTCCCTTGCAGGACTGGCTTCATTGACGTCAATGACCGATACAAGTCCGTAAACCCAGGGGAAGACGAAGACAATACAGACCCGGAAGAGAGCACTCGGTTCATCCAAGCAACGGGTCTTTTCACCCATGGAGGTTTCTGGAAACACTGCACCAAAAGGCAAAAGTGCCAAAAGGCGGAGTATGAGAGACCAGCATTCGTAGACCAGGCAGGGAAGGTATGGAAAAAAAGCGATCCAGAGTACGAGCGTTGCGCGGTCCTGTAAACAGCCTAATGGAACGGCAAGTGAGGTCCTCCGAGTTCAAAACGTTCTTCACGCATTTCAACGGGTGTATGAGCCTGGATCGGATGGGGTGGCCTGCAGGCAAGAAGAGAGTTTTCATATCAGTCTTTGCTTTCTTCCTTTCTCTTTCTTTGTCAATCGCGTCCTTTTCGAAACGCAGGTTTTAAAGCTATAATAGTCGGGATGGCACTTCAATGTCCATATCGGCGCAGGGTGGGACTGCTGAATTGAAAAGGAAAGCGGAATGCTTGTTTTGTTTAGTAGAGTACCTAATAATTAATTATCCTCTAGTTTCATGTCCATGCCTTTTACGCAACGTTCCACTCAGTTAGGCAATTCGTGCAATTAACAGAAAAACACGCAAATTACTGGTGTTATGGCCCGCCATAGGCAGGCTTTGTTGATCATTTAGTGGCAGTAAAATACAGTCCAAGGGTGTAAGTGAGCTTTGTCACCGTACTGTCAAATCCCCCTTCATCACAAACATTCCTCTCAGCCCGCACTAGCTCCCTACATCCGCGACCCGCCTTTGCACCTTGAGCAGTCCGCTCTCGTATGCACTTTCTTTCGACTAGCTGGTTGCCCCTCCAACCAAGGCACCTTCGTGATACTGGCAGGCCTACTCTAGGTCCACGTACACTAGCCTAGCACCGCTTGAGGCGCCCTGGCACGTTGCTAGCAATCGGAAAACCACAGATTCAATAGTTTTGATAGCTCTGCGGGCCACCCCAGACAGAGGCATAGGAGCCTGAATGCCACGTTATATCCAACGAAGCCCCGCTCTCGCGTACATCTGGATTTCGCGCTGGGGAGCCGCAGGTACATGTCGAGAGCTCAAAGGAGAGGGGTTGGATCTAGTTGGAACGGGGATGACTAGGAGGGCGATTCGCTAAACACGTTCGAGCTGCTCACATCGTTGCATGCAATATCGGTGAAAGATATGCGGAAAACCTCTTCGGCGGCGCGCCCCCCCATGGCCATCTAATGTGCGAGTGCAATGGCCTGCCTATGCTTGAACCATTTGAGCAGTGGTACGACGACGCAAGGTGTGCTATTATGCCCGCGTCGGAGGACGAGGATGATCTTGATGTCAAGGTTACCTACCTGGATGAAATTTCAAGAAAGAAAACCCTACCCGCGCCTCCCCAGAAAAATCTGGGCATCAAGACCCGCAGAGAAATCGATGGCGGGATCTTGAAGTTTCCAAGTGGAACCCACCATTAGGCCAGGAAACCGCTGTTTCTACTTCACGTTCTGTACTCATATATTCAGACGGAGGCGACATGCGGGCAAACGCTGGGAGAGTGACATGAGGAAGGTTGTTTTCAGAAAAGATTGTGGCCAACTCCGGCCAAGTATCTGCAGACTTCCCTTTCTGCTCGCCTTCGCAGATCGGATCGGTCACGTCACCAACTTTCTTTCCCTCCTGGGGCGGCGAAGAAGGCGAGGCACACTTCCGCGACACTACGCCCACAGCTGAAGACGATTAACTAGTCGACGAGATTGTTGATGCGAGTGAAAGGATGGTGAGTGAGAAAAGCAAATCTGAGGCGGATGTGGACCCGGATAATTGGAGCCATCATCGGTAAAGACATTGTCCGTGGATCACGGCGAGAGAAGTTGTCAAGCTAATGATCTCCAAGGCTGTCGATTCAACGTAAATTTGGCCAGCAAGGCTGAGGAGAGTGCGGTTGAGAGGGAAGAGGGGAGTAGGGCTGTTTCGGAGCAGGCGGTGGGAGAGGAGCAGAGAGGTTGAATCCAGCACGGGAAGTTTGGTTCTGGAGTACGCAAAGCGCTGCATGCATCTTAGAGTGTCGTCTAGGTGGGAGGAGAAGCTTGTAATACTGCAATGGTAGGTTGGTCAGGTTTATATGATATATAGAACTTCCCTAGAAGATCCTTATTCGGGATACTGAAGCTCGTCTCCTATGATGTTATCTGAAAGCGCTGCCATCAGCACTGCTCTCACCATCTTGAGTCCAAGTTCTTGAGTTGCGAAATTTGCCGCAAATGGCATATCACGTGCCCAAAGCTGATCCACGTGATCCAAAATATCTCGTCTATAAAAGACTTCTTCGGCGGGTCTGAGTTTGACCCTTCATTGGAAGGAAGGGAGAGCAAGAAGTGTTCAAATACGGACCAGAGGACGCGGATGGGTCGAGCTGTTTGGATTTCAGCATCAAAACCCTATCGCCAATATTACATGGAGTCGGAAAGAGGATGAGGAGATTGAAACTTAATACGCCCATGAACGATGGGAGGAGGAGAGAGGGACGTTGGAAGGCCTGTTTCTGTAGATGATCATCAACGTTTATCAGCGGTACACATCTTCTCTTCTTCTAGACAGCAACGAAGACTTTTCATTGATAAAGATGACCAACGCAAGACGATGAGATGGCGAACGAAAGAATTGTTTTCAGATTACCGTCATCTACAAATCTGATGATGATTTGAAGGACGGACAGTGAGGTCCGGACCTTCCAGGTCTTTACCAAAGTTACTGACTCTCCACTCATGGTGTGTTTCGAACGTGTCTTTTGAACTCCATATTAGCCAGTAGTATGCTTTCGAATGATGAATCGAGAGAAAAGAGATTGGCTTTATAATGATAGGTAGATGTGAGAACGTAAAGTGCACGTGTGAAAGCGCGTAAGCGCAAGGACATGGGCTTAGGGAGCGACCTTCATTAGATGCCTAGGAAGCACGTAAGAGCATCATCTTAATTATCTGTGCACCCTACAACTTCGCCGGCATCATCTCTTTCATGTTCAGCGGCGTACATGGCTCCGACGGCGCCGTCCCATACCTCCTAAACAACTCATCTGTCTTATCCAGCTGCGCCTGGATCCTATCCGTTGCCTCCGCAGCCTTCTTGTTCTCCCGTCTCCCCAACTGCTCCAAATGCGACTCATCCGGCCCATCTGCAATCCTGATCGTTCGCACACTCGCCCACATCCCCGCCAGCGGCGTGTCCTGACATACTCCCTGTGCGCCGAAGGTCTGGACTGGGCGGTCGATGACTGTGAGCGCCATGTTAGGGACTAGAATCTTCGCCTGGGCGATCTCGACGAGGGCGGTCTTCGCGTCGCCAGTGTCGATGGCGGCTGCAGCATTGAGCACGATGAGGCGTGCGGCGTCGATTTCGATGCGCGATTTGGCGATCCAGTGAAGGATTACGCCTTGTTGGGAGAGGACCTTGCCGAAGGGCTTTTTGTGCTCGGCATTGGCGCGGGTTAGGAGCCAGCTCAGGGCCTCTTCGGCCTGGAAGGGGTTAGCATAAAAGTCCTTAGGCGTTTATAGCAGATATTGATCGAAAAATAATGCACATACGGCACCAATGGACCGCATAGCGTGATGGATACGCCCTGGACCCATCCGACCTTGCATCACCTCGAAACTACGGCCATCGCCAAGGACCATGTTCTTCGCAGGCACTCGAACGTTCTTGAATATGAGATGAGCATGTCCGTGCGGTGCATCATCGTAGCCGTAGACGGAGAGCATCCGCTTGACGGTAATACCGGGGGTGTTGGATGGTACGAGAATCATAGACTGCTGCTTGTATTTGTCCGGGTTGTTCGGATCGGTCTAGGCGGCGTAAGCCACTCCGCCTTTTGCTCTGTCGACCCATACTTTGCCAGAATTTCCATGTTACCGGTATCCGGTGCCGAGTTATTCGTCGCCTCGGACGCTGTCCTTGATCGTCCAAATTGTTCACATATCAACCCATATTCCAGATTGGTGAACCCAGCCCCCTCTTTGTAGTGGCCCTTTGCCAGAAACATGTTCCAAAGCCCTAGAGCTTTCGCCTTCTCCTTGAGTTCTTCCAATATGGGTGGCACACTCCACCTTGCCTCGCCTTGACCGAGTTGGGCGGCATAGACGGCGTCGGCGGGGATGCATTCTTCATTGACAAATGTCTCGACCTAACCTATGTCAGATATGAACTTATGGAAATAATATTAGGAACCTACTATATCGAGCGTCTTCTTTGCATGATCGCTGACTTTGTCTCTGACAAGAGGAGGGATTCTAGCTGAAGCTGGTGGCATAGCGTATGTTGATAAAATTGTTGAGTGGTGAATGTAAGATCATTCGTCCAGTCAGGGAGCCCTATGTATCACCAGGGTGTACCTCCCTTGCCCACCACAGCTCCACCGAGGGAACGATACATAAAGCTGCATAGCCTCGGCGTGGAAGAGCAGCCCCGAGTATTGGTTTGATGTTGATGTATGAGAGACCGGCGTCGCAATTCCGAGGCCCCGGATCTACAGAGCCTAGCTTTTCCCCGCATTTTCTAGCCTTCTTTGAGAATAGTGTCTTTCACCAGCAGACTCAACACCAAGCCGCTTCATTATCGATCATAGGGACAAGGATTAGAATATACCATATGAGCCAATACTATGGAGATGCTATTAAAACATGCTAGAATCATTCCCTGAAGTCAAAAATTACATACTTTTACAGCAATTAACGCAACGCTTCCTAAGTCCTCCTCTCCAGCTTCTTGGGTTTCTTTTTCGGCTTCTGCTCTTCCTCAGTCCCCTTTCCATCCCCAGAGGAGGGCGAAGCTGCACCGCCCTTTTCTTCAGCATCACGCTCTTGCTTCTGCTTCATGATAGCCTGGATCTTAGCCGGGCCGCCCTTGGGCTTAGGCATTGGCTTCCCTCCCGCAGCTTCCTCACTCTTTTCCTCTGGTATCTTCTCTTCGTCTTTCTCTTTCTTAGCCTTCTGGGCTGTTTGAAGCTTGGCGGGCTTGCCTTTCTGATTCGGCGTAGCTTTTTCGCTCTTAGGCGAGCCTGTCTTCTCTTCCTCCTCTCCTACCTCAACAACAAAATTGGCCGCCATACACTTCCCACCATTCTGACTGCCCACATCCATCGGACAAGCACTCATAACAACCACTACATCTCTCTCAGCACGAAATCTCACGAATGTGCGCTTCTTTCCGGCCGGCTCCGCGATCTTGAATGTCACACCCTTCGCGCCTGATCCCTCTTCCGCGGAATCGACCTCAATCGGAGCGTTCATGAATAGATGGAGTGGTGTCGGCGCAATGTTGACCGTAACGTCTGCGCCAACCGCTTTCTCACCCTGTAGCCCAGCCTTTTCGTTGAGTTCTTTGAGCGCAAGGACGAGATTCTCGGCGCATGAACCGTGCTCGGCAGCCTTTTCGACGCCCAGGGTCGCGTAGAGGCTTGCATCACAAGCGGCCGTGAGAGTGTCGTGGGCGCCAGTAGTGGTGTCCTCGATCAGGGTCAGGATTGGGGTGCGGAGATTTGTTAGGAGTGTGTCCTCGGCTTGTGGAACGAGGCGGTGGGACGAGGCGCGAGTGTGTGGGAGAGAGAGGTATTCCATCGGTGGCAGGTTGGAAGATTTGGGACTCAACTTGGTGTAGGCAGAGTACGCGGCGTAGAGAGAAGATGCTGTGCCTGAACCAGATGCGGCTAAAGGATGTTAGCTTGACCGAAGATCAATGAAGAGTAAGACAACGTACCAGCTATACCTCCTGCACCGACTGGTGTCTTTGAAAACTCGTATAACTGCTCGGCATAGCTCTTATTGGGATCTCTGTAGTGGCTTCCAGCAAATGCGCTGAGGCTCTCCTTCGACGGCATCTGCACATTGGGGATGTAGCTCGAGAAGCCTTGGCCGGTTGGGATATATGAAGACCACTTCTTGGACGTGGCTTCATTCTCGCTTTTCTCTGCTTCGGCATCCTTATTTAATGCAGCCGGGGCCTTGGAGCGGTAGGGGATAGAAGGTAGGTATGACGACCAAGTTTTGGCGGCCTTCGCTGTATCTGCCTTTTTCACATCGACCTTTTTAGTCGTATCATCAGGCGCTTCATCTGGAGGATCGTCTGCATTCTCTTCGGCCTTCTTGGTCGTCTTCTCCGCATCATCAGGTGCTTCCTCTGGAGGATCTTCTGCACTCTCTTCAGCATCTTTAGCCTCCTCTTTCGGCTTCTCCACTTCCTCTTCAACCTTCTCGCTCTCCTGCACCTTCCCATCGCCGTCCGCCTTTTCCTCTACGACCTCTTCCCCAGCCGCCTCCTTAGCATTCGCCTCATCATTCGCCTTCTTATCCTTCTCCGGCGGCTGATGCAGCGCAAACGCCCACGTACTGACCACCTGCTTGCCATACGTATTGATAATCTTAATCGTCCGCCCGCGCGGCACAAATGTCGCTACGCCATGGCGCGCGGGTATGGTCTGTAGCTCCCCCGACATATCGTTCTTCGCGATTTCCTCGTCGTCCTGTTTCGGTCTCGGCTGCACGGAGGAGAGGAGCGTGAGGAGCGCGATGGAGGCGACGGCCCGTTTCGACGGGAGCTTGGAGGGTTTTTGGGACGACGTTTTGAACGATGTGGAGGGAACTCAGATTAAAAAGGGTTTATTAAAAAAAGGGTTTATTGTAGGAGCAAAAAACTAGATTGAGAGAATCGAGTATGAGAGCTATGGAGAAGTGGGACTCGGAGTCGTTACGTCGACTCCGTTACATAGCCTGCCTGATGAACGCCTGGGGTGACGTACTTGCTCGATACCGCCTGCCTTGTTGGCTGGCCCCCGGGCGTTTGCTGGTGGCTGAAACTTGTCGACCAACGGCGATCCGCAGATGGCTCCCGCGACCGTTGCGCGTGCTGTCGAGGTTCCCGTGTGGCGGAGAGAGAGTGGAGGCGACGTCATGTCGCAGATGTGCAAGGATGTGAACCGCGATCAAGGACGACGCGAAGATCCTGGTAATTCTAGCGAGGGCATGGATTACTACATCGGGTGGCTGTAATTTTATTTGGGCATCGTTTGGATGATTCAAATACAATGCGAAGAGGGATTTGACTGAACTGGTAAGCTAGCTGTCTAAATTCTACTCACAGCAATATGAGATAGGCGCGAGGAAAAGTTTCAATATACAAGCAAGGATGTTTAAAACCCTAGCAGCTAGCGGCGTAACACGTTACTTCACGTTACTGTAGTACCTATATAAAACCTTCTATGTATGCCCTTCTTCCTACATAGCAGTATGCTAGGGATCTTACCACTTTTACTAGCTACCAAAGGACAGGTTCCTCAGGTGCCACAGGATACTTGACAAGTTACAGCGGAGAACGGTCTGACCCTACCACCTACTGAAGAAATGTCTGAGCCAAGGAGGTCGCCTGTCACATGTCCTGACTCCCCGAAATGATTGGTTTCGCCAAGGCATAAGGTTTCTGGGGAATCGCACGTGCCTCACAAGTCTGGGGCAGATAGGTTCGCCTTGCCGCATTTCATCTCACCCTCCGGGGCTGTGATGATGGTGCCACATGCTCGTTATAAACGCCTTTAACTTTGCCAGCCAGAGCACGCCACAAGGTTTCTTTTCTTCAATTCTCACACACCACTAGCACGAGCATTCTCCGTCTTCGAAAGATCCAATATTTCCAATGAAAAGCATCGTTTTCCGCTTCGTGGTTCCTACGATGGTCAAAGTGTATTAGAAGAGGATGCCATGGCTCGAGAAAGGGTCCCAGGCGACAATCCTGCATACTACACCGGCCCAAAGAAGGCAAACCAGCTCTTCGACATCTCGAACTTCCAGATGGCCCCGAATCCCCCGACAAGGTAAAATACGCAATACTCAACTCAGTGCCATCACTAACCGTTACAGAAACAAACGTGTGTTTTTCTGGCTAGAAAGCTATATTCCTGCCCTACCGGGGCTCGAGAACGCGACTCTTTTGACCAAAATGAAAGCACCGGACCGCCCGGACATAATCGAGACCGAAGCCAAGATCAGCAATTTCAAAGCCGTGGTGGTGAGGAGAGACCTAGTATATGGCGGGCCGTTGAAAGAGGACGGGAATGAGATGTTGGCGGATTTTTGGCTTTGGGGTCCTGCAATCCACACGGGGAATCACATGTGCGAGGCTGTTGCCAAGCTTCCAAATGGTAGGGTCTTGTTTAGCTTTGCGGCGCACTGTATGGCTAGAGGGAGGACTGGTAGTATTGATTTAGTCTGGGGGATTTCTAGGCTAGTTTCCGTTTAGTTACGGCCCGGTCCATCCTTTAGTACCGAGCTATGATTCTCACCAATCCCCTAGATGCTTTTCAGCGCTTCGAGATATCGGATACCTGATGATTAGTTGTACAGGCCCTCACCATCCTCCATATTCGACTGAAGCACAGAGGCAGATTGCCAGGATGCACTATCGGTCCTCATCCTCCGAATCGTCATCGTCCTCCGAATCGCCATCGTCTTCTGAATCGTCATCATCCTCCGAATCATCATCATGCTACGAATCATCATCATCCTCTACGCCCGACTGTTGTACCGAGCGCAAATTGTCAGGGTGCCATCTGTAGGTCGGATTGTGACGGCGATTGTCATTCCGGATAATTATATTCCAGTCCGCCAGACAATCCCAGCAGAATTGAGAATTGCAGACTGTGCCTAAAGCGCAGATTAGGATTTCTTGCGTTGATGACCATGGCGGCAAGGTGCTTCTTACATGTCATGTGGTCACAGCCCTTGTCCTTCTGAATGAGAATCTCGCACTTTGGGCACCTCTTCGTGAGCTTTTCTCTCAAGAACTCAGCCATGGCGGCCTCTTGCTTCTTCTGCTCCTCGGTGAGACCCGCTTGCCGCTTGTACTCTGCACAGCTGAGTCCGTCGTGGTATGGTACTTCGCAGAGGATGCAGTATTTAGCATGGCAACCCTCGCAGGTAAAGATGGGCTCTTCTTCGGGATGGGGATGCAAATGGCCGCCTGAGCAGTCAGAATTTGGGCAGCTTATGAGACCTTCCATCTCGCGAATGAAGTTGAAGCTCTCTTGCTCGCTCAGCCTACGCCAGCACATTAACTAAGTGCCATATACGGAGGGTAACGGAAAGTCTACCGATCGAAGACATCTTTCTCAGCAACAGCTTCAACCATGTCGCGTGGCAATTGTTCATGGCACTCAGGGCAACCAATCTGCACAATTTCTTCGGAGACCTTGGTAGCGATCCATGCTTGGAGGCAGTCCCGGCACGTCTCTATCGGATGTTTATGCGGGATTCCAGCGCGTAGATAGGGAAATTCTTCATTGACCTTCTTGTAATCACAACTCGTGCAAGTGTGTTCGTCATGCAAGGGAGTCTCAGAGGTGCCGTCCGCTCGAATAAGCATAGAGTCTTCGCGTTCAAGGTTGATATCGGAGGCTGTACTTTTGACAGGCGTGACAATGGACGATTCGATTTTCTGCACCTACGGCCGGAGGAGCGCCAGATACGCTGAAGCTCTTCGCGGTACCTGGAACATTCTGCTTGGGCTGAATCTTTGCGGTTGACCCTGCTTTATTAGTCGAGTCGCCCGGGACCTTCTTGATCTCGCGTCCATCGTCTAAGCTAGTGTGACTGCTCTTGCTCTTGGACTTCGTTGGAGTAGGTTTGTGTGTAGGCTCTTTCCCCGTCTTAGCACTCTCTGCTTTCGTCAAAGATTTGGGAAGTGTCTTGGATTTAGCTGCCGCATAATACTTGGATGAGGATGAAGCTGCGGTTGGCTTTGGGGCTTTCTGTGCACGGGCTTTCTCAACTGGAGCGACCTTCTTGGATTGAGGGACAACAGTTTTCCGCTTTTTCACAGTGGAAACTTCCCTTGCTTCTGCTTCTTTTCCTAGGTCAGGGCGCTCGCGCTTGCGCAAGTTGTACATCGTTTCGGCTTGTGGGTTCTTAGGGGGAGTCTGCTTTGCTTTGCTTTTGGCCGCTTTGTCGGTGGCCTTGATGCGAGGCTTAGGTGCCATTATGGCTGGTTGTGAGAAGATGGCCGACGGTCGAGTGTTGTTGTAGAACGCAGGCGTCTGTGCGGCCACTAGCGTGGCCAGTAATCCGGCCAACGGAGTTTGAGGACCTTGAATTGATTGGATTGGGCCGGCTAAAGTTGGAGATTGATTGGACGGATCAAAAAGGATTTATCAATTTGGATCAATTCACCTAGATGTACCGCCAAGCCTGACCCGACAGGTACAGAAAAGTGGACATAAGTGGACCGTAGGGGTGGCACAAGTCCAAGTGTGGCTCATTCCATCAAAACTAAGTTGTCAATCCAATCAAGAATTGGACGTTCTCTGGATCGATTCGATTGGGTTTGAATGGGTGTCGATTAACTGACCGGCCGATGGACGGATTGAAAATTGGGTGGAGTATTGGCCACGCTGGCGGCCACGAGCTTATATGTCCGGGCTGCAGATGGCCATGCCGTGAGTGTGGCACGTTCTACGCCTAGCTGAAAACATTTTTTCGGCGCATAGTTTCGTAAATGCCGCTGGATGTCTCTGAACGTCGTTCTCTAGATGGATACAAAGGCTGAGAGAGGGAAGATAGTTGCCACCCCTGCATCAGATGTCTGTAGAACCACAGCCTTCGACCTTAGACTACGCATGAGGCCTCTTCTTAGCTCTAGTACTCAAAAGCGATGAATGGCACGCTTGAGTCAATATGCGTGATAGAAATAACTTTAAGGAACGACGGACGACGCACCTTAATTCGAAATGAAATTACCGGACTTGCAGTCTCCTTGCTTTTATAAAAATGCGCCATGGTGACAGCTCTCGTGTATGACAATCCCCTTTACAAGCTGAGGATTGCTGCGATGAAGTCTGACAAAATACTGAGTTGGAGATGTTGGTCGACAGCGTGCCCGACATCGGCGCCGCACGGCCATCGGAAACCTGCCCAGTTTGATCTCCTTCGTTCCTCCACTCGACGCTTGAATGCCACTGTCTTTGAACTTTAGCATCTGAAATCTCTCTACGAAAAGAGTCCGAATTGTACGATACACTTTTGATTAGATCGATGTGACATGTTCTTCGAACGAGGAGAACCATACTGCATGCAATCGTTACGGATCCACTGGTATTCATCACGACGATGGTCCGCCGGCGCTGAGATGCCTTAACGCTGGGACGAGCTCTAGGATCTGTATAGCGAATGGGTATTTGCTGCAACCCTCTGCGGAGATGAAGACAACGATGCTGCTTCATTACCATGTCAAATTAAAAGCAATCACGTGACAGTATTCCGGCCAGCACTCACTTGTGCCCACTCCACTGCCACTGCTGGAGTGCGCACAAGCGTTTCATATTCATCTGGATGAATTGTAAAGATTCACGGTTGGAAACTAAGCTGAACAAAAAGGTCTTTGATTGACCCCACCTCACAGGTCTACTCTTGCCAATGGTGTCTAGCTACCAAAAGCCGCACTCAAACTGTGTGCCATTCAGCTGTGCAGGCTTCAAATCTAATAATGTAGGTCCTTACTTGAATGCTCCGCGGTAATGGACTGATATGGAGCAGTTCAAGAAACTCAAGAGATCAGACAACACCTTTTAAGAGCTCCGACAACAGACTGCTACAAAGCCAGTCTTCAAGATCGGCTATACTAGTCACTCGGGTTGCAGCACTACAACCTAGGGTCAGCAACTCATATGCAGTAACGTATCAGGATAGCATGCTGATACAGGAGGAAGTAACAGGTAGTGCAACAGCAGTGCTGCAGCACGGTATCAGTACTGTATCAGGAAACAGGATGAATCAAGTAACGCGTCAGGAAGAGATACCACGTTATGCCCCCGGGGCTGGCCCCCCTCCTTCCCCTAGTATATAAACAACGAGCTAGACACCCATAGAAATCAGAGTTCACATCAATTTCAACCTGAGTTAGTCTGAGGCCTTTTCACCTTACTTCCGTCTAGCTATTTCTTACCTCATACTTCTCGCCTTTACGAGTCATTCGCTCAATCCCAGAACGAATTGGTGTCAAGGTTGGTGCAAAGGGTGCTCTTAGTCTCACTGGGGCTTCCGATATTCTTGATATCTTGAAGCTCGACCGAACTCTCTCTCCCTCACTACCATTTCATCTCGAGGCTTGCTTCAAAGGCAACCCGAATACCCTAGTCTGAATCTTTATCCTTCCGAAGCCCATCTATATTACGCCCTTGTACTTCACTCATCATTGGACGAAAGTGTTAGACTGCTGACAGGGACTGGCGAGACAGACACCCCTTCCACTTCAGCCAGAGTCAGACTCCTCTCCGAGCAGGCCGAATGGGGTTCTAAGATTTCATTGCGTACACGTCGCCAAATAGCTCTTCTATTCGCAGAGAAACAGTTCAAATTCGAGCGTACACCAAAGCGCCCTTCTATTGCCAATCATCAGTCAAATTCGTTCCGTTCGCTATCCGATATGGAGAACCCAATGAAGCAGAGAGCTGAAGAAGAGCTCACACCAACGCAGACGCCTCTCAAAGTCCTCAAGCAGGGGATACATGACCACTTTCCAGAATCCGATACTACGTTTGTCGAATGCCAGGTCTGTGCCGAAGACAAGCCCACGGAAGAATTTCCTACCGGAATCACGGACAGCTGCGAGCATCCTCAGACATTCTGCCGCGAATGCACCTAGGGAACCATCGCCGCTGCAATCGCCGACAACATTACCAAGATCGCTTGTCCTGACTCTCGCTGCTCGGAGTTCTTCAGCTATCTCAATGTTCAGCAGCATAGTGCCCCGGAAACCTTCTCACGGTATGATGCCTTGGTGAACTTTGAGGGCCTTCGAACGATGGAGTCTTTCATGCCGTGCCCCAATGCCTCGTGCGTAGGTGGTCACTTCCACGAAGCGGGCGTGGCAGAGCCGATCTTCACCTGCGAAGTGTGCAAATCGAAGTATTGCGTAGCTTGCAATGCGCCCTGGCACAAGGATATGACTTGCAAGGAGTTCGCCCGTAAAAGAGTAGTCGACGAGAAGAAGAAAGTACAGGAAGCAAAGAAACGTGCCACAGAGGCAAGGAAGCTCAGCACAGAAGCAAGAAAAGCCGCAAGCGAGTCCGTGAAGTTGGACAAGCTCGCCAACAAGCTGACCAACGAAGCCAACAGAGCCCAAGTACTAGACAAGAAAAGATTGAGAAGAGAGGCTAGGAATGCAGCAAAAGTTGCCGCAACAGCCTTGAAAAGGGCTGATTCTTTGAGCGCAGCACTAGGAGTTACACCAGAAATGGCCACAGAGAAGCTCCTCATAAAGGTGACGAAGAAATGCCCGGGGAAAACCTGTGGTTGGTTGATTGAGAAGAACGAAGGTTGCGACCACATGACATGTAAGCCAGCTCTCTCGCACAGGCAGCCCTGGGGTTGAACTAACGCACTTCCAATCAAGGCTCTCGATGCTACCACCAGTTTTGCTGGGTCTGCTTGTGGAGCTGGACCCGCATCGTCCAGCATGACAACCATTTCCACGAACCTCTTTGCAAGCAGTACCGACCGCGTCGTGACCTCCAGCTTCCGCCCATAGTCACCGATCCGCCTGTAGTCACCGACTGAACAGACTGCTGTCGATTCGCTTGCCAATCACGATAGCTTCGTGCGACCCTTGCGACTTTGGTAAGAGTCTGCACTGATTTCGGCCATGATTGCCACTGCCTGGGGTCCGTCAGCACCACAGTAAGAGTTCAGATGACTATAGCGAGCTTGCCGCTCCATATGAACTGCTTGTTTTCAGCTGGAAGCTCTTACTCACTCAAGACGGAGGTAAAGCGGTGGTTCCTTTGGGGTCCATCATTCAAAAGCTTGATGCGCCTTGGTTCCGCAAACCCGGTCTCTTTCATTACGGAACCCGAAGACCCTCGGCCTCTCATTACATGTCCCCAATACCCCAGTCTACATCCACTTTCATTCTCTATATCTTCATTTTCAAAGCGGCTCCTTCAAAAGTTCTCTTATCATTCCACAATCTCTTCATGAATCCTTCTTTGCGGCGGTAGAATCTCAAAAATCAACCCCATGATCACAGTGCCTTGTCGGAAGTATATGAGCCTAGTCCAATTCCATTAGCTAACTAAGCCTCGGCCAACCCCTACATACTCCCAGCTCCGCTCAAGCTCGCCCACTATTCAACAATCCCAACTCTGAAGAGGCTTCGATGTCCAGCACAAGGCCAGAAAACCAATGCCCCCTCTTTCTTCTAGAAGCCGCCGCCCTGCCGACAAGCCCCCAGGCATAAATGAAAATAGTGTGAGAGAAAAGCTCGAAAAACTCTCTGTGAAAAATATGGAGGAAAACCCCGTAGGATGTAAAACCTCCGACCACACCATCCGTCCATCTCCGCCAACCCCAAGATTCCCCGTGCCCGTTGTCCTTGCCTTCCGTCCATGTCCCTCTTGGAGGCCTGATATCTCCGACATGATACCTTGGACCGGCGATGAGATGGGCCCAACCTCCCATCTCTGGCAATCCCCATTAATGGGTAAGGACTGCCTCCACCCGATTCGGAGGCCTTGGATTGTTGATGCGAAGAAAAACTTCATTGGAGAAAGATTGTTCTTGCTCCTCTGAAAATGGAGCTCTACCTGTCGGTAAATTAGGTGGGAAGGCCGCCAGCCTCCGATTTCTGGGCGAAACGGGATGCTCCCACCGAGTCCGAAGGCCTTGTTGTGTTGTAAAGGGGAGAAGGAGGAGGAAGTTAGGGTGGTGGTGTTGGTGGTGGTGTAAAGACGGGGTCGGTGCGAGTGAGAAAAAAATGTGGGCTGGGCTCTCTAGCGATACTTAAAGACGTGGTACATCGTTAAAGTCTAAGTAAGCAAGAACGGTGAATATGTGAGTCAACTTCTCTGACTGGTGAATATAGTTGGGAAAGATGCACGCCTCCGAAATGGCGCCCACCTGCACTCGAAGAGGCGAGGTGGGTGGCAAGGCCGCCAGCCTCTCCTTGCCTGGGCACCCCCGATCAATGGGCACAAGGTGCCCCACACCAGGTCCGGAAGATTATATGCGAGTGGGCGAGGAGATCTGTTGGAGAAGATGATGTCGAAGAAAGATTAGTCGAAGCGAGTGTGGTCGCGGTCTTACGGAGGAGGGTGTGTTGTGGTGTTGTGGGCGCCTGTCCTTTTTGGAGACCTGATATCTTCGACATGACATCTTGGGCCGGTGAATTACGTCATAGAGGCCGTCCACGATCTGGAAGCTTCGAGAAGCCGTCGAAGAGATGGGCCCAGCCTCCACATCCCGTGGCATTGCCCGATTAGAGGGCGTCGCAATGCCGCCACCGAATCTAGACCAAGCGATGTAAGAGATAGGAAGGAGGAGACAGGACTGAGGAAAGCGGATTCGAAGAAAGCCTCGAGGTAGCTGGAGGAGTAGACTGCGCGCCCCATAGAGGGCGCGGAAATGGTGGTGGTGGTGGTGGTGGTGGTGGTAAATAACAAGGAAGGCCTGTGTGATGGGCGGAAAGAGTGGGCGAGGCCTATTGCAAGCAAGGTTGGTCGAGGACGCCGTGACGAAGCAAAAAATGATGGTGTGGTGGTGTGGTGGTGTGGAAGAAAGAAGAGAACCGTGGATGGTTGGAGGAAGGAAAGTCCTCGGGGAGGTGGACTTTATATAGGTCTGTCAGGCCGTTTGCGCGGGTGGCCCGTGCGCGCTATTGAACGGTTCAAGGTGAATAAAAACAGTCGGGCCAGCCGCGAAAGGCATGAATCCCACCAGATTTTTGCTGGGCCACAACAATACGAGCGCTTAATCTCGGCATATGTCGGCGCTGACTACGTGGCCTCCCACTGTGATGGCGAGGCTGGCAGAAATTATGGTGTGAAGAAGGTCGGGCGTGCAGGGCCTCAATTTTTCGAACACTGTGCAGCAACAGTAGAACGAGTCAACTTAAGAACCACGTGGAGGCAAAGATGATGAAGCAGCGTGTCTCGGTGATGTGTGTGAGGGCATTGTTGAGGTCCCTTAGGGAAACGATGGGGAGTGACGGGCAGATACACTTGTTGGAGGCGCTGCGTCTCCGAAGAAGCACACATGGGAAAATGCACCAACAGCGGAGGATAAAGTCACAGCAGTGCGTAGACAGATCAAAAGATTGAAGCGAACTGGACTTGAAATTTGCTATTCTGAGACCGTGACTTCATCCACTAATCCACTCCAAGCCGTTACCCCAGCCCAGTCCACGTGAGTCACTCAGGATTTCGGGCCTAAACGCCCAGCCAATTACAACTTCTACAGAGAAGCTTTCAGCTGTGCAAGGCTCTATTCAGCTGCGCAGGGTTCTATTCAGCTGGTCTCTACTCAGCTGAGCTGGTAAGACCTAGGGGGTGTGCCCCCTTTCCTCCCTGTATATATTCTGCCCGTACGGCACCACAATACAACAGAGTTCACGTCAATTTGCAACCTGAGTGAGTCTAACCTGAGCTCCCTAAAACCCCACCACACACACACGCAAACACATACAAAATAAAATTGAAAAATGGGTTACGATGGGGGCCCCAACAACGCTCCCCATCCGTGACGGCCATCCAGGTGGATGGTGCCGCCTCCGCCCAGCGGGGGTAACTGACTGACTATTGCTCGGTAGATAAGACATAAATGGTTATAGATAGTAAAAGATAGTTAGAGATGGGAGAGGTGGTATGTGGTTATTATATGGCAAGTAAATGAGTATATGCAAGGAGTAGATGGCAAAAAGATGAGGGTAAAGATGGGGGCCCCAGCAACGCCGCCCACCCGTGTCGGCCATCCAAGTGACAGCGCCGACTCCGCCCAGCGGGGGTAAATGATTTACTATTGCTCGGTAGATAAGATATAGATGGTTAGGAAGGGGAGAGATGGTGTTTATATGGTTATTAGATGGTAAGTAGATGAGTAGATGGAGGGAGTAAATGGCAAAAGATGAGGGTAAAGATGGGGGCCCCAGCAACGCCACCCACCCGTGTCGGCCATCCAAGTGACAGCGCCGACTCCGCCCAGCGAGGGTAAGTGGCAGTAAATGGGAAGTAAAGGACAGATATATGAAAACCATAGACGGCAAAAAAATGCGAGAGGGGTAAAGATGGGACTCCGTCCAGTGGGGGTGAATGGCAGTAGATGGGGAGTAAAGGACAGATATACAAAAAAGGTAGAGGGCAAAAAAATGAGAGAGAGGTAAAGATGGGGGCCCCAACACCGCACCCCATCCGTGACGGCCATCCAGGTGACAGCGCCGCCTCCGCCCCATGGGGGTAAATGGCAAAATTATGGCAAAGGTGGTAAGTAATTGGTAAATACATGGCAAGTAGATGGTAAAAGGAAATAGGAAAGGAAATAGGAAAGGAAACGGGAAAGGAAACGGCAAAGGAAATGGCAAATGCAGATGGCAAAAGTGGATGACACGTACATGGAAAAAGCTCGCGAACGCAGCAGTAGATGGCAAGAAGATGAAGAAAAAGCCGAATCGGCAGAGATGAGAAACGAAATACCAAGTCGATGACAAGTAGATGGAAAGTATATAGCAGATATATGGCAGATAGATTAGCTGGAGGTGTTAGCATCTAGATGGTTAGCAGGTTAGCAAGCCCGAAGGCTGCAGGAGAGAGAGAGGCAGGAGGAAGCCATTCTCTTATACTCTGGCGAACTGGGCATGACTCAGCCATGACTCAGCCACACGTGATCGGACAACGGAATATCGGAGGCATTGTTGCGCCGTGAAATTCTCGTTGAACCAAAGAATCGTTGGGTTGCCAGCGCGGTTGGGCGAATCAACAGCCGCCCCTTTTCCCCCTGTGCATTTTCTCATCGCTCAACCATGAATGAAGCCGCAAAACGATAAAATTTCCCATGCACGAGGAAGAACGATAAGTTTTTTTCATGCACGAGGAAGAAAAATCCTTCTAAATGACGAATGAGATAAAATAAATTGCGTAAGTGTTACGTGCCAAAATCCAGTCGAGCTTCCGAAATGTCAGTAGCCTGCGAAATCGCACTGTGCGGGTGGGCGTAAGTGTTGGCCAGAATAGAATAGAGTACCTTGATGGGTAAATGAGAAGTTCGTTACTGATCTATTCATATGTTCGAGAGGTCTCCATGGTGTTGCGCAGCTGTGATGGCTCCTGTAAAGCACTGAGCGAGATTAGCGGCGATTCAATTCATCTTTTCGCGATGTTGAGGTCTTTTAGCAGGCTCGCAGCAACTTCATTAGAGCAAAGCAAGCAAAGGAAAATATGATATCGCTAAGCTAAGTGCAAAATGGAAGTACACGATGATAAAAAATCATTGAGTAGAAGATGCGTTCCTGCGAATCCCCAGACAAACCACTTTTTTACTGATGCGACCATATTCATGCTCCACATCGGATACGCCGAAGATGATACACCTTGCTCCGCAATAGACATCTTACGCGTGTACTCCGATGCGAGGCTCCCCTCCCAAAGTGCGCACATGAATGGGCGGAGTACCAGGTGGGGTGTTGGTGAGCTCCAATTCTCGCCGAATTTGCATACGGATCGCCGTATAAGGAGGAGGCTCGTTCGGCTCATCGTCTTCTTGCTGGAGCTGGGTATCCATCGGCTGCGTCTCAGGTGCAAGAGCATTGGCAGTCGCGGCATCGTCTCGAGTTGAGGAGCCTTCACCAAGAGCCGGCAAATCATCCTCATCGTCAAATTCATCGTTGAAGTCCTGAAGCATACGATCTTCCAGATCATCAAGTTCGCTGTTGTATCCGTCACTGTTGTACTGCTCAGGGTCGTATGGAGCGTAGTATTTGCAGTGCGGATTATGAAGCGCGTTGCTCCCTCCCCGAGCAACTATCGGAGCCCAAGGGGCGAAGCATATCCAGCAGAATTCGTGGCCACACCTCCGGCCTGCATGAAAGTCAGTATACTCCGCCGTTCGATGCTTCACCGCAGCGACTCACATGTCATATGATCGCAGCCCTCGCTCTTCTCAATGTTCCAACCGCAATTTTCCCCAGGACATTTCTTTGTGGTCTTCTCAATGTAGGCCTTCGATTTCGCCTCTTCTTCTCTCCGCTGGGGCGCGGCGCTGACAAACTCGGCGTACTCCACGCAGGTCCGACCGGTGTGGAAAGGTACGTTGCAGAGGACGCAGTATTTTGTCTTGCAGACTTCGCAGGTGAAGATATTCTCAGCCTCGGGACTCTCGTGGAAGTGGCCGCCGGCACATTTGGCCTTAGGGCAGGGAGTGAAGCCGGGCATTGCACGAATTGCCTCGCGGTTGATAATGGTGTCATAGCTATCGCAAAAAATTAGCAGGCAATGAGAGAGTTGAAGTACTGATGTTACGTAGAAACATACCGGGCGAAGGTCTCGTAGGTCGCATGCTTCCTTATATCCTCGTGGGTTAGCTGCAGATGGCAATCTGCATTTGGGCAGGTGATGCGGGTATTTGTGTCAGAAACCTGAGCTGATAGGGATCCCTGGACGCATTCAATGCAGATAAGCGATGGATGATTGCACTCTGCAGTAATCTTGGTGGGAAAAGCGGAAGGCATTTGGTGCTCGTAGCAAGCTAGGCATTGCACCTTGCGCACGAAGAAACCCAAAAGCTTAGTCTGCTTGAGCTCAGGCTTTGGCTCTTTGGCTTCGACTACGGCTTGAATTGCAGGTCTCTTGGGCGCCGGTTTGGACGTATTGCGTGTCGCTTTTCGCTTGCCGCTGGGTATGATAACCTCTCTGAAGTCGCCCGAAGTATCTTTGTCCTCCTCATCGGAAGAACTGTCCGAGTCAACATCCGATGAAATCACCACTAGGTGAGGCGTCTCGGGATTCTCGTCGGAACTGTTCCCCACGTCCGTGTCTGCAGTCAAGTCGATTTCAACATCCCCAGTTAAGTCAACGATGTGGGAATCCTTTTTATGAGGCTTCTTTCCGCGAGATTCGGTCTCCGCCATCATGCGTCATGGATCTGAACCGTGGTCGTCGTCTGGAACGGTCTGGGAGGTGAAGTGTGTTTAAAGTTTGATGGATGGAGATTGAAAGTGAGGTCATGTCTGTCACCCTGGCCGCACTTGCCTAAGATGAGAAGCGAATGGAGCGAACGACGGCAGGTTGTTTCAACGTCACCCAAGCAAGCACCTGCTGTCGAAAACCGTGAATGGTTGCTCAGACTGTGATGGCTGCTGTTGCCCTTTTTCCATTTGCACCCACATGCTCGATAGTGCAAGCGCCGTGATTTTCGTCATCAACACCATTGCGGTCATCGTTCCAGAATAGGACTTCAGAGGGCTTACTAGAACAATAACGCACCTGGAGACCTGACTGCAAAGTATGTGAGAGCGTTGTTTCATCTACCATGTGTGGGTATACATTGGGTGCCGGTATTTGGGGTGACTTAGCGAGGTTACGGGCTGTGAGGAGTGATGAGTTGACATCCAACTTGGCTTTTTCTGACATGGATTGAGAGATCTCTAATAGTAGTAGACGGCAGTGCGTAGACTTATAGCTAGCTTATTCAACTTGACTCGGAGAATGAGATAAGATGCTGATGTCGTCCTGCCCAGAGATAAACACGTGAGCAAGGACGCATGGCCGAACTCGAGCGCAAAGCTCTTGACGAGGCTTTCTGAGAGTCAGAGAGGAGAAAGGTCATATGGCAGCTAGCGGCAATGAGAAGCCAAATTACCCCTCTGATGCTCTGAACTTGGACGCATGTGGAGGCATGTTCGCTGAAGTCCACTGCTGGTATACCAGGTCTAAATCACTAGCGCAGCAGCCAGTATCACCTTGTACTCTTAGATTATCCTATTACTATCATAATGAGACGTTCCATCGTGCTGGAACGCTTGAGTACATCACCTTGCTCCTGGATTTGGAAGTGACAGGATTCGCAGGTACCGTTGAGGGGTGGCTACTACCACCAAGCCTGATATCCAGTAGCTACCGTCATAAACTCCATCCTCAGTCTCATCAAAGTTTGTTCCTTCTGCGCATGATTTGATGCCAATCTGCAAGATGCTAAGAAGCGCATATCGCAATGATCTTTGGAATTATTGCTCCGCAAACACAGACTCCAAGCTCGTCCATGCATTGGTCCGAACAGAGAGGGCATGGACTCCTCGCCGGATCGTCTTGTACTCAGGTTGAAAATTGACTGTCTGATTTCTATAGGTGTCTAGCTCGTTGTTTATATACTAGGGGAAGGAGGGGGGTTATCCCCGGGAGCTTTAACGTGGCAGCTCTCTTGATACGTTGCTGGTTACATGCTATTACTTGACGCAGTGCTGATACCGTGCTGCAACACTGCTGCTGCACTACCTGTTACTTCCTCCTGTATCAGCATGCTATCCTGCTACGTTACTGGCATATGAGTTGTTGATCCTAGGTTGTAGTGCTGCAACCCAAGTCTTGTACATACACAACTCTCATTCTGAACGCTTCTGCCAGAAATTATATTGATCACATTCATTGGTAGGGGCATTGAGTGCCCCGTCTCGAGGCAGTCACGTGCTCTCCTAGTGATGCGGTGCCCTTGTGCGATGCGGCCGCAAGAGACGGTCCGAATGCGGGAACTAGTGGATAGGTACATCCGTAGGGAGGGGTAATGGCGAAGCTTAATCTTAAGTACGATGTCGGTCGACAGCAAGGCATAAAGCTCAAGCACTTCAACTAGGAAAATATCCATGACTGTGCAATAGCTTGAGCTTGGTGAGATTGCAGGTGATGAAAGCGGGCTGTGAGGTTGCGGGCTACTAGCCCCATCGCCGATAGAGTGAGACACAACGACAAGTCAGAGCAGGACGAAGTAGCTGACTCACCCCTCTCTGAGAACACTGCCATTCTGAGCACCTTGCATCCCCCACATCCCGAATCTCCTCACGTTCGGAGAACCCCGTTCAGTTGTCAATAGTAAAAGACCAGAAGCAAATAGCCTACCAGTCCCGCACACCAATCCCACGCCTGCCCTCCCTGAAACCTGTTTTCCCTGCCAGTGGTTGTCAAGTTAGGAAAGCTGACCAAACCCGGCCCCCGCGTGCCAATCTCCGGGTCCTTCCTAGCGAACTTTCCAGACCACCGGGTCCCATCCCAAAACTCACCCTTGACGGCTGCCGGCGGCCGACGTTGTGCTATCTGTGCAACCTGCGCCTCGCCGTAAGAATAAGAGCATGGATGCAAGCGGGGGGCGTACGTGCGTGCGGCGTGGCCAGGCAAGCCAGCGGCGCAGTAGCACATCGATTTTGCGCGTAATTGGACATAGGATAACTGGCGACTGTGCCGTATCGTTCATGGTTGATCTCCATCGGATTCCGGGGCACTCGCCAGGCCGAGAGCGCGGGATGCCGCAAGGGATGCCAAAAGTTCGGCAGGGCAAGAGCGAGTTGCGCGTGCATAACGACAGAGTACCAAAATCTGTCAGGGCGAGGTACCGGGCGGATGCTGTTCGTCATTGGATAGTAAAGAGCCTGGTATCCCCCACCAAGCAGCACGATCGAGACTGATGCTCGGGCGTCACTGACACGGTTTAAGGGCCACACGCATCATTGTCAACCAAGGGAGCTGCCGTCGGCGAAGCTCGAACCACTGGCTGGGCAAGTTCGGTCCGTAGTAATGGCCCGAAGAAGTGGCTACTGGCCCGGCCCACGGCGCCTTGCAGAAGTGGTCGTGTCGATCCTGCGATCGATTCGGCATCAGCTCCAACACAGGTCACTCTCCGCAGCCAATTTCGCTAACCCTCGTTTTTCGTTAGCTCTAGGTCCCGCTACCTTGATGTGGGAGCTTCCTATCCATGCAATGAACCAATTTTGTAGCTCTGCGTGCAAGAGCTAGCTCATCGACGCAAGAATGGGACCATCGTCGCATGGGATCGACATTGCAGACCTCCTATCCTCTCCATCGCGTGCTTGAGATCTCGTGCATTTTCCTCTTGCAGATCCGTGGGAAAGTATGTCCCAACGCGTCTCGACGTGCATTCTTGAGCCGCCCATGGCTTGCAATAGAGCGTGCTATGGATGGGAAAACCCCCAATGTTAGGCGACGGAACCGATTCCCCGCTGTCTAGCTGCCTGGGAGGCGCAGGGCGTAAACTTCGCGTCTAGGCACGGCGGGCGAGGAGGCTAGCTGAGTGGGCTAAGGCGAAGTGTCGGCTGACGGTCGGTTCGCGAGTGTAGAGACTTGACAGCTGATGATGACGAGGCGCGCGTACAATCGGCGGAAAGAATAGTAAGATAGCAAACAAAGGGATGAAGGGGCTAGAATAGGAAAATAGCTCCCGTGTGGTGATGTTGAGGGACGTAAGGAGTCTTGGTTCGTCTTTGGGCTTGTAAGGCATAGGTGCCTTATACGGCGGTTGGGAAGTGGAAAGGAATCTCGTAGATCTTGAGGGCTTCTTGTAAAGTGGTTCTTAGGTATTCTCCATATCTTAATAAGGGTCTGAAACCAAGGTCGGATGGCTTCAGTCGTCAGGGTGTCGAGGTACGGTACAACATGGTCCTTGCAAGTCCCTCGATGTACTTCGGTTACTAGAAAATAGAGCTAATTAGTTGATAGAGAGGTCTGGCACTGCCCTTCCTATGCAAAGTCTGACACAGTGAGGCAACGCCAGGTCATGTTTTCGGAGGCGGGCGACCCTCCGCCGACTGAAATATGCGGTACGAGAGAGACACGGCACAGTAGGCCAATCCCCTTCTCGTATTTAGCAAAGGAGTCGGCATACTGGTGGTATTGGCATGGAGTGGGGTCTGGGGCAAGTCGCACGGCGTCGAACTCGCTTGTTATTCAGCTGCTCACCTCAGGACATGGCGTGGTTTGACAGCAAGACAGCACAGATGAGGCAGCCAGTTTTGGCCTAAAATATTGTGGCGTCATAACGATATAGCCTCCTTCTGGTGCCATGATCCAGTAGCGGGAAGAAGGCCGGAATTGCTCCTTTGAAGTGGTCCAACATGTACTAAACAGCAAGCACACAGTGATTGGACGGTGGAAGCACTGGAGAGGCCCCCGCCCGTGAATGAATAGAGGAGATTCCGTTCTGTCCCAGTGTTTTAGCGAGGGGTTGGGGATGGAGGCTAAGAAGTCACCTTTCTAGAAGGGCTTACGGCACGGGGGGGTGCACCCTGCCAGTGATGACAGCAGAAAGCGCGTGTTGGGTGCAGGTCCACGCGGGCAGGGTCCGGCAGTTCGAGTGGACATCGGGAGGCTTGGAGGACATGATGGGGACACGGCAAGAAGCCGATGTGGTGAGACATTCCGGGTTTTGATAGGTCGGCGTGCCGAGACGGGAGGCGGTGCCCGGCTCCTCTAGCCTCGCTGGCCCCTCAGATCTCAGATGGAATCTCGTGGAGTTCCCGGGGTCGAGGCCCGAGCATCTCCGAGCGTTTGAATCTGGTGGCGGCTGCGAGTCATCTCTGTTGGCCACTGAGAGGAGAGTAAACGCCCTGGGCCTTCCAAGAGCGTGCTGACTGCGACCAGTGCCTCGGGTCCCGCCCGCTGTCACTAGGAAGATGTGACAGCTGCAGCGCCCAATTGGAGCTGTTTGGAAGGGGGACATGTGCCGGTAGCGCTGTCTCGAGGGCTCTAGCAGATGCGGATATGTAGTGACAAGGCGGAGACACTAGACTGCGACCGGTGTTGCTGTTATGCACGTGCTGCCGGGCCTGTACGCCAGAGAGAAATTCGTCGACCTTCGTCTCCCCGCGGCCGGGACTCCGCAACGATCGCTGCGGGGGAGCGACGGAGCACAGACGCATGGCAAGTCTGGCGACAGTGCGGCTTTGGAACGCCCACCGTGCTGCCAACGGGGACAAGCGATGCCGTGCAAGACAGCGGGTGGTCCGGCTGGCTGGGAGACCACGGCTGAAACAGCCCGCGAAAGAAGCTGACGACATGCTGTTAATTGGAGCAGCCTGCGTGGCTGCAAAGAGCGCCTAGTCAATCGGATGCTTCCGCGAAAGCCTTTTCGGGCTGGTGGTGTAGAGGCGCCTGCGAGGCTAGCACTCCCGAGGAGTGTTGGCCGCAGGCGCGAGCAGCCGTTGGACAGCCACAATGGAGGTCATGGAGGGTGGAGCAAAAGCAGATGTTCTGCAGGGAACGGCCCTGGTCGCAAAAGCACGTTGTTGGACACCATCACGGCCATGGACCTCGTTGGCCCTTATTTCTGGCGTCACAAGGCAGCTTTCGCCGGCAGCAGATCGGCACAAGGACAGAAATGCAGAGCACGATAAGATGATTATTGTAGACCGAAGACCGAGCAATAGACTCCACCAGGCCGAGAACGGCAGCCCGAAATCCTGGATCTGGCATGCAAGACGGCGAACCGTCTGCAGAGGCCTGCCGCTAATCGCTGGCGGCTGCGGGAGTACCTGACACGGCCATGCTGACACGGCCATGCTGACACGGCCATGCTGACACGGCCATGCTGGCACAGCCATGGCACTGCCAGCGTGCCCTCGGCACATCGGACACCTGCAGACGTCACTGCCATTCACGCGTCGTCACGCTGCCTCACCAGCGATGCCCCCTGTGCCAGATGCTGCCAGTGCCGCCGCCCATCTACGACTAGGTACTGTCAGTGTCGCGCTCGGCCTACCGGATCCCGCCATGCTGCACTTACTATGTATCCCGTTGACCCATTGGCGATCACGGGCCCCTGCGGCTGGCCCACTGACGTCGCGTCCTTGTCGTGCCGCACCGTGATGGTCTTGCCCATGTGCTGCGCTTTGTCGAGCTTCTTGACCGCATCTTGAGCCTCTGCGGCGCTCGCAAACTGCACCGTCGCACAGCCTTTGAGCTTGCCAGTCGCCTGGTCCCGCGGTAGGACACTGTGTGTGGGAGTCACACCATAGCTCCTTAGAAGCGCTCGCAAGTCCGCCTCGGAGCACGAGAAGCTCAAACCAGTGATGAAGATCCCTCGAAATTCAGTGCGAACGACGCCATTGCTGATGTTCACAGGGAGGCCGTTGGGGGTTATCGAGTACGCTGGCGTCTGGGGCATCATGGCGTGTCGTGGTACTCCAGTGACTGGCGCCGTGGGAGCCGCATAGCCGTACTGTGCTGTTTGCGTGGTATAGGCCGTGTAGTAGCCTGCAGGCGCCGCGGGGTATACATATGAGACTGCCATGGGCGCTGAAGTGACGGGAATGTTCATGGCCGTTGTGCTCATCATGGTCCGAGTGATGACGTTTAGGTCTATACCGCTTCGTCGGGGGCTATGCGAGCCCGGTTGCATTTCACGGTGCCGGGATGAACAATTGCATCGGACCAGATTCGGCTGGGCGCCGTCTCGGGAGAGCTCCCACTCGTGCACCAGCATTATGTTGGCATTGACGCCTGGATCTGCAAATCGATCTGCATTGGTTGTTAGTTGAGGCACCTCGCTACAAGACTACCAGTGACTTGCTGTAGGCCAGGTCGGCATCTTTCCTACCGACCACTCTGAAGTATCCCTCACGCAGTCCCGGTCGCGCTTCAATGACTTCGGTCCACTTGGGCTGGTTCACGATGGAACCGCGGACATAGTCTTTCAAGTGCTGCCATGTCCAATTGGGTGGAAGCTTGATCGTCGGTTAGTAAAGCCGAGGGCGTTGGGGGTGGTCAACTTTACTCCTGACACCCAGATGAAATGCTCCTCATTCTCGGAACCTCTCGAATGTGACTGCGATCCGGATCGAGGCATATTTATAGATCGATGATAACGCTGTGCGAGGCAATCGGGAATATAGCCGACGAGTAGTGTGTGTTGTGAGGGATCGAGTATAACGGTCTGTAAACTCTGAGACAAAAGTGTGCTGATAGAAATAATCCGCCAACGGAAAGAACAATGATTTAAAGGGACCCCGGGAAGGAAAATCAGGAACTTGTAAGGTAGGCTCGACAGTAAACAAGCATCGTGATAAATGTCGGTACTTATATACCTGACCAGGGGAGCATTCAGCCCAGCTAGGGAGAGCATCGACTAGCCCACACCATATCGCAAAGCTATTGTGGCTACGGCGGCATTCTCCATCCGAGTAGGCTTGCATGTCAGCATGCCGGATGCGTAGGCCAACCACGCATCTGGCCTGCCCATCAAAGCATCATTGAATTGCACATTGTGATAAAACCGTCTTTTCCAAGCGACATGTACTAGGCGCTTCTGCCAAGAACCAATCTGAGGTGTATCGGAGCAAGTCTAGATCAGAAAAGGTGGAGACAGGGAGGCGATCAACTAGCTGCGCGCCGCAATGTTTGCTTCCGTCTGGACATCTGACATGGCATGGTGTTGCGCGCAGCAAGATAAGAGTTTTCGCGCACGGCACAGTGCAAGGTGTTTCGAGTCCTGAGTAGGAGTGCAAAAGCCACCACGCAACCACAGCGCCTCTTACCATACTGACGGAATAAAAGCCACTGCCAACCACCTCGGCTTACGTTTTAGGAATGAGAATCCCAGAAAAAGCCTTCTCATTAGAACAGGGAAGATGCCTCACAGACGATGACATCAACATGCCGCGTTCTAAAAGTAGAGACAAAAGCTATGATCAGCTCTGCTCCTAATTTACATTTAGGCAACTGTTATGAAGCTGCATGTGTGGCATGGATTTTAGCGACGGATTGGGTTAACTGAAGTGCCAGTGTCGAAGTCAGTCTGTTGCTGAGGGCTGAGATATGGATGGATACCACCTGCAACGATACCATAGCTTGCCTCGAATATGCGGAGTAGAGGTGCAGGAAAAAAACGCAAGAGGGACCATGTCCGATTACGCTGCAACGCTTGACCAAGCGGTCGGGGTCTGCGGACCCTCCCTTAGCTATCAGAGTTCATCTCAATGTAACTCAGGAGGTAGACAGCCAGCACGACTAAAACGGCATGCAGTATGCTCCATATCACGTGAGCGTGACACCATACCCGAAAGCTTGGCTCAGCCCTCTCTCTCGTGGAAAGCGTACTCCGTGCCACAGAAGTACACGTTAAACCCTGTGGTAATGGCGAGATTGTGAGACGCGCGGTTTTGACATGGTCTACGTTTTCCAAACTATGAGCTTCCGGTCAAATCCGCCACTGACAACCCATTCCTCCTCTTTCTCCTGGCCGTCAGCGCCTGGTCGACGAAGTTTTCCCGCCCAGAGACAACGGATCTTTGAGCCGGCTTCGTGGCCTTCTAGGGTGACAATGACCTTTCCTGTTGAAGCCTCAATGCCGCGGATGACACCGTCATCGCTATTTACCCACACGCCACTTCCATCGGGTCGCCACACGAGTGCTGGCGTTGAGTACTGAGTCTGGGGTGATAAGGTGGTACACTGCACAAGAATTGCAGCTTCTTCACGGTCTTGTACAACCAGAGCAGCTCGGGCTTGAGAAGCTTGCGTCGTATGCGCTTCCTGCAGGCCCAGGCGAGACTCTGGGGAACGCTCTCCAGCCACAGTAGACGAGTCAGTGAAAGGAGGCAGAAGAAGCCTGACGATAATGAGCTTCATGTGAGGGACAGCCGAGGTAGCAACAGCCAGAATGGAAGGGTCCGTAGGGCAGATGGCAAGTGCTGCAGGAGTGAATGCCACCCAAGCATTTGAATGCGGTGCGAGGTTTTGCTTGCCGATTAGAACTAGCTTACGGGAATCGTCCTCGGGTCTAGGTACAGAATAGTAGTAGATAAACGTTGAATCTCGTCTCGAGAGAAGCAGCAGAGGCCTAGATGACTCTGGATGCTCAACAAACAGAAGTGCTTCTGGGTTGCTGGGTAGGTCTAGAGTCGCAATGGGCTTTCCGATTTTAAGATCTTGATCTTCTGCAACCTCTATGTGGTACACGAAGACCTTTGTGTCCCAACCAGCACTGGCTACATAGGCCTCGCCAGCACGTTGCCAGCTGGTCAGTCGAACGACATATTTGGTATGGTCTCGCCGTTCATCCAGCACAGCCTCGGACTTAAGGTTGAATAGTTTGATTCGTCCAGACATGCTTGAAATTAGGATATGATGGGCGTCTAGAACAACGCAATCTAGAATGGGGGCGTCTTGCAAGTGTGTGTAGGATCGAAGCACGTCAAATGTCTCAGAGTCTGGCCTTATCACGTTCAATCGTCGATCTGCAGTGCTGGACAGGAGGACAGAGGTAGGAGAAGAGGTTTCGGGAAGAGCGAGTTGGTGCACGGTCGCGTGTAGGATGTTCGAATTAGACGGGAGGGTTGTGACTACGGTGGGTGTGGATGGAGCTGATAAATGTCAGAATCGAGTGTCTTTATCCTAGACCGTCCTAGATACGAATGGGGAATCTCACAAGGTTGTCGCCATCCCGTCTCCTCGTCTCCGACGCCTAGCTTCTCGAAGTTGACGCTTAGGTCATACGTCTTCTTCTCCTCGAGGATCTTCTCAATCGTCAGGCCATCTGTAGCATTCGCGCCAGTTTCTGGTGGAAGTCCTGCTTCATTCAGGAACGCCGTCAGTGTCTGTATGCAGCCACTTTTGTCAGTTAGTGAATGTTAAGGGTCTATCGGAGGCTGCGCACATCACGGTAGTCATTGGCTCGGAGATAGCGAGCAACGAGGGCGGCCGCAGAAAGAGACATGCTAGTATAGGTGGCGACTGGGTCTGAATGGCCTCGGGGTGGTGAGATATGGAGTGAGAGGTGGGAGGAAGACTCGACGACTGAGAGCAGCGATGATGTCGGAGATGGATCGGCGCACGGGTCCCAAAGCGCGGCGGAAAATCCCGCCTTCGACAATTTTTGAACTTTTCCACATCACACATCCCCAAATTCACACAACGCCAGCATGGGCAAGGACATCGACGAGCTAGCCGAGGATGTAGAGTCAAAATTGTTTGTACCAGATCAAGATCGGCACAGTATTCAGGCATCTGTTAGCAAACAGGATACAGTTGGTGATGATTTTCCTCGAAGTCTCGTACGCTGACCTGAAAGCAGGGAGTAAATGGAAAAGGTCCCCATGATGCCTATCGTCATAGATTGACAGACATAGAAGAGCTTCAACAAGTTCTTTCCGAAGCTCCATACGACGTAGATGTTCGCATCCGACTAGCACACGCCTACAAGCGTCTTGGATATCCCGATCTTGCAGTTGGCGAAGCTTACAAAGCCTTGCTTCTCATAGATGAAGTTTTAGAGGAAGGCGGCGAGTACCATGAAGAAGCATTAGAAGCCGCATCCTCGAGCATCAGAAGCTTAATCAAACATGGTATAACTCCGGATTCTAGTCACAGCAATGGCCACCAGCATGGCCTGTCTGGTGCCCAGGCGTTACAATCATCAGATAATCCTGTAGTCACTGATGAAGACGTCGTAGTTTGGGCGAAAACCTATTGGTCTAGAGCTTCGTAAGGCAACTTTTCTTCTACCGCTCGTCCCTGTCAGTCTCTTCGAGGCGATATTTCAATTTTTACAGATGACCCAGGAGAACGCAATTGGAGATCAAGATTCAGCCAGCTCATTCACACTCGCTGCTCCTGAATGGAATCCTGAAAGCTTGCTAAGTAACTGTAGATACCCTCTTCTGGTAGAATGCTTGATGCTTTGTGGCTGTCTGAAGAGCGCTTCGAACTATTGTTCGATGGCTTTGAAATCATTCCCAGACGACCAGAACATCTTAGCTTTTCGAAAGAAATTGGCCCTAGAAGTATCCTCATACTTGCATTCCAAAAATATAGACGTAAATGAGTTCGGCAAAGAGGACTACCCGGACCGCGGACTCGTTCGTAGAGAGCTTTACCCATGGAATGATCACGAGCCCGATCGATACTCTCCTACCAGCATAGATTTTCTAAATCATGAGATGAGTAAGGTCGCCCCTAAGTTAGAAGTTCTCGCAGTAAAGCTTCCTGTTCTTTCTATTCCGAAAACATCACTCAAAGGGTATGTGAAATGAATTTACCAAAGCCTCCTGTTTTGAAGGCCATAACAGTCCACCCGTAAGTACCTGAAGATCCCAAGCTTAGTAGTGCGAGTAGGGACAAATCTCCAGATGCTTCGACCGAGTTTGACCAGCAGCTTGGCATCTTTGCTAAAGAAGATATATCTCCCGGCGAGATAATTCTCAATGAAAAGTCGATGGTAACCGGAATTACGCGGCTGCATGATTCCTTTTGCGACGCTTGTAGCATCAAGTTACCAAAGATCACGACAACCGCGCTAGATTCAGATAACACTTCCAATCCCGAGCAATCGATATGCTGCGAGGAATGCGACGACGTATTCTTTTGCAGCCAGGAGTGTCACGATCTGGCCCAAGAGTCCTATCATCCCGCAGTTTGTGGCGCCGTAGTGGATATCATCTCCAAAAATGTCCCTCCTACCGAAGCGGCAGATTTTCTTTACTCTTTGCTTCTACTACGTGTCCTCTCCATGGCAGAGACACAGGATATACACCCCCTCGATGTAAAAGAGATCAAGTACATATGGGGAGACTACCACGGACTACCACTTAACCGACTGTACCAAATTGGCACAGACGAAAAGCCACTCGATAATTTTGGAGGCGTTCCTCAGACTCTTCCATTCTCATTTGAAATGAACGTACAAACGCCCCTTCACCTCCTAGAAAAGATGGACGTCAACATTTTCACTCAGAGTCCGCGATACGACACTTGGGTATTCAACACCCTGTATGCGAAGTTCCGAGGGACCGCATCTGCTCGACAGGGTCTAGATGGAAAGCCGGAAACTGGTGCAGTCCACCCTATGTGGTGTCTCGCCAACCACAGCTGCGATCCAAATGTAGCGTGGGAGTGGGAGGGTAGTATCAAGTTTTGGACAAAAGAGAAACGAGTGGGTTGGAAGGGGAAAGAGGCACGAACAGTGACTGGCATCAAAAAGGGTGAAGAACTGCTTAGTCATTACTGTGACATCCGATTGCCGGTCAAGGAGAGGCGAGAGTGGGCTGCTGGTGCCCTCGGCGGCGACTGTCGCTGTGAGAGATGCGTATGGGAAGCCGGCGAGCCTCGCGATGGGGATGAGGAAAGCCGTTCGTGAAAGCCCCACACTCGCTCTGGGCTTGTGCACTGTCGCTTAGCACCGCTTGTGGTCCTCTAATACGTTATCAAAAGGTTTAAACCTACAGCTTTGAGAAGCCTGATAGCTTGCCGGCCTACCTCCGACAGTGTTACAATGCTCATTTTGTTCCCCTTCTTCCTTAATCGACGTCGCACCAATCTCTCAGTGCGACCCGGGAATGACATACCTACTAATATGTAGACGAGGGGCTATGGGATCATCAAGTCTTCATCCTTGCCGGTCGAATAATATCTCATATAAAATATCGAGGAGCCTTCCGTACGCTCTGTTGAAACCAGTTAGCTTTCGTGAGACAGGCGGATCTAGCAGCTACATAACGCTTTAATTGCTACATAAACCTGCGGCGTGATCGGAACGCCAGCTCCGCTGTATATTTTAATTCCTAGTAGCGATGCGACTGCTCGATCCGGAAACCTTTGGATACAAGCAATGTAGACCTGGGGTGATACGTGCAGGGATTGAGGGCGACCAAATATAAACGACACAACTCACTTCCACAAGGTCTCGATATCAAGCCTCTATTGAAGGCCCCAAGCTCTGTCAAAGTGTACTCTCTCAAACCCCGAAATGGCCCCCAGATTCTCCCCCTCGTACACGTGTAAAGGAGTGGTGGGTACCTCAAGGATAGATGTTTGAAATCAGAACTAGGAACTTGTGGACTGCACGATATATTTTTTGAATCCGTGTAATGACGAGATAGTCAGGGTATCAGGGTGCTTATCGGCATCCTGTGTAGTTAAAGTCCGCTTGCAAGGATTGGTGATCCCATCGTCTCTCGTCCATGACCGACGCTCAGCTCGATCAAGTGATATTTCACCATTATTCCCGTCATATCCTTTGGTAGGGTCAAAACCACTCCCGAGAATAGACATGTTCGAGAAGCCAATTCATACCGTTTCCCAGTCTGTTAGTTCTATGCAGGTCAAGGCGGTTGTGCTGCAGGTCATGGACATTCAATACGGACCCGGAGCAACGGGGTACTAGTCAAATTTGTGTACACTTCTCTATCTCAACCCGAGGTGTCTCGGTGAGCTTCCCTGCCGGTCAAAAGGATAGATTTGAACGCGTTTCAGATAGGCGAGAGTTCATTAGATTACCACAAGCGGTGTGAAAACGGTGTAAACAGCTGTGTCACAGGACTGCATGATGCTTCATTCGCGAAAGCAGTAGAGTAGCCTACTGAACCATGACTTGCATTCAACGCAGGCCGAAGTGTGTTCGAAACTTCGAAGGTTAGTGAGAAGTGAAGAAGTCACGATGTGGCCGCTAACATGCTCGGCGTTCGGGGAAACGTCCACCGAGTGCTTCCGAACGGGACGGTGTCGTATCGACTCCTTGTTCTTGAGGCACAACAATCTCTACTTCATCCCTCGTCATCACGCCAAACAGAGTCTATAGTCAGACCATGCAACATACCAGGCTTTCCTGCGCAATGCGAACCTAGCCAAGTCCCAGGATCTGCCTTGAAGATACGGAGAAATCTCCACCGAACCACGCTCCATCCAGCGTGCCTTTCCCACGGGGCGTCCCCGAGTTTTCTCCACTCTCGCCTCATCCATGGGCCAAAACACCACTCACGGTCATGGACGTCGCCTCTGTTCTCGGGTTGCACCGGCAGGCGGCCCTTCCTGTAAGAACTTCGCGGAGAAATACCACGCCGTGCGTGTCAGGGACCAGATAGCTACTCCCGATCAGGCATCCCGTTAGCATACCATGACTCGATGCGGAATTCCCATGAAGACTACCGAGTGGCATCGTGAGTAAAACCGGTCGACTTGTCAACACATGGGAAGTGTTGATGATTCGGTGTGCTAGCTTGTGTGGAGCCAGCGGTCCCGTGTCGTAGTCCATCCATGGGCGACTTCACGAACTGGGTGGGCCTATAAAACCCCGCATCCCAGTTTCACAGGAAATTTTTCGCGCTAAATATCAACTTCTTCTCATTTCTGCACTGCTCTAAAGACTCCTGTGCCATGGCCCGGGGAAAACGATGGAACGTCGCGGACGTTCTCGAGAAGAAGCAGTTGCTCATCGCCGTCAACTGCATTGCGGCACTGTCTATCTTCTTCTTTGGATATGATCAGGGAATGATGGGCGGCGTGAACAACGCCGAGGACTACATCAATCTCATGGGATTCGGATACATCGACCCCGTTACAAAAGACCCTGTGATCACGGACAGCCTTCTGCAAGGTGGTATCGTGTCTGTGTATTATCTCGGGACTCTCTTCGGATGTTTATTGGGGGGATGGGTTGGCGACAAGGTCGGAAGAATCAAGACAATCGGATTGGGTGCTGCTTGGGCTATCCTCGGAGCGTCGTTGCAATGCTCAGCTCAGAATGCTAACTGGATGATCTGCGGTATGAGACTCCCGCAAAAAAGTTGCTGCTTAAATACTGATTGAGTGTAGCGCGTGCTGTGAATGGTATTGGTACAGGTATTCTGAACGCCATTGTCCCTGTTTGGGCGACTGAAACTGCCGAGCACACCTCTCGCGGCAAATTCATTGCCATTGAGTTTACTCTCAACATCTTTGGTGTTGTGGTAGCGTATTGGCTAGAATTGTGAGCATTTTTATGGTATATCTAAACTTAGACTAACATGAAGATAGCGGATTGTCTTATGTTGATGGCGGCCGCTCAGCTATCCGTTGGAGGTTCCCCATTGCTTTCCAGATCATTCCACTGTTGTTCCTCCTGGCCGCAGTTTGGTACTTCCCTGAGAGTCCTCGATGGCTCGTCAAGGTCGGCCGCGATGATGAAGCTCGCTACATTCTTGAGAGACTCCGAGGAAAGACTGGAGATGACGAAGGCAAAGCTGAGGCCGAGTTCCAGGATATCAAGGCTGTTTCCGAGCTTGAGAAGAAGACAGCGAACCGGAGTTCCTACTATGCCATGTTTTTCGGCTTTGGATCCGGCAAACTTCACACCGGCCGCCGAGTACAGCTTGTTATTTGGCTTCAGATCATCCAAGAGTGGGTGGGCATTGCCGGAGTTACAGTCTATGCTCCAACAATCTTCCGTATCGCTGGGTTCGATTCGAATAAATCGCAGTGGATATCCGGATTGAACAACATCTTCTACATGTTTGCCACTCTAGTTTGCGTGTTCACGCTTGACCGTATAGGCCGCCGCTGGACGCTGTACTGGGGCGCTATTGGTCAGGGGATTGCTATGTTCCTAGCGGGCGGCATGTCTCGTCTCGGTATCAATGCCCGTGACGCCGGCAATATTGACTTTGCAAATAGCTACGGTGCTGCAGCGGCTAGCTTCGTCTTCATCTTCACATCTGTTTTTGGTGCGACCTGGCTCACGGTCCCATGGCTCTATCCCGCTGAAATTTTTCCCCTGGAGGTGCGTGCGAAGGGCAACGCATGGGGCGTCGTCGGATGGAGCATTGGTAACGGCTGGCTCACCCTCCTCTGCCCAGTATTTCCCCTTGCCCTAATAAATACTTGTATAACATGGCTAATAAAATTAGGTCATGTTCAATGCCATCGGAGAGAAGACGCTGTATATATTCGGCGCGAGTAACATCCTCGCGCTGCCGATGGTCTGGGCGCTATATCCCGAGAGTAACCAGCGAACTCTCGAAGAGATGGACCTTCTTTTTGCTGCTGAAACGCCGTGGGTGTGGGATGCGGAGAAGAATTTCGCGCTATTGAAGGAGCAAAACCCGGGGTTGGTAAACGCAGCAAGGAGAGGAAGCAGTGTGGTAGATCCGGAGACTGGATTACGGAGGGTAAGTGTCATTGGTGTGAAGACATTGGATACGAGGGAGGTTGGAGACATGAAGGAGGAACTTTGAAAGGTTTTATCTTTCGATAAGTATAGATGAAAGCCCCTGGTGAGGAAAAGCTTCTTCATTCGCCTCGAACGGGAGCAGAACCAGAGGCATTACGTGTTAGATGGTATGAGCCTACGAAATAGATCTATAATTACCCGCTTGATGCATGCTGAACTGTGACTGTCTCCATGAATCTTCATCATTCACAAAATGTGAAGTTTTGAGCATGGAAATCCGGTCTTCGGGTTTCGCGTTTAAGCACTCGCGAAATCAAGGGCACCAGAGTAAAATGGCCTGTTCGAGGTACACCTGGCCAAACTCGCATTATGGGTTCAATATGTAATGATTTCGAGCGCGCACATCGGGCGCCTGGATTTTACGTATCAATACTTGAATCGACCGCCCATGATGATCGTTTAGACAATCGTCGGATCAACTCGAGGCACTCCTGGCCCTACACACTTCGTAAACCACAAGATGTCAAGCTCTAAGAGCGTAAATCGGGGTACGAACCGTCTCAACGCCACACCCCGCGGTTCGGCTCGCCGCATTGTGGCGTGAAAGAGGAGACATGGCGTCATCGTGAAGACATTTTATATTACCAATATCACGCCCTAATACTCAGTCTCTCATATAAGCCCCGCAGTATATACGAATACTCATCACAATCCATCACACTCCTAAGAAAATTCCATTCTCTAACCCGAAAACAACGCAATAGCCCTTCAAAATGCCTCACATCCTACTTATCGGCGGCCACGGCAAGATCGCGCAGCTGCTTACGCCGCTTCTGCTCGCGAAGTCTTGGTCCGTTACCTCGCTCATCCGGGCCCAGGAGCAGGTCTCTGCGATTGAGAAGCTTGGAGCCGGGAAGCCCGGGAAGCTGAGCGTGCTAGTCGACAGCATAGAGGAGGTGAAGAGCGAGGCGGATGCGAAGGGGGTTATCGAGAAAGCCGGCACGAATGAGCAGATTGATTGGGTTGTTTGGAGTGCTGGTAAGTGTATTCGTTCTCTCGTTTTGAGTTGATCATACGTCAAGTGCTGTCACACTTCTATCACGTGATAATTTCCAATTCCCACAATTCGGAGCTCCTGTTTCCACATAATCTATAACAAAGCTACCTAGCATCATCTTCCTAACATACCATAGGCGCCGGAGGCCGCGGAGGCCCCTCCCGCACCCTAGCCGTGGACCGTGACGCCGCCATCGCGTTCACTCGCGCTAGCATTGCGAATCCCCACATCACCAAGTTCCTGACCGTATCTTACATCGCATCGCGCCGCAATCGGCCATCCTGGTGGACCGATGCCGACTGGGAATCAGCTCAAAATGTCAACAACAATGTTTTGCCAACATACTTCCAGGCGAAAGTCGCCGCCGATGAAGTCTTGACTGCGGGCGCGAAGCTCCGGTACGACGAGGAGGCAAAGAAAGGCGTCGAAGAAGGAAAGCGGTTCCACGGGATCTCTCTTCGTCCAGGTCAGCTGACGGATGAGCCTGCTGGGGGTGTTACTATTGGGAAGGTGCCGTCTAGAGGCACGACGAGCCGGGCGTCTGTTGCGGAGGTCGTGGCAAAGGTTTTGGAAACTCCAGGAGCAAAAGGATGGCTCGATGTTCTGGATGGCGATGATTCGGTTGATGCGGCGGTCGAAAAAGCTGTGAAAGAAGGGATTGATTCCGTTGAGGGTGAGGATTTGGCTGCGCAGAAGGAGCGGGCCGGGTTGTGATTAACTAGGTATTAGGAAAATTGATGAGTAAGAGTGCGATGAAAGTCCACAGTTGAAGTGAAGAAGTATCACGTCGGCCTCCTAAACCAGATCTCAGAAGCAGCTATCGCGAAATGGTACCAATTTCGACTTTACATGATCTCAGTATTATGGATCAGAAGCAGAATAAAGTGCTTAATTGAGTCCGTCTCGACTGGCAGAACGGGCTCACTCCATCGTCGTCTCTTTCACTATAAAACGCAGGATTGCTAGTCACTCCATTCGCCTGAAGAATATTAGCCATACAGAATGGCTATCAAGCTTCAGAATATTCTCGGGGGTCTCGAAGTCTCTTAGCCGGCCCTTTCCTTACATCCTATATCCTTTTCCTAGATCTATTCCCACGCTCCCCTTCAATCATTACAGATTAAGGCGCTTCCCCATTCAGCACTGCTTTTCGACGTTCATACTCTTCCAGGAGGTCTCTTAGATTCTCACGAAACAGCAGATTGCAGACGTCCTTTATTTCCTGTGGCAAGTTCATCGCGAGCAACTTTCGGTGGGCTGCATCGGCATTGGGGTAGCGTCGTCTTTCTATGGTCCATGTTGGTAACAGGATTTGGGTGAGTCGTACGGCTTCGGCTTGGGTATCCTGGTTCATTTTGTTTCGTTCTTGTAGGGTGAGACAAGAATAGGGAAAGCGGTTGGCGGGCCGGTATGGCGTATGAACAGGAGCTAGGCTAGATGAGAGTGGGTGTTTGGTTAATGAATCTATATATTTAGCGTTCAATGGAAAAAAAGAAAATAACAGAGTGCTCAAGTGAGCCACCATGCCCATAGTAACGATCTCTTGCTCAGCCGTGGGTCGGTTCCCTTCTTTGAGAGCTGCGCCCCGGATTTCGTCGGCATAATGAATCAGAGCACTTCGAGGTGAAGACGTAGCACCCAGCGAGCTTACAGGCCATTCGTCACCGTTTATGTTTATTTGCTTAAGGAGGACGGACGAGGCGTGGAGGCGTACTGAAGAGAGGCCTCTGGTATCGCATCTACTCGTCGTCTACGCACATTGGGTACTGGGGAAAATCCTGAAGACATCCGACGGGAATAATCCCTCCACTCCACCTAGCAAAGGTGGGGAGGGAATTATCAGCCCTCATCTCACAATCATGCTCTCACTTAAACCTTGCGCTCTCTCCAAAACCAATTTCTCCTTGTCATGACTTCAGGCCGTAAACCGCGCGACCCGGTCCTCCGGCGCATTCCATACGACTCTCCGCGATCCGCCTTCATCGAGGCTCTCGAGAAGAACGGATGCGTAATCGTGCAGAATTTTACTAACCCCGAGGCCTTGGCAAAGGCGAAAGAAGAGGTACAGCCGTACCTAGATGTTGAAGAACCGGCTAGCTCCGTTGGAGGTAAGATCGATCGGAAATTTATGACCCTTGTGTGTGCATCTAATACCGAGTAATCAAGCGCTGCAGGGGAGCACGAAAACATGCACGCGTCTAATAGGTCGAAGTGCTACTGTTCGAGAGAAATTCTTCGCGGATGAGCTATACCAGGTATTCAACTTTCTAGTAAACCGTTCTCCACATCTCTTCTGTATCATCCTTCCTTAGCGCCCCATTACAGGCCTCTGTAGACTGTTATACCACTGCTCGTGCTGTTCCAACGTTTTTCGGGATAGCGGTATAGCATGTATGCCTCTTATATTGAAAGCATGGATCTTTCGTCAAATCACCACTGAAACCCCAACACCGGCATCTTAAAATGCACGAGCGTACGGGTTGCTGATTTCGAACATTTACCGAAGGGCTTTAAGCAGTGGTAGACTAGTTTATACAGGGTCATCATGCGGCTTTCTAAAACATTAGTCGTAAACAAACCCACTGAACCTCATTTCTAGGACATCGTCGAACACTTCCTCGCAATAGAAAGCACCTGCTACTACGGTGCTAACGCCACCACCACAACATGTCACCCCCTGCTTTCCGTCTCCATCACCATGGACATCAGACCAGGCACACTCGCCCAGCAGCTTCATCGCGACGACAAAAACCACCACGCGCGCCACACCGCGGTCCCATCCTACCCAAGGAATCGCGACGTCCTTCTGGGTCTCTTCGTCCCCGACTGCGCTACGCGGCGTGAAAACGGCGCAACGCGTGTCGTGCCGGGGAGCCATCTGTGGGGCGACGCGAAGCCGGATTTCGGGGACGGCAGCAAGGGCGTTGTGGATGTAGAGATGGAGGCTGGAGATGCGTTTTTGATGTTAGGAAGCCTGTATCATGGCGGTGGGCAGTTTATGTTGGAAGAGGGGAATCGGATGATGCATATCATGTTTTGCTGTGCGGGGAACATGCGCCAGGAGGTGAGTTTAATTGTCACGATTCGGAGCAGGAAGTCGAGGCCATGGTGCTAATGCGTTTCGGCGCTTAGGAAATTTCGTTTCTCTCGTACCCCGTTGAGGAGGTGAAGAAGTACTCGAAAGTGGTGCAGGATAGACTTGGGTGGACGCAGTCAGAACCGAATTTGGGGTGGGTGGATTTGAAGTCGCCTGAGTTCATGCTGCAGTAGAACAGGGAATTGAGTTGAACATGTGAGTATAACATGAGAGCCCTTCAGAGTTCTGCTTCCACCCCTGCGTTTGTCTACTTGCTGTGTGAATAGAATCATACACGGGCGCAAGGACCGCGTTCACGGGGTTCTTCTTTCAGCCCGCTTCGCACTCCCATGCTTGCGGGGGACGTGAAGCCTCAGGGATGCGGAATGTGTAGAAAGTGAGAAGAGGAATCTCAAGTTCGGTACTTTCTATCTACTGATCTGTTGTCTGCTAGCGTAATACGCCACTATACGCCACTAGCGTACCTCTCTGGAAACCCTATATATACCCCTCTTCCTACATATATAATACACAAGAGTTCTCTACTTTACATGGCTTTTCGCCAGCAATCATCTGTTCTACGTTATGTAGGACAGAGTGGTTTGCTATCTAATAATGAAACGGAATGTTTTAGGCACGAACAAAGATAGTATACAAACATAGAACAATGATGGGGCTTCCAGAAACAAGCAGAATGACAGACATGATGGATCAAGGATAAGGAATTGTTCCAATTGGTCGCCTCAATCTCGTCTTTCTTAACCGAACGCCTCCACAAGATTGAACTCGAAGGCGGAGTGGTCCTCGTTCAAATTGATCGTGTGAGGATTATAAAAGAAGAGCGTCCAGGTAGTAGGTGCGAATGTCCTGATTTCAAAAACGTGATGAGAGCGGAGCCCAAGTTTCCTGAGAAACATTTAAGCGCTTGTGTGGACGTACGTTCATATTACTGATCACGTGGCTTGATACGACGCTACAAGGCTACTCAAATATTCGGAGAGTAGAGACTGACTCAGGTACAGAGCTACGATTGGGTGAATGCTCGCTTATGTAAGTCGGCCGGGCTCAACTTAATAGCACGTAATGACCAGGATCATTCACGACAACAACGTCTCCCTCCGCGAAGCACGTCTTCACCCGCTTCGGCGATTATCCGCGGCTACTCCGCCTCTTCATTGGAGGCTCTTTTGCAAAGCTTTGGCCCAGAGCTTGAGCGAAGATAAGATCACGGCACATGAGCACGGCGCCTCCGAATGTAACGACGCACGTGAGAACGCGAAAGAGGTGGCCCGACTTCAGTTGCTATGGCCTCAACTCTTCAATCTGACAGTTAGACTATCCAAATTAGGTATTGACGAGAACGCTCGATTTGTATGCTTCATGCTGCTCATTTCCACGTGTACGCTCGGGGATCCCTTCCGACGCAGAAAGGATGCCGGCATCGACAGCAAGTGCAAGGAAGCACCCGTGGCAACAACAGAGTTTGACCTGCGTCAACAAGCGGGCTTTACCATGTATCCATTACTTCGGCGATTAGTCTCAGACCAACTATCACTCCACGCTACACAAATTTTAATCCACCCGTAGGGAATATCAATATCTGACCGCGTGTTTTACCGCGTTAGGCCAACGGGCCAAGTCCGGAATGATCCCCACGGGCCACCGGTACATCGTCGACCTACCCAGGCGCCATAATGTCGGAACAGATCTGCTGCCGGGGTTCGCGTTACTACCTACTTGAAGGTTTGATTTCCGCATCTTTTGGAGCCCCTCCTGCCTACACTCCGGAAAACTTTTCAGGCATTATTTCAAACCCAGAGTCCGATATGGCAAGCGATCTCGGTCCCATACCCCACGAGGGATATGGCGCCGTGTCCAAAGAGCACGATGAGCATGACGCGAAGGCGTACACGTCTCAAGGCTCGAGCTCTGATCTGGGGTATCATGATGGTGCTGCAATCGACTGGACCGAAGCGGAGGAGAGGAAGCTGGTTCGCAAGATTGACTCGATTCTCATGCCGCTTCTTATTCTTGGCTTCTTTGCTCTTCAATTCGATCGTGGGAACATGTACGTCTCCTCCTGTATTTTAATCACTTGCGTGTCTAATGACTTCAAGCGGAAACGCGCTCACGGACCACTTTCTCAAAGATGTGGGCATAAAGCAGAACCAGTTCAACGTAGGACAACAACTGCTTTCAGTTGGTATAGTTCTACTAGAGGTAAGTACAACAATCCCATGCTGTTCGAAAAGTCAATGTTGTATACTGACGTAGGACTAGATACCCAGCAATATCATACTATACCGCGTTGGACCGCGAGTTTGGATCACTGGCCAGATATTCTGCTGGTAAGACGGATCGTTTGCTCCTCTTTCGGCCGCATCTGACCCAATCGCAGGGGCCTCGTAGCGACATTTCAAGCATTCCAGAAGGGACTCGGCGCGTTCCTGGTCACTCGCCTCCTACTAGGCTTTTGCGAATCTGGCTTCATCCCCGCGTCTCTCTACACGATGACAACGTGGTATAAGCGCGACGAAACCAGCGCCCGCTTTGGTGCTTTCTTCATTGGCAACTTCGCGGCGCAGGCCACCTCCGGGCTGATCGCATATGGAGTGTTACATATGCGCGGAGTCTGCAACCTTGCAGGATGGCAGTGGCTCTTCATCATTGAAGGACTCTTCACAATCACAGTCTCGTTCATCCTCATGGCATTCTTACCTAAGAACCCGTTCGATCCAGTGCCATTTACCAGGATTCAGTACTTCAGCCAGCGCGAGAAGGACATCATCCGCCGGCGTGTCTTCCTCGATGATCCGACTAAGGAGAAGAAGTCTAAGAACATCACCCGCGCAGAGCTACTTGATACCCTTGGAGACTGGAAGCTGTATCCCCATGTGCTGATGACCATCGCCGGACTTGCACCCAGCAACACGATGACATCGTATGCGCCGACGCTGGTAACCAGCTTTGGATATGGTCGATTAAAGTCGAATGCGATCACGAGCATCGGAATGTGGATCTTGACGGTTTTAGCAGTGCTCTGGGGCGTAATGGCGGATAAGTTTCACAGGCGGGGACCGCTGGTATTTGGTGGCATCGTTCCATGGGCGGCGTTTGCGGTATGTCAAGTTCCTTTCATTCCGATGATCAATAGAGGTACTGATTATTGCAATAGATTGGCAGCGTCATCGGATCTTACCACCCCAAGCAGAAGAAGGCCAGGCTCGCAACCTTACTTCTCGGAATCGGCTTCAGTAACGTCTGGCACCCTTGCAACGCGTCCTGGGTTGCTCTCAATGCCAAAACACCCGGCGAGCGCAGTATCCGCATGGCGATGATGATCATGGGGGCCAACGCAGGCGGCATCATTGGGTCGCAGCTCTTCCAATCATCGGATGCGCCCTTGTATCATACGGGATGGGCTGCGATTGCTGGTATCATTTGCTTTGGTGTTCTCATGGCGATAGTCTGCAACGTCCAATACTGGGTCCTGAACCGGAGGATTGATAAAGGGTTAGCCACTGGTCTCGTCACGGGCGAGGCGGCGGCGGAGGTCGCACAGGGAGCAGTTGTGGGCGAGAAGTTCCGGTATCGACTATGAACAATGGCTTTCGATAGGGAAAACCATCTACTCAAAGTTGTATCCGTAGCTCGGTAGTCCGAACAGTGGAGGAAGCTATGTTGGCGCTACTCTACTAAAAAATATTTATTGTGGTATGAGCAACTCACGGGTCTGAAGGCGTGCTCATATCTTATTTTGTCCCTGAATATCATTTGGTACTATACTTGATGTAGCGTTAGCAGTTCTCTCTACACGAAACATCATGAGCATAGTTAGTGTTTCTTTCCCCTGTTCCTTTACCTCGTACTACCCCACCAACACCATCGCCCCTCTATCGCACGTCATCCTGTCCCACCTTCACGCTTATCTTCATCAGACTTGAGAATTATCACACAGTCAAAGCCTCCTCCGCGGCCAAGGCATGCCGCATATCACGCAGTCCGGTAGGTTAGCGCGACAGCAGGTGCACCGAGTCGCGTGGGCTGCGATTTTCGGGCTCACGACGTGGTACCGCTTTTGCACGGCGCTCAATAGTAGCTAGCTGATCTACTCTATCATACCGTCTACACTTCTCTTAGGTCCTCTTTCCTTCGAATCTCTTAATCTAAATCTGCTCTTCGTGAAGTAACGCGTCCCAACTCAACGCGACTGGACGCGTCTGTTCCGCATTTGTTCCGTTTCTATTAATATCCAATTCGTCCACTTCGTCTTCAAAATGGCCGAGAGCTCTAAACGCCCCAACTTCCTGGTCATTATCGCGGATGATCTAGGCTACTCCGACGTCGTTGCCTTCGGCAGCGAAATCAAGACGCCGAATATCGACAGCCTGGCGAAAGATGGTCTACGCTTCACAGATTTCCACGCCGCGAGCGCGTGTTCGCCTACGCGGTCGATGCTATTAAGTGGGACTGATAATCGTATGTCACCTATACGCGTCTTCACTCAATTGGTGCGATTCTGATGCATCCTACATCGTAGATATTGCCGGTGTCGGCGCAATGATAGAGTCAATTCCAGAGCACAAGAAGGGCAAGCCGGGATACGAGGGGTACTTGAATGATCGAGTGGCACCATTACCGGAGTTGTTGAGGGATGCGGGTTACCTGACGCTAATGTCGGGGAAGTGGCATTTGGGCCTTACGGAGGATAGATGGCCCGGGAAGAGGGGGTTTGAAAGGAGCTTTTCGTTGCTGCCGGTGAGTTTGGGGATGTGAATTCAAGGGTAAAAGGGTTGAGGAAGTAATTGAGTGATGCTGACGGGTAGTGAATAGGGAGGTGCAAATCATTATGGCTGGGAACCGCAATTGGAAGAGCAGGATAAGCTACCACTACTGCTCGAACGTGAGGTCCCCAGGCATACTTGTTTTGCGAAATATTCAAGAAGCTCACTGGATTAGGCACAAACGTTTTCTACGTCGAAGACTCCACGCTTATCAAACCGTCAGAACTAGGGCCCAATTTCTACTCCACCGACGCTTTCGCAGACAAACTCCTCCAATACTTCTCCGAGCGCACAGAAGACGATGCAGCAAAACCCTTCTTCGCATATCTTCCCTTTTCAGCTCCGCATTGGCCTCTCCAAGCCCCAGAAGAAGAAATACTCCCCTATCGCGGTCGATATGACTCAGGACCAGAAGTCCTCCGCCAGGAACGCATCGCCGCCCTCAAGAAAGCAGGTCTCGTCCCTTCACACGCAGTTCCCCACGATGTCGTAGCACCCCACTCTGGCATGCTGTCGCAAGCTTGGGACACCCTCTCTCCCGCTGATCAGGCTTTTTCTGCCCGGACAATGGAAACCTATGCCGGTATGGTTACCCGGATGGACACGGCCGTCGGGCGTGTAGTCGACTACCTCCGCGAGACTGGCGAACTAGACAACACGGTTGTGTTATTCATGTCAGACAACGGCGCCGAAGGACTTCTTCTTGAAAGCGCACCGGTGGTCAAAGGAAACGTCTTTGACCATATAAAGAAGTACTGCGATAATAGCCTGGACAATGTCGGCAAAGAGAATAGCTATGTATGGTATGGCCCACACTGGGCATCTGCGGCGACAGCCCCAGGGTGGCTGTATAGGGTGTTTACAGCGGAAGGTGGGATTCGCGTGCCGCTTATACTACGGTCTCCACCTCTTACCGGTGAGAAGAAAGAGGGCATCGAACATGTTTTTGCGACGGTGATGGATATCGCGCCCACGATACTTGAGTTAGCGGGCGTAGCGCATCCGGGAAAAGGAGAGTGGAAGGGGAAGCAGATTGAAGCAGTGAAAGGCAAGAGCTGGGTACCGTATTTGACTCACAAAGACGGAGCCGGCGCGATTCACGACGAAGATACAGTGACTGGATGGGAATTGTTCGATCGCATGGCAGTAAGAAAGGGGAAATGGAAGGCGGTATTTATCCCGAAGCCGTATGGGCCGCAGCGGTGGCAACTGTTTGATCTAGAGGCTGATCCCGGGGAGACTAGAGATTTGGCAGACGAGGGGGATCAGCAGAGGGAGAAGTTGAATGAGTTGCTGCAGCACTGGGATGAGTATGCCGATGAGGTAGGAGTGGTTGGAGCGGTGCCGGAGTATGGCGTCTTGCTTGTGGATGGAGGCGGGAAAGAGTAGGTTCCTGATACATCAATGAAAACGCCCCTTCGCATATCCAATACCCCTTGTTTTCACTCTACATACAGTTGCTTGTCTGTTAGCCATTCACTAACCGCGTTCACTTTATTCGCTGATGTCTAGAACTCCTCTCTCTCTTGCCATCTCATATCCCTCATTCACAAGACGCGTTGTTCAAGAGCATGGCGAAGATGTGTCCCGTCAAACCCGCAGGCCTATACCTACATTTTGTCCAAAATCACCAACAATGGCCAACATACATGCACAGTGTTTTAATATATATCTCCCAGCAGATACTTTGCGTTCGCTATTCGAAATCTCTCCATCATACTCGACTTCTCAAATCACAATTTAAAAACAACCCCGAAACCCATAATTTCAACACCAATCTCAACCTTCAACGTTCCCCAACCCGCGTCCACAATGCCTTGTCACACCAATACCCCCAACGCCACTCAATCCCGAGGCGACCACCCCTCCCGCGACCAGCCGCTCTATTCAACTAATGCAGCTGGGTATCCTCGACCCGCGCCCCTAAGGCCATCTCGTCCCGTTCCACAGCCAATATGCGCCTATTCCTCACGCGAACGACCAACCCGCTCCACCGGTACGGTACGGGAACCTATGCAGGCGCCCCCTAGACAGCCCCGTATCGTCTTCCAACCCACGGCAGCACAACCTCCAAATGAGCGGCCACTCAATTCAACCGGTGCAGCCGAAGAGCCCCTACTAGTGCCCCATAGGCCATCCCCTACCGCTCCCCAACCCACGGCAGCCCGTCCCTCACGTGGACCACCGTCCTCCTCAACCAACTCAGCCCAGAATCTCCAGCACGCCCCTCCTGAATACGGCACTACTGCTGTCGACTGGAACGAGCGAGGCCCAATGAACAATGTGTGGGATGCTCTCTACGCGGAGCGCGATGCCACAAGGGCCGCAGAGAAAGCCGCCTTTAGGGCGCGATGGGCGGCCCGCTTTCAGCTACTACATCCTACGAGGCTGCTCAAGAGGTTCGCTGGGATCTCGTCGCCAGAGTGGAGTGAGGTGCCTTTGCTGTCTGCGGGATCTTTGGCTGGGCTGTTGCCGGAGATTCGGGTGGGGGAGGCGTTTGGTGAGGAGTTCGGAGATGGTTAGGTACGGGGTCTTTCTCTACTTTCTTGATGTAGGAGAGGGGGAAAGTTTAGGAAGGGATGCGGTTCTTGAAGTTGTTTGAGTTGGATGTTTGAACTGGGGCGGTTGGATAGTCTAATGTCCTGACTATCTTATTCTAGAATACCTCCCACCATCGATCATCACGCTACCCGCACCATAGGAAGTGCTTCCTATACACTCACATATCGTGGCTCCGTTACCGTTATTACAAGTCCCCATAACAATATCGCAAGTCCGGCTCAAGAACATGGTGTATCTGGCATGGTACATGTCCGAGCAGAAAGTGACGGAGTACGTATTCTTAGCCAGCTAGCCTACGGAGTATGGTACGGTTAGCTCGGCTACTTTGATATAGAACACGGTTCCTATACTTAGCCCTCACAGTTCTACGGTACGGTTACGTAAGCCTCCACACACACACAGAGTATATATACGGCGTACGTAGCCTAGATAGATGCTCATCCAATACATCACTTACCTCGTTCAATGCATTGTTTCATCTCCATCCTCAGAAAGAGGTACGAAGTGGAATTGGCGAGTCATGAATTTCCCCGCAAACGGCACCCCGCAATCCACGATCCACCCCTGTATCCACAAGAATGCCGAGGCAGTACCTTAGTATAGTTTTTCTCGATTTCTTGATCTTCTTTTGCTCTTTTCCTGCAACTCCATATGTCATACATCAAAACGTTCTCTCAAATTTAGCACTCCTACTCGCTCCTTGCATCCAATTCCAAAGTCAAAATGTCTGAATTACGCTACGACAACCAAGTCGTCGTAGTCACAGGCGGCGGCGCCGGCCTCGGCCGCGCATACGCCCTCTTCTTCGCCTCCCGCGGCGCAAAAGTCGTCGTGAACGACCTCGGAGGATCAGGAAAAGGCGAAGGAAATGACACAAAGGTACTCCATTCCCTTCACCTACCATAAAACACCACTACAAACCAAACCCATACTTACCTTTCCACGTCCCCAGCCCGCCGACACCGTCGTCTCCGAAATCTGCGCCGCCGGCGGCGTCGCAGTCGCAGACCACCACTCCGTGACCTCCGGGGATCTCATCATCGAGACCGCTATCAAAGAATTCGGCCGTGTTGATGTGTTGATTAATAATGCGGGTATTCTGCGTGATGTCAGTTTTAGGAATATGACGCAGAGGGACTGGGACCTGATCATGGATGTGCACGTGAGGGGGGCGTATAAGTGTACTAGAGCGGCGTGGCCGTATTTCAGGAAGCAGAAGTACGGGAGGGTGGTTAATACGAGTAGTGCGAGTGGGCTGTTTGGGAATTTTGGGCAGACGAATTATGCGGGTGAGAGTCTTTCTTCTTTCCCTGAGGGGTTGATGGAAGTGTGAGAACTGGCGTGAGAGGGTCGATGTCAAGAATTTGCGGCTGACTTTGGATGGTGATAGCTGCTAAATTTGCGTTGATCGGGTTCACTAAGACGCTCGCGCTTGAGGGGAAGAAGTATAACATCTTCGCAAACGTCCTCGCTCCCGGCGCTGGTTCGCGCCTCACAGCAACCGTCATGACCCCGGAGGTGCTATCCGCCATGTCGCCAGCGTACGTGGTACCGCTCGTCGCAGTTCTAGTCCACTCCTCGAACACGGAGACCGGCTCCATATTCGAAGCAGCAGCGGGCCATTTCTCGAAGATCCGGTGGGAGCGGTCGAAGGGCGCGCTCTTTCGACCCGATGACAGCTTCACGGCTGGGGCGGTGGTGAAAAGGTGGAGAGACGTGGGAGATTTTGAGAGGGGGAGGCCGGAGCATGCGAGTGGATCGGCGGATATGATTACGAAGCTTGAAGAGGCGAAGAAAGCACCGAGGGGTGACGGAGGCGAGAAGGTGGACTTCGGAGGAAAGGTGGTGCTGGTCACGGGCGGTGCGGCGGGGCTGGGGAAAGAGTATTGCACGGCCTTTGCGGCGCTCGGTGCTAAGGTGGTTGTTAATGACGCTATGAGTACCGCGAGCGTGGTTGAAGAGATTAAGAAAGCGGGTGGAGAGGCCATTGGAGTGACGCTGTCGGTGGAGAAGGGAGAACAAGTCGTAAAAGCTGTGGTTGACGCTTACGGACGGATCGACATCATCGTTAATAATGCGGGTATCTTGCGCGACAAGGCGTTCTCGAATATGACAGACGAGGCCTGGGAGTCGGTCGTCGCAGTTCATCTAGGAGGGACCTACAGAGTTACGAAAGCGGCCTGGCCCTACATGCTGAAGCAGAAATATGGGCGTATCGTCAACATCACATCCACTACTGGAATATACGGAAATTTTGGCCAATCCAACTACGCTGCAGCAGTAAGTTAGTCCATTCGCTTGAAGAAAATTAAGTGCAAAAGCTTACGAGGTTCAATCACCCAGAAAGCTGGAATTCTTGGATTTGGTCGCTCCTTGGCCCTCGAAGGTGCGAAGTATAATATATATGTCAACACAGTAGCTCCAACTGCCGGAACAGCCATGACACGGACGATAATGCCAGAGGACGTAGTACAGGCTTTGAGGCCTGAGTACGTTGCTCCGCTGGTAATGGCTCTATGCAGTGATAAGCTATCAAATCCGACCGGAGGGCTGTATGAAGCGGGCGTTGGATGGATCGCAAAGACGAGGTGGCAGCGAGCTCGTGGCGCTGATTTTCCCCTTGACAAGTCATTGACGCCCGAAGATGTGCTGAAAGTAAGTTTCCCGTGGTTTTCTCGTCCGTATGCCGATAAGGACTTACTAACAGCGTGCAGGAATTTGCATCGATAGTGAATTTTGACGATGGGAGAGCGGATCATCCGGAAAATCAAGCGGACGGCTCAAAGTACAGTAACATAAACATGGCCAAATATTTGAAGGTATGGCAAGGTTTGAACGCGGTCTGGGGTAAAGAGCATCTACTAATAGATTCTTTGCTAGGTCAATACAGCAAGAAAATCGAAACCTTCGCGGCTGTAGGAGGGAGGAGACGGAACAGGACCCCAATCAGCCAAATAGCATTTACGAAGCATCTATCTGTACATTTGAAACATCAAGGACAGAGAAATTTCTCTCCGTTTTACTCCGAGACTCGCCAAACTAGTCTCTCACCACTCTGCTCTTTCCTCCTCATGATATCCATCGCTTTCTGTGCTCTTTCTAACAAGGTATTACCCTCGATGATACGTTGTTTGTTCGGGGTCACGATACCTTCCTTGAGCATGGTCGGCATGACCTCCGTTTGCAAATGGTCGCGGAAGAATTCGTTGTTCGCGTAGAAATGCGTCCGGACACCACGAACGTCCACGCCGGCTTCCCACTTGGCAGCCGTTTGCACATCCATGGAGTACTCGGGTGCCGTAGTTTCGCTCGAGTCTTTCACGACGACTGGTAGCAGAATCGCGACCTTAGTATCCTTTTGAGCAATCTTAGCAATAGGTCGAATGCTTCCGTCCTGAGATCCTATGCAGTCTAGAATGAATGAGATGGCAGGTCCGGACGAGCCCTTCGTAGCCGAATTCAGAATGGCAGAAGACACGTCAGCATCGTTGTAGTCGAAGGTTTCGGATGCTCCGAGGCTCTTTAGGAACTCATGATGACGCTTCGAGGATGTCGTGATGAGTTTTTGATAGCCATAGTACTTCAGAATCTGGAGTGCGAACTGTCCGACCGACGAAGATCCTCCCCATATCAAGATGGGATCTTGGGAATGTGGTGGGACGTAGCCGGCAGGCTTAGGCCAAGGAAGTGGTAGCTCAAAATCAGTGGTGACAGCGTGGAATACGGTAACGAAGTTATTAGGGAGGGTAATCGCTTCCTGCAACGTGAAGCCTTCCGGAACCTTCAAAGTTTCAGTAAGACATTACAGAGTGCACTATTTCCCTCGTACCTTTCCGAAATTGGTTTCCAGGGAAGTGCAGAATTCCTGGTGCGCTTTCTCTTTCTGCTCACGAAACGTGAAGCCGAAGACCTGCAAAGTGAGATTAGCTCAGATGTCTACGTCGTCAATCCTACACACGTGCCTTATCTCCCACTTTGAGATTATTTACTCCCGGTCCAATTTCTACGACCGTCCCAGCAGTGCCGTCACCCAAGATCTGGGGATGCTTGACAAGAAGACCTCCATCGTTTTGGTGAAGATCCAATGGTGTTGAAGCGGTCCACTCGACTCTTACTCGCACTTCCCCTTTGGTCGGAGGTGTCGTAGGGACTTGGCGGATTTCGAGTGGTGCTTTCAATCCAACAGTAACGACTGCATTATGAGTTGCCATGGTGTGCTAGTGCGAAGTTGTGGTAGTTGCGAGCTCTAACAGGTAGAGCAATAAATTGTTTGCTGTTGTGGGAGGAGGTAAAACGTTCTTGGTTACATCGTTAATTAAGCTCTCAGGGGACTCTATATAGCTAGAACATAACGTGGCACTGTAACTATAGGCGTCCATGCTTTGTAAGACGAGGCTTACAAATTGTTGCTAGTGAGATCATCTCGGTGGTACTACGTAAATACGTGGAGAATTTGAGGGAGCGGGGGTGCGGTCTACTACTACTATAGCATGTTACTCCAATTGTACTATGTGTCCGACCGATCACTAATCACTCTTATAAGGATCTGAGCGGAGTGCTGTGAAACCAGAACGGTGATGGGATCAACAATTATAGGGCCGTCAGCATTCGTTGCAAGGGCGCGATGCGGTTTGTTCGAGGATTTTGAATTGACGTTCCTCGTAGAAGGCGAAGATAAACATTCGCTGTGATCGTGATGTAGGATGGAGGGATGGAGGAAACGGAGCTTTGGGAAGAATTCGTCCGTGTCGTCGAATCACGTGATATTATCATCATCACCACACTACTTCGTATTTAAATCAATACTAGATCAACGACGCTTAACACTCCCGACACTTAGCACTCGTATACAGATCCACAGACTTTCGTTTCCGCATAATTCAGGCAGCAAGTGGAGCTTTCATATCACGTGACCCATGTGTTAGCTCTCCGCTTTTTTCACGTTGAGCCGCAACGACCGTCATCCCTTCTTTACCTAGTAGTGGAAGACTTGTCTGGTGTCCGCATTTTGACAGCTAACACACATATTAACTCTCCGATAGACCAGGCCTTGCTTGCGGCCGACGAGGCTTCTCCTAAGTGATTTCACGCTCCGTCGCTTCTAGTCATTCATCTTTTCTCGTCATCTTACCCATTGTTTTCATCAAGATATTCGCCCAATTATCAAACAGAATTCGTTCTACTCTGGGTTTAATCTATCACCTTTGTCACTTCATGGTCGAGTCTGAGCCTCTTTGAAGGCGCCTTTTGCTGCGGGGTGTGCTATCTTGAACTACCAGCATCCTGCAGGTTTCCGCACTCCGCCACCATGAGCCTGCCCAATATCCCAACGAAAAGTACAAAGTCGCCCGATTTGCCCGGCTTCCCCTCACCCGAAGACGGTGGTGGTGCAAAAGTACGCAAAATGGGGCGTTTGCACTTTATTGATGGAGATACAAGTGCAAGGCTGGCCCGCACAGCCTTATTGGGCCTTCACAAGTGTGACTTGGCCTGCATTACAGGTAGGCATCTGGCCTGACCAGGTTGGACAGCGGATGTTCATGATAAGTTCGGTCAGGTCTCATTTTCCGCGCGTTTCTCCAGACACTTCGCTTCCCTTGCATCCGTCTGGTGCTGTCGCTCGCTTCCCACACATGTTCTATCTCATTTCGTTACTCTTAGTTTGATAACATTTAACGACTACATGTCTTTATATTACATACGTCAGGCTTTCGAGCCTTCTTGCCCGAGCGAGGGAATATGGTATGCCTGTGCCCAAGGCTCCGGCTCCCAATTCGCAGGATGCTGTACACAGGAAGCATGCGACGGAAATGGCTGTCCGCTTGGGGCCCTCCAGCCAGCGACATTCAATCCAGCATACTTTGCGAGCTTCAAAGACTTGGGTTGTCCTTCCGACAGCCAGTTTTACACTTGCAATGCGACCACCCCCCCATTTTGGGGGTGCTGCAAGTCTGATCCGTGTGTACAAGGACATTGTCCGAGCGGTGATCTCCGAGCGGCGTATTTTGCTACACCGGAAGAGTTCTCCGAATATTCTGCTACTGGCGGACCGTCATCCGCCGTAGCTACGTCAACATCCAGTCCTAACTCTTCTGCAAAAGTATCCGTAGAAGCGTCAAGCGCAAGCACATCCATCAGCTCCTCATCATCTAGCTCCGCATCGGCAAGCTCCGGCTCTATCACCAATGCTTTGACAGCACCGACAAGCGTTCCGACGGTGGTAGTCACAAGCCATAAGAGTAACACGGGCGCTATAGCAGGTGGAGCGGCTGGTGGTGTAGCAGTCCTTGCCATCATCATTGGTCTAGTCATCTACTTCGCTAGACACGCAAAGAAATCCCGCAAAGAGAGCAACAACACCCTCCAAACACGGCTATCTTTCCCTCCTGGCGCTGGGCAACCTGATATCATTGAAACTCCTAAGTCGAGTAATCCACAAGGTAAGCATTCCGAATCTACATGGTAATTCGAATGATGCCGTTGACACATCTGAATAGATTCCATCCCTCCAGCCTACACCTCCCCCGCCCCGTCTTACCAAAAATACCACCATGCCGCATCACCAAAGCCGACTGCTTACGAACTGCCGTCTAATCCCGCGATGTCCCCCGGATTATACAGCCCAACGGCATCTTCGCCTCTATCACAAGGCGATGGCCTGTCTCGAAAAGGGGTTTCACCTACTGGAGGTACCCCGAGCGATCCTTTTATGCCTCATAGGCTCTCAGAAGCCCCGGGTGATGTCAAGTATCCGGTTGAATTGGATAGTGCACATCACATTCCCACCGCCCAGACGCCTCAGAGTCCATCGAGTGTGAGGTCGAGCGGTGCGAATTGGACGGGTCATGCGTGGCAGTCTGGACCGGACCGAGGGCTTGCGATCAAGGAGGTAGATGAGGGCCAGAAGACGGGAGGACCTGGTCCAGCGAATGAGGGGACATGATTGTGCGAATGAAGTAATGTTTGCATTGTCAATTTGTTCTCATTATGTAGTTTCTTAGATAGTCTTCAGAATGATACTGAACGCAACGAACTCCTAGCTACGAAAGTCGCGATAACGGAGATGCGTAAATGACGGTGTTATCCCCAGGGCCCGCCTTATGACATAGTGTCCTCTCATCACCACTCTCAACACCTCTTAATAGTGAGATGAAATCTATTAAGGTGCGCCTTAAAGTATCGTATCAAGTTCATTGGCGAGCGCCATTTCGTATGGAGGAAATCTGGCGCGCGCCATTTCGTGTGGAGCAACTCTGGCGCGAACCATGTCGTACGTAGCAAAACTTGAAGAATGCTTGTAAGCTGAGTGATGGCTACCGTGGGGCTGTAATTGGTGTGATTCCATGTAACTCCGAGGCTGGAGAGGTGGCATTTCTGCTGAGAAGAAGCTGGACTTTGGGTGCGGATCTGGCTCCGTAAGGTAGAGATCATCCAGAGGGTTCTTATGTCTCGGACTGAAGAGGCGTTTTAGACTGTTTTTGGCTGAACTCTGCTCCTTACGTCCGGCTTTTTGGAGGTCCTTCGGTTTGTCCGCATGATCTGCTTTGCTGTTCGCTGGACTAGACTTTCGGAACAATTTAACAGAGAGGGCCGAGAGTTTGGATGGACTTTTTGACGATTTAATGTTGCTATTCACGATGGGTAATTGTGAAACCGGCTCTGCATCAAGCTCGGCAGGGGAAATGAACTGGGGTAATCCAGGTGATAATGCCTCATTTTGGAGATATGCTTGATGTGGCTTTTTAATTGCATCTGTTCTTGGGATGTTGATATTATGGTCGATTCGTATCGGGCTAGCTGGCTCTGGATATCTTAGATCCACAACGGGGTGGTGTGGCGCAGGAAGATGTGCTGGTTGAAGTGGTGGAGGTGACTTTGTGCATCCTAGTGCATTTATGGACGAGTCAATCTCAGTGAACCCATCTATTACACCTAGTATCCAAGCGTTGGAATCGAATTTGCTATCATGTGCTGATAAAGTCTGTTGGGTGTTGACTAGTGGCTTTTCTGTGCGCTCGTCCCCGCGATTCTCATTGGAATCAACCTGTGTGGCTTCACTTTGGCATACGGAAGCATGATTCTGTTGCACATCTCGGGCTGAAGCCTCCGGCGCTTCAGATGTAGAAATTGCTTGCGGCTTCGATGTCTTTACTCCCACGTCAGGAGGGCTTGCTGGAGGTCGATCGCCATGATTACACTAAATATCATCAGTATGAGCCTTGAATTATTCAAGGTGCCAAATTACCTTGCGCTTCTTTGCTTTACAAACTTTACACGCTCCGATAACCCTCCGGAGCCGGTATTGCTCCAACTCTTCGTCAGTCATGATACGCTTAACCCTTGCATTTCGCGCCAGACCGTCGACAGAGCTCCAGACGATTGTTAGATCGTTTACTGCAACCCTTGTAGCAGCCAAGGACTGCACAGCGATTGATCTTTCTTGACTCGTCTGCTTCGATGGTTTTGCGACTCCATCGTCCAACGAGCGTGTGGTAGCTGGGGTCGGGTCAGGTCTCGTAATAGCCGCAGTACTTTCCTTCTTGCTACCTTGCGTATCGAAATCTCGAGATATTTTATCTGATACAACAGCTCCATTGGGTCCTTCTATTACATGCTCAATATCCCCCCTGCGGTCACTGTCACGTGTCGAGGCCACCGGACTTCCACTTCGCGACCTCGATGCCTCTCGCTCAGTGACTAGGAATTCGATAATTGCTTCTCTGATTCGCGCCTTGTGAGTTCTCCGACGAGGATAAGCGGCTTTCAAGGCATCGAATAGCTCGTCCGAGTCACGTGGAGGATCGAATTCAATCCCGGCGCAGGGATCATAGGAATCGGTGATTGCAGGGTTTCGTTTTATTTGGAAGCCTCGCAAAGACATGGAGGTTGATGGCGGCGTAGTTGACTCGGAGGTTGCAAGCTCGAGATGATTGAGACTCCGGAAGTTGAGCTGAGGGCTAGAAAGGCTGAGAATGCCAGGATGTCGAAGCTTTTTCTATCTTTCAAAGATGATAGCCTTGAATGCAAAGGTCATTTGAAAACAACAATGAGGTACGTGGGCGCCTGAAAAAGTCTTATTTGCATGCGTGACGAGAGTATTGAAGTATGATAGCTCCGGTGAGAGACATTAAGGGTCTCGCTTCCAATTCCCTATTTGGTCGCCGCAAGCGGTGCCCAGAAAGTCGCCGCACTCCGCAACACGTGATGTTCACTTCCAAGTATTGCGTCACGCAAGACATCAAAGTGAATTGTGCTGGGTACTGCTACTTAGACGTCGTTCGATGACTTCTCGCTTTCATCGTTCGGGCGTCAGGTTCAAGGGGATCATATATTCTAAGTAGCATTTCTACGATCCCGTTCCCTGACAACTCATCTACGCACCTGAACGTTGGTCTCATCTTACGAGCGTTATGCTCCCAAATTATTCTACAAAATACACCTGTCTATGTTTCTATAGAGCGAGATTCATTACACCATGAAGTGTACCACACACATCACGTGTTTCAACTCACTGCAGAAGGCCTTAGATTTGTTTGAGAGAATAGAAACTACAAGTCTGCCCTTCGATCGCACTTGTGCGACTCAGAAATTCTCATTCACACAACGCGTTTACCCTCCAATTCTGGGACGTGACTCTGCCTCATGTTCCGTCCACCTTGACCGCCTTCGGGATTCGGAGGTGTTCTCCATGTCGAGGAGCATTAATAAGAGCTTGGCTGTCCAGAAAGGAATAATCTTCGACGGTGACGCTATCGGAGAGGTACCAGATTTATGAGAGTCGACAAGGGGAGTAGATTTGAGAAGTGTTCATCCAATCGAACTGGAAACGACCGAGAGAACTCGTTTTGAGTAGGGCTATGGAAGCGCCCTGGAGGCCTTCAACAAAGGTTGGAGTATTTCTGTTTGCACGCAATCCAAAAGTACAGGTGGGTCAGATGCTAAATCCATGTCTATTCCAGAAAAGGGACAGTGAAGACATCCACTGACGACTTTCCTCCAGAAAGGTAGCTCTTTGCTGCATACGACGTGCTCAAGCCTCCAGGCAGTCGCAATTTCCGTTTCGTTTGCCGTCCGCCTGGATGCAAGTGATGTCCCCATGAGTATCTCGAGAAGGATCATTCCCAAGGCAAAGAGGGAACTGTTTCGAACGCCGAATGAGGGTGCACTCGACCCGGTGTTCATCAAGCTATCACGTTGGAGTGGTATCGTAATTCGTGGCCTTTGCAGAGAGGTGCGAGTGATACCTCCTGATGAAGGCAAGAACTCGATGTTGTTACTCGTCCAAGCGCTGGAGAGCCAAGGGGTTGAGTGGAGACCGAGAACAGAGCATATAAGAGTAATCGCCATGCTGATTCTATCTCGCTCGAAGAAGTTACCGTTCTGAAAGCATGGCAGTGACAGATCCCCAAACAACGATTGCAAAGACATGGGAGAGTTGTGTGTTGAGGCTTGCTTGCGGCTTATGTCTATACGCAGTGACCCTTGACTAGAAATAGGGTAGTCAGCTTTCGCCCCTACCACGCAATTCCGTAGTGTCTGTTCCATGCTCTGTGCTAAGCAGTGCATCGGGGTTTGCTGTAAAGATCCCTGCTGCGTGTGCTGCAAATATAGTTCTCGACCAACGGTAAAGAACAATTCCAGCTTCATGGGTACTGGTATGGTACCGTTTATCCCAGGCTTGTATATCATTTCCATCTCCAAAGGTGAATTTGGCGCAGCAGTATATCCGCCCGAGCTTTCCGCGAGAGAGCGAGCAACAGCAATGGATTGAAGCTCTACTGTGATAGCATGTGTTGAGGTACACGTGCAGCCAAGAGACAATGCAACAGCTTGACAGAAATCTAGCGCGGCGGATCGCAGACTTCGAAAATAAGCTGCGTGGCTCCTAATATGATTCCGTTGTTGCTTACGCAATATCTTTTGCTGCCGGACAAGTGCATCTAGTGCTGTATTGGAATCTCGTAGCTTGTTAAGCAGATCGCATCGACTAGGGTCATTAATGGCATATCGGATTCGCTCTAACATCTCGTTTGTTTTATCGATCCAGTTGAAGACTAGTCGTCCAGCCGGAGGCTGAAATCCCAATGAGAGTTAGCAAAGCGCTCTAATGCATCAGAATATTGAATCAACATGAAAAATAGAGGGTGATATGTGCGGTTCATTGTGGATGATAGGCTTGTAGTGCGAGTTTCATGACAACCGTTTTACCGGTTCGCATTAACAACATACCTTTACAATATGGGAGCTAAGCGCTTTCCAACAGTCATAGATAGACTTTATGAGCTCACCATATGTCTTCCAATGGTCGTCGTTCTCAAGCTTGCTCTTGATCGAGTCCGAGATAGATTGCCAATCACAATTTGGGCCTCGTAGGGCTGAAGTGTCTCGATGTCCCATCAAGATGCGATATGAGCCCTCGAATAACGCATTCTGCACCCGTAAATCAAGGAGAAGAGCCTGAACTTGGTCTTCGTGGTAGCTCGATCGCGTCTTTAGGGCTCCTTTGTAAAGCTGCAACACCTCAATTACAGCAGGACATGCACCAATGACCCCCAGCACCAGTCCCCCTATCTCTACTGCCGTCGGCATAGCCGTAGATTGTGCCGAACAGTTTCGAGGGGTAGATTTAGAAACGCCTAAGATCTCGATTTGACAAGCCCTAGCATTAAAATCAACTAGCTACTCTGTTCTGGCGCCCTTTGAATAGATTTACCTTACTGAGCTTTCGAAACTCTAACATGCTTGACGGAGTTGTGTTGAACCTGCACTCTTTACTTTCCAATCGGAACCCGGCACCGCACTGTGAGCGGACGTCTCAAGTGCTGGAAACCGCACGCTGACAGACTGGAACAGAATCAGATCTTGGAAGTAGACAACTGTAAAAGCGTACTGTTACATTAGTTCAAAGAGGGCGAAAGAAGTTCTTATCGAGGAAATAGAGTTGCCTCGTTGCCAAGATGCGTTGACCGGTGAACTATGCAAGGCTAGGCTTCAAGAGCGAATGATTAACGCCACTTCCACTTACCCCGCACCTTCTTCTTACGTTGAAAGTCAAAAGGCTACATATAGGGTCTAATTTTTATCTTCGTAATGGATAACAATGCAGTAGTATCGACCTACGTTGTGGTATTTCGAATGCACTTCTACATACAACCTATCCACTCCGTCGTCGGCTCGAAAGAACATTCAACGGCCAGCAATGGCGGAACCCAATCGCTGGACTTGGAGTGCGCAGCATTTAGATCACTACCGGGTTGTATGGGATCCTGATGGACAGCCGGAATATATTTGGAGTAAAACTCACGTTGGCTCCCAAAGACGTGATGAGAGTTATGACTCCGCGGTTGGCACGAGTCCTCTCAGAAGCGGCCCAGGCGCAGTGGACACGACAAGCAATGCCTCGAACATTAACAGAGAGCAAGACGGGAGGGCAAGCGCATATCCACCTCTGCCAACTAACTCAGCCGAGAAATCAGCCCGATGCACGGCCAGTTTCAAGGATATTTCAAGCAGCCTTAGAAACGCACCGGAGCAAGGTCGAACATTGAAATCTTACTTTTCAAATGAGAACGATAGATTTCAGCTGTGGAATTCGAGTTTCGACGTGGACGCTGGCGGCCTTGATCGTCTGAGTCCCGAGGACTCTGACCTCGTTGATAGCATTCTAGAAAGCCTAGAGTCGTATCTGACAAGATGTAAGTGTCATTATCCCTATCTATAGAAAACTTTCCGAAATCGCCTTCCAGGTGATACCTCAAGAGGCATTTCTGAGCGTTGCCTATAGTGAGTAGAACTATCGCCAGGATCTATAAGCTGCCACTTGTGAAAAGCAGTTAGGGATCTATCTGACTGGTGTATAGATAAGGCGCTATTAGACGATGATATACACACCGCACTGCAGGACGAGCATTTCATCACCCACGTCAGACACACGCTGAGAACTTTGTTTGAACTTTCTCCGGTCCTTGAATATTCAAGGGACTTCAACCTCATTGAAGAGATGAACCTTCTGAATATTGCTGAGCCCAAGAAAGTTCAACCTGGAGAAGCTGGTGCCGATGAGTTGATCCCACCTGTGAAAGACGATGGGGACTGAGACGAAAGATTCTTCCCTAGTCGTGGTAGGTATGATCAACCCAGTACGGGAGGTTCTTCGGCCGTTTCGGTGGGGTCCTCGATCAGTCGCAGTGTGTCGACAGCCCCTACAGAAGATTCATCAGCTCCCCATATGGAAGTATGGATGGGGGTAGGGGTAGCTGATCCCGTGAGGGGAAGTCCTGGGACGCATGAGAAACTAGATCCTTGTAAGTACCTTCTCTCACTTGTCCAAATGCCTCCACATACTGAGCTCAAATTTTCAATAGCGTACTGTGTTCGAGCGGACGCAAAAAACTTCTTCAAACGTGGAAGAGTAAGTTAATGTTAATATTCCAAAGTGTTGTCTAACTAACGCCTGAACCAGATGTTTTCGGTGCTATTCTCGGAGGCCATGGGACATATCCCGCCACGACAAGATTCAGATAACGTCACATTTATTGTTCACTCAGGGAGGATGTATAGCCAAATAATACGATTCGTCGCTGTAGAAAATAAAGCCGGGTTCTGCTATGCGTGGTATGTGCAAATCCAGCTCGGAGCGTATGGATCTGATCAGAGATAGTCCAATTTTCACCTATGGGGGTCGAGGAACGTTGAAACCAGGGTGTCGACCTGCAGAACATGCCATCATATACTACACAACGCTGCAGTCCCCTACTCTTCTACCGGGGGAAAACGAACTAAGGTATGAACCGATTGGAGTTCTTCCACCCGCAGCGGAGAGGCAGCCTCTAAATGTAGCGTGTCGCATACGCTTCGGAAAACTATACCCCATAGAGTGGAATGTGAAGGTTAAAGATCTTGGGAGAGTGGCTGATGAGGATATGGGCAGATTGATACACTACTACAAGAGCGAGCTCGACAAACCGAGATAGGACTCTCTATGTCATTGGAATAGGGATGCAAGGCCTCCAAGTCGTCTTTCTACCTAGACTTCTTCACGCTAGATTTGAAGTCTCTTCTGCTATGACGTTTGAGGCCACAGGATGCATACGTGACCATATCCCTCCTAAATTCAGAGACTATCTGAAAAGCTCTCCCCCATGGCCCTCCACGCAACCTACCCATCCCCACCACCACTAAAACCTACCCACCACCACCACCTCACCCTCTCGCACACCATTACCATCCCCCAGCCCACCACAACCATCATTCGTCAATCGTCATATCAATTTGCTCTCCCCCGAATCCACCGCCTCTCCACCAGCCATCAGCTAGCTCCTCCCGACGTTATTTTCACACTCCACAGCACACAAACTCCATCATCTTCTTTCTCTTGGAGATTTGCAGTCCCCAGTTCACCGAATTCTCTCCATGCGTCTCCGTGTCGCGCAGTTTCGAATTCCGACCACCTCCGCGATAAAGAAAAGAAGAGAAGACGCGGAAGATTTTATACCCCAAGCACGCCCCCAAAAACAAACAGCACGTGAAGATCACATGACAAAGAACCAACCGCAAGCCTCAGAGCATAGTCTCAATTCCAATCTCTATCCTACCTCACCCATTACCCCCATTCCACTCCATCCCCCTCACCCCCCTACTCCACAATCCTAACAACCCTGCCCTCCCCCCCTCCAACCATCTCCCCCGCCCTCGCCGTCGCCACCCGCACCTCCCCTCCTCCCAATCCCACCCCGCCGCCCTCACTCAAACTCTCCAACCTCCCCCTCCCCACCTCCCTCCTCCCCTTCATCCTCTTCCGCGCAATCGCCACACTACACCTCCCGCGAAACCTCTCCGGATCCACACCCCCAGCGCCCACCAGGCCCATGGCCTGCGAGTACTTCCGTTCCCACTTCGCGCGCGCCACCGCCAGACTATCCTTGTGCGTGCGGAAATGCAGGTTGTCGATGTGCGACAGCCTATGCGTGCTGGTGAGGTGCAGGTGCTCGTCCGAGGCGGAGGGGAAGAGAGAGTCTTTCTTCGCGCGGGGCCAGGAGGGGTGGTCGGCGGAGGGGGAGGGAGGTGGGGGGAGGAAGGCCGCCTGGTGGAGGTCTGAGGTAGTGGAGGAGAGGGAGGAGTCTGTGGTGGAGGTGGTGCGGCTGGGGCTGTTGCGGCCGGCGGAGGGGGAGCGGCGGGGGAGGAGGAGGCCGGAGGAGGAGGCGCTGTTGGGGGGCGGAGGGGGGTCGCGGCGGGGGAGGAGGGAGGAGGATTGGAGGGGTGCGGCGGATGGTTCTGCGTCTGAGGATGAGTCGAGGGTGGAGGAGGCCGTGTGGCGAAGGTAGGTGTGACGACCAGATGCGATAGCTGGGACGGTGTTTTGGTAGGAATCGTCTGGGAAGACGACGATATTCGGGACGAAGTGTGAGGGCTTCCGGTCTCGTCGAGTGGCTTGATCGAATGAGCCCAAGGTTCGCCAGCTCCAGTCGGAGAGCTTGGTGTCCACTCCTTCTAGGCCGGTGGAGCTAGCAGCTTCGAGAGCCTGACCGGCGTCTGATCCACGACGGCGGGTCTCATTGTCGGAAGAAGAGGTCGGAGGATCGTCCCAAACCACCCCATAGGCCCCGGCATCTGTTTGGACGATCTGCTTCGTCGGCGTTGCAGAGAGTTTGCGAGGTTTCTTGAGACTCGCGTCGTCTTCTGGAGCAGAGATGGCAACGACATGGACATCGGTACGCGTGACAGCTGAATCTGCGGCTTTGCTCTTCGACCGAGGTTTTATAAAAGAAACAGCTTTGGCTATCTCAATTTCAGGATCAGCCGTCATCGCGCTGTCCTTTTCCGCTACCCATGACTTCAGCTTTGAAACCGAAGACATGAACAGAGACGTCGGACTGTCGAAGTCAACAGCCTTCGTTCGTTGATGTCCGTGTTTACGCCTTTTGCCTGTGAGACCTGACGGCGGACTTCCTATCGCGCTATTCTTCACGATCGGTTTATGTGGAATGCTCGATGGGCTGCTCGTTCTATTCTTTGGCGATTGACTCAAGCATGCTCGTAACGGGGTGCTGCAGTCGTTTCCTGCACTCTTTTCGGAAGGAGTGACGTCCGCGGTCTGGCACGAAGTGTCCGCTCTCGACAGTGTGCTCGGGATCCAGACGAATCGTGGCTCCCCATGTATATTGCCATCCGTTATATGTTTCTCGCACAGTCCAGGGGCTGTGCTGACTCGCTTCAGCTTCCAAGGCCTGTGTGGGGGCGTTCCGGAGGGCGATATGCGGAGTTCGCGAACCTCTTGTTCGAGGACCTTAACTTCATCGACTTTTTGCTTGTATCTCGAGATGGACTCGATGCCAGAGTTGCTCGATGTACCACGTAGGCGTTGCCTGCCGGCCTTGCGTCTGGGAGCGTCTCTAGGAAGCGTACGGGGAATGAGGGTCCGGTGATCGTGATTTTGAATCGTGTGGTCGCTGATGTCACCCGAATCTATACGGTGTTCTGCGAGGCCTGCATCCGAGGACGAGGAACGGCCACTCTCATCGCTGTCCCCGATGATGGTGATTATAGGCGGCATGACGATGGGGCTACTGGGCTTGCTTTCCACGGTGACATCAGGTGACGTCCGATTTTCGTCCCTCTCTGCATTCTCGGGTGTGTGGTCTCGACTGTGTGAACTGGTAGTAGTCTCGATGCCAGGGGGAATAGGTGTCGCGTGGCGATCCAGGAGAGTGGGACTGATAGGCTTAGTCGCCGGCAAAAAGCGCTGCAAGACATCCATCACAAGTGTAATTATGTATGGAAGTGACAGCGCTTTGAGTAGCGGGAGAGGAAAGTATCCAGCTGAAAGCTAGGCAAAACGTGTCGTAAGGATGCAGTTTCGATAGTAGAATGAGTCGGCGTAAGACAGTAGAAAAGCTCGCCAGGATCAATGGGTGTAGGAATAGCGAGACAAAGGATTAAGGAAGCGAGATGCAGAACTGAGGATAATCTGCAATGAGAAAGGAAGAGAAGAGGATTGCGGCGTTGTTTTGCTACTATCCAGCTTGATAGGCGAGGGAGGAAGGCACGATAGAATACACTGCATAGACGAAGCAACAGGTCTCGTGCACCGCTCTGGGAGCAGCTCCCATGATTACTGCCAACGTCACGCAGGTCAGATATTTCGGATTGTTCTAGAGCGAAGTTGGATCTTTCACATGCTATGAGGGGTATCAGAGTCGTCGTGGTCCACACTTCTAGCCCGTCCAATTGTCGTTGAGATAAAGTAGTGTCGTTCTACCTTTGGTCGCCGAAAGCTATTGTTAGTGTTCCAACGCTGCTAGGGCGGCACCAGCAGCTCTAGATCCAGCGGCCGTTGATTGAAGCACGTGACTTGAACTAAATCTTACGTCCTCTCCGTACACCACCTGGGCATGCACACAGTGCCTTACAGCAATTTCAGGAAGCTAGGGCGGCGGACCACACTTCTAATCTGTACACATTCGTCTGTCGCTGCCTGGAGTGGCTTTACGAGTCTATTAGTTGTTTGAAAAGCGGGACTACCGTCTGAACCGGGAGCCTGAAAATACCACAAGACCCTACAAGCGGTTGCAGAGAAGCGTGCGGATATCTATGATGAGACACAGTAGAATACAATTTGTTCAGTCACCTCAAGATAACAGTTCTTAACCCCTGTATTAGTCATGTAAAATAAACATACCTCAATATGTAACAGCGCCCCTCCATGTGCGCTCCTCATATCTAGCCAAAGAAGAAAGATTGTTATGATTTATCAAGGCCAACACCCTAGTAATTCGCCAATTCGTTATTTCGCCAACATGGGAGGGTATCAAGGCTTCAAAATGACCCAAAAAGACCGGATGCCGTATCATGGAGACAGAAAAAAAAGAAAGAAATCAGAGTAGTGTGATGTGACATCAAATGCCCCACACCGTCGTCCGGTCGACATCGTCGCACATTCACGCTTTTGTCGCGTTACTAACTAACTAACAAAGGCTCTGCGATCGTTCGCGATCTACTCAGCTACAGCCGTGCCGTCTCCGAGAAACCGCTTAAACGGGATACACACATCCCACTGTTCACCCGGCTCCGGCTCTCGCCCCACAACACATTTCGTGCTGCGCTGCACTTCCTCAGTCATACCCTTCGCATGGCTATTGAAAATATGGTTCATGAGCGTGTTAACATTCCCGAAGACGCTCGTGCTCTTCCCCTCGGCGCAGCAGATCACACACCCGTAGCTGCACTCGCCTCCCGTCCCCGAGATGACCGACGAGCTCTTTCGCTTAACGTGCGACTTGGCGAGGAAGATGAAACGGTACTTGATGCCCACGGCCGAGGTGTGGATATTAGGATCGACAATGACTTCCTTTTTCTTTTTGCCGGGGATCGCCACTTGGAACGTGTCGCCCTGGAAGAGGCAGTGCTTGCATTGCCAGACCGAAACGGTATTGTACAGCCCTTCTGGGCGGGTTTGCACTGAAAGACCCTTCTTGATCTCTTCGCGCACACCCCACGAGCCTTTGCAGAAGCCCCAGTAGTTGTTTTGCTTGCAAGGCCGGCCGGCCATCATGTTGGTTGCATTGATGGTCGAGGGAGTTGATGTGCTCGAGCTGCTAGTGGTACTACGTGTAATGTTTGACATAGTAGAGATCAGCGAAGGGCGGTTGGAGGAACCATAGCTGGGGACGTTGCTGATGTGACTGCCGGTACTGAATGTATTAGGGCTACGCGTATTCGAATTTGGACTGAAAGGGGCGCTGATGCTGAGAGCACTCGGGCTTGTGGGAGTGCTGGATGCTGGTGGAGTTTTCGGGCTGAAGGGGTTGCTGATTTGCAGCGCACTTGGGCTCGGGCTCAACGGAGGACTGGAAACCTGAGGAGCTGGCGGAGTCGGTATTGAGGGTAGACCCCTCGTTGGAGGAGGTGGAGGGGGAGGAAGAGCCGTCAAAGGAGGCGGACTAGGACCTTTGCGCGGCACCTGAGGGAAAAGCGAGTACGTGAAATGTCCCTGGCTGACATCTGGGGTAACCGGAGTTGTTGGTGTTGGTGCACTAGTGGCTGAAGTCCTGGGCGAGAAAGCGGAACCTGAGGAACCAGTCGTTCCTATAGACGCATGTGAACTATGGCTGTGAACAGATGCTGGGATACGGTCTGAGTACGCCGAGCGGCTGGAAGTGGAGTCGTTGCGGCCGAATGAGTTCGCGTCAAAAGGTTGACTGAAGGTAGTCCCCATATTGTTGCGTGTGGGCTCAGAATTGACTTCCGAGTAGACTGACGAGGTAGCTGTAGAAGGAATGCGGTTCAGTGAGGTTGGAGAGTCGAAACGTTGACTGGGGGTATTTCCCATATTGTTCCGTGACTTGGCAAAGGCTGGGTGACTAGAAATGTCTGCTAGGTTGATTGGTGGGTTTGTGAAGGCCGGGTGATTTGAAAGGTCCGTCGGGTCGAATTGTGGTGGTGGTTGTCGTGGTTGTGGGAGACCCTGGAGCTGACCAAGTGTATCGCGGCGCGTGTTATCAATATTGAGGCCTTGGAAAGAAGTTAGTGTGTCGTTGATGTCTTGGTAGATATCCACGTGATTCTCCAGGCGATTATCACGCCCGCGCATGCTGCTCTCCTGAATCGGTGGTCCCAGAAACTGATATCCGGAATTGAAGTTGGCGCTCGACAAAGAGTTCGAAGGTGAATGCTGCGTTGAATTCTTTCCGCTGGTCCTCCGCGTAGAGAGGAACCTACTCAAGCTGGATTTACTGTCAGGGTCGTGCTGATCCGGGATAGTGATACCAGGTGGTAAGTAGTTGTCCGGGACCATGCTCGAAGTAAGGCTCTCCGTGGAATGGAGAGTCTGTCTGCTAGGCGAATCCAGAGCAGGCGGGGACATTCGCTGCGGCGGAAGCATCATCATTATCCGCTGCTTCAGCTCGTCCAAAGTGACCATAGTATCCTTCCGATTCATGATGGACGTCTCGTGGAGAACGGTGAGGTCGAGGATGGCGTTTTCGTACTTGACGGCGAGTTGAAGGCTTCTGATGATCTCGGCTTGTATAACTACGGCAATATGTAAAAGCCGGTCTCGGGCAATGACTGTGAAGGCGTTAGCGAGTGCGCTTTTGCTGGTGAAATGAAGTTCCGTACCGTCGCCTCGCTTCACATATTCACCCAACTCGCGACAGTCGGCCGCATATCGCGTCTCGACCTGAATTTCGCCACTCTGCAGCGACTCCTGCAACTGCTTCTCCTTGTATGCCTGCTCGCCCTTTCTCTTTTTGTGCTTCTTCTTCATCTGAGCAACCAACTCGGCCCCGCCATGGAAGGCTGAGACGACGGCGGCGACGGCGCCAATCACCTGGGGTTCGACAGAACGCATGTTAGTAGAGTATCCCATCAAGTCGCACTGTGGATGGGCGTGGGAGACGTTGGAATAAGAGGGAGAGTACGGGAAGGCCACGAGGCGACTGCCAGGATAAAAGGCCCCCGTGAAGGCAGGTCTTCACTGCGAACGGCTGGACCCGAGCGTATGCGCCGCTCAGACAAAATGCCGGCGATCTTACAGGCTTCCATGGCGACTTACCTCGAGTGCGGACATATCTGCGTGTCAGGTCGGTGCGGCACCCTCGGATGGCACGGTGATCATCGAGCGAGGTAGGTTCCTGCACCGATGCTGTGAATGGCGTGTGGTAGGAGTGCAGGCGGCCTTCCCAACGTGATAGATTCCTCGGTTCTAAGGAGTCCTAGAGCGTGGGCTCAAGTTGCAGAGCTGGCCAGATTAGGCAGGCCGTGAATGACGGCGAAATGAGGGTGGGAGTGGTCACGTCAAGGGGACCAGGCGTCTCGTCTATGGCTGCCGGTGAGTGGGAGCTCAGCCTCACTAGCACCGCTGTGGGAGCTGGGGAGTTCGCCTTGGGCTCCCCCAAGGCTGTCTGCGAGCTGCCGCTTCAGGTATAAGCCGCAGGGAATCGCGAGTGCCCGTACCTCTCGCTATCGATTGCTGCCCTCTCCCCAATGGCGGACTGACAAAGGAGCAGGGCTTAGGCGGGGTGCTGCACGCAGGGTAGAGCGAGGGGTCGAACTGATGCGAAGCTGCTTCGAATTTGCGCCGATCTACCATGGTGTAGGAGCTGGGATGGAAAGACATCTTGTGAGCGAAATCGAGGACGATCAGGCGGTGAATTGGTGGCACAAGGCTGCGCAACTGATGACTGCAGATGGAGTGCAAGAGGCTGAAGGCTGCGACAAGGCGCCGTTTGGCTGAATTGCGGCAACGCCACGAGTCAGGATGGCGCCGGGTTGCGCAACTTGCAGGGTGTCGAAGGAAGCTAGAAGCCTTCTAGAAGACATCGGGCGATATTCAGTCGGCCACTAACGGCAAAAGGTCGAGCAGATGATCGAGTGGCGCTTGTTGATAACACCCCTATGAGCTACAATCACAGTTCATTAAACTTCTTTTCCAGCCTCGGAAGGTCGGAGATGCTCTATATATCTGCATCTTCGTCTTGTCTTTAGTAAGTAAGGTCACGTGCTCAAGCAACCACATTAAACTAACCAGTTAAAGCAAGGGAAAATACAAAAAAAAAAGCAAATCTTCCCCGCGGGAATCGAATTCCATTTTCGCGACGCCTCTGACGCGCAGAAGACTCCATCCACCTAGCAGAACAAAATAGCAAAAACGAAACCACCCAGCTACCACTGCGCTACTACACTGTAGAGTCGCAATTTTTACGGGATCGCTGAGTGGCCACGCCTCTCCGTTGGTTAGTATAGATAGTATTCAAAAATAATAGATATATAATGTATTATTTAAGGTTGGACCCTGAAAATATAAGACAATAACAAACGCTCGCCATTACGTGTGCAGAGTTATCTAAACTTATCTTCTTATTCCAAATACAGCCCTAGCCCTATGGAAATAAACAGCAGAAACTTAAGGGGTAGAAGAGTAGTAAGGTAAAATATGCTGGCTGGACTGCGAAGTTTTAAAAGAGAGGAGTGAAGTGAGCACGTGACAGCACGTGATAAGGAGTAGAGAATGGCAAGCTACAGTCTCGCTGGTGACTAGACTAGAACGACTTCTCGTTCCGAGGGGGTACCAGATATTACGCGACAGAGAGATAATAGATATTGTAGTAAGTACTCATTCATAAGCCTACTAGTCTAGAACCGCTCGAACGCATAACACAAAAAGAATATGTTTCGAACAATTGTCTCATCAACGCTTCAGGAACCGCTCCCTCAAATACCTCCCGTACTGCTACCTCGGCCTCAGCGCGCTGCAGGAAAAGGGCCATGGCCATATTACACCTGATACATCGATACATCGATACCTCTGTGGCAATTCTAGACATATCAATACCGTGCTTGGAAGCTCCAAACCCGTCGACCCGCGGCTCGGAGAACGCAACGCATTGTGCGCTCGAACCCCCAGCGCCCCCGAGCGTCCCCAATGGCTCAAAAACAGACCTGGGACCGCACGCGTATCATCGCAGACGCCTCTGTCCCACAATCCCACCCACCCGTCCGTTCATAGAAGTCGTTGCATCCCACCAATCTGTACCCACCCATACACCCGCGCTCAAGTCGCAAAAGCCCATGCCCGAACTCCACGTTCCCAGAAAAAGAGACAGCCCTACCACCAATGCTCGCTAACCGCTCACATTCACGCATCCTCAAGCACAACGCGCTGGCTCTTCCGCCCCGAGTTCTTCAACTCGACCAGCGTCGGCGTCAGCGGCTTCCGATCGACCAGCTTCTCCGACAAGACCGGCGGTAACACGACCATCGGTTTCAGCAGTTTCGGCCCTGTGGCGCGCGACACACTGACCTGCCGCGCGAGGCCGACCGTGGTGGGGCCCTTCCCCCGGACGTCCCTTTCCGATTGGGTGTGCTTGGGGGCAGGGCGGTCCTTTGGCGAGTTCAAAGCGTGGGAGCGGGGGCTGTCTCGCGGCGAGTGGTGGTGGGTTTGAACACGCGGGCTATCTCTTGACTGAGACCCCGCCGATGTGGGGGAGAAACGGTGCTCCTCGGTAGGTCTCTGCGATTGCTTTTGCAAGTGCCGGTCTTGAGCTTGCGGCGGGGATTTCGGCTGCGACTGTGATTGCCGACGCGGCTTTTCCTGCTGGTGGTGGTGAGGAGGTGGTGACTGTGATTCCTCCTGCATCGTCCCCAGTCCCTGCCCCTCGCGCTGTACCTGAGACGCGGCTTCGGCGGGCTTCGAGAGGATTTCCCACTCGGGCTCCTCGAGGCGGGGGTTCCAGGGATTAGGATCCACGACGAGGGGCACCATGGCTGTTTCCTGCGAATCGAACGAGGCCCGAGTAGACGGCGTGGGAGTGAGGAGCTGCGGTACCTGTTCTGCCTCGGCTTCCGCGACCTGGTGCATGCGAGGGGCGGCGCTACTGCGAGGAGCGTTCTTCTGTGACCTCGACCCCGCGTCGTCGGCGGCGTCTGGGTCTGCAAATGTCTGCCGACTGGGTGAGATACTTGGAGCCGTGTTTGACCGTGCTAGGGGCCTAGGCCGGTGCAGCGACGCAACCCGCGGTGAGGGCGGGTTATGGTCACGTTTACTGGCTGGTGGGGGGAACAACGATAAGGAGAAGGTTGGGGATTTGGCAGGTGAAGGCGAGGTAGCTCGCCGGGTGGGTTTCAGTAGCCCGTTGTTCCCGTCGATGTAGTCCTTCTATTCTGCAGATTAGTGGGAAATTCAACTAGTAAGAAAATTCCAGATGATCACACACCTTCTTGGAGAGCTCCGTTAGAGGTTTCAACTTCCCTGGATCAGCCTGTCGTCTCACGAGGAGAGACGAGGACCGGTCTGGTCGTAGCAGACTCCCGAACATCACACTGTAACGTTCCATTTCAACGTTCGGAATGTCGACATCAAGCAGAGGTCCCGAGCCCAGCGTTCGTGGCGAAGTGGTTTGGGAGCCGCTGGAAACAGTAACCTTGGGAACTTGGAAACGCCAATCGTCTTTTGGAGGTGGTTTGGGGCTGACTTCTGCTTTCATGTGCTCGTATCTTGGAGTTAGAGATTTTCCAGAATCAATCTTGATATTCCTCGCTTCTTTTGCTTCATCTGCGGCCGCTTTCTTCGCAGCCTTGTGTTTCTTGCGCGCTTCACGGATTTCGTGGGCTGAAGTAGGTGCTGGTGGTTTAGATGCTTCTCGAGTACTTGCGCGAGATGAAGACCGTTGCCTGTGCTGAACGCCATCATTATGGCTGTCTACTCGAGACGGAGGGGCTGAAGACTGGTCTAATTGATAGAAAGGCTGGGGGGTGGTGTTCTTTCTTCCAAAGAGGGACTTCCATCTGCTAATTTTTGGCTTTGTAACATCGTGGCCGGCGTCTGAATCCGTCGTAGAGTTTTTTACAACACCATCCTCGTAATCTGAACTCTGGAACGAAGGGTCGTAGGCGATATGAGTGTAAGTTCTATTGAGCTCAGGTCGTGTGACATAGTCGGTAGACTGCACAGGATGATTCCAGCGGGACTGTGTCGTAGGACTGCCCAAAGCCATCCCGATCATATCGTCCTCATGGACCTCTGCGGCGTAGAGGACGGTCGTGGGTGAGGGGAGAGGGAAGCCGAAGGTGGCATCGTCCGGAGTGATGGCGACGGGGGCAGCCTTTTTGTGGAACTGGAGATGCCTGCCGCGGTCTCCTGGGGTGCTGGCTGTTCTAGGGCGTTGCACCTGGTCGGGCGACTCTACGCGCATGGCTTGATTGGTGGTATGTGCAGCAGCTTTCAAACTGTCCAGGTGATGATCACTCCGAGGTTCACCGTCGCCGGCAGTGGGGAGTGGCGTGGGCGCGTCGGCTTCCTGTTGGCGCAGGTCTTTCTGTGAGCTCTTTAATCGGAGCGACTTTGATCTGCCCAGCATCCTAGCCATGGCGGTTTCAAGGGTGTTGTCGGCACTCAAGTGGTATCAAGGGGAGCGGGGTTTTCAAAAGAGTGACTGAGGTTCAATGTTGACGCGTGCAGTAAAATAAGGAACGGACGGCTCTCCAGAGAGCCAGAAGTGTAGAGACGGTGGGATTAGAAGAAAAGAAAGTTGAGAAAGGAAGGACGAAGGAGAGAAGACAGGTTAGTCAACATGGTACGGGATAGCAGAATAGAGCCGCTCGTGCCTCAGGGCCGCGGTGCTCCCGTCGATGTCAGGGAGAGATTGGCAGGAGAGTGATGGTTCCTGGGATGGCCCTCGATCCCGGAGCACGGTTGGCTGGCTTGGACGCTGCCCTCGGGCTGGTCGTAAACGGCGTGCGGGATTGGCCGTGGGCCAGATTTGCAGCAGGCTATCCCAGGCGACTAACGGCAGCGGGTGTCGCGAGTGAGGGTGCTGGTGGTGAGAGAACGTTTCAGGCGCCTCTCCCACCGTCCACCAGGCCACCCCAATCTCGCCTATTGAAGCGCCGTTGACTGGGGCTGCGACTGGGCAACCACAACACCACCCTGACTGGCCTGACTGGCTGTATGCCGCAAGATGATGTGCCGCTGCGTCGCAACGGATTACCCGGCAGCGCGTGTGGTTAAACATGTCACAGGCCTGGTTGGACCGCCAGCCGCCCGTGAGAGGGGGGTGCTTGCGTCAACCGTCAGACGCCATACAAAAGGTACCGACAATTGCCAGCCCTGTCAACGCCTTCCAGCCCTGCAGCTCGGGAGATGAGGCGGGAATCTTTGGTTGTTGTGTCAGCGGCGCTCCTGGGCTTACAAGATTGCTCATTACTGGTACAGTGGTCGGGCATTTCTTGACGCCAAATTTCGTGATATCTTCACCGTCTCGTCGTTGAAGCCGTGAAACTTGTCTTACCTCCTTCATGCGGGTAAAAATCTTCTGTCGTGTCTCTCATCTATAGAAACCGTATGCGGTGCTGCAACTCACAACTCAAATACCGCACCGCTGAAGTCCGCAGGCAGTCGTGCCGGTTGGACCTCGCAGTCCGTAAGCAGAGAATCCAAGACCAGGAAAATCTCATTCCTCCTCCCACTCTTAATCCCCGGACAACGACACCCCAGGCCTCCACTCCTCATACCGCTCTGCCACTTCCCTCGGCGTATGTGGCACATGGGTCTTTAACGCTTGGTCAAAGTGCTCCATCCTCACCTCCGGCTTCTGCTCTCTATCGCGCTCCCAATCCGATATCGCGAGCTCTACGACCTCTGCGCAGAGTCTCTTGATATCCGCCCCGCTGCTGCCCTCCGTTCCCTCCGCAAGCTTCTGCAGATCCACCTCGCCCGTCAACGGCATGCGTCGCGTGTGGATTTGCCAGATCTGCCGACGGGCCTCCAGGCTCGGCAGTCCGACGTAGACGTGCGCGTCGAATCGGCCTGCACGGATCAATGCAGAGTCGAGGATGTCCGGCCGGTTCGTGGCGGCTATAATGAAGACGTCCTTCAATGTCTCGATGCCATCCATCTCGTTCAGGAGAGTTGTGACAACATTCAACCCGCTGTCATGCGATTTCTCTCTCGACTTCCCGATCGAGTCGATCTCATCGAAGAAGATGATGCAGGGTTTGGCCGCGCGAGCCCGTCGGAAGACGTCGCGAATCGCCCGCTCAGACTCACCCACATACATGTTGATCAGTTCGGATCCCTTGACCGCCAAGAAGTTTTGCTTTGACTCAGTCGCAACAGCTTGCGCAATGAGCGTTTTGGCACATCCAGGCGGCCCGTAGAGCAGGACCCCTTTGCGATTCTGAGTACTGCCAAATCTGGTAGCGAGATCCGGCTCCTGATGGTCGTTATTAGATGATATAGTAGAGGATCAAGTTGGAGACGAACCTTAAACGGACGGATTGTCACAGAGTTCATGAGCTGCCTGACATCCTCCAGCCCGCCTATTTCGGTCCATTTAACTTTCGGTACTTCCAGCACCACCTCGTTCATGATGCTTGCATGAACCTTGTCGATAACGGCATCAAAGTCGCCCTGGATAATCTCTGTGGGGGCGATCGGATCATCCGATGAAGTGGCCGAATTGGCAATGATCCCGGATCTGGACAAACAGTGGTCTCGAGCTAGGACACAAAGTTTTTCCAGATCTCGTCCTACAAATCCATGAGTGCGTTCTGCCAGGGACTCGTACTGTATCTTTGTCGGATCTTGCGTTCTAGTCAGCTTTTGCGTTGCAGTAGGCTTTTGCGTTGCAGTCGTATCTTGCGTTGCCGTCGAGTCTTGTACTGTATTCGACTCTTGTTCGGTATTAGACTCCTGTACAGCATGCGAATCTTTCTCTGTATGTGAGGATTTTACTAGATCCAAGTCTTGTGCTGAAGCCGACTCTTCTACTGCGGTCGAATCTTGTACTAGAGTAGAGTCCTGTACTATGACAGAGTCTTGTACTATAGTCGAGTCTTGTATAGTTGTTGAATCTTGGACTGCACCCATAACTTGCCTCAATATATCCTCTCGTTGCCGTACATTTGGGGGAAATATCTCCACAGCATGCCTAAAAGCCACACTCTCCCTCAAACTCGCATCGATATTATAGATACTCCTCGTAGCCGCAGCCACAAAGACTCTTGATCCCTTCAGACTCAGAATTTCCTCTGCAAGATCCTCACAAAGCGTTTCCGCTTTCCCTAGCAGTTTGTCCAGCTTATCGATAAGAACAAGACTCGGCTGAGACGATTTCGCTTTCTGGAAAGCGTCCGCGAGAGACTTAGATGCCGTTTTACCGTTCGAAGCGATCCATTTCCGGTCCAGATGTATCAACTGCTGCCAGGGCCCTCTTCCCAGTCGTTCCAGCAACAGCGATTTCCCCGTCCCTTCTGGCCCGTGGATAAGGATACTCGACGGCCTATCCAGGCTATGCTGGCGCGGGAATGGCGGCTGTGTCAGCATCCTCAACTGCTCATTGATCTCCCGAATCTGGTCGTCCAGCCCCCCAATACCCTCTTTTTCGATCTGAATCAACGTCGTGACCGGTGCTGCCTCCTCTTCTCCCTTTCCTAGGTCTAGATCCTCAGCTCCCAAAAGCCTAACCCGACTCTTCCCCGGCACGAAATCAACCGGCCCGCCCCCCTCACCCTCCACATCAACCCTCTCAACCACCATCCGCACCCTCGCCGGCTGGCTCTTCCACCTCAACCCCCTCCGCACAACCTCAAACGAGCAATTCGGCATTATCATATCCACATCCCCTACTCCCCACCCCGAGATTAGCCCGCTTCTCTACAAACACGCAAAACACCACTAACCTCACGCACCTAACGCAACCCCCGCCCACCGCTCCACCTCCTCCCTGCCCCCATACCCCCACCCTTTCTCCTCCTCCCCCGGCCCAAACCGCACCCACACCGTCTCCGCCGCCCGCCACCCCTCCCCCGCACCCGCACCCGCAATCTGTATCTTATCCGGAAGCGCGAAGTCGTACACCTCGCGTAGCAGGTCCGTGACTTTCGCGATGGGCTTGGCGGCGCTGCCCATGTTAGTGTCCTGGGCCTGCCATGCGATTGCGAGGCCCGACTTTGCTGTGTCGGCGTGCGAGGGGGTGGTGGTAGTGGTGAGGCGGCACACGTCGCCGGCGACTAGACCGAGCGTGCGCAGCGAGGCGGGGGAGAGATGCACGCGGAAGCCGCCTTCGAGGGCGGAGGGGGAGGTGCGGCGCTCGAGGGGGCGGAGGGCGAAATTTGGTGTGGCCATGGTGGGTGTGGCCATGTAGGGTGTGGCCATGTAATTTAGGATTCGGGGTCGTGTTGTGGGAGGTTTGGGAGGGTGGGAGTTTTTTTTAAGACGGAAAGTTTTGGTGGGGTTGGATCCAGGGTCCCAAAGATGGTCTGTGCACGGGATGCATGGTCAAGTCATATTGGATGAAAGCAGATTTACAGGGATATTTCGGTGGTACTATTCGCGAGATGAGGTCCTAAGGAGGAGGTAAAGAGCAGTTGTATTGTTCTCTTAGGCCACTGACAGACAAGAAACTTCGCAATACTCATTAGCCATGACGACTACATCTTTGTATTAGCTGGGACAGCCACAATCCCCATTCAATCATAAGCATCCTCAAGTTCCTCTTGATACTCCTCTTGCGCCTCCTCTAGTGCTTCCTGATCACTACTACTAGCATCCGATTCCGCGGCCTTCTCCTGCGCTTCCTGCAATTCCTCCCTCGCTTCCTTGAGCGATTCCGCGTCACTGCTCGATATCGAGCCTGCCGGGGCGACAGGAGCAACATAGGGAGCCGGAACATACGCTGGAGCCGCAGCAGGGGCACCGTATGGTGCCGCCGCATATGGAGCAGCGGCATGTCCGTGTTCGTCATCGGAGGAATCGGAGTCGTGGAGAGTAGCGACGGCGAGACCGCCAACGAGGAGACCACCGGCGCCAGCAGCGATATATTTACCGTTGCTGTCTTTTTTCTTCTCCTTCTTGCCCTTATTTTTGCTCTTGTTTTGTTCTTTGCCTTCCTTATCGCCTGCTGTGGGTACGGTAAGTATGCGCGCTTTTATTAGTAATAGACGCAAGCAATGCGCTGTATGAGATCATGCTCACCCCCATACACTCCATATGCCCCCGCGGGCGCGCCATATGCAGCAGGTGCACCATACGCAGCGGTAGGCGCACCATGAGCATCATAGCCACCACTATACGTCGGTGCCCCCTGATCAACGAAACCTTTCTGGCCTTCGTAGCCTGGTGTAACTCCAGGAGGGGGTGGATATGCGCTGTGCGTCGATGCCGGCGGAGGGGGGGCAAACACCGGAGGATCCCATTGCGTGCGACCAGTAGCTACCTCGACGTAAAACCAACGCTGGCTGCTTTGGTCGAACTGCGCAGTCCATCCGGGAGAAAGGGGAGGCGTATTTGATGTCTGGACAGGGTGAGGAGCAGAGTATGCGCCCGGCTGGCTGTAAGATCCCGGCTGTTGTTGGCCGTAGGCGCCGTGCTGCTGTTGGCCGTAAGGGTCGTGACTCTGTTCGCCTGAGGGTTGACGTGGTGAGTAACGCTGTCGATGATCGGTGATTTGGAGAGGAGATGCAATATACCACGCTGTTCCTGATGTGGCTCAGGGCGGTCGTCCTTTTTCTTTCCTTCTTTCTTTTCCTCCTTATCCTCATCTTTGTCGGCAAACGACGCCTTCAGCTCCTCAAACTCTTTAGTAAGCTTCTTGAAGAAAGACATGTCTTGATGAGTGGAAAAGGTCTGAATTATAAGGAAAGGAGAATACACCAGCCTCTTTTATATTCGTGGCTGTATCCTCTGAAAGAACGTGGCGGGGCACAGCGAGCACAGCCACGGGATATGGACGTACCTCTCACACACTTGTCGTCTGGGCACTTACCTAGTGCCGTTATCCGTCTTGGCTGGTACGACATCAGCTGGAATAGCCTGCAATATTGGCTGCGGTCGCAGATACTAGTTCCTTGGCCGCAGAGGATAGCCTCGTTCATGTAATTCTCGCATCAAGGGCTGTGTGATGCTGTAGGTTTACGTAGTAGAATATGAGGATGTGGATGTCAAGCTGGTTGGTTTCATGACAGGCTCTCCAAGTCATGAAGCGAACTCTGCGGACAAACAGCGGCAAGCATTCTTCTCAGAAGCACAGTAGACTTCGAAGGGGCATAAATCATCAAGTGGCTGCGTTGCATGAAACGCCGCGCTAATGTACGTGTTCGGAACGGGTAGGGCAGACTTACCGCTTAAGTGGAGTTCTCTAGACCTGATGTCGTAATCGCTTGCCTGAAGGGGGGAATGCTTGAAAATGCAAGTTATCGATATCGCTCTTCTCGCCGTTAAGCTCCTTAGAGGTAAGTTGCTACCCTGTTAGGTGTAGCAGGCCAAGGTGAGCTTACGAGTCGAGTGACTTTATTCAAAGTAGGCGGTAATTTAGATGGCTGAACTGACCACTCATTAGGAGGTAGCGCATGAGGCTGAGAAAAGCTGAAATGGGCTGGAAGAGGAAGAAGAAGACGATACGATGTGCTTTGGAGAGGTCATGGAAGTGTACGTGTCGATTTCGGCGAAGTCAGCTGATTCCTAGGTCAGTTGTGAGGAGGGGAAGAGTATGATGAGACCATGTCCTAGATTGCAACAAGCAGACAAGCCTACGCGACTCTTCCTCCGTTAGTATAAAGGGATATTCACGCTGTGTATGATTATCTGCAGAGGGGTAGAGATGGACAGTGGAAACAGGTTCAAAGCTGGGATGCAGAGGATGGGAGCTATTGGGGCCGGCTTTTCTTGGCATCAACATCCCGTGATATACCTCGTTATATAAAATCACCCAGCTACAGTTCTCAATGGTTATGAGACATTCGACCATGTCCTTCAACAAACAGTTGAAATCTATCACTAGTCCTCAACACATCTCAACCACGGTTTCGTCAACCTCGACCACGTCTCCAATTCAGACGAGGCTTCCCTTTCCAACCGCGTTACGCCACGCTACCAACACCTCCCAACCAACCACACCATCAAAATGTCTCATGAGCGTGCTGTTATCGTATCGATCGAGGACCGGGACGGGGACACTGACTCTCGACGTCGTCGGGTTACGTAGAAACCGGCGGCTGCGGTGGGTGTAGATAGGAGGTCGGCAGCGGAGAGTGCGGGTTCGATATCGCTGTGATGTAGGAGCGAGCACCTTCGTTAGTTATAGTGTCATGGGGTCTCGTTCTTGAGGAAGTAGGAGAGAAGTAAAAGAGCTTAAAGATCTTGTACCACCCCTGCTTTTCTCAAGGTCGCGAACCTTGGGACAGGTTGTTGGACTGTAAAGGATCTCTGATTCCATCAACATACGGCCACCATTAGATGTCACCTACAAGCGAGTTATGAGGCTCGAATTCAGTTGAAATTCGCCCAGTCAAATGTGACGCAGAAATGCCAACATCACTGAGAGTAATTCTTAAGGAAGTGACAGGGGGGTATGTAAGATCATTATGTCGCCGCAAGACTATCCAGTCGGTATGAATATCATCAAACTCCAAAGTCAATGAGGAAGCCCGGCTACATCACCACACAGCACGAATTCTGGTTCTTGGCCTACGACGTCAAAATCAGTCACAAGAGATCGAGAAGGGTATCGCAGTTTCTTTTGAGTTTGAATAAACTGGGCTGCTCACAGTTTTGAAGAACAACTTGCTCTGCGCGCTCAGATTGTCAGACTTTGCGACCAACTCGTCTATCCTCTGGCCTCGCTCCAGGACCGATTCGATGGTCTGATGCAGTACGATCTTAGTCTCATCTAGCTCCTTCTGTATCCTCGTTATAGCATCCGCTTTTTCCGGTTTCTGCCAATCAACGATGTATGTGTTAAGTTCGGGGAAGGGAAGCGTAGTGTTGGAGGTGGCGTGTTCCCAGGTTCGCTTAGGGTGCTTGACGATGAACTCTATGTGCTTGCATTAGACAGCGGTGGGAGAAGTGTGAGCCCTTGGGTCCTTACCTTCGGCGACTTTGTTGAGCAGCTGATGAGCTACTCGTTGTGGGTATTCATCGTCTTGCCAACATGTCAACCCTCTGTCGAGACCATCGGAGTATCGAAGATCTTACCCGCTATGAGCACCGCCACGAAGCCACCGTTGTCCCCGCTACGGTTCCAGTGCAGGAAGACGTTGTATTCTGAAAGTAACTTCAGCTTAATTCTCTATGGGTGCTCGGCCGACAGGGAGTGCGTACTAGGATCCTTCTCCTCCACTACGGATCTTTCAACTGGGTCGTTAGGGTGTACGATCTTTGCAGTCTTCACAGCGCAGTCCGCGGTGAAGGTCATAAACTGGCCCACAGTGCTTTGCGAGAAGTAGGCATACTGCAAAAGAATTAGCCCACGTTTCCAGTCGGTGGGGCTGCAGGGGACATACGCTCTTGAGGAACGTTGCGCCACAGAACTCCTGTGGGGAAGTTAGATAGAGACGTGGAGGAGGTGCTAATAGGAGAACTTGCCGTCGTCGGGTCCTCACGCTTCCACACCTATTTAAATGTCAACAATTGCCCTAAGGATGACACTACTCCAGCTGAGCATAGTGGCTTACACCGATGTAGGGGATCTTCATGGCGGCGAGTGGAACGGAGGCTGGATGGTGTGTGAAGCGGTGACCGGAAGCAACGGGGGAGGTGTCAAGGTCGCAGACAAACGCCGCGGAAAGAGGACGGTGAAGTAGTGCCTGGGCGGAGCGGAGGTGAGGTGTTGACTTGGGACGGAAGCGCTGTGGTGGCGGAGTTAGGCGGTCAGCGACTCTACGTATCTTGGCGTGCGTCCGAGCTCGACCTCCACGCTTGAATCTCCTCGTGCCCATCACCACGCGGCGGTCCTCGTCATCTGATGATAGCTACAGCAGCACCGCCAGCTTCAACAATTCCTCCAGCTTGCCATACACAAGACATTCCTCGGGACTCTTGCACACATCACCACCCTTCGAGTACCCCAACTCCCGCTCCTCCGAAGCTATCCGCATCGGATAGGAATCAGCTCCATACACACGTAGAGCATTACGATACGCGCGGGAAGCAATGGCGTCGCGCATCATTAGCTCCGCCGCCAGGCAGATTGCTGTGCCCATGATGAAGAGCTCGAGGTTTGGTGCGCAGAGGTCGTTCAGCGCCGGCATGAGGTTGCAAGACGCTGCTATTGCTCCAGTGAAGAAGCCGGTTGGCGCATTTAGAGGCGGGTGAGTGGCTTTTCCGATTCTCGCACTACTCAATGCGTAGGGTTCTGGTAAATGCTAATGAGTTGCGATGTGTATAGGCTCTTCGGCTTCCTCCTCGGTACCGCCGGTACTGGCGCGGGCATGTACTACTACGTCCTGGATGAATACAAGGTGTCGAATGAGTTGCTGACCGAGGATATCTATGTGAGTTTGCTTCTTGATTCTACGGTGGATCTAGGTTTGGTTTAAATCGGTCTGACAATGCATCGTAGGCACTTCAGGCTGCAGTGCAGAGGATAGAGTCATACGTCCGGACGCTGGAGGAGAAGGTTGAAGCATCCACTAAGAAGAAGTAGAGATGGTTCATGGGACCTGAGGCTGTTTGGAACGTGTTGAACCCGGTCATAGTTTGGGAGTCATCCGCTCGATGGTAGGGTCATCGTTGGGACCGCGCCCCATTGATATTTTCGCACAGGTGCCTCTTGGCAGAGAACTAGTTGACTGTCAATCGTAGGCGAAGGAATCGAGTAGGGCTGTCAAACCTACAACGTGGAAAAACTGTATTTGTATATTTCGTTTCTCATGGTCATTCCAGGTCTCAGATGTTGCTGTCTACAAATGCTTAGGCTTGCACCTTGGACAATGTCAATTTGCAGATACTATAGTGTGTTTGAACGAACATGCGCCTAATTGCCACATTAATTTCCTTTTCCCCATCCTTATGCTTTTTCTCAACTTTTCATAATCATACAATCGTCAGTCTCCTTCTTACAGTATTTGCCCGAGCTGCTTGTAAATTTGCTGTGTCTCTGCGTTGCATAGAATGTGCAGCAAGCCTTTCGAACGCGCCAGGTCTTCTGAGCGATGGCGCGAGAACAAGGTAGACTTCCATGTAGTCTGGATCTTCCTTGGCGAAGCTGGTATATAACAGCAGGTGATAGGTCCGATACCAGTCGCCCGAGTGTTTGATTTCGATCTTGCTACTCCGATGCGGCGCAACATCTGAGCCTGCACACCATTTTTCGGCTGGGTAGTTTTCCGGAAGAGGAGACGCGGCAAGTTGCGTGTCGCACTCGAATGGGATGCCTTCGGATCTGCATTCAGTTGTCGGCTGTCTATCGTCCCATTTGTAATCCGCGTGTGCCCCTTTATTCCATGTTCTCGGAAAACGGATCCAAGATGGAGTGATAGGTCCCTCTACCACGATACTAGCATCTTTTACATGGCCAAAAGGATTAGCTCCCGCTAGAATGCAAGAAGCCTCTACCAGTTTTGTGACCCCAACGGCCGCCTCCACCCTCTTTGCCGGGTACCTACCTTCACAAGAAATCGAGGCCCAGCTGAAAGATGGCGCCTGATATTTCGGACACAGCTTGATCGGCCTTCGAACCCAGTTCTCGTGAGAAACTCTCCAGGATAAGCCATAGATGAAATCATCTTCCCATATTCCACCCAAGTACCGGCCTCCAATTCTCTCTGACAATTTCGCCACCACGCCAGACAATGCAGGGAGCTTATCTGTGCCCTGGGTCAGGTCCCGCCTCGAATAAACCGGCACAACACGTTCATACCAGACATCCAGTGCTTCTGCTTTGGTACATTGTGCTATGCCGCGAAAGTGATAGTCGTGGCGGCCGTCCCGAAACCGAGTGTCGTCCATGCCACATTCGCAGCAGTGACTGGTATCACACTCCCACTTCATCTCCTGCGTTGAGTAGACCAGGGATCGAGGTGACAGCAAGCGCTCTTGATAAGCCCATGCGCGCATGTCAATAGGGTCAATTGGGTTCGCGAACCAAGGCATTTTATGGACCAATGGCTCTTGAAATCTGACCGGTATGTCGGAAAAGTCATTTCCGAGCATGACAGTTCCTGCAAACAGATTCTTGCGCACAAGTATCCCTTGTTCATGCCCAGATGCCGACGCCGCGACAATGGTAACAACAGAGCTTTCATAATACCTTCCCATCTGCGCAGATTGTCGCTCCCAATCATCTTGGTCTCCTTGGACAATACACTTTGACAATCAGCATTGACTCAAGCTTTTGAACGAGAAAAGAAACATTTACTGACAATGGAATCAATCCAAATATACCTATAGCCTAGAAAGGCCGTGATCTGAATAGAGTCTTGAAAAGTTCGAGGCAGTTCTGCCCATGGGATGCCTTTTTTCCACTTCTTCAAATCTTCCTCGTTTCTCGTCTTCAGTGGTTGCACCTTACCCCAGCAATGCGACAGCGCAACGTAACATCCCTTAGCTCCATCCGTCTCAACCAGTTGCACCTCAAAAGACCTAGACTTAAAATCCCGCGTCCGGATATACAACAGGCGATCTGGCAACCTAACGCATCTTGTGTCCGCACATTCCGGGTGCTCCTTCAAGCACTGCCTCAGCCAGCGTTTCGCGAGCCTCAAAGCGGGCTCAGAACCTTTATGCTCCAGCACCGGCGACCACACAGGCAGCGCCGGATGCTCTTGATAATCTTGTGGCTCTTTCTCATATTCGTCGTCGTCCAGATAGTTAGGGAGGAAGACATGGAACTCCATGTCTTTGAAAAACAACCGAGGCGGAATTCCAGAACTGTAAAACGTTGTATGGATCTCTTGCTCTTCCCACCGTAGCGCAGCCTCCTCTGAGAAGCCGCGGGACTGTCTCCACGCCTCGCTAGCCATCATATCGCTAGCAGCGACATATAGGTCGCAAATCAGAGCGCAATAGTGGCATGTTTCGGCTGATATGGAGTAGGCCTTAGATTCGATTATCATAGAATTAACGCCTTGGTCATTCTTGTTTATTTTGTTGTAACAAATAAGGCAAACCATAGTCTTCCTCTTCTTTTTCTCCCCCAAAAACAGCCGCCGGAGGACCGCCACGGCTCCGCCGTCGCCGCCCACTCTATTCGCGGACGTAGCGCCATGCGGCGCGACCTCGGGTTCGGGAGGAGGTTTCCTGGATGGTGGGTCAAGTGTGCGATCGATGAACAAGAAATGCTTTTGCTGGCCCATGAGTTCGACAGCTTCGTTCTGCAAGTGTGATGCGGCAGGATGGGAGGGCGGAAGCCCGTCCTTTTGATATCGGAGGGTGCTGTGAGGCGGAGTGTTTTGGTTTCTTGTGGCACAGCAACTGGAGCGCGTAGAGGTGGTGGGTGATTGGCTGTATGCGGATATCCTTGAGGGTACACGGCGATCATGACGCGAAGCGATACGACATGGGTTTCTTGTCTTGAATTGTGAACCCATATCCTCTCTCAGGAGGTTGATTCAGCTAATATAGGCTACAGATGGCTTTGCACATGATTGTCTCAGACAGCTTGTCTCATCCGATATTGTTTGGGATGTTTCATTCCAATAATGACTAGGTAAGAGGCGCCACACTAATTTTGATAGGGAAGACATCCTAGCATTCTTCAAAGAGTCACGGAAGTGTCTCTAAACGCTATTCCAGAGTTTCTAACATCCCTCGTTGAAAGAAATCGTTCTCCTCACAGTTCTCCACTTCCAACTCGAACTTCTTCGCTACCTCCTTCAGCTCAGCCACTTTCGCGTCCTGCGTTCCAACGTCGTCTTCCCACGTGATTGCGAAGGTCAGTTTTCTTAGCTTCGGGCAATGCTCCTCCTTCTTCTCGCACAAGCTTTTCAGCACTAGAAACCAGTCACTTCCGCACTTTCGCAGGCTCAGCTCTTCAAGACTCGATGGCAATAGTCGAGCGATCTCGGGCACTAGTGGTGCGCTATAGACTTCCTCAAAAAAGCCTTGCGATAGTTCCACGTCGTCGAGCGCAGCGTCTTCATCATCGTCTGGATCTGGGAGGAGAGCGTCCCAGTCTGTGTCGAGAGTGCGGAGCTTCTTGAATTTCGAAAGCAAAGCGTGGGGAGTTTCCTGGTCCTGAGTAACGTTAGAATTTGCGACTTTGGAAGATCATGAGTGCTCCTACATCATATCCAATATCTGAGCTATCAAAGATTTGGAGCGATTCCAGCGAATCCTTTGTGTATTTTGAGAGGATTTTGAACATGGCTTTGGCATCGAAGTCGTAGTCATCTACAATTGCACCGCCGTGATCGTAGCAGAAATTTCGAAGTTTAGGCATGCCCATGACCAACGCTCTGAAAGCGTTTAGACCAATAGCGCTGTACCACATCGTGAGGCTAGTCGCGTTAGATTGGAGGAGGTCTCTCTCGAGGCGAGCCTGATTTTCTAGGTCGTAGGTCTCGTAACCGACCATATGACCTTTGACCGAGCGCACAGAGGGGATGCGGGAGAAATAAAGTAACCAGGCATAATTCATGGACCCTTCTGTGTCCCAATGTGCGAAGGACACGGTAGTCAAATGCTGAAATGGGACAGAATTTAGGGAAATAGATCCTAAAGTAGCCTCTTTGTAGTTTCTAGCCGCTTTCGCCGCGGCGTCGAGGAACAGACTGCTCTCCCCACAAGGGGCATATCTCAACTCTCGGAGGCGTAGCAGGCGCGGAAGCAAACACTCAATGACCAAGCCATCGTTTCCGTACGAAACAAGCTCGCGCCAGGCCGGATCTAGGTTTCTTGACTGCTCCATGGCCACGGCGTACCACTCCTCTTGCGTTTCCCATTCCGATTTCCGCTCTGCGGCAAGTTCGAGCTCTCGGACGTAGAGCGCCACCGGAGGATTGAGCAAGACATCGTACATGAGGTTCCAGCTAGCACATTCATCCTCTATATCGCTGCAAGTGACCGTGTGGTATTTCTGTAGGCGGGCTCTGTGCTCGCGGAGTGGTCCTTCTCCTACGGCGAAAATGTGCCGACACGTGACGCCGAAGTTGACGAGGTCGTCTGGATCGGCATAGGTGAAGATTGAGAGAAGTAATTCGTTTGGGAGATCAAGAAGGATAGTCATAGCTGTTGGTGGTGAAGAAGAGCAGACGGGATGTAAGACGGTAGCCTTATGTTAACGTGGTCAGTCGGCCCCTGAGAGTTCCCACTAGGCATCAAGCGCTACTAGGTCCTACAAGTAGTTAGGTTTACTCTCAGTGAACTCAGACGTGATTTTGAGTGGTTCGCTACTACACCAGCTAACCCATGCTAACGCGCGCTAACACTCATACTAACCCCAACGCGTACCTATCAAAATAACGCTGCATGCATAGAACCTCAACACCGCGGTGTCTCTGAGCTAGCTAAAGTAATAGTTAGGTAGACCTCGGCCCTATCCTATACTCATGATGTTGGGAGTGAAGGCTACTCCTTCCAAAATCACTACAAGGGCATTACCCAGACGGGCACAATTGCGGATGATAAGGTAATTGATAGTCTTTGCTAGATGTTGTGCAAGATGACCCTCCGCTTTCTCGCCATAACTCAACAACACAGTGAGTCCAGACCGCGCTCTCAACCACAATCCATACCTATCCCTCCCTCCCTCCCCCAATCGCCGGAATATCACATGATTATACATTCGCCGCTCTTTGTGATGGTGGCGGTGGTGGTGGTGGTGATAATCGTGGTTGGGCACTCTGCACCGTAAACGGTGATGGTGGCGACTTTGTCGTTAGTGGAGGTGATGTCGAAGATGGTGGTGGTAGGGCTTATGGGATTAATAAAGGGGATTAGGGCTGCAGCAGCACAGCTCAGAGAGTTTGAAGAGAGGGCTGTGGTGGACATGGTGGTGGGTAGGAGTGCGATATTCCTTTTTAGTTTTTTTGTCGAGAAGAGAGGTTAGAGGGGGAGAGGGGTTGTAGACGAGGAAGGTGGAAGGTGAGCGATTTATAGGGAATAGAATAGAAGCACGTCAGGAGCCATGGGTGAGTTAGTAGCTACTGAAATCTAAAAGAAGCTGTGGTGAAGTGCGGGTGGTATATTACAGAGGTTTAATGATGCTTCACTTCTTGCCTTACCGTGGGATCAACTCTAGACAGTGTTATGCAAGATATAATAAGACAGAATTGGGAGGTTGGTTTTATCTCAGGAACCTCAGATCCTCTACATGAGGAATTGCCTTGCCCGTCCGTCCTGCGGTGTATATAGACATCCTACTAGACTATGAGGTTCCTGAGATACTTCGTAAGGTTGGTTCACCGATGCCACTGAGCATCACGTGATGACATATATTTTCCTTCGAAGACACGAGCACACTCACGACAATAAGCATCTCTGCTTAACACTGTTATCTGAAATAGTTTCTCAGAACATGGGCCCGAGGTGATTCATCATTTAGTTCGGTCTATCACGTGACCGTACTGAACCAATATCGATATCTTCGGATGCGAACACCTATTTTGAAACCAAAGGCGAAGGAGATCACCAAAAGTCATGGTCCACTTTAGTCATATCAAGGAAGCTAGCTGTCCTAGACGCCTGAATGTTTACGGACTATCCACTACTAAAGACCCCTATACACGACTCCTATCCAAAAAAACACTGACCTCCCACCTTCTCGGCGGAGACCAACATCCACACCTCCTACCTCAAACTAAGTGGGCATAGCACGAGATAATAATGAATAATATCATTTTTTCCCACATTAAAGACCCCTGCAAGCCCCCGCGATGCCTCGGCATTCGCAGCGTCGATATGGCCGATTTCTCTGCTGATATTCAGCGCCCCGACCAGCTAGGCATATGGCTGTCCCTAAGCTTTCCCAGACTTCCTATATCATGAAATCTTCAAGGTATAGATGTAACACTGACGATTCGTGTTTTCTCTGCTCATGATAGCCTCATTGTAATCTAGTCCATTACAATAGCGTGTCGGACATTATGGCTGGTAGGTCACACCATGCTCGAATCCTCATATAACCCTTCAACGTCTGTTCATTACTGATCGAGAACCTTCATTAGCCCTCCCGATAGCCATTCCAGCTGTTACCGCCGCAGCCGCCTACCTCAACGCCCGCCTCGGTCTGGTCTACGACTGGGACCTTCTATCCACCTACATTCATAGTGGGATCGAGCAGCGCCTAGTCGCTGCCCGAGGCCACTCGAACCTCTTCTATATACTTGAAGGTCATGCCAGGTCCTCTAACGCTACACATCCCTTCCTCCTCTGGAACGGCAAAACATGGACGTACGGCGAGGCATACCAAATGGTCCTGAAATACGGCTCATGGCTGAAGCGAGAGAAGGGTGTACAGAAAAATGAGGTGGTGGCGATGGATTTCGTGAACTCGGAAGTGTTTATCTGGATATGGTTCGGACTATGGAGCATCGGTGCCAAGCCTGCGTTCATCAATTATAATCTGACCGGGAAGCCGCTGCTTCATTCGATCCGGACTTCGACGTCAAGACTCGTCCTTGCGGACGCGGAGATAAAAAAGGAATTCACAGATGAAGTTATCGTCGAGCTGGCGGATCCGAACTTCCGGGACGGGAAAGGCGATGTAGAGCTACTTTTCTTTACCTCGGAGCTGGAGGCAGCCATTGAGAGCGGTGAGGCCGTGAGAGAGCCTGACGAGGCGAGGTCTGGACAGGAGATGCACGATATGGCCATTCTGATATACACGAGTGGGACTACAGGACTCCCGAAACCGGCTATAGTAAGCTGGTCGAAGGCGAGGCTGGGCAGCCGCTTCATTGCTGGCTGGCTACCCCTGAAAAAGGACGATATATTATACACTGTGCGTTACAGTCTTTTCACTCTTCGAAATATCTCCTTTTCTAGATCTCAGAAAGATAAAACGCATCTCCAAATTCTCTAAATTCGAACTTCCTTCCCCTTAATTCTATCACAATCAATATGATCAATCCCAAACCTAACCTATCTAGTGCATGCCCCTGTACCACTCCTCCGCCTCCCTCCTCGCCACCCTCAGCATCCTCACGCGCGGCTGCACCCTCTCCCTCGGCCGCCGCTTCTCCCACCACACCTTCTGGCCCGCCATCCTCGCTACCAACGCTACCATCATCCACTACGTCGGCGAAACCTGCCGCTACCTGCTCGCCGCGCCGCCGCGCCCCACCGACACAGCCCACTGCGTGCGTCTCGCCTACGGCAACGGCCTGCGCCCAGACGTGTGGGAGCTCTTCAAAGCGCGCTTCAACATCCCCACCATCTGCGAGTTCTACGCCGCCACTGAGGGCCCCAGCGGCATGTTCAACAAGAGCACCAACGGCTTCTCCTCCGGAGCCATCGGCCGCAACGGCGCGCTCGCGACGATGTTCATGGGGCCGGGTTTGGCAGTCATCAAAATAGACCCGGAGACGGACCCACCGGCTCCGCTGCGCGATCCGAAAACGGGCCTATGTGTGATAGCGGGCTGGGACGAGCCGGGGGAGCTGGCGTATAAGCTCGACCCGCAGAACATCAAGGTGAAGTTCCAGGGGTACTTTGGCAACAAGGGCGCGACGGGGTCAAAGATCCTGCGGGATGTGAAGAGGAAGGGGGATGCGTATTTCAGCACGGGGGATCTAGTAAGGTGGGATCGGGAGAATCGGTGGTGGTTTGTGGATCGGATTGGAGATACGTTTCGGTGGAAGTCGGAGAATGTGTCGACGGCGGAGGTGGCGCAGGCGCTGGGGCTGTGTCCTGGGAATGTCGTGAAAGAGGCTGCGGTTTTTGGGGTGAAGGTGCCGAATCATGATGGGAGAGCGGGCTGTGCGGCGGTCGTGTTGGATGAGAGCCATCATGAGAAGACGGAGAAGGGGCTCAAGCCGAGGCCGCATGCGTTGGTGGCTTTGGCGGGGCATTTGGGGAGGTCACTGCCGAAGTATTCGATTCCGCTGTTCTTGAGGTTTACGAGGGAGCTGCAGACGACGGGGACGAATAAGCATCAGAAGACGGAGTTTCAGGCTGAGGGCATTGAGGTGGGCGATGTGGAGCAGAGTGGGGATGTGTTGTTCTGGCTGGTTGAAAGAAATGGTGAGAGGGTGTATGAGAGGTTTGGGGTGTATGAACTTGCTGCGATTAAGGGCGGGAATGTGAAATTGTGAAGAGAAGAGATGTATTGGTACAGTACCACGATATAAGTCTAGGCATTTCTGACAACTAACTGCAGTACCCTAATGGGCTTTTGAAACTCTAAAGACGATGTAAAGGTTAACGCAGTAGAAATCAGGCTCCCTTTTGACCTACTAAAGACATGTTATTTAGGGCACTCCTTACAGCGGTGTCGAGAGAGCAAGAGAGAAGCTTAGTGAGCTGTCTGACTATCTTGTATTGGCGAATGAATAATCTGAAGGCGAAGTCTCGGACTTCTGTAAGAGGGATTGATGGAGGGAGATAGAAATTAAATCGAACTTCGTGAGCACTACCCGATAATTTCGAATTTAGAAGTGGGATCGCTCGCACTGCACTGCGGTCCGACGAGATTGTAACGGCGATAGTAAAGAACAGTACGCCGGCCGCGATAGGCTCCAGCTGTCGAGACACCAAGCGGAAGTTACGAAGATCTTGAGTCCCTAGCGATTTGGCGACGAGCAAGAGAAGTTCCGGGGGCAATTTTTCGAGGCCTTCTCTTTCCGAAGCAGACCTTGAAGGTATAGTGATAGAAGACGCACAGGGAGCTTTAGCGTCAGAGCTGTCAGTGTCGTCAACTCCGGGGTCGCCAGTCTGCGCAAGCGACTCCATCGTTAGATCCGACGCCATCGCCGGAGCCCAACTGGCCGGAGTAGTTGGTGTCGAGGTGTTGAGTAGAGGTTTGTGTGATGTTCAGGGTGAGGAGCTCTGCAAGAGCGCAAGATTGGTTGAAGTCGGCGGCAAGTGTGGTTTCGAAACGGAAAGACTCACCTCGGGTCCTGGGTCGTACATTTCACTTCATCAAAGCTGTCGGAGTGGCAAGCTGGACGAAATTTAAAACAGCTGAGGAACCGCTCTTGGGTTCTTGGAGGTACATTGAGCATCCCAACGCGGGTTTGTGAAAATGCTATGCTACTTTGAGAACAATTTTGTACCTGGTCATGAAACCAGTGTGCATACACGATGTTATCGCTGCTTGAGGAACTTCAATAGAGGGTTAAGTATCTCAATGCGAGACTACTCCATCGGTCTGAGCTATTTGAAAACTCGTTTGGCCACCCCAGACAGCGTCATTCATAACTGTCAATCATCTTACAATTCTCTTGCGCGGAAAGTTCCGATTTTCCGTTTCCATTCTCGTGATTCAAGTATTCTAGGTCGAGGTTCTCTAGTGCACCTTTCAAAGGATGCCGCTCTTGGTTGCTACTAAGGCCCTGCAGAGTATCCATCCGGGTCCGACCTCAGATTATCCATTGAGACAACAAGCGCAATTCCATACCATCCACACTAGGCATGAGAAAAGCGGCACACTCATCAAGTGCTCTGCCCGGGCGTACACCTGTCTGCCACTACATAAAGTGCTTCAACAAGTTTCCACATAGCCCAAGGTGAAGAGCTTCTGTCTTTTCCAGATTCCTGAAAATACAATGAAGCAACCCAAGCAGTGGCAGATAGGTGTACACACAAGATAGTTTGTTCTAGAATTAGTGTGCCATCTTTTCCATGCCCCGCGTGCCAACGTGCTATCATAACCCGGAGCACCGGCGGGTCGCAGTTGTCTCCTGTAGCTCGGTGTAAGCCCTTGCGTCCCGCTCGCCCTGCGACTCCCACCCCTCCACAGAACCGGCATGTCCTTGGTTCGGCAGAGTGAAGCCTCTGTATCCTGTAGCAAGCCGTATTAAGAAGTCTGCGCATCCTATAACATATTCTCGGCAATCCTAAGTAGTTGGAGGCTGGAGGTGACGCTCCCAATGCTTCCCCGGAGAAATAGCGCCACAGCCAAACTGGCGGAGATGAGGGAGCCGCTTACAAACGTCGAAAATAGCATCCCATCGTAGAGGGTACTGTACTGTTGATCCGTAAGTATATATGCCGTGGATAAAATGCAGAGTTCCGTGGATTGGGTATGAGTCGGCATCCATAGACATGTTGGTATCATTGGCAACGAGCACCGCGCAGTTACCAAGATAGGCCTCGCGGAGTGTATCAGAGTGCGAGGTCAGCCATTCTAATTGCCATTCGTGTGAAAAGGCGAAATTCCGCAGGGCGAGGGTCTTCAGGCAGGGAAAGTGGACTCCTTTGAGATCAAGCTTTGGATAATAGCCGAAAAGGACCTCGTGACACCCCAAGGTAAGATGACAGAGGCTGGCGGCTGCGGGCCTCAGCCAAAGCGATGGGAGCTCCGCGAGAGTCGCAACTAGATTGTTCGTTTTCGTCTTATTGTTTAGTGACTTGTCGTATGCCACGTGCAGCCGAAGATCTTTCAGATTGCGCAAAGCCTGGCTACGATTGTTCCCAGCGCTCGCCCGGAACTCGGATGCTTGAAGGCCGGGATGGGTGAAAGGACCGATGTTTTCAATTTGTAGACGTTGTATTGATCTCGTCGAATGGAGTTTTCGAAACAGGTTAGTCAAGATGTCGTCGGAGACAATGCAAACGCTCAACGGCGTATTGGAAAAGTTGTAGGGTTGGTTTTCGCACAGGTTGTGATTTGGAATAAAGCCGCGCTTGACGGCAGTTATGGAAGGAAAGCGGTCAATAGTGTCGAACACTTGTTCAATGTACGTCAAATACATCTTCCAGGAAACGCCGTTTGAAACTTTGCAAGAGCAGTATCTGAGTCTCTCCATCTCGATGCGGACCTCGCGGACTTGAACGACTAGATGAGGCGAATTCAATGTGAGCATTCGAATGTTATGGTAGAGAACAGATCCTCGGCAGCAATAGATGCAAATTTTCGGCACACCAAGCGGAAGCTTCGAAGATCGGTCGCATCTATATATTTGTTGACGTTGAGGAGTAGCTCCGAGGCCAGTCCTCCCAGGCCGGCCGTCTTATGCTGAGGGTGGTGCAACTGGCGGAGCCGTCGCGGTCGAAGGCGTTGGTGCAGCGATGGTGAAAGAGCGGGTGTCGACGTCCTCGACTCTGGGATTGTGAAGCTGATCGGCTCCGCGCAACTCCATGATGCTGCGGACCTTAGGCAGTGGTCAAGTGAGGTAGTGAGTCGAAGAATCTGTGGTGTTGCAAGTGGAGGACTTCTCCCTTGACGACGGCGGAAAAGTGGGGCTCGAGACGAAGATGAATCATTTTGTAGACCCTCATTTGGCGCCGTCTGAGGTGCCCCGGTGCATTTTGGCATTTTACAAGACGTTCTGCCTAACATTTTGGACGGGGTATGGGCACCTTCCGCAGTGTCACGAGACTGACACGCGTTCTATGCTTTCTACTCCAAGCCTCACGTGACCAAGTAGTAGTATCTTCTCGCGAACCATGGTCAAGCTCTTGACCCATCAGTTTCTTTAGAATCCCTAGTAGAGGGGAGCGCCAAATCCAAAGTCCGAGCCCGCCTGAGCACTTTCTGATACAGCAGCGGGTCCTCTACCCATTCGACTGGGCACCCCTCAGCCTCCTCAACCAACTCCTTCAAAGCCTCCCGGTCATCTTTCCTACGACCCTCCCAGTCCGGGAACGGGTCCTTAATGTCTTTTCTTGGCCATGGGCGGTAATGTTTGTCGAACCGGCCCATGAGCTGATCCGTCACCGTCAAGTAGCTCACTGATTCCCATGTCGTCTGGATGAGAGTTTCCCAGCTCTCCTCATAGGGGCCCGCGTTCCCAACCACCTCACCGAAGACAAAATGCTGCAATGACATTACGCTCTCTATTTTTTCGAACAAATTTTCCCACGAAAGGTCCCAGACGGTGCATGTTGTTTCAGAACTCGTCAGTACGTCGTAGAGGCTGTATTTAGGGTAGAACTCATCGTCCAGGAGTAGATTGCTAATGGTAAGGGATAGAATTCCACTATCGGCGATATAAAGCTCAGCAAGTGTGTCTGAGTGTGAAAGTAGCCAATTCAATTGCCATTCGTCAGAGAAAATGTACCGTCGAAGTGCTAGCGTCTTTAGACAAGGAAAATGTACTCCCCGAAGGTCAAACTTCGGTAAGTACCCGAAGTGAACGTTGCAGCTCAACGATAAGTGGCGGAGTTGATTGCGACAGGGGAGGAGCCAGACCTTCGGAAGGAGTGCCATGGTCTTACGAGTTTCGAATTCCCGCGACGGTCGTGACCAAAGGTGGAGTCTGAGATCCTTTAGGTTTCTCAGCATGTGGGCGCTTGATGCCTTCCACAGAGAGTAGCGAGAAACATCGTGGACTAGATTGTGGATATGGAGACTCTCTAGGGTAATCTCGGGCTGCTGATGTCGGAGCTCAGAGAACAACGTGGCCAGGAAGAAGGGAAGCACAAAGACGTCAGGATACCCGCTCTCGTTGCTGGCATTGGAGGCACAGATAGTGAGCTTCTTGACATTTGGAAAGTTGAGGAATGAGCTCGTGTTCCTGACTGACTGGAAGACCGCGTTACGAGTTAAAACAATCCCGTTGGGTGGATGTCGCCACAGCCCAGACTCTACGGTATCGAAACGAAGTTGTTGAACCAGTTTTGCCAACTCAAGATCATGCTTCACATGGCGAATCGGTAGCTCTGGCACCCCAAAGCGATCTGTCGTTATCGAAATCGTTCGAAACAAGACGGTAGTTGCTGCGGGGGTAACTTTGCGCGATACCAGACGAAGGTTGCGGAGGTCGTTGCGGCCTAGAAGTTCTGTGATGGACAAAAGTAGTTCTGGGGGTAGTGCGTTCAGACCACGGGTTGTATTATCGCCGCTATCAAATGCCATATTGGTTGAAGCGACGAAGGGTTCCGTCGTCGTTGATTTTGGCGGGCGAGGCACCTAGGCGTGGCGAGCGGTGTGTAACTATGCCTAAATGGAATTCAGTTAAGGTTTGTATGAGGCGTCGGCGCCTTTGTATTGAGGCTATGTCAGTTTTGTTGAGGAGAAGAGAGGTTGAATGATGACAATCTTTGACCACGTCGCTTCGCGCCCCCCCACCACACACCACCTAAATTGGGTTTAGTTCTGTCCTTATACGGACCCCCCTAAGTACAGCTTTCACACTTGACCCTGGAATCATTTCCCGGAGCGCACCTACCTCATCGGCGTCAGAGAAGGTTCTGGCGTTAATATTTTGAACACCGATGCTTGCTCAGCTTTCTACTTGCAGTCGCCATATACTTACGTCTTGTTGATACCTAGAGATATATCCGGAGCCAAATCTTTGTTTGGGAGCTGGTGATACCCAGATCATGCTATCCAGTCTTCCGCCGAAACTAAACCAACAGACGAATCACGCACGGGAAGCCGCTCGTATTACTTGACGTTGTCTCACTCATCTCAGATGCTCGTGCTCATCTAAGTTTCCCCGAAGGACTGCTGGGCTAATGAGTAAGTCCTATTTCAGAACATTGTCCCCTGCTTTTCTAGCTCTTTGTCTCGTACCAAATATTCATTGCGATAAGAATACTTAGATCCTATTGGCGTCCTACATCCTGCAATTCCGTATCTGGTCGCTAGAGATCGAAGCAGCAATGGTGAGCCTCAAAACCGTCCAAGCCCATAACGCGGCCCTCAAAACTCTAGCCCCAGGACTCGTGGCGGTGTTCGGTAAGTTTAACCTGCTCTAACATTCCACTCTTTACGAGACGCCCGCCGAGAGTATCTTTTTTGAAGCGGATTACATAATGCAAAGACTCTTTTCTACCCTATATGTTCTTTTGGAAACCCTCAATTTCACTAACACCCCCCAGTCGGGGGCACCTCTGGCATCTCTCTTTCCACAGCCCTCGCCTTTGCCCATCACACCCCCTCCCCCAAAATCTACCTCATCGGCCGCAGCCAGTCCGCAGCCGACACAGCCATTGCCTCCATGAAAACCCTGAACCCCTCCGCCCAGCCAACCTTTCTTCAAACCGACATCTCCCTCCTCAAAAACGTCGACAGCGTGTGCGGCGAGGTCGCCGCCAAAGAAAAGAAGCTGAACCTGCTATTCATGACACCCGGATACATGACGCTGCAAGGCCGAGACGAGACAGCCGAAGGTCTGGACCTCAAATTCGTGCTGCATTACTACGCGCGGATGCGATTCATCGCCAACTTGCTCCCCCTCTTAACCACAGCCGCGCAAGACCCCTCTATAGATGCCAACGCTAGACTATCCCGTGTAGTCTCCGTCCTAGACCCACACGTCTCCGTCCGTGTAGGCGGCTCCGGCGCACTGGACTTCTCGGACCTCAGTTTGAAGCACACTTTCAGCCTCAACAAATGCGGCGCGCATGCTGGGAGGCGGTAGCTGCGTAGGCGGGTTATGGTGTTTGTTTTATTGGACCTTTGTGCAGACGAAGCTGGACTGTTAGCTTTGAAGAAATTTGACGGGCGTCACCCGAAAAACTCACACCTTGCACCGTGGCCTCGTCCCGTTCTCGAGCTTTCCATCGACGGAGATGCCACGTCCTCTAATCACTTCTAAAATGGCGTCTTCGAGAGCCTTGGACGAAAATCGCGGCTTTACACCACCGAGGACGCCGATGAAGGAACGGTTGGCTCTCTTCTCAAAGACCTGTTCCATCATTTTCTTATATGCATCTATGCATTCCTCGACGGACATCTCGAGCCGCCCCAGCATGATGGCAATGAGCCTACGACATCAGCATCCATACTATTCGCTCCTAACAAAATCACGATGGAGGACCTCAGACAAGCTCACCACCACTTCTCCAAAGTGTTGCACTACCTCGAAAACAGCCCTGCAAGCTCGCCCAAGCAGGTCTCGCGTGTATGCCAGAACTTAATGGAGACCTCAATTGGACTGTCCATGCGAGCTCGCGAAGGCGCTGAACGGAAGAAGCGTGCGGATCAAGCTCTTGATTACGGCAAGGCGGCACTGGACAATGTGCTGAGATGCCGAGATGTATGCATGATTGCGCAGGTCCAATTCATGCTGGCCTGCATGAGTGCGTGGAGAGTGTACCTGGAGGCGAGGGTGAGTGGAATGGAGCCTAGGAGACATCCGGGGAGGGAAAGGGTTGAGATATTGATGGCAGAGAGGCTGGGGGAGTTGAGGGCATTCCAGAATCTGGATATGGAGGGGTATGAGGCGCAGGCGAGGAAGTATATAGGTTATCTGAATAAGTCGCCCCGAAATCAAGGGTGGGAGTGAGGTGAGGTCGGTAGACCCCTGGCGTTCGCGAGATGATTGTAAGGGAAATATAAATATTTGTACTACAGTCTATTCAATGTAACAGATCAAGCTTTGTCATTCAGCCTCTCAGACCTCCCGCGAACAAAATTGTCACGGAATACCAGTCTTCCCATCTACCATCTCCGTTGATACCCCGGCGCGGTAGGTACCAGCGTTGGGGCTGGTCTCGATATCCTTGATACCATCGACACAGAGTCATCGGGCGAGACTTCGGATTCGGCGACCTGCCTCGGATAATAAGGCTCGTGGTACAGGTTCGGCGGAAACAGGCTGCATCTCGAGTGAAAGCTGCCGTGCGTGTGGACCATTTGCTGGTCCAAAAAGTTTCTTGGGCACAGCTGAGAGGATTGCCAGTGCGACCAGTCCTCCAACAGCTATCCCGACTCCAACAACTATCCCGATGATTGAAGGAGTAGAAAGCTGGTGTGACTGTGATGACGAATTCGTCGCCGTTGAGGATCTCGTTGGTTCAACACTGAAACCCGTAGCCGCAGTCGCACTTGAATCCCCTGGCCCAGTTGTTGTCGCCTGTATGGTAGCGGTTGCCGCCGCAGGGAATCCCTTTTCAACACAATACTGCGCATATACACTCCCTACGGTGGACGCATCAATCGCGAAGTCGCCCACGTCACACAATACGGACACACAGCTGGTCAGAAAGCTTTGCCCTACGACTTGCAAGTCCTGCCGGCAATAGCATTCGTTTTTGGCAAGCCAGCCACTGTCCTTGCATACTGTGCGCGGTGCACAGCCGATTACACTTCCGAGAACATCGTAGGGACAATTATCCGTGACTACGAAGCATTTTTGTGCGCATAATTTTTTGGAATGGAAAGGCGGACTGGGTGGTTATTTCTTGGGTGACGGTTCCGACTTGGGCATCCGTGGTTGGGAGGACGAGTAGAGTGGTCGATAAGAAGAGAAGATGTGAGAAGGTGCGGAAAACTGATCGTATCCTTTTGTTCTTTAGGGCGGTTGACGTTGTGTTGAGATCAGCGCTGAAGGCTAAGAATTGAGAGAGCTCCAGAATCGTAGGACGTCAAGGGCTCCCCTAGATGAGAGGGGTACCTGTATATATACACAAGCTCTTCCCACGTCCGGTAACCCAGCGCTAACATTAGCACTTCCGGAGACCTCTAGGGAGACTTAGCAACTTCCTAGCCAATTAATATTGAAGCCAGTTCAACATTAGCCCAGAACGGGAGTTGGACCAGGGTCAACTCAGTTTCAGGTCACCGGACGTACAGAGAGGCTGTAGTACTGTTATCTTAGGTAGCTCAGAGACACCGCGTTGTTGTGTTTCCGTCCATGCAGGTTGATCTAGAATGAGCTTGCGAGAGCTACAAACATTGGAGCGGCTGGGTCAATAAGAAGCCGAGCCTTAGAAAAGAGCTGCGGGGTTGGCACGCACTCGCAGGGGTAGGCCAGGTTCGGGCTCCAGGGACACTCAGCTCAGAGGTTACCATCTCAGTATGCCCCAGCGAAGGCAGACCGGCGTTCACTCAGTAGGTTCCGCTGAGGTAAGTGGTACTGAGTGTTTTCAGCTGGTATTCGCTATCCCACGCTCGCCCAACGGGACCACCAAAAAGGAACGACCAACGGCCGGCTCGCGAATCCGTCTTCATGCATCGCGTTACCGCCTGTGGCATTTACGGGCGCAGGGCCGTTTATGCACGAGCATGCCACAAGGGAACTTTTGCGATGCGTCTACAGGGGTCAAGAATTAGATTTCAGGAGGTTTAGATATACGCTTTGGTGAACGGTAAGGATCGTTGAACCGAGTTTCCATCGGTCTTCACGGAACAAATAGAATCTTCACCTGGCCAACTCTACTGAAATGGAAGGACATGGGATGTGAGACTGCGATTTCGACACAGTGAAATTTGCCAATTACGAAAACGGAAATGACTTCCGCAGGTCGCAGAACAAGAGGAATTACGGTATAGAGATACGAGCTCTCGAATTTGCTTCTTTACTTTGCCTCTCGGCTAGATATGTGGGAAGCTGGAAGTTTCGAACCAGCACTATAGAACAGTTTCCAGCCGAGAGAATAAAGCCGACGCATTATGCCTTAAAGATCTATAACGATAGATGTAGTGGGAGGTGAGATGGACTAAAAGAACTTGCAAGAAAAACATTATATAGACAGATGTACGCATCAACTTATCACCTCCTGTAAGGCTGTCTGATAAATCAGTCCACCTACTGCGCCTAGAATGTCCTACCAACGTCTTAGGGTATTTCAGCGCTATGAAGGTCTCGTTCGAGTCCTAAATCAAATGCTAATTCCTCAATTGCCGTGGGAAACAGGGCACGGGACAAAATTGCAGCAGTATTCTCTATAGGAAGTGCGGACACTGGACCGCTCGCGGCTGAAGAAGAATGGATCTTGATGTTAAAGCGTCGGGATGGTGATGGGCGATCGTCTTTAGCCTCAACAATGACATAGATCGCGTTCAAGTCGAGATTCGCTGGCAATCGCCTAGCAAAAAGAGGAGAGCGCACGGTAGGGCGCCTGCGCGAGCGGTGCGCAAGGGGTAGATAAAGACGGATTGAGAGCAACAGCTGATGGCGAATTGCTGGGACAAGCTGGGAGAAGATGATGAGTTGACATGAGTTCGTGGCGTCCCGTCGCGCACCGACAGATGCAATCTACTGACTGTTTTTGGCCAAGCTAGTCGCCAGAGGCGCAATCCACAATAAGCTTGTTCTGATCTACACCTCTATCTCATTTGCCTTTGCCGCATGCTTTCCTGAAGGTCGAAACGCCGAGAGACTTCAATGGGCAATGTACGGAGAGTCGAACCAAGAGAATGCGCATGATGACCATAGAGCGCGGAAGGAAAACATGATCAGCGATAAGGGAATACGAGTAATAGGATTCGAGGCATTTAGATGCAGATGAGCCAGGTATCTTGGAAGGGCAGAGGGGTGTCAAATGAGGGCGAATGAATGAATCGTGGGGGCTGGTAGTTATAGGTAGAATTCTAGACTTTGGTGACTAGGTCTACAGCGTCTACGTGTGTTTATCAGTACGAAAGTCGAAGTCCAAAGCGCAGGGTCTTCGGCGTCGAAATAAGTGGCCGTAATGAGGCACCTGCGCACCCCACTAAAATGAATACAACTCACTTATATCTGTGGTAAACATTCCCAAAAAATAAGCAGGGGTAAAGACTGTTAACTTAACTCGTGTTACTAAGTTTCAGAATAAAATCTAATAAAGATTTGGGTGAGTTGTGTTCATTTTGGTGGGGTGCGTGCGGTGCCTCATTCCGGCCCCTTAACTATTTCGGAGCCGCAGAGGAAAGACTTTTACGTCGATCAACCAACACTCACTGTTGACATCCAGAGTACATCCCCAATGGCAGGTGGAGCCTGTGACAACTCAAAGATAAGCCTACTTACGAGCACAAAAGTGTTCAACTGACTTTGCAGATAAGATTTTCCTAGAATCGAGGCGTCAACTGATGCCAAATTCATTCGACGGGTCGTAACGCGGCATGCGCGGGGCATCAAAGATAACGAGGCCGTCAGGAAACTCTGCCAGTGGACTTAACGTCCTGATTAGGTAGCATAGGATCTCAAGGGCATCGATAAGGAAGCTCCTTCTATGTTCATGACGCCCACCTGGTTGGTCTGACCTATCAACGGAGGTGTATTTGGATCTTCTCCACATGTAACCTTGGAACCTCGGGCGCATCGTCGAAGCAACGGCGTATAGGGCCAAATACGGATCCATGGATAATTGCATTTATTCTTGCTTGTCTGCTAGGAAGGCACCTGCAACACCAGGCCATTGCTGTTGGCCCTTCTCTTGCAGAAGATTCATTAGCACCTGCATATATTTTTTCCTCGTCGAATAGCGTTCTCACCCAGGTCAACATTTCCCAGCTTCAGTCCTACGTCCTTTCTTCCGTTTCTTCTACTATCGCTCGCCCGTTTCATTGCTACGCCATGACAACCTGACGGCTACAGCTTTCAATAGCACCAGAGACCTACTGCGGTATAGTGATTGAACCTCAAACTCAACGCTGGAAATCTCCCGAGGAACGCCCTGGACGGTATACCTTGTCAACGTCGAATATCTATCAATCATGACGTCGAAGGAGGGTGACGAAGCTAAAGTCCCAGAGGAAGACGTCGAGCAACTATCACTTGAAGCCGCCTCAATTCAGAACGGCGAGGACATATTGCAACTAGAGCATACGGACCCAGTGCTAAATGCTAAGATGCATCTAGTCAACGACGTTAGTATCCATGTTCGTCACTATGCCATCGAGAGCTATCGCGACAACATGTGCGGACGCATTTGTGTTTTTAGATTCGTCTTTCTTTGCTAACGTATATTTTGCAAGGCCATCGACGAGATTGGGTTCACCACGTATCAATGGAAGCTTTTCGTATTGAATGGTTTTGGGTAAATACTTCAAAATCCTCGTGCTCCCCCGTAAATTCTTGATCTACAAAGTATCGCCCAATGCACCTCAATCCTCCGATACAATTTATTTCCCAGCGCACCTTCATCCATATGCACCAGCTCACAGGTCTACAGCTATGCCGTTGATTCTCTCATCCTGCTCATTCAATCCATCATCGCGGATCGGGCTGCCCTCGAATTCAAACCATCCTACCCAAAAGGCATGACCATAGCCGCTTACTCGGGGATGCTTGCCGGAGCTCTTTTTTGGGGAATAGGTGCCGACGTCATTGGGAGAAAGCTTGCCTTCAATGTCTCTCTCATGATCTGCTCTGTTTTCGCCATTCTCGCTGGAGCCTCGCCGAACTGGTATGTGCTCGGGCTGTTCATCGCCCTGAGTTCCTTTGGTGCAGGAGGAAATCTGGTCTTGGACACAACAGTCTTCTTGGAATATCTACCCAGCAAAGATCAATGGCTGTTGACTCTGATGGCCCTATGGTGGGGTGCGTGCTCTTTCATCTATCCCTTTTCATGACTCAGCCGCTCGCCCGCTGCGTTCATCTCGAAGCTCACCAAGACTCAACCGTTCCTCTCTCGACTCAGTTTCTGAACAAAAAACATTCAACCTTGTTCATCTCTCTCATTTACGGCCTTCTAGCTGACCGAACTTAGGAATTGGCCAGTTAATCGCTGGCCTCTTCGCCTGGGGTTTCATCCCCAAGTTCTCTTGTACTGATCCGTCCATTGACACCACCGCCGCCCCTTGTTCCTACTCCAATAATAAAGGATGGCGCTACATCTGGTACGCATCCGGCTCGCTGGTATTTGTCATGTCAATCCTACGCATCACCGTGATACGCCTCAACGAAACCCCAAAATACCTCCTCGGCCGCGGCGCCGATGCTGAAGTGGTTGAAACCCTCAAAGGCATCGCAACGAGATACAACCGTCCCTTCTCCCTGACCCTCGAAAAGCTCTCTGCATGCGGAGCTACTGCTGCGCCATCGGGTTCTAGATTTGGAATATCGGGCGTCATGGTGCACTTGCGAGGTCTCCTCGCCACCCCCCGCATCGCCATCTCCACGTTCCTCATCTGGGTCTCATGGGCCCTCATCGGCCTCGCCTACCCCCTTTACAACGTCTTCCTGCCTAGCTATCTTGCCTCCCGCGGTGCTTTGTTCGGCGAAACATCCGCCTATATTACATGGCGCAACTACGCCCTCTCGAATATGTGCTCGATCTTCGGGCCCATACTCGCTGGGTACCTCTGCTCCGTCAAGTTCCTAGGCCGGAAGTACACCATGGTCCTCGGCGCACTCGCCACAATGGCGTTCTTCTTCGCGTATACGCAGGTACGCAACAATGCGCAGAATCTGGGCTTTACTTGCGTGATCAGCTTTTGGCTGAACGTGTATTATGGCACGCTGTATGCGTATACGCCTGAGGTACTGCCGAGTGCACATCGCGGAACAGGGAATGGGATTGCGGTGGGGTTTAATCGGATGATGGGAATTTTGAGCGCGGTTATTGCGACGGTTGCGGATGTGAGTGGATCTATATCAATTAGTAGAGTTCGGAGATACGATGCTGACGACGAGTGCGATCTAGACGAATACCCCCGTGCCGATTTATATCTGTGCTGCGCTGTACATTGTTATGGCAGGGATTGCGGCGGTGTTCCCGTTTGAGCCATATGGCCGCCGGTCCTCTTGAGGGCTGGGGGGATTGGTCTTTGACTTGGGAGGAGTAGGGTTTGGGATGTGATATGAATGGCGGCAATAAACAACGAATTGCTCACGATCAAGAAAAGAAACTAAGGGGAGTAGAAAAGCTGTGCATTACTAATGAATTCAATCGCTTGCGATAGCTAAACGCACGCAATCAATCAAGTCTACATGCACTCTAAGATGCCACGTGACCTTGATCCATTCATTAGGCTGAGTCATCATGAGACCCGTGCGCTGAGCATTCCCCCACAACCTTCTCTTTACCTCCAAGACCAATGCAAGCCTCTATCTCGCTACACCGAAATATCTCATGTGCATACATGGCCCATCCCCCTTCGGTTCTTCCCCTTACTTGTCCTGCTTGCTTTCTGCGTCTTTTCCAGATAACCCCAGTCGGTCCACTTCGTCGATGACCGCCTGTAAACGATTACTTCGAGAGCTCTCAGGACTTGGTTGTTGCTTATGCAACAAAATTTCATCGTCTCGATCCTCGAGAAAGCGTTGCATAGTAAAGGAAAGGGATTCTTGAGCTGGTCTAGAACTGTGGCACAGTCAGCAGAAGGTCAGCCAATCAGCAAGCGTCTCACTAACTCATTGTGGTCTTCCGTAGGTGCAGGAGATCTATGGCTTCCGTCCGCCATCTCGAGGCTGCGTTTCTGTGTTGTTTGGCGTTTGCTCTGGAATCATGAAGAGAGAAGTAAGACAGAGTTCCGTTGTCGAAGAGTTTCCTTCTCGTTGATAGTTGGACTGTTTGGTACTTTATGGCCATTGCTATTTTTCGCGACTTTATACATCTCTTTTCATGAGGCTATCGTTGGTCTTCTTCATCTGAATATCCGCGCAACTTCTCACTTTCGATATTCGAATATCGATACCCACAACTTCCTTTACTCACAAAACGTCGACCGCACACTTGTGCTGTGGAACATGAACGCCACGAGGGAAGAGTGTGGGGGCCAAACATCCCCATTGGCCAGGGCAGAGAATACGAGCTCTTGCACCGCCACAGGATTCGCAAACTTGTGCTGTCGCGGATCTGTGTTCAGCTCAGCCTTGTGCGTGAGCAGATACCAGTCAAAAAACTGAGGAGATCATCGCGCGCCGCTGTGGGCCCACCGACCTTCAATCTCATCGTTAACACCACGAAGTCGACCTGCGTTCTTACCTTTGTAGCAGTTGAGCTAGCGCGATGAATATCTCGTCTCCGCAGACCGCTCCCCGACCGCGGGCGGCATATTGCGAAGACGTCTACTCCTCCGATAATAGCGAAGTCAAGTCTCATCGCCACCGCAACATATACGGTGCCGCTGCCAAACGCTCGAACTGGTCCGATGTGAGCGTGCAAGTGGGTCCTCGGCGACCTCTGCCGGCGTATTGCGAAGACGCGAACTCCGATGATAGCGAATTTGAGTCAGATTGTCACCGCCGCGAAAAATCTAATGTTGCTGCCAAACAGTCGAGTCCGTCCAAATTGGGCGTGCAAGTGGATTCTGGGCAACCTGTTGTCAAAACCGTCAACTTCGAGCAATCCGACTCCGGCTACTCTAGCCGTAGATCTACCGCTGCACCAAGGGACAATGCGGATTCAGCATCAGCGTTCGACGATGGCAAATCGATGTCTGCCGCGTCCAAGCGCTCGAAAGACTCGGGCTACTACTCAGGCTCTGACGCCGTTACACCACCTATTCCAGACATTAAACTTGTTAGGCAAGCCTCTTTTACACGCGAAAAGATCGACATTGGGCCGATGGTTGGCTACGACTCAGATCATGTGGAGGGTGACAAGAACCACATTTTCATAGACATTGGTCAGAACGGCGAAATGACAATCAGCCGAAACCCGCGAAAGCCCGTACAGAGGTCTGAATCGGTCTCCCGCAGGCTGAAAGAGGAACGCAGAAAGGAGGAGAACGAACTCTGCACGGTTCCAAACTGTGAATGTAAGCCTAAACTAGACCGAGCGCAACGTCGACGTCAGTCCTCTATAGGTGCTCGAGACTCGGCAGTCGTCGCGCCTGCTCAGAGTATGCGTTCTAGGTCATCTTCAAGACAGCATCCAGTCAGTTACCATGCCCAACCTCCGCCGTCCTATTGGGGGCCCGGTCATCCAGTGCCAGTGCAACCACCGTATATGCAGCCACAGTATCCATATCTGCACCAGTATCCGTCTCCACCCCGAGGACATGGCCCCCCACCTTCTATGTCTGCATATGCCAGTCAGCCTTATCATTCACCTTATTCAACTCGTTATCCTGGTCCAATCATATATCCGCCAGGTCACCCGAATTACGACCCAGCGAGAACACCTGCGCCATACATGATGCCTCCACCTGCCCAAAATCACCAGAGCCCACCCCAATCCCAAAGGCCCTCCATTACCTCAACTAGAAGGCCTGCGGTGATTGTACAGCAAAATCCTCATCTGCCCGCTGAGCGAGTTCCTCCAGCTCTCGGACGCCCGGACCGGTCTGATTATTCTGAGAGCTCCAAGTCCAGGCCTTCGGACGATGAGGAGGAGGAGGAAGACAGCCGTGGCCGCGTACAGAGAGATCGTGCGCTCATGCCTCCGCCACCGAGAGCTTCTCGTGAATCTTCTCGATCAACGCCGTCTGTGACAGTGGAGCCAAGAAGGGGAAGGCCATCCGCTTCTCAATTCGATGTGTCTATAAGGAAAGTTGAGGATCCCGCTAAGGAGCGAGGACGGCTTCGCGCCGGGGCAATAGTAGTAAAAAGGAATCACCGAAGTAGCGTGAGCGCGAAAAGGGGGCTCAGCCGCGAACAAGAACGAAAAGAGAGAGAGCTGGAAAGCGGTGAACTGAAAGTGGCCACAGAGCGCATACTCCAGGAAAAGGATCGCCTACTTCAGGAAAAGGAGCGCCTACTTCAGGAACAGGAGCGCAGACTTCGTGAAGAGAAAGCGAAAGAAAAGCAGGAGCGCGAAAGGAGGCGTGCAGAAAGGGAGCTTAGCGCTCATAAACGGGAAGACAAAGCGGCATCAAAGCGGAAACAGATTCCGACCAAGGATCGCATGCCGCCAACGCCTCCGAAGAATAATCATGTTAAGGCGCCCAAGTCACCTTCGACAGAAAGTAAGAAGTCTGGTACACTTCCTCCCATTCCTGTCCCTAGAGCCGGAGCAAGCTTGCAAGAGCCCCTAACTTCGAACGCCGGATTACAGAGCCCTAAGCATGTCCATGTATTCGTAGAGCCCCCCAATTCGCCCGCAAGTTCCTCGAGAAACCAGGGAGATATTCCGAAGGACCTTGGACTGAAACCCTATCTACAGACGGCGCCTAAATCTCCGACGCTCCTACGTGAGACGGGAAGCAACCTCGGTGATGATCGACCCTTGAATGTTCAACGTCTTGAGGCTGACATACCTCACCACGGTGTTTCAATACACCTAGGATCGGAAAATTCATCAACTAAATCTTTCCCAATCAAGTCGCCGTCTTCGGCAGGATTGTCAGATGATCAATCTCTAAGTCTTGAGCGAGACAGCCGCGATCGGGAAGCAAGCCATCCCGCTAAACTAACGGGGAGGCTAAATAACGCAAAGAATCTAGCTAATACCTCGCGAACCGACCCCATGGGGCAGACTGAATCACCTTCGTCTAAACTAAGCACAGCAGCTCGAACCGCGGAGTATGTTACCAGTAATATTGGTCATGGTGATCACGAAGCTATGAAAGGTCCTGCAAAAGAACTTGTTCTACGGTCGAAGCTTAGCGAGAGTGATGTGCTGGAGGCTTCCGTTGTCGTCGACCCTAGCCCCATTCCCTGGTCAGAAAGCTCTGGTGACAGCAGTGCAGACAAGTCTGAAGAGGACGAAGATCACAGCTTCGTCGAAACTGCCGAGGAAAGCGATGAAGCCTCTGAGGAGTGCGAAGTCAGCGTCAAGAGCGCCCTCAATACTGCTATGAATGTAGTCAAGAATCTGCTCCTGCGAGAACTTCTGGACTGTGCTTTACCTGAAGCCATAGATGCTCTGGGTGGATCGAGTTCGTCGAGATCTGGGGGCGCTGGTAGCTCCACTTCTTCAAATCTCTCCCTATCGACTTCGAACTCTCAAACGCCTCAAAGAAGAAAGAGGATGCGAGGCAGCGGACGCGACCCAGGTGACGGTGATGGCGATGGCGACGACTCAAACGATGACGATCGACCCAAGAAGAGAAGTGAGAAGGGCTCGCCAGATCGGCTTCCTCACCGCCGACTGAAATGCCCTTTCTACCAGCGGCAGCCAGAGAAATACAGAAAAGCAGCATGCAGAGGCGAAGGATTCGTGGATATGGCAAAGTTGAAGGACCACATCAAACGCGTCCATACACAACCACTGCGCTGCTCCCGATGCTGGCTGGAGATGAAGTCCGAGGAAGCGTATGCCGAACATCTGCAGCAGGAAGATATTTGCAAGAAGAAGGCTGAACCGCAAGACGATCGTATCCGTCCGCAGCTTTTGAACCGGCTTGACTTCAAGAAGGCTCCGTATGCTAACGCGAGGAACGTCGAGGAGAAATGGAAGATTCTGTTCTCAGTACTATTTCCAGGCCATACCGACATACCGTCACCGTGTAAGTCAACTCTACTCACGTTTTGCATTTTCACATCACTGATGACAATAGATGAGCATCAAGGAATGAGCCCGCGACTCGAGCGCGCCCTTTCCGAAGCCCTCGAGGAAGAACTGACTCGCGAGCTTGCACCTATTCTCGAGCCAATCATGAACAAGATCAAGGGCTGCATACCCGCCATCATTGAGAGCTGCCGCCAAAAGCTGATGACTACGTGTCCATCTTCGGATGACGAAGCTGTTTTCACGCCATCCGTCAGATCGTCCGGCATAGGCAGTAGCGACAGCGAGCCCGGCAGCTTGACAAAGCAGGCTAGACATCGGGCCAGCCCTACCGCATCTCAATTCTCGGGAAGTAGCTTCGAAGTCGTCTCCATCCCGGAGGTGCTTCCAAACAAAGCGCAGGGGAAACGACTGCAACGCCCTGTGGCTTCCACTAGCGACATGAGCAAAGACAGCCGACAGGAAGTCTCATCGCCGGGGAGCAGTACCGACTACAGCATGTTTAATCCCGATGTGCCGTTCTCAACCCATGATCTCCAAGGAAACACTATGGACAATTCGTTTGACGACTTCTTTGCTATTGGGCATGAACCCGAGCTTTTCACTCTTCCTGGAAGCTTTCCAAGTGATTCCGATCCTGTCACTGAATGCAGCTTAGCTAGTTTCGTGAACACCCGTGGATCGTTATCCGGACCATACGACGTCGTAGAGGCTCTGCCACAACAGAATAATCCGAGTCTGTCTGGATCTCAATTACCAACCTGGCCGTTGCCAGAAGATGGATGGGATCGTGGGAATACAACGCAAGGACAGTCTGGAGGAGAGCAGCAAGGCAGCACGATTTCTCAAGAAATGCTTCCGTCTCAGCAATGGGAGGCCATAATGAAAGACTTGGAATTTTCGCATCTATCAAACCATTGATAGAATATTAATCTCTAGGGTTTATTTTTCCTGTATATTTTACTTTACGATATACCCTTGTACTGTTCTATTCTTTTATATAGGTATGAAATCGAAACGCATCGTCAGTCAAGCCATCATGATTGCAAGAATAGAAAAGTCAGTAACGTACTCCACAAGCGAGCGGCCCACCCAAGCGAGTGGCCCACCTCACAAGCAAATC